ATCAGTACTTAGTGCAAGCGACTGGATAAAAATAAAGACTCTGCTACGCGAGGCTATCAACGATATATACGATTCAAAGGCTGCAACACTTACACGCACAGTCCATACAATTGCTGCTAAAAATCAGCTCTTGAAGCATGAAAATGAGCAGCTTAAGGAGGCTCTTTTGAATGAGAAGAAGCGCCGCCAACGGGGCAAGGCTTTACAGCTTAAAGCGCCAGAGGAATACAACGGTGGAGCTGTATTCTGGTCACCAGCAAAGGTCCAGAAAGCTCGGGATTTTCAGGCCCAGAAAGAGGCAGAGGAGAAGGCAATACAGGCCCAGAAAGATGAGGAGACAAAGCTTAGGGAGCAGCAGAAGCTTCAAAAGGCAGCTCTACTAGAGGAGAGACGCCGTGAGAGAGCTGCCGCTAAAGCAGAGCGTGCCCGGGAACGTGAGCAAAAGGCTATTGAAGCTCAGGAAGTGTGCCAGGCCCGGGCAATTGAAAAACAACTCCGCGAGGAGCTCAAAGCTTCCCAAAAGGGTAATCGGAAAAGCCTCAAGCCTACTAGGTCAAGCACGAAGGACATTGAGCATGTACAGCCTGAGATATTGCCTGTTGAAGATGGGGTGCCCAATTTGGGCCCTTCAACGCGTACCCGCAAAATATGCCTGCCCCAGCGGTTTCAGTAGCTAATTAGGTGCTAGAATTACTTGGCAAGCTTCTCCAATTATTACTACAAAAAATCTGGCGATTTTACAATATATATTGAGCTCTACAGCCTCATCTTTGTGGGTGGCGATTATGCTGAAATCGTGCATTTGGTGGGAACGTGCACTTGCTGACCTAATACGTTACCAGTCACCGGCCCGCCCCCTCCAAATTCAAGACGCGTCTTCGTACGATTACTCCACCACAACAAAATATATTCGAATAAATTTATGCTTAAGAGACCCTTGAGATACTAGTACATCGACGCCTTGTGTGGCCTTGGATATGGCAATTGGAGCATGTTGGTGGTGCTCGCTGTCGCACCTGACCAACGCAGTTCTGATCAGCCTCCTGCTCCGCATTTTCCAACTCTGCAACTACGAGCTGGGCCTGCCTAGCCTGTAGAGCACCTCCATGGGCTATATACCTTCGGCGATGTTGCTGCTTCTGCTTTCGACGTTGATTTGCTGTACGAAGCTCCGAATTCTCCTTTGCAAGTATGGCAGCGGAATGCATCGCCATCTGGCATCCTTTAACAAGTTGATTGATTGCTTGGCTAGTAGGGCTCTGTGACTGGCACTGAAGGATGTCCCGTATGAGCCTTGCCTGCTGCTCTAGCTGGGCAGTAGTATGTGGCATTTCTGAAGTCCATTGAGGTGCCGGTCCATTTGCGGTACCTGGTGGAGTCGGAGTCTTCGTGATTGGAAGTGATGATATGATATGCTCAGGGTCGTATGATACTAGGCCCATAGCAAGAAATCCGCTTCTGATATTCTGATTTGTAAAGACAGATGGTCGCACTTTAGTATATATTTCCAGGAAGTCTTCCTTATCAATATGGTAGACTCCATAATGGGCGAGCTCTTGAACCTCATGACCATACAAGACCTTTAGAGGGGAGTAGCAGCTCACATCAAGCGGCTGGAGACGATGTGACATATGTGATAGCATGCAGATCATTTTAATCTTGTTTTCCATACAGTATTGGTCGAATTCAGACGTTGAGTGGCTACCATGGCCATCAAGGATGAGTAGATGGTAGACCCCCTTCATGCAGGACTTTGTACAATTATCAAAGTGCTTAATCCATTCGAATCCCAGTTCATCTGTTGTCCAGCCATTGTTGCTAACAGCGAGCATCCAGTCACTAGGTAGGCCTCGATACCAGCCTGACTGGTGGAGTTTTCCTGCAAGGATGATGAAGGGTGGTATCGCCCACCCAGTCACATTGATGCACTCAATCACCGTCATCCATTCGTGATTGCCTGGTTGTATGAGAATAGCTCTGCCTACAGTATCAGAGCTTGTAATGACTTTCGAGGTCGCAGATACACCCATCATGAATCCAGTCTCATCAAAATTCCAGGTATCTTCATCAAGTATACCATATATCTGGTGTGTCTCATCTATGAGTGTGTACCATTCGTGAAATATGCCTCGATCTTCGTATTTCACATGTTGAGAATGGAATTTTCTATTCCATTTTGTCTGCAGATCTGGCTGGTTGTTGATGAAGCGGTGTACCCAGTTTTTGCCGACGGGTTGAGGAGGAGGATTTTGGCCACATGCAGTGAGTAAATGGTTAGCCATTCATCGTACATCGATAATATGGGGGGGAAACCCACATCGGTCAAGGCCTAGGATCCATTGAACGAGTGTCTGTTCTTCTGAGGGCAGTAACTTTCATTTTTTGGCATTCGATTGTGCGATTGGTATTGAGCCATTGATGCGACGCCGAAGGGTAGTTCTAGGAACGTCGTACAGTTTTGCTACTTTACGAGCGCTTGAGACCTGTTTATTTTGAATAGAATTTTTTGAAAGAGCCAGTCTACCTTCTTGTTGAAGCTTCTGATCGTTGTGTGCTGATGCCATAGTTGGTTTAATCGAAGACACGTCTTGATTTTGGTGGGGGCGGGCCGGTGACTGGTATGGGCCGGTGACTGGTGGAACACGTTACCCTTTGCAGCTGACTAAGCGTTCGTTCAAAACTAACCGGAAAAGGGAGCTACCCAACGCAGTCCCACGTTCGTGAATGTTGAATATCCTGACGAGAGCTTGACTTGCACTGACATCCTCCTGGTAAACACCAGGAAGAGGACTCACGGAATATTCCCTCCTCTCAATCGCTTGCTGTTCTGACGTCGAGCACCTGGATGCGCGTTTCACGACAAAATCATCGAGGTCAAAGCTCCAAGATACACCCCACGGCGCCGCCTAGTCACCGCACCTATAATGATCACCAATGCTCGCCTCGTCCGGCTTCGTGCCTCTCCTGCTCCCCCTTCTTCCATGAAGATGCATGCTTCTGAATCCTCATCTCAACCACCATGCCCCGCGCCTCCTCGTTCGAAGGCGACAAAGGGTCCAACATCCCACCCTCGGTAGTAGAGACCGTCTCAGGATTCAGTGCTGGAGTGATTTCATGCCTGACAGCCCATCCGCTCGACCTACTCAAGAACCGCCTTCAGCGTGAGCTTCGCCCTTTGTATACACATGTCGAATTGCTAAAACCCTGTTAGTCAATACCAGAACGGCCTCGCGACCCGGCGATTCCATTCGAATACTTCGAGGCGTGATACGCGATGAGGGAGGGGTCAGAGCATTATATCGAGGCCTATGGCCAAACCTGCTCGGAAACTCTCTAGGCTGGGGCTTCTACTTCCTCTTCTATCGGAACTTGAAAGACCTGTTGCAATCGCGGCGAGGACGTGGCGAGCGCCTCTCGTCGGTCGAGTTCTTCTCGGCTTCCATTGCGGCTGGTACGTACTTTACATGACTCATCGAGAGGGATAATTGACAATATCTAGGATTGCTCACCGCAGCCTGCACGAATCCCGTCTGGGTCGTTAAAACACGGATGCTGGAGCGCGGCGCAAACCATCCGGAGGCGTACAAAGGCATGTGGGCGGGCTTGAAGCATGTGTACAGCACCAGGGGAATTAGAGGGCTTTGGGCGGGATTCATCCCATCTACGCTCGGAGTCACGCATGGAGCGGTGCAGTTTGCCATATACGAAAAGATGAAACACGCCCGAGGCGATCAGATCGGGGGACAACAGAACCTGTCTACGTGGGAGTATATATACATGAGTGGAGGGTCCAAGTTGCTGGCGGGCGCTATCACGTACCCCTATCAACCCATACGAGCGAGGATGCAGCAGTATGATGCTGCTAAGCAGTACACGGGGCTCTTGGATGTGCTGCGGAAGACGTACCGGAATGAGGGCATCTTAGCCTTCTACAAGGGGTTTGTGCTATCGTTTTTGTCAGATTTCTCCATGAAGTATTGTGCTGATTCCTCGCAGTGTCATACCAAACACACTGAGGGTGCTCCCCACCACCATCGTCACCTTCATCGTCTACGAGAATACCAAAATCTATCTTCCGAGGCTCTTCGAAGAAGAGAGTATGGCTCACGAGGAAGACTGATGACGCTTCGAGAAGCTCGTGGAAGATTTACAGTTTCTGACAGTGGAATAGCCATGCACCGTGGCCTTGTATAGCGATTGACGAAAAGGCGTGTCGCGCCGGCGCCAGCGAATGTGCAGTGAAAGTTCAGTGACTCGGCGGAGGATGGAAAGGATACTGGACCTTCGCTGGCTACACTAGTTCCGGATGCTAGGCAGGTCCACCTTTACACATCCACTGCGAATGGAGCACGTGAGGTGGCCAGTCGGGTGCTTCCACCACATTCGCAATGCCCTCCGGTCCGCATTTGACTGGCTCGTACGTCTGGGAACACCCACCGACGCAAAAGAAACCCTTGAAGCACGCATAAGAAGACAAAGAACCGACCTTATCGAGAAATTCTTCGATCGCATACAGGAGATGCTTCACAGCTCGAATCACTCCAAAGGCTCTAGCCCATGGCCTGCAGATACAGACAATCTGCCAGACGTTCCGTCCAACGACCGCCAAGGATGGTTTTGGAATCTACCAAGCCCTGCGTGCTGGAGGGAGGAGGAGGAGGAGGAGGAGGATTGGCATGTCCATCGGATAGGTTGAGCGGGCATGAGGGAGAGACACATAGTCTTTTGCCTGAATCTGTGGACCTGGATACACATGTTTGATGGGATAAAACTCCTGCTATACTGATGGCTGGATTCTACCAATGGATAGCGGTGAATGAAACATCTGAATATGATATCCCAGGTTCTAGAATCCCTTTCCCAGCCGACGGATCCTGGAATCCATTTACATCGAGCTAAGTTAAGTAAGTGTGAAGAGAGAGCAGAAGGTAGATAGCGATGGATGCGCATCGATGGCAATAACATACCTAGTCTACTACCCACAAAAGCCCACAAGAAGCCACGACGATAAGATGGATACTTCGAAATTGAATCAATCAAAACCTTTCCCCCAAGTAGAACTATGTTTCCCTTTCCACCTACTTCTCGTTTGACAGATTGAATGAATCGGCTTTGGTAAATAGAACTACCTAGCTACTGGTACCTGGCGTCGTCCCTCCTCCCTCCGGCCGTAAACCGCCTCCACCATTCCTCTCTCCCTTCGTTTCTCAAAATCGCGAAAGTACTAAAGTACCCCACAGCGCCTTGAACCAGTCCACCAGCAGCCAGACTATACTCGGTACAATACCGCACAGTACAAACACGTAGACGCCAACGCCTCCACGCCAACCATTAGACGTTTCTTCAACACAAAGTGAAACCCAAAGAACCAAAACAAACAAAGTTCCCCATCCAGAACGGGAAGGAACGAAAAGGGGCAATGAGAGAAGAAAGACAAGAATTAAGTTATACATTCCGAGTGAATACCGATGACTTGCAGTGTGCTTGCTGCTTTGCTGCTTTGCTGCTATGCTGCGTCTATGCTGTGTGCGGGTCTGTGTCCGTGTGTGCTGCTTTTGCGTCATCCAGCCGCAGCCGCCGCCTGTGTTCTTCCCTTCTCGTCGACCGAAGAAGAGAATAAAATGAAGAAGTTGTAGAAGCCGTAAAAGTAGTAGTCCAAGAAGAAAAGAAGGGTAAAACTCCATCCATCACCTCAGCTGAACACCACAAAAAACACCGCAAACCAATCAAGCAATGCCCCCATCACCTCGTCGCCATTCTCATATCTCCACAGTCTTCAACTCGCCCTCCTCATCCCCCTTCTCCTTCTTGCCCTTCCCATCCTCACTCACCCTCTTATTCTCCTTATCCACACTTCCCCTCCCATCCGCCTCCTTCCTTCCAATTTCCCCGCTAGGCCTAGGCGTATCCACCGATATGAGCGTCTCCATCGCAGCTCCCGCTTTACTATCCAACGCCTCCACGACCGAAGACGACGTATGCACCCGTATCGGCGTCGGGGCTTCCTCCGCTACACGCGCCAACGGGCTCGACACAGCAACCGGCCCCCGCGGACTGATTCCTTTCGACTTCGATGACCCGGGTTTCGCGGACGAACCTGACGCCGGCGCCAACCGATGCGGACTCCTCCCCCTCCTCTCCTCGGGGCCCACAACCGGACTCCCATACGGGCTGCTTCCCGCGCTGCCCAACCCGCTCCCTCCCACGTTCGCATTCACCCTCAACCCCCCACCCGGAGCTCCACTCATCGGCCTCCTCTTGACCACCCTCCTCCCATACTTTTGGTCGCATCTCCACCTCAGAATCTCCAGATACGGCGGCTCCACATTCTGCCTCTTCTTGAACTCCAGAAACTTCAGTTCCCCCGTCTCCTCGTCGATGTGCACCTTCTCCGCGTTTCCGAAATCGTCGGCCACCATGGCGAGCAGGTGCGCCCAGCTGCGTGCTACCACGTACTTGCAATCATAGTCGCGGCCGTAGATGATGATTTGGCCCCAATGACCGGCGGGGCCCGGCGCAAGATCGACGGCAAGGTAATTGCCTCCCCAGTCGCGGGCGAGGGGGATCCAGGCCGGGTGAGCGTAGGCCTTTTGCACGGCGTTCGGGGGCTGCGAGTCCTGCCTTGCGAGTAACTCCTGTCTCCATAGACCATTACCAGGTCGTTGCTGGACCTCTGCTACGGGGGGTGCTGTGGACGCGCCTGCGAAAGCTTTGACTGGGATTTGAGGGGAGCGGTAGTCGGGTTTTGCTGACAAGTACTCCTCGGCTACTTTCCGCCAGTTCTGCCACTCCATGATGATTTCCTCGCAGTCAAGGAGCATGAGGCCGAAGATGACTCCCGTCGGTAAGCCACCTCGTTCCTGACCATCGTGGATTTGCAGCGATTCTCGAACGTCCATGGGCAGTGTGGCGTCAAGCTCATGCTCGAGCTCATTGACGTCGTTGGAGGTGGCACCCTCGCACAGGTTGTCGAAGAGCTCCCCGTAGTTGTCCTCGAGGAAGCGGTCGATGCGTTTCCAGGAGTGGGAGACCGGGGGAGGGGGAGGTACACCGTCGGCGAAGTCCCGCATCTCCATCTCGCCATTGGCAGTGCCTCCACGGTTGTCAAAATTGTCGGACTCGGCGGTGGCTTGACGGCTTAGGGAACGAAGGCCGGGAGAGTAGGGGCGGGGGGATGCAGGGGACATGGGACCCTTTGGAGAGCCGATGAAGCCGTTGCTCGTAGGCGCTTCGTCGTGGGAGTAGGATTGGGAGAGGTCGACGCGTGATTCGGCGCCGCTGGTGGCTACAGATGTGAGGGGAGCATGGCGGCTCTGCGGGAGGGGGATATGGCGGCCGGTGCGATAGGGGGAGTCGTGGGAGGCATGGCGGTCATTGGAGGTCATGGTGTGCCAGAAGGACTGCCATGCCGAAGCTATACTGTGTGCTCGTCAGCGTTGCGTATGCGGCACGGAAAGGGGATGCAGCGTACGGATTCGCCATGGCGTTCTGTGAGTGACAGCGTGCGGACTGCAATAGCCGTGCCGCGGCGGTGTGTGAGCGTGTGGTGGTGGTGGTGGTGCGGCTCGGCGCGGGAGACAAGCGGCGATGGAGAGCTTGGTGTGTATCTGGAGGAGTAGTGACGACGAGCAGGGAGAGAGAGAAGCGTAGGGGTGTGTTCAGTCGTGCGAGACGGGCAGAGAGGGGGGAATTGGAGGGAAAGAGGAGAAGGGACACAGAAGCAGAAACTGGGAGGGAGAGCACAACCCCTGTCGTGATTCTGGGCGCGACTCCTGAGCAGCAGTGAACCTGTCGTCACCAGCGAGAGGAGGGCGAAGAAAAGGGATGCAGATTACAGAGGGCACAGATTACAGGTTTACCGGTAATGAAAGGCCAAGCCAAGCCGCAGCCGCCGGCCAACCCCGGCCCTTGTGTTCCTGACTTGGGCAACAGGAAGCAAGGCTGCCGGGCCCACCGTTCGCCCCGTTTGGAGATTGCGATGATTTATTTCTGGGAGGGGTGGGTGTTGTCGCGTGGCCTTGCAATAATAGCAACGGCCGTCGTTTGCTTACTTGTAAGTTCTTCGCTGCTGGCGTGGTGGTTGTTGTTGGTTCCGTGGTGGATGTTTTGTTGCTGACGTCGTTCGTCTTTTTCGGTTAGCGACCGCGCTTATCTCAGGTACCATGGACCTGAAAGACGACTGGTGATCTTATACCGCTATATAGAAGGACCGCAATCTATCACCCTACCACGGTGCAAACGGTCCGTTGCAGTAGTAGTGATACCACCGGCTTTTCTTATCAGCATGAGGTGAATGGAGAACACGTGCAACTCACTCTGAACCCCATGCGCGTCCCATGGCCATACACAGCATACGATAACGGACGCTTACTAATCACCATTCGTTCATTTCCTTAAGCGGGCAGCATGCATCTATAGACGAGTCGAATATACCACAGTACACAGTAAAGCAGTAATGATTTTCTGGCCTTCATCATGGCTGCATGTCGCCCCCAATATCGCCTGCCCACAAGAATAAATAAGGAATAACCAACCTCGATCCATTCGCCGCTTCAACCCGAGACACATCCAATCCACGCCCACCGCAGATCAGCGGCGAAAAGATGTGAGGTCCTGACACCGTCCTGCACGTCGCCTCTCTTGCGCAGCGAAACAGTTCGGATCTCCTACTATCCACAGTATCTACGCTGTGCTGACATGCTGTGCGACCAAACCTCATCGAGTCGCAGTGAGGAGACGCCGCACCCGTCGTGCAGGCAAGCCAACAAGCCTGAGCCGGATTACCTGCGCGCCACGCCCATAGGCGCGCCGTTTTGCCAGCCACAAGACTTGGGATAGGCACTCATCATTCATTGGGAGCCCTAGGGTACATAGCCTCTATGTATCGTCGTTGTTGCAAATTATGGTGCCGTATGTACACAGTACGCGTAGACTTCTGCGTTCGAAGATTTCTTATGAAGGATTTGATACGTCGGCGGAATGTTACATCATAATAAACAAGTTGACGGGGATCCACAAGCATTTCAAACAATCCGGGTTCCCTTGGTCTTGGCAACGGCTGCCGCGAGATGAACATCTAGGTATGGCTTCACCGTTTATTCGTAAAGCAGCACCCGAATGCGAATCAAGTTTTCACACATTTTCGAGAGCTCGCTCTGTCCTAGTTGATATTGTGTGGGCATATTCAGGGAGTATCTCAATTGGCACCCTATATGATCTATCGGCCCCGCATGCTGCTTTCATCTCTTCGTGCTATCCCTCAAACTCCGATGCAGTCACAGCATCGACTTGTGTCTCGTAACTGCATGTCATAACCCGAGTACCACCATCCGAGACTTTGCGCCCTCTCGCACAATGTCTCGCAGCTCATGTCCTTGTCGAGTAGCCGCCTTTGTACAGCGATCTCGTGACCGTGAGGTCCCCATACGGAGAATCAGTGTACCACTGTGCGACCTACGGAGACTGGCACTGACATCTGACACTACAGTATCATATCAGCATCCCGTAGCACCTGCCCGCACAGAATAATCATGTCGAAATGGGCCTCCAGCGAGATTTCCAATGTGCGGCTGATGAGGCTGCCACCCTAGGTCACTTTCAGGCATCTCCGAACCCCAGATCCAGCGCCACGTGGAAACGGGAGTGGGGAATACGAGCCTCGCGCCATCGCCAGGGACCGTTTTTAATTCTCCGAGTCAACTGTTTGCTGACTGAGCATTTGTTGAAACGGCCGTTGGACGCTGCGGTGACTTCCTCGTGCCCTTATGCGATTCCGCCAGTGCTGCACGGGTACCACGTTCTTCGCCTACCCCACTCAAGGCCACGGGTTTGAGACCCAACAAACAGAGAGCGTCGTAAGGTCAGTTGGACTCCGCCCTGCTAGCTGACCCATTCAGGATTCTTCACCAGACCCAGCAAGCCGATATTTCTCTTCGCCAGCACAGCTAGTCTCGGTCGATAGTGCACTGCCAGGACCCAGTTTCAATTTTAGGCGGCCGTCTTCCCCAGAAACTGATACAGCTCGTCTTGCAACGGCAAGACGATACTCTCCACAGCCGCCTGCAAGAACTCGGAATCTTTCAGCGAAGACGACGGATCGCTAAAGCATCTCAAGCAATGGTTAACCGCATTCGAGAACGCAGCCGACAGATTCTCCTGCTCCGTCTCCGCCCACTCGTATGCCAAAGCGCAGAGCTGCCAGGGGTTGCCGGAGACGGGACCGTCTTCGGTTGCGCCCTCGTCGGCTTGACGCTGTTGCGCCGAGATGCCGAAGTAGAGCTCCAGCAGGGCGACGGCGAGGGCGAGAAGGACAGTGTTTTTGTTTTGGAAGCTGCGGGTTCTCTGCGGGCTTGATGCGTCTTTCGCGTGCTCCAGTAGCTTCGACGAGGACATGTAGGGGTGGTCGATGTCGATCAAACGTGGACCCGCGGATGCCTTGTGAAAGACGATGTCTTTGGCGCTCCACTGGTCGGGGAACCAGGGAGTCGAGTGCAGCTGAAGCGCGGAGCTTGCGAGCGTGACTGCTAGAAAGTACCGTTCCTTCTTGCTGAGCTTAGAAGGGCGTCCATTGATTACCGGAGGTTTGTTGATTAGCTCCTCCAGGGTGACTACTTGGTGCAGGAGCTTCGGTTTCTCCAGGGGGGAGTCGACGGGGTATACACCTCTGAGAAGTTTGCTCTTGCTGTCCAAGCGGAAACCGATGCACGATGAGCTCATGTGCAGTTTCTGGATAGAAGCGCAGAGGTCCTTCACCTCCTGCAGTGTTGGCATCGAAACCGGGACAGGGCTAGGATCGGTCAAGGAGTAGGGAGGCGGAGCGGTATCACCGAAACTGACAGATTTTGACATTCTGTTGAACCGTTAGTACTGAAGAAAAGGCTTCATATATATAAAACCTACTTCGGCTTCGATATTGGGTTTGGCAGGGGGGCAGAGCATGCATCTTCATCTTCAATATGAAATTCCGCTTCTTGCCAGGTCCAGGAGTGGGTTGCATCACCTGAAGTGGTAAAGGCAACCGTGAAGCAGATCTTGGGCGATGCCTTGGCTCTCTTTGCGCCAGAAGCAAACAGTGTTTCTCTCTGCTCAAGTTGGATATTACCCTGATGGTATTGACGGCACGCGCACGACCACGACGTGATGATGGAGCTGTGGAGACTTTTTGCAAGGTCCTGGATCCGCTGCAATCGGGCCGCAAATGATGGTTTAGTCGCTTTTCGGAACGTCTCCAACTTTTCGCTTTTGTCGGTAAAGCGCTCGAGCTCCTTGTTGCATTCAGAAAGCTCATCTAGGAGGCCCTTTATCGTTTTCTTGCCCATTCCAAACTTGACTCTCTTCCTAAACTCGAACTTGTCATTTGGCTTTCGCGGATTCGCAGCTATGATTGCTTCGAGGTCGTTGCGCGTCAGCTAAAACAGCAAGTCAGCGGAATTTGTCTATATGGGACCGCTACTTTAAAGGACGGTTCGCACCTCCTCTGCCCGATCAAGGTCCAGCTTGCTCGCAATCTTCTTCATTATACGCTCCACATCTGCAACTGTACTCTGGTATGCCTGGTATGACTCCTGCAACCTTTCCTGCAACTTGGAAGCCATTTCTTTATCTTTCCAGAGCTTCCCGCCTGGTTCGGCAAGCATCTCGGCCAATTCGAACTCGGTCGTTATCGGCTCCAGCAGTTGGCGCATCGTTTGCGCATAATGAACATGCTCATTGCGCAGCTTCCGGATATACTGAGGCAGTTCACGCTCCCATCTCATGAAGCTCTTGATTGGGTCGAGGCCTTCGTTGTAGGACTCTGTATAGCCCTCGTCAACATGATGCCATCCAAGCCCTAGGGAACACCTTACCGATGGCCGAAATAAGAATGGGCAAGGCACCAAGCGCCAACCCAGCTACTTCAACTCCACTCATGGCGATCTACAGCAGGCTGCTCGTACAAGGGTAGCACAGTATTCTACTTTCGTAGCCGCCAGAGGAAAGGTGGCGTTCCCTTCTGCGAAGGCCAAGTGCTTGATCCCTTCTAAGGCAAAATAGAGCGCTGCCAAAAGATTATCTCAAACCTGCATCCTAAATAAACCTGCCCCACAGGTAAGTATACGGACTCGCTCATAAGGTAAGTCCACTTCACTAACAATGCTTGAGAAGATTTCTTGTCCATATCATTGGCACGCAGCTCGCGTTGCTCTCCCCCTCAGACGACTTGCAGAACTATAGGAGCTCGCCCCGCCTACACCATAAAATTGTGTTCAAGAAAGCCTTAACAGGCAACAAGGCTGGAGGACTTGATGAGCAGTTCGCACCGTTCGCAGCGTTCGCAGCCGAAAATGCGGGGCTGGTGTCGGACGACTCTGCGTCAACTTTACGATGTTGGGAAAAACTGGTTTGGAAAGACGCTGGGTAAGGGTACCCGACGTGATAATATCACCTCGAGAGTCTTGAAAGTGTATGAAGACTGAGAGACTGTGGAGGGGCAGCACACCTGGGGCTGTGCTCACACGGCTGATGCTCTTTCTGAGGATCCTCAGTTTGGGGCTGAGTTCGTCCTGAAGCGGTTTAGTCGATGGGCCACAGGCCTCAATCTGACGCTTGTTTCCACCTCACCTCAACACCAACAGGCATCAGGAATTGCTTCGACAATCAATAAGAGGTTTCTCCTCGCATCACCATGAAAGCGCGAAGCTATGGCTACCATCAGGCTCGCCACGGCGGCAGCAATCCGGAGCTTTCACAATCTCACAGCTGCCCTTGAAAACCACCCCGCCGGCCTTGGACGACTTATCGACAAGGGTGCTCTTGAGGATGAAGTGGGACGCTTCCGTGTTTGGTCCGGAAATCTTGGAGCTCTGCAGAAAGGGCACAGTTCAGCGGACTATCGACTCCGTGATAGTCCACTTCTGTCAAGCAATGCTTTGAAGTTACTACAAGAGCTCAACGAGAATTTAACAGAGTCCGCGGCCGTAATAACAGGTGTCCGTCTGCCTTACGAGCAGCAGCAGAGATCTTCAGAATCTGATCAAGAGGACAACGACAGTTTTTTCAGCGAGGACGAAGACAGCGATGACAGCGATGACGGAGCCCCAAAAACAGAACTCGAACAGCGTTTTCGCGAAATCGTCGACATCATAGACAATCTGTACAAGCTCTCTGTGCGAATTCGCCTACCTACTATTCGCACTAGGTCTCTCAGAGCCGCTGCCTATCAGCCAAAAGACCCAGACACGGGCGTCGACATCTTAGAGCAATATGCCGTATTTGATCTTCAACATACCAAGGAGCTTGTTGCTCAGCTTCGAGCTCCGTATAACAACAAGGCTGAAGATAACGATTTCCTTATCGAGCGACTGAGCAAAGCCATCACGCTCCGTAGACGGCAATTCAAATACTGGAGACGACGTACGAGAACCCGTCAATGCACTATGCTCTGCTTAACAATTCTGTAGATAGAGACAAGCTTGGCCAATCCAACCTGATCGATGATGAACCTCTGGCCATACCGGCAGTACCACAGCGACCAGTGGAGCTGCATCGTCACGACACGCTTGAAGTTCATCATAGTGAACCTGTCACGATACTGCCAAAAGTACCAGCAAGCGAGAAGACTGGGAAGACCTTGCTTTCAGGAACTGAAGCAACACATCATCATCAGTCCCTCGACGACATAGTGGATTCAAAAAGCGTCACGAGTTACGCCACGACAGTGCGTGACCTTTCCGGCAAGGGGATCGACCTGCCACCGCCTCCAAAAGCTGCCGATGGCGAGAAGGATTTCGAGTGCCCTTATTGCTTTGTCATTTGTCCAGCGTATGATTGCTCTGTCATTCCATTCTTATGGTATCCTGCTAATGCATTCTAGGCGATACGGGAGAGGCCGTCCCTGGAGGTGAGTGATATGCATGCTTGTCATATTGCTAAGTTTCTATGTCGCATGATGAACTCTGCAGCCCGTAGCTTGTAGGAGCGCCTGATCGCTGATGTTGACCATTAGAACCCATTTACTTCAAGACCTGCAGCCATACATATGCACCTATCCCGACTGTGAAAGCGGTGATGTACTCTTCCGAAGCAGGCGGGAGTGGTCAGAACACGAGGCCTCTCACCGAAAGGCGTGGCGGTGTCCTGAACACCCTGCAGCAGTGTTCCGATCTCGAACTGGATTGGAAGAACATCTGCGTTGTGAACATTCTGAGAATTTTTCACAACGCCAGCTGGAAAGCATCGTGAAAGTTGGGGAAACCTCTACAGTTGACGTGCGCGAGAAGTGTCCCCTCTGCCTTGCTGACGCGCACATGGAAGGGCTCGGGGATCTTCAGAATCGTAAGTACGGTCCTGCCCAACGGAACTTGTGTGGCTGATCCGTACGTAGATATTGCACATCATCTCGAGCGCCTCGCGTCATTTGCTCTACCTATTCTCGCTGGAGACGATGATGCCGATGGCGGCAGTAGCACCGCATCTCGAGGGCGCAGTGTGGTAACTGGCTCATCGCAAGAGCTTACCGATACATCTTCCTTACAATCCTCTCTACCCATAGACAACCCCGATGAAACAGATGAGCTGCAGAACCAGAGCGCATCCCACGTGGGAGGATTGCTGTCTGCTGAAACACTCGGAAACCTGCCCGATGCCAGTGAAAAGAGAATGGACCTGTTGTTTCCAAGTACACTTCATCAAGATGAGAGCGAGCAAGGTGCTCTTGAAGAGACTGGTCATGAAATAGATGAGTACTTGGCCGAGACCGATGCGTTTAGGTCCTATCTTCAATCTCTGCCAGGGGCCGAATCCGTGCGCTTTTATCGTCGTTACGGACTATGGGAAGGTCGCGTCACGTTTGACACCCAGTCATCTGCGTTCGATGCCCTGGCACGTTTCGATAGGACCCGCTATCCCAGAGTAGAGCTCAAACCTCCTACGGAAAAATATCTAACCTCTATTCGATTCAAAATTCCGGCCGCGGAGAAGGCTGGAGTATCCGGTAAACCGCACACGCCAGAAGATGCAGCGTCGGACTCGTCAATGCATCTGGATTATGAAGAAGACAGGGAACCTCATGACAAACGTCCGGTGTTGACCTGGTCCCACCTTCCGACTTTGCGCACGCTTTATACCTCCGGCGTCCTGTTGCAAAGGGACCAAAGCTACGCTCCAAATGTCGCTTACAATGAGCTCATCTCCCTTTGTCAATATGACATAACCCGATTGCAAGTGGATTGCATAGTAAATTCTGCAAACCAGTTTATGAAGGTGACGGGAACCGGTGATAGCCTGAATCATTACCTTCACCTTGCGGCTGGGCCTTCACTTCTGCAAGAGTGTAAAAAGATCGGGCGTGTTGCCCCGGGAGCTGTTCGACTCACCGGAGGTTACAAATTGCCTTGTCGCTATGTCATCCATGCGGCTAGACCATCATACGGAGGAGCCGTTGGAGGAACGGGAAAGCTTAACGTTCTCTCCGAATGCTACCGTGGCGCTCTGCAACTTGCTATGGATAACGACATTACTACGATAGCCTTTCCATGTATTGGCTCCGGTGGATGCGGCTTCCCTCCTCGTGTGGCTGCACGAATCGCACTGCAGGAAGTCCGCGAGTTTTTAGACTCACACAAAAATCATAAGTTCCAGCGCATTGTGTTTTGTGTCTTCAATAACCAAGACGACAGTGCCTATAAGGACTTCCTACCTGTATACTTTCCACCAACACATCGGGACCTGGAGAGTGCACAATTGCTGAATACGGACACTGATCATAGCGATCTGGTCAACCAAATACAGAGTGTTCTTAATCAAGGTACGGCATATCTCTTCTGAGCGAGACATCTCCGCACGTGTTGTCCCCTTCCAATCTTCTCGACAGGAGTTCAGGCAGGCTGACTGAGCTCTCAGTGGATGGAACTTTCGAGCAGATACCGAACTTCGACATCAGTGTACCAGATTTTCCCTTGAGCATCCCGGATGACCTTACAAGCATTGGGTCTGCTCTTCAGACCATGATGGCGGTATTGAAGGAAGGCGGTTGGGAGGGAAAGCTGACAAATTCGACCCGAGCCGACATTGCCCTTTCCTGCTCAGCGCTGCAAATCTTACTTGGGAGCCTCACTGAAAGCCTCCAAGCCCGAAACCATACCGAGGTCATCCGCGGCAACAAACCCGTCCCTTACGCCAACTTACAAACAGCTACGTATAAAGAGGTCTGGGACGATTTCAACTTCCACTTGCAAAGCAGCCACGGTACGACTCTGTCAGGGTTACTGCAGATGTGCCGCACCTTTCTCTGGACTGTCAACTCCATGCTTGCAGGGGAAGCTCATGTGTCGGACCAACTAAAAATTCAACGTTCGCGATTGAACCGCTACGTTACTGTGAGCCGTGGCAACCATGAAGAAGGCAGTCAAGGCTATGTTGACGAAGTGATGTACGCCCGCGAATATCAGAGACAGGGCAGTCGAGGCCGGAACGATACCGTTAGAATCCACGAGATCCCTTCACTGCTGCAACTTTACCAGTCAAACGAGCTTGAGGCGAAGCCAACCAATGCTATACCAAGCGCCCGAGAGCTCTCGACGGTGTGTATATTCCGGGAAGACATTACTCGCCTCGAGGTGGATGTTCTCGTCAATTCCACGGATCCCAACTTCTTCGGTATGGGAACACTTGATCGAACTGTGTTCAGAAAGGGTGGTCCTTCAATGAGCGAGGATTGTAAGAACTTCGGGCCTTGCAAGGAGGTAAGCAGGCTTCTCATTACCCTACCGTTATCCAGATTGGTCCTCCCCTTTGCATCAGTGACGATGCCGGTACCCCGGATTCAGGACCATGCAGAAACAGCCGAAATGCTTCACTTCGCTTCTTCGTAGCTAAGCGACGGTTGACGTTCTTCATACTGCGTAAAGAGCATGATCTGACTCGTTTCTAGGGTGACGTGAAGATCTCTCCTGGTTATCTTCTGCCAGCCCGATATGGTAAGCCTCTATCTTAATGCATTCGGCACACGACTGACACTGACACTTGTGAAGTCATCCATGCCATTCCTCCGGAAACTCATGGCAAGCATACCAAGAATATTCTACGGAAACTGTATCGCGACATTCTCTTCACTGCCAGCAATACGCTGAAGGCCACGTCAATAGCCATTCCCTCCATTGGAACAGGTGCTCTCGGGAACCCTGTCAGGGATTGCGCCGCGCTCGCCCTGGAAGAAGTGAAAAGGTTCTTAGAAACAACGGATGCCAGCAACACTATCAGGAAGATTGTCTTGTGTGTGTTCGGCTCGAACGATGAAGCGATCTATAAGGGGTTGGCGCCAATATACTTCCCACCACTGACGATGGACATCGACAAGGCGCTACCACAGAAAGGAAGTGGTCCGGCTTCGCAAGAAGATCAGCTGAGATCGAGCTCCCCAGAGACCACAGAGACATCGATACCGAAGCGCACCTTGTTCGGTTCCATTGGTGAAGCATTCCGTAATGTGCGATTTGGAAAGCTGCCTGTCAAAACGGTGTCCAACCCCGTGTCCATCAGCTCTCGAGCCCCAGTATGGGGAGAAAGTCGTGCGATGGACAGATTCGAAGATCATGCTCGACGCTGCCCTACATGCAACCTCGTGAGATCTTATGACAGTATTATAAGCCTCTGTGCAGAGGGACGTGCGGCGGCGGAAGGCGTATTGACAATCCTCTACATGGAGAACGAAACGATATACGCAAAAGACTTTAGTAACACTGGGAAGCTAGTCAAGGTTGAGCTCCCATCGAGGTATAGGCGGACACGCGAACTTCTGGCCCTTGGGGAGAAACAGGACAAACAGTTCATTGCAAGTCCAACCCATTCCTTCACCGCTACGACTGAGAATTCGGAAGAGAGCCCTCCGCCAGGAGTTACTGTCTATACTGCGGAGGTAAAGGTTCCCTACGTTCGAAGCGAGGAAGATGCCATAGCCACGGTCCATACATGGTCACCCGAAACAAAAGAACTGATGGCCTTGGCTAAGGATGAATGCAACGTTCGCATTTCCCTGGGTAGAGTTGAGATATATGAGATGGAACCTGAGACGCACAAATTGGCATTGTTGCTGGCGCTGGAGCTGGGGCCGTCAACCGCAATGATCAAGTCGGGCAGCCTAGGTGTCGTGCTCAAGACCAAAGTTCTGCCAGAATCAAAGATCATCACTGAAGACGACATCGTTCTGGAAAGCCGCAACCCAAAGGATTGCGAGTCGCTGTTCCAGCGCTTGAAGGCGGCGAGGAAGACAAATATGACGCTGGCAAACCAAGAGGAAAGCGCTAAGAACTCTGGGGTTTTCAAATGTGGGGTCCCGAGATGTTTACAGTCCGAAGTAGGCTTTACCACTCTTGAGTCCCTCAGAGAGCATAATAGGAGTGCCCATTACGTTGAACCGTCGACAGACCGCTATCAGTATGCATCCGGAGATGGCAAGCAGAGAGAAGAGGTGTGGGATCGTCTGGATGATTTTAGACATCATATTGCCGAGAACAGTGGTGAAGATGAACAGGATCTAATCCGAAGGTATGAAGGAAGCTCACATCAGTTTCTGCACACGGACTGAGTGGTGTATAGGTCAAAGCGCGACGCTCCTCCGCGGACTATCCCTCCAGATCCATACACCGTCAAGCGAGAAATCACGTCGATTCACAGTTGGAATTTTGTAAGCTTTGAATGGGAAAGGCTCTTCCCTGGGCATTGCACAGTACAGATACATCTTGATATACTCGAGATTGTCGACTTAACAAAAGGGGACACCTTGAAGCTACGGTTATCGACAGAAGAGACGGAAATCCTGCGGGAACCGGGTGCCTTAGATGTCACACTCACCGGCGTCGACCTTGATACGGCGGAAACAAAGCATATCAGACTCGGAAATTCAACGTCGGGGGCCTCAAAAGAACTCTACGGGTTCCTTCATCAGGCGGTCCTTATGATCCAGGGGTCCAAAGCTGCGCCTCCGCGCTTCCCTGGATTTTCGTCGGAAAATCAAACTGGCGACCCGGCCAGAACGTGGCTTGTCAAGCGCGTGCGCAAATGGAATGAAGAGAATGGCAGATGGGCAGATCTGTTCCCTATCGTGCGCTTTGCCTGCATTGCTACCATAAAGGCGGACCAACTCGCGATAGATTGGGACAGGGTCAAGGATGGCCCAGAACAGGACGCCAGCTGTCTAAGGTTCACGCTATCATCAGCGCAAACTGTGGTTGCTTCAAGTGCTGGCTTTCCGGACGTATACCTCTATCATACCGAGCAGGACACGCTGAACAGATACGTGCTCCAGTGTTACACTTCCAAGGACGCTGAGGAACTTTACGCAGTGATGGGCCAAGCGCAGGCTGCTGCATCGGACATTGGCTCCCAGAAACCTCCTCCAGGTCATCAGGTCGCCTCTGCTTCGTTGCCGGAGGAGGTAACGCTGGTGGATCTGCCCTCGGTTCCATCGCATGAACCCGGACACTCAAATGCAGACCCGACCACTCTGGCATCCGAGTATACAGGAGTGAGTGATTCAACATCTCATGAAGGGGAACATGCCAAAGAGGCCCCTTCGTCACCGGTCGAGATCCTGGCTGATGCAGTTCTCCTCCAACTCAAGTCTACCCCGACAAATGCATACGTACAGCTGGGTCTACATGAAGACGAGCTCGCCGCCCACCTCGGCGTCAGTATTAACAAAGTTCGAAGAGCTCTTCGGCATCTGGAGGAACAAGGTAAAGCTTGGAAAGCCGCAGATGGGTTAACAGATGCGCACGAAATGATATGGAGAGCGACCGTGCAGAACCCTCGTCAGCTCTCTCGGCGCTCTTCTAAGGTCGAACGCTCTTCTATCCCTACTGACGACTCTTTCGCGCATGGCGGCGAAGCTCAGACACAGGCACAACCTGCTGAGGAAATGCCGGATTCAAGTACAACCCCCGCAGACCAACAGCATCGTTCTAACCAAGACGTGGAAACACCCCCACGGTTGGAATCGCGGTCTCGCGGTGTTGTCGACGAGGCTAAGGCTCGGACACCAGATCCAGGAACTCGACCCAGACGGAAGTCTTTAGAGAAGCAGCCAGAGGACCAGAAAGAGATTCTGGATCGGCTACAACAATTTGCGGATGATACGACACGCTCGACATCTGACATTCCTGCGGCAACAGCGAGTGCGACTGCCTCACTGCCTGGGGAGCAGGCCGCGGATCCCAAGGCGCCTAGTGAAAAAGTGTATGCACCCTCAGGACATGGGTCCGACCTCGGTGCCGAAGTTACAGGCCACACAACAGTGACCAACGAGAGCCAAGATATTTCGGTCCCGATCTCTCCACCGCACACGACCATGGCACAACCTACCGTAAACAAGCAAGCGCTTAGGGAAACAGGTGAGACAATTGAAGAGTCGGAAGACGCCTTTGTGAGATATAAAGCCTTGCATAGCGACGAACTCGAGCGGACGGACAAGCGGGCGAGGGAGCTTGAGAGGAGCTTGAGAGAGAAGAGATTGAGAAGGGCGGCGAGAGATCAAGAGGCGGGAAGTACCGTAAACGTTTTCGATTTTTTGCCGGAGCAACAGGTCGACCATGAAGGCAGGACAGCGTCAATGGCGAAGGGGAAGCGAAAGAGAGATGGAGATGGAGATGGAGATGAGAGTCCGGATCCGGTACCAAGGGAGTCCGAGACGGTTGGGGATGAGAAGAAGAAAGATGCGAATCCATCGACGGAAGGAGTTCACCGGGAGGAAAGTGAACAACCGGTAGATCCAGCGGAAGCGAAGGATATCTGGTGGTCACGGTACGACTACTGACGGACTCGGCATCGAATGAGCGCGATGGTGGTGAGAATGATGCCTCTATATCTCACGACTCTATGTCTCGCGTAGATTGGAAATGTGTTTGCCCTTGATTTGTGAATCTTGATTGGTGGGGTTCTAGAGTAGGCTTCTTGAACGGTACCTATAGTTGGATGAAATGATCAAAGATATTTTGAGCTCATGAACCCCATGCAATTATGTCTAAGACATACAATACACAATACATTTATTTGAACATATCCTCGACCCATTAGGCTGCGCAACAGAGACGAACAAACACAGCTGTATCTGTGAGGGGTATCAAGGTGAGGCTGTAAGAGCCTCCAAAACAGAACGCCGACAGAGTTACTGAATACTGGTGAATATTACCCTCAGAGTATGCGAACGCAGAGGACGAAGAGAACGCCAGAATTTCAGTATAGCGACACGACAAATAATATACATATCTTGATAAACAATGATAGAAGAACATCTACTCTTCCTGCTGCGACATATGCGAAGGAAGATTATACCCCGTATAATCGATATGCACAAACGCGCGATCCACATACGGTATACTCTCTGCAACACACGTTAGCACCTCTTTTTCCAAAGCCACTAGGGATTCTTGGACTTACCAAGCACATACTGTAAACTCTCCCCAAGATCATGACTATCCCTCAGGTTCATCGTCTCGTCCACGACGATATCGACCTCTACATTCAACTTATCGCCCGCGTGATACGCCTCAATGCCCTGAATCTGCTTGATCGTCTTGGCAAACCGCATCGTGGTGTATAGCAGGATGTTGCGTTCGTCTGCAGAGGCAGCGGCCCCGGTAAGGTTGCGGATGTGCGTGGCCGAGGTGCGGGACCAGTTGATGATGACGTAGAGCGAGAGGAGGAGACCGCCGAGGGGGTCGAGCCACCAGATGTGGCAATAGTAGCCGACTGTGAAATGTCAGCTTACGATGATATAAGACAATTCATTCGCATTTGACGGAGGGTTGCTAGCAAATAAAAGGATGGGCGCAGCGTACTTAGAGGGAATATGATACTGAAGGTATTGAATACGACATCTGTCATGGCGTCTTGAGCGAGAGCCTGGACGCTCGAGTTCCGGATGACACGACACCAGAGCCAGCAGAGGAATTTGATGACGACGGTGGAGGACATGATGCCTATGGCGGGGCCTGTAAGTTGGACGACGCGATGGTCTGATCCTGTAAGGCGGGAGAAGCCTTCGATTGCTACTTGGCAGAATGAGGTGACCATGATGACGGAGAAGACCTATGTCAGGGTCAGTCTGAGGGGATGTGTGGAAATGGCTATGGAACTTACCAAGACACCGATTGGTTCCAGCCTGCGCCTGCCTACGGGATACTCGTATCGATTCTGTCTTGCTATCATCCAGGAGGTAACCCACACGATGGCGGTGCTCAGGAAATCAAGCGCGGCATCGACCAAACTGGCAATGACTGAGAGTGAAGAGGTCATGATAGTAACAATGATTTTGAGAACCAGGAGAGTAGTATTTGCAGCCAGATTGACCAAAATGGCAAGCTTGACAATCGGACTCTGGACATCTTGGTCTTCCTCTGGTACCCAGTCTGGGAGGACGATGGGGGCCGATTCTGCATCCTCATCATCGAGTAGAGGCGTCTGCTCGGTCGCTTTCGGGACCTTGTACAGATTCTTAGGTGTTCTTTTGATTTTCCCCTGGCCCGTGCCATTGCTGCTGGGTTGCGTGGTGGCGCTGCTGGGTGCGGAGCCATTTTCGCTCAGAACAACTCCATGCGGGCGATAACTTCCCGGAGACATCATAGGTGTGGGCTCTTCGGAGATGGTGGTAGGAATATTGACCCCGCCCGACTGCATGCGGCTGTATTCCTGAATCAAATCGTGCGGCAGCGACGAATCTAGCAAACGGTCGATGTACATGTAGTTCTGTATAAGGTAATTGTTGCGCTCATAGTACTTCCGGATAGGCTTCTTCATTTTCTTGAGCTCGTCCTCGGTTTTGTAATATCTCTCCCATCTGTATCTTGGATTCGAATTTCCAATCAGGCGCTGGCTCCTCACCTGCGGCGTATTCAAAACTGATGCCGCATGGCTGAACCGCCGCTCATGCTCGGAGCCCCAGGGCATGGTATGACCTGTCTCCAAATCATCCTCGGAAGAGGAGGAGCTATTGCGACGTCCATCATTGGGTAATGGAGAACGGGCTCGACGGCGGTAGTGGGGTTGGACGGACTGTTCACGGATGAGGCTTGGGAGATTCTGGCCTCGAGTAGATATTGCGCTAGCGTCGGAAAGCGGGAGAAAGCCTTTGTAAGAGGGGATGCGGAAGAGATTCGACGCTCGATCGGGAGAGCTCGAGAGTTCGGCCATTAAATAGCGTGCTTCGCAGATGGTTCGAAACACAAGATGTTGAATTCGTTTAGTGGAGGTGACCAGTGTACAGAAAGCGTCGGAGCCCTGCTGGGATGAAAGGGAGGCACAGAGTAACGATTGAAGAATGTGAGAGAGGGTGATGACGCTTATGAGGAAGAATGAGGGGAATATGTGTCTGATAGCGGTCGGGGGAGTGAGGTGAATTCTTGTGCTCTTCCTTTTCTTGTTAGGCCGAGTAGCACCGACATCATCGCTGGCGCACTTGCAGATCTGAACCCTTGTCGCGGGCCCAAGCTCTCCGTCGCCAAACCAAACTGGGATAAGCACCGAATATTAAACCTCATCAACTTTCACCACAGTTCATCGCGTTCATCTCACACATTGGAGACATTATCCATACTTCTCGAAGCGAACCTCTCTCTTATGAAAGAATCTTATTGGGACCTCTTCTCAGTGTATCAACTCGTATCATCCACCTGAGATAGTCAGGTTGCCAAACTTGCACACGATTCACAACAGGGACCAATAACCTCACGCGCCCCAACAAACCCATATCATGAATAGTAGTACAGTGATCACGGCATTGGCAGGATGCCTTGTATGTCCTTGTGATGATTAAAGGGGGAAGGGGTCCCTGGACTTCTGCTGAGAAGTGCGAAATTCGGGTATTTTGGATGACACCAGTTCACTATCAGATCTGGGACCAAGTTTCATACCAAGACTCGACTGTACATCGAAGGGCTCGCTCGGCTGCTCCATTTTCCCCGTATAACATCTCTGCCACTTCAGAGGTTTCAGAACGCGGCAATGTAGAAATCAGCCACTTGATTGTATCCATATCGGTGGAATGCACCACCATGTAACCCCCTCCTCAGCTTCTTTGTCCACAGCCATCTGCCCCATCCCCAACGACAACAACACTTCTCCCCACTTCCCGCAACCGACCATCCTTTGTCCTGCGCCACAAATCATAACATCAGATTGGCCACGGAAATCACAATGACAACCATCAAACTCAAAAGGCTCCCGACTCTGCCCCTGCTGTTATGTTTGGACAGTATCCCGCACTGTTTGGAACGGCAGCTAACAGAGTCCAACACCCTCGTCCTGTGCTCGCGAAGCTCTTAAACCTTCAAACATGCCCACAATAACCCGCCGCATGTCCCGCGCCCTGAGCGAGGAACACCTCGCAGCACCTCCACCACCAACTCAAGCAGACAAAGAAACTCAATCATCTTCCAAGCCAGGAGCGGCAAACGACGCACCATCTCAACATCCAGCTGAAGAGCCAGCCAGTGTTGCTGCTGCTGGAATTGAAAAACAGGCTATTTCCGTGCAGACAGCTCACACCATTCCGGCCGAAGAAGAAGAACTCCAACATCAAGCCATCGAAGAGACAGATGAGCTGGAGGAGCAGGCAGAATTCGAAGACATGGACCTCGACGAAGTAACAGAAGCCTTGCACCGTAGAGACAGCAGTGCCCTCTCGGACACCTCCGACGGAGATATGTCCCCTGCGGCTTCTTCACCCGGCAGCAATGATGATGATGATGAGGAGGATGATGACCTCACCCACACGCCTGCATTCGAGCAAACGTCAGTCCTGGAAATCATCGACGACAACGACGACAAGGCCAAGGAATCCTCTTCCACACTCCTTGATGGCAGTAAAATCACGCCACGCGAAATGACTAGTCTCTCCGCCGCCGCGGCCGCCGCTGCAACCGCCAATACTTCTACTCCGTCAGTGCAGTCCCAACCCTCTCAGCCAAAATACGAGTCCATCTACATACCGCCGCCCCGACCTCAAGACGAACTAGGCCCGCCGATTACCTATCGATGCTGGAATCCTCGCTCAGATGGGGCATGGGACGGCAAAGGCAACAGGGTGAAATGCACGGCCGAGATGCAAATACGGGTTGGAGAGCCCATAAGGTGTAGGGTTTGCGGGTCGAGAGTGTTGATGAAGACAAGGACGAAGAGGATGATGCTGTTTGAGGCTAGATAGACTTATATACACGCTATGAGTAGACGTTGTCTTGGATAGATCGGTTTGTTTTATCTTGAAATACAAATATCATACACGCCTGTATACTACTTCTCCCCGGATCCCTTCTTTACTGACTGCTCACCCTACCACCCCTTTGCCACGTCTCCACCGCCCTCGAAAACAACTCCCTACAAGGCACCCTACTGCCCAATCTCGCACACAACAGAAACGCCCCACTCAGCTTCCTATGCAAACTATACGTCTCCTCCGGCGGCGGCGCCAACCTCTCCCTCACCATAACAGGGATCAGGCCCCGAACTCTGTCTGTGATCGTCTGATCTCTGAAATCGTATACATCCGGCCCATCCCCACGGAACGGCTCCGCCAGCGTAAGCACCGATTGAATATGCGCGTCCGTCATGATCTGACTCTCCTCACCGGTCAAATACCCAAGCTGAATGCTCAGATCCCGAATGCGCTGCTTATCGCCTCTACTCGCCGCAATCAACACATCCACATAGGGCCCCACAAACTCATCCGGGTAGTCCCTACTGGCTCCGAAATCCAGCAACTCAATCTTCTTCGATCCCTGGTTATACAGGAAATTCGTCCAATTGGGATCCGTCTGCATGAACTTGAACTCGACGATTTCGCGCAGGCAAAGACGCAGTATGTGCGTGCCGATCCAGTCGCGTTCCTGTTGGGAGAGCGAGGGAAGTTTGGCGACGCCAATGCCGGACATGAATTCTGCGGTTAGGACGGAGGGCCCGCTGGCTTCGGGGTAGACTTTGGGAACGAGGAAAACGTCGGTGTCGTCTGCGAGGAGTTCGCGGAATCGTGTCTGGCATTCCGCTTCACGAGTGTAGTCGCATTCCCAGGCTAACTCCGTTCGGGCGTTGGCGATCGTCTTGTCGAGGTACAAGCCCTTTGGAAGAAGGCGGGAGGCGGTAAGGAGGAGAGAGAGGTTGCTAAGATCGGAGTCTATGGAGTTGGCGACACCAGGGTATTGCACTTTGACTGCGACTGGAGTGTTTGTGGATCGCAGGACGGCTTTATGAACTTGGCCAATGGAAGCAGCGGCGATTGGAACTTCTTGGAAGGAAGAGAAGAGGTCACGCCAATCAGTTCCAAGATTGTCTGCGAGGACTTTGTCGCGCTGTGACGCGGGCATGTAGTCTGCGCTGTCTTGCACACGTTGGAGAACGTGGTGAATCTCTGGAGGGATCATCTTCATATCTGGGTGTGGTTAGATTGGCTTGATTGCATACGCAAGTACTCTCATACCCTGGATGCTGATCATTTGGCCCAGCTTGAGAGCGGCTCCTCGCATTCGCGATAATTTAGAGACAAGAATCTCCAAGTTCCGGGGACTCAGCATCAGCGAGCCACCAACTGACGCAGCGCCTCCTGTCACCCTTCTCAGAGACTCGCCCACAGCTCCAAGCGCCATGCTAGTCCCTAAGCCTGCGTACTGCCAGAAGCGACCAAAGCGTGACGAAGGAACCCGTGATTCTCTTAATTCAAAAGGCGTCTTGTATGGTTCTACATAAATTTCACCGGAAATCTAGTTTTCACTGTCAGTTCATAAATCAGCATATCTCACTGAGCTGATGGAGATAAGATTCCCTACCTCAGACACGGGCGAGGGCGACGCTTGTGCGTCCATTGCCAGTTCGGATGCGAAGTCGTGCACCTCCTGCTCCGTGACTTTCTGCGTCGACGGTGCAGATTCTGCGGGTTGGGAGGGCTTCGTCTGGTCAATACGATGCACGTTGATGGTATTCTGATCCGGGCCTTTTGCCGATTTGATATGGACGAATGGTCTTTCAGCAGCGCGAGGAATGTCCAACCTAGGCTTCCGCGCATAGGGGTTCAACATTTGTGATACGCGCTTGGTGCGGAAGACGTCGGTGTTTATTCCTTCGGGCAATTGGTCTTGTTCGGGATTGGCAGCCTTCTGTGGCAACGAGGAGGGCTTGGGTTGCCATATTTCGTCCGCTCCGCTACCTCTTGGTGGAGCTTGTATTGTCTCGCCTCTTGACGGTATCTGTGCCTCGAGTTTGAGTTGAAGATTGCCAGGCCCACCGGTGGAGAGCGGCGTAAAATCCGAGGGTGTCGGTATTGTAGATGCAGCTGATGCCACTGGCTGAATGCCGTCCTTCGCTGCTCTACCTGATCCACTCTGCGGCCTCTGTGTGTGACCTTCTCTTATTGAGTCCACTGTACCACTAGGTTCTTTCTCCGTGGTAGTTCCCCATTGCTCCAATGGCGCTCCCACAGGAGGTATAGTCCCATCTGCAAGTGGCTCCCGCTCTGCCTCCTTTTGTATGATATTGAGCTCATCTTTGGCAGGTGGTTCCGCCGTGGTCCTTCTTTGCGGTTGTACCTGATTGTGATTTCTCGAAGCCCGTGACTCTGCTTCCGGCGCGTACGACGGAGGTTCTTCGTTGACGCGTTTTGCGAGGGCAACTGCAGCCTGAGCTGTAAGGGTCACACGATCCGTCTGGCTCTTAACCGCTTTCGCGAGCGAGGAGGTCTTGCTGTATACATCGAATTGCTGTGATCGGAGATTGATGTGCTTCGCAGCAATGGATTTCGAGGCCTGGAAGAGCCTGGCGACATCGACGAGCCGCCTTCCTGCCATTGAGATCAGTTTTCACGCTACCGTGGTCGGAGAAACATTGTGCGCTGAGATTCGGAGACGCTTAGCAGACGTTAACGATGGATGGTCGTTCAGTCGCTACCAAAACTATCCTGCATAGCGTCATAGCTTGGTTCGTTTAAGCTTAACAGAACGCATTGTGATTGGCCAATTGTTCGGGGCCCTGGCCTAGACCCTTTGTGGAAAGCTCCACAACTTAATCACCCCCGCGCCTCCATTGTGAATGTCACAGGTCGCCCTCCTCACCTCTCCCTTCCGTGGGAGGTTCAATCCCCGTACCGGAGTGGTAGTAATTAGGTCTGGGTTGTGCCATACTGCTTCGAGCGGTCTCCCTTTGTCTACCTACTCGAAACCGGCGTCCTCCACCTTGAGGCCAGATGTGCTCCTTTCGATAAAGGCATCAAGATTATAAACCTTCCAAGATGAAGGTCGCTTGTCTACAGTTTGCGCCCGAGCTGGGAAAGGTGGAAGAGAATATGCGGCGGGCGGACGCGATTCTCTCCCAAACGGTTCTTCCGGCGAGACTGGACTGGCTCATTCTCCCCGAAATGGCCTTCTCAGGTACATATATATTTCCACTACTTACAAACCTTTTCTTCAATCTCAGTCCCCTAGTTTCATTTATACCGTTTTCAAGGAGCTGGAAGAAGTACGGTTATTGCTACCTCGGAAATACCACTTCACGTACCCTGTAGCAGAGCAGCTCGGTTGAAGCCTTCTCTCCAGTCGCATAGTTCTAGAACCTAACGCATCTCACTCTCTGGATCTTTCTGCATACCATTCTCTCCACTAGTCCAATCCCACTAATCCCCTCCCAGGCTACAACTTCCACTCACTCTCAGAGATAACCCCCTACCTGGAACCTACCACCTCCGGCCCCACTACTCAGTGGGCCATCCGCACCGCCCTACAACACAACTGCCATGTCACAGTCGGCTACCCAGAGACGAGCAGCACACCGGGCAAGGCCAGCACGCACTACAACAGCACCGTCACCGTCACCCCCTCTGGGACCGTTCTCCTCAATTACCGCAAATCCTTCCTCTACTACACAGACGAAACCTGGGCTGCAGAAGGCACAGGTTTCTATGCGGGAAATCTGGGAAGTCTGGGAAAGGTATCCCTGGGTATCTGCATGGATATCAATCCCTATCGATTCATCACTCCCTGGGATGCCTACGAATTTGCTAGCAAAGCCCTCGAGGCGCAAACACCCGTCATCTGCGTCAGCATGGCATGGCTCACTACGTTGAGTCCCGAAGAACTAGCGCAGGAGCCGCTACAGGCGGATTTCACGACCCTGACGTACTGGGTTGAGAGATTCCAGCCGCTGGTGGAGAAGAAAGCGTTGGAGCCTGTGTATGTGATTTTGGCGAATAGGTGTGGGATGGAGAAGGCGGCGTGCTATGCAGGGACGACTACGGTGCTGAAGATCGAGGAGGGGAGAGTCAGCGTGTACGATGTGCTTGGGAAGGGGGAGGAGAGGTGCTTGGTGGTGGATCTGAATCAGACACCCAAATTTCGAGTTAGAAGTGACTGATGTGTCATGGTATGCATCATTGATGCAGAGTTTCAATCCGGATGGCTGAGATGTGATATAGAGGGGATAGAAGATATCCACGGGCGCCGCAGGCGCTCTTGACGAATTTAAGGCTTGTTTGATGACTGCACATCCATACAACCCTGGAATGCCTCCGTGCGTAAGGGAGTATGAGCCTTTGAGACCCTCGACTGGTAAAATCACACGAGCATGTACTGCAGACCAACGACTTCATCGCGGACCAGCAAGTGTATTCGTTATCACTGCCTAGAATCCACATGTTCCCAAATCGCCAGAGAATCGTGTCGGCGGCTTTATTCACCAGCCGAGAACCACGAACGCCCGCTCCACCTTTCTGGCTTCACGCATAAGCGCACTCCAACACATCCGCTATTCGTGACCGAAAAATCCGTTCCCATGATGATTTTGACGTGTGACGAAGGAGACTGAGAATCGAGAGAAGATTGGGGCGAGGCGTTTAGATGCCGATGCGGGTCTTGCGCCAGTGTCGTCGCTTGGCGTTATATCTGCACGTTGGGTCAGTCCACTACCTTTATTTCGTGTTCTTGCGAGTGTTTCTAGTCGATTGAAAGAGCGGAAGGCGCAGGGTCGCTGTACCTGATGGTGTTGCCCGTTCGGAGGCGAATCCATTGTGGGATCGGGCGGTTCTGCTTCTGCGCTTTGGCAAGCTTGGTCTTAGTGCGGAATGACTTCTGGCTCTGTAGTTCTGTCAGAAATCGCAGTCCGGTCGCAGGCGGACGGTGATTCGACGTACCGGCATCTTGACTGCTGGTGAGTTGGTGATGTCGAAGTGGGTTGTCGCTGCGATGGCTTTGTGACTAGCGAATTTCGCAGGTAGATTCGCTTCAGAGGTGTGTGCGCCAAGGCCCTAAAGTGCTTCGGGTTAGCGCGCTATCATCTTTGTCCTGCAGGACTTCAGATTTGAATTGCCCACCCAAACAACCACTTGGATGCTCCTCTATTATCACCTGTCTTTCTGATTTGATTCAATCATCTCTATATCTTTCTCCATAATGCCAAGTCTTTCATTAACCCAACATTCCTCATTCTTGACCCCTTCGACCTGCGTTCAACCCACAAACCCCGCGCCTCCATAATTCAGACCCTACATGCCATGTTACCAATCGTGTATGCATACGGAGTACTTACATTCCCCTTTGGCGACTATCTCTCGCTCGCAGAACTGCTACGCCGCTTGCGGCGTGCGGCAATGCTGCCGCCATCCCTTCTACAAGAGCTATTGCCGGCCAGTGCTTTCAAGAGTGTAAACGAACTGGTAAATCATCGTGAGGCGACCACCAAAACAAACAGACCTAGCCCTGTTCGACGATTTGAGTATATAACGACTTCCGCCTTCTCTTCGGATTAGATGGCAACAGCCTATCCGCGTCTGCCTGGCCTCACACCAACAGAGGACTCAAACACGATCTCTAGGATAGAAGAGCTAGATTAAGGATATTTCAGAGGATAAACAGTGGGTGTAGGTTCTCGTATAAGTCGGAGCTACCGCAGAGCGCCTCCTTTTCGAGCATCCCCTTTCCGTCACAGCCAGCGACGACCAATCTAGGCTCGTAAAGGTGTCCTCAGCGCAAATACAAAACAAACCAGACCAAGGAGTACGATAAGAATAAGTTCCCGCAACGATAAATCTGTATCGAGGATAAGTAAGCTGCATGCCAGGATTTTGAAAGATTTGGAGGATGGGCATAGAAGGGAGGCTCATGCCCTTACCTGTGTCCGTGAGTCCTCTAAGACGAGCTTTCTGCTTCTCGGGCAGTGTGATATGCGTAAGCTGCTCTAACTTGCTAAGGATCAAAGGAAGCTGATCCGCATAGTGTGGCGCGACCAGAGGAATCTCGGCCGGTCTCTTCGTTCCTAATACCGCAGGCGTCCCGAGAACACTGCGCAGGATACTGGCATCGCTGACATTAAAAGCTACTGCTGCCTTGCTTTCAACCTGTCTTTGTGGAATCAAGCTGTCGGGATGGGATACCAGATGACTGAACTCCGCGGTCATCTGAACAACTACACTGCGAAGCGTTGCGTTGGTTCTGAAGAAGGCGCGATCTAGGAGGATCTGGAATTCATCACCGCCATCATTGAGCAGTCCGAGGAAGTGGTCGGAGCCCTCCGTGGCGTTTCCATGCACCATGAGAACTCGGTCTCCTACGGTAAGGTTCTGCAGCCGAGAGTAGCGTACGACTTCGTCGTGCGAAACCGAAGGCTTAGCGGACAAGTTAGCATTAATTGACTCAGGAGCAGTGTGGATTGTACCTCGTAGTGTACTTCCATCGTTTGGCCAAAGTCGAATGAAAGCCGGGGGTGATGATCACCCGCAAGGTACAGTGTCATATTTGCGTGGTCAAACGACGGCAGTCCGGCTTCCACAACATACACCGGCGCCGTGCAACCGCACTTTGACTGTTTGGAAGGCGGATACCAAGTGCCCCCACCGACGATGAAACGGAAGTCTGTTTTCTTACAGACTGCCTTCCCGGAGCCTCCAAAGGTGCCCACGAGGCTGTTGCCATCATATGTATTAGCCAGGTCCCCAAATCTACGTACAAGCATGATACTGACTCGATACCGAATTTCCCCGTGGGCGGGCGGACCCCCAGGGCACCAAACTCGTTCTTGAGGTAGGCGCAGAAATCACCACCGTGAGCGGTGTTGCCGCTCGCGTCTACGGCTTGTACGCGTGCGCAGCAACCCCCTTCTATGACCTGGACGTGTGAGTTTTACCCGTATCCACCGTTTCCACTAAGTCGGAAGGACGCACTCACCTTGTTCACTGGACATTCGTCCTTGTGCAAATTCGACCCGGCCGAAACCTTACTGATGGCGGACATACTAAATGATCGTTGGTTGCCAATGTTGTCATCGTAGGTCCACTCCAGCTTTTTCGGGGCTGAAGGATACCAGTCGTGCCAACAGGCTGTGTTCTGGCAGTTCCCTGGGTATCTGCTGCAATCGTAGTCCATATCCGTAACCATGCCGGATTCCGGAAGGAGAAAACTCGTGCTCTGCAAAGGTCAGTGTTCGCACATGGAGTCCGTCCAGCTGTGCATGACTCACTGTGAAGAGGTATCCGTAATTGTTGGGCGCGCTGGCAGTGAGCCATTGGAAACCCGCCGCTGGGTTGAAGAAGCCCTCACACAAGCACCAGAATTCCGAATCTGTTGGGTCCCCGTCCCCAACCGGTGGCATGCCTTCTGGCGGTGTAGCGCTAAAAGGTCGGATTTCGGGTTGTGAAAGACGCGCTTGCTCGCGACTATAATCCACCGGAGGCAGATCCGTCGAGGATATCAGAGAGGCGCACAAGTTTCGGCGGCTGTCGATCTGGAACGGCGAAGGGTTGATGCCCGCCCATTGGAAAATGGTGTAGTCACGGCCCCAGTTGCACCCTCCGCCACATCGGAAGCAGCACGAGAACCAGCAGTACCAGCAGCAGCAGTTCCATATACTGACATGGAGGGAGACGCGGCCGCTCAAGAACCGACCTTGGAGCTGGATGACATCGCCAAATCCAACGCTGAAGGGACTCAGGGAATTGGTGATCATGCCGCCACCGGCCGGAATGGACACGGCAGCGAAATCAAGATTGCCCTGGAGTCCTCCCGAGGCCACTAGGATCTGAACGTTTGCGGAGATCTGACCACCAAGCCCAGCACCCGGTCGGATGTACCCTACTATCTGCCCAGGGAGGGGATTGATCAGGTCCTTGGTCACGAGCTGCACACCGTATCCAACCTCGAACCAGCCCAGCAGCTGGACCTGAAGATTGACATTGGCGATGCCGGGGATACCATAGAAGTACCGCGCTTGTATAAAAGTTCGTGTCTCGCGGATAGTAATCGCGGGGCTGTCGGGTAGTGAAATGGTGCATGGATCGCCCTGTTTCAGTTGGAATGCCGTCTGGCCTGCATACTGTACATTGATCAGGTAATATGGTTTCTGTCGCATGGTGGATAGGTCAAGGAGGAACACTACCGTGTACATGGTGAATGACATGTACCCACTACTTGTCCATGCCGCCGTCACGCTCGCCGCTGCAATGTCGAAGTTTGTGCGGAATAATGAACCCATTGCATAGGCTTGCGCTTGGAAACTGGCGCCGTCGGCATTAAAGTTGCTTTCGACAAAAAATCCAACGGCGGCTTGGGCGTTGGAGCCTAGAAACGAGGCTTAGCCACAGCATTGGGGACTTTCCATCATATCTGCGTACCGCTGAATGATTTGGACCAACGCATTGGAGTAAAAATCGGCGCCCCCAGTGGAGGACCTTTGACGAGAGCTCTTTCGACCAACCCAAGGCGATGCAGCCCTACTCTAGCTAATCTTCGATCAGCATCGCCATTAGAGATGCGTTCCCTGAAGTAGTTCTGGAGGCCGACAAGGTCCGCTGCAGTTCGACGGACTCGCGGTTCAAACAAGCCGCGAAGTAATCGTTTCGTGGCCAAGACTGTGCTTTCATGCTCGTGATATTTCAGTGCCTGTAATCCCGCATGTCTTGTAGACGGGTCGTGGTTGTTTAGAATCTGATGGACGAGATATCCGGTTGCGCGATTCTGGCGGCATTAGTCTCAAGTCGTTTACAGAACAGTGACGTGTCCAGCCTGACGTACAGTGGGCACATTTGCAATGGCTCTGATTGCGGCAACTCTTACAGAGGGCTCGTCATGATAGAGGAACGGTTTGGCCCCGTCAATCAAATTTGGGTGTCTACTGTTAGCCATTCCATACAAACCTTTGAGTATAGTTTCGTTGTGTTGTGCATCAATGGTCTTGTTGGTCAGTAATTCCACGATATGATGGCTTCTCAACCTTGAATGCGGCTCCGTAAAGCCACACGGCTGTTTGGTAGCGAAAACCCCCAGAGCGGAGCTTGCAGCCGCTTCCAGATCGTCCGTGTCTCCAGTCACGGTACCGTTCGCAATGGCGGCAAGATCGTGAACATATGTGCCCGGGGAGCATGTCATAGTTATCGATTGCTGTATCGCACTGATCTTGATGGAGGTCGGGACAGATTCTACAGTCGGTGGATTCACGATGCCATCGAAAACTACTTCCACAGCTTCTGTGGTCTGTCCTGTGACAACCGTGCCGAGAACAGCGGATGACTGATCTACGTCCTGGAATGACACTCTCCCCGATAATATGAGCTGGCAAAGAGTCTCTATGGCTGGTTGGCCGCCTGATGTGATATTGCGACGGAAGTCTACCAGGAAAGAGGAATCCTCGATCCCGCTGTAAAGGGTCTGCACCATGGCTGTTATATCTGTAATAGCGTATCAAGACCTATCCAGAAGATGTGTGCTGTTTTCACAAGAACACTCACCACTCGCGCTCAAGTTCGTGGGCATCTGCTGCATCCACTGCGGGGAATCAAATGGCAAGACTGAAAACTGGCCCCAGTTGCCACCCAATCTCGCCATTCTTTCTTTATCTTCGGGTGTCAATGGTGACGGTGGAGACGCTAGATTTGCGTCCGCCTGCGTCGACGCTGCTCTTGTTATCAGCTAAGCATCGGCTGAACATGGTCTTCAATACTCCCCTGTCATGGCAGGAAATCCGTGCTCCGGCGGGGGAGCAGGCTGTTCGAAAGGGATGTAGTTGAGGAACGGTTTCCATGATTCGTCGACAATCCAACTTCCCGAGCCCTGGTAGGCGATGGTAGAAACATTTATTCCGGAGAACGTGCCCACGAAAGCTTTCCCAGGCTGCGCAGCTTGCAACTCGGTGCTTCTGTCAAAGCTGACCTGCATTGAGCACTTTTTAGGATGGACAATTTGAAGTCAGATCATACACTTACATCGATTGCGCCAATGATATTTCCCCCGGTCCCCGTCTCTTGCGGTGCCGCTACATGCTGAGGCGTTCCCCAACCAGTGGCCGAGGTCGGGTCTCGTTGGATTGAAAGGACCGTGGAGTCTTTCATCACAACAAAGATCCCTTCATCCCACGAAAAGCCTTCCTGGATACGCCATGGTTCTAACTGCAGATTACGATTTCAGCTGAATATTGGCCACACAAACACAATTGTAGATGAACAAACCTTTGACGCAGGCCCGCCAAGGTCCAGGACTTGCCAATCCGAGAAGCCATCAGCTGGATTAATCAGGCCAGGATTAGCCGGGTTCCAAACCGAATAATAGAAACTCTCATCGTCGCCAATAGCTGTAATTACCGGCTGCGACGACGAGGGCCCCACGGGAGCAAGCTGCAAGAACGAACGTCTCTCTTCGACCACGTTCAGACTTGGAAAATCGCTCACGCTGGGAAAATTGTTGCCATTGGCTTGGTAAAGAATATATGCTGTTAGATCGTCAGACACGAAGAAGCCGTAGATTGACGCCGCGACCTGGATCACGGAATTGTGGAAAGGGGAAAGCTGCGATGGGGTCCTGTCAGTCTTGTACAAATCCATCGTCGCAAGGGCATCTGAAACTAAAGCTGGATATAAGTGAAGCCACGGACTTACCTGTATTGCTCGCGTTCCAATGACAAGATTTTCGGGATCGGTGTAGTTTGTCCAGAGAGGCATGCCTATGGGAGGAGGAGTTGGTGTCGTGTCATAGGTTACCCAGATTGCTCCAACGGTATCCAGGGCCCATTGGGAACGGTATCGGCCTGGAAGCTCCACAGGTGGGCCTCCAGCGAGTTCCGAAAAAGTGATGTTGCTGTAACGCTCTTCCTCAATACTTGAGCCTTGCCAGATCTGTCGATACAACTCTCCATCTGAGTTTAGGGCGAAGAACGTTGAGCGCCACTCATCCAATGGTGCTCCTTGCTGGAGGTCAATCCACGGCCCTCCAAGCCCGGGTTGGATTGTTGTGTGTTCGCCCATAGAGACTACTTCAAGTGTGCCGTTCTCGCTGAGCTCTGCGTACTAAAACGAACACAGTCAGCGACTTGAACGACACGAACGTTTGACTGGCGAGAGAAATCTTGGATTACCGATCTTGACGAGGCCACCACCTTCGCTATAACTTCTGATTCGTCTCGTATTGTGCCCAGCTCAGTCGCATCGCCGCCAGTCATGTTGGAAACACCGCCAGCTGGGGACCAGCAGACTCTTTTGCTGTCAGCTGCGATCTCGTCCTCGTTGACACTGGTTCCATCGGCTTGCCAGCATTGCGCATCGCCTAGCTACAAAGCATGTTAGCTACAGGGGAGTAATAACAGGGAATGAATGCGATGGAAAAACAAGCTTGCGTACTATTGAGACCCAGGTTGAATTAACATACCTTGCCAATGTATTTATAGTGGACCGTCCGGCTATTTCCATATCGATCTGAACTGATATGCTCATATGCTTCCGAGCCGTTGTAATATGACTGAAGCGTGCGTAGAGCGCTAACGATCAACTTCTTATAGCCAAGAGGGTCTTCCGCTTCCTGCGATGTCGATGCATTATAGTAGACATTCTTGAATTCCCCACTAGACAGATCCTGAGTAGTCCAAATGCTAAACGGTGTCAGGGATTGTTCTTCCGAATGGTATGCGCTTTCGAGAGCTGCTACACTCAGGAAGATATTTACCTGGTTTGATTATCGACGTCGGTGGTTGGAATGCATGTTTCATCCGTCCCCACTGTATCTTTGACCACATCGTAGCCTCCAAGACCAATCGGCTTCCCCTGCTGGATCGTGCAATCCGGAACATTGATATACGCAAGGAAGATTAAAGTGTTGGCTTCAGGCGAGTCCGCTTGTGTCTGAATTGTCAACAGTGCTGAGACATTTGCGGCAAGGCCCGACGCATCAATATCATCAAGGTCGCGTCCAGGTTGGGGTTGGTCTCTTTCGAATGTAAATGAATACGTTTCCGATGTCGTGTTCAGAGTTATGTTGTAGACGTAGGTCATGCCAGGTTGAAAGGCCGGTACAACTGGGACAAAACTCAAGGAATCATTTGCCGTTATGGGCAGTGGTGAAAAGGTAGGCTTGCGGCCATGCTGAAATGGGAGTTGAGCCCCATTGAAAGTTGCTGCTGATGAAAGCCTAAGAGCACTTGCGGAGTAAGTTAGAAAAACAACCACAAGTACAAGACTTCGACAGAAACATGCCGAAAGAATAATTTCCATCTTGTCAACCACAGTAAAGGTTGATGGGTAGAAAAACCTAGTACTTCAACATCCAAATTATAGCGGGACAGGTTTAGACCCGCATAACCACTTGGTGGGATTTTCGGATCCCCCTCACTATCCGACATTGTGACGTATCTAACTCGTAACCTATCCAACATAATGACGTTTAGGGTAGACAAAGGAGAACCTCCCTCTAATTAAATAAGTAGAATACCTAGCACATACTTCGTCCCTTATCAAACCCTAACGCAGTATTGTTACTTAGGGTTTAAACTTTGTGCCTAGCGTACAAAGTTCCGTATTCCACTTGTCGCGCTGCACGTGTGTGTAAAACGAGCAGTCAAAATAGGGAAGTAAAATATGGAACAAGTTCGGAATCAATTTTCTGAATATGCATTAGCATGTGTATGATTAATTGTAAAGTGTGGTGCTGTCTAAGTAAGGCAGCTGGAGTTAAAGTTGCTAGACGTGAAAATAATCGAGATTTAACTTAATGACTAAAGTGTCGAACTGTACAACTCAAATCAAAAGCCACGAGTCCGACCGCGTCCGTAGAGATTGTTAGCATCTTTACGTGAACAATGTTCAACCTCTCAAGCAAGGTCAAAGTAGACGACCGCGCCTCCTGACCATGGCCCCTAAATCCCAGCAAAACAGACTCTTGCAAAACTGCGCAAGCGAAGCTACACACGACAGCAGAGGGAGCTAGTTGGGCACAGTGTAAAACCCAAAAGGGTCGTATGAAGTTGGCGCTAGAGGTCCCCACTGCTCCCCTTTTCCATTAGATAATCATCCGGCGGAAATAGGCAGCCAATGGCCGGGCCTTGATTTATTGCAAAGAGTGTCCTCAAACCGTTTCTTTCCGAGATTAGAGCTGGTTCAGTGCCTAGGAAGACGTGTGCATCTCACGCAAAAGAAAATCAAGGGAGATAGAAGCTCTGTTCAAGAAAATATAGCCACCTCGACCGCGATAGATATCAATCATTCAGAGAAAAGGCACTGACAGTTCCACGCGATCTAGAGAAACTCCGATTCCCAGGAAATATACGAGTAGGACCGTGTTCTCGCTGACATTACACCTTCCTCCGTTCAACTGTCACGCGGAAACCATATTTCAGTTGTCCTACTACAACATCCTCCCCTCCCTCGTCCTCCTTCACATCCGCATCGTTATCATTGTCCTTCTCCTCGACCCTATCGTTATCATTGTCCTGGACGGGAGAAGGGGTTCGTTCCTGGCCGTCTTCTTCTTGAGTTATTACCCAGTCCTCCTCAGCCGCCGCGCCCGTCGCCTCTCCCACCTCCGAGCTAGCTACTGCTACACCAAGCGACTGTTAGACGGCTTATTCCAGGAAGGACGGGCTTACAAGGCATGGGACTTGCCAGCCGAGTCAGCCTTGGTGCGGAGGTTAGCAGCAGTGGAGCGGGACTCGGCGAAGTAGCGGGAGAAGACGGGTTGGATGAAGGAGCGGAAGATGATCTGGGCACCGCTGTGGGAAGGTCAGTTTCCGAAGCGCCATCCTTGTTTTTGGTTTTATGCGGTGAGAAACTTACGACGTCTGCGGAAGAGACATCCAGAGCACGAGGACGAATTTGAAAGTGTAGTAGAAAGGGAACCAGTAAACGGCGTTTACGGCGCTCTCAAAGACGCTGGCGGGGCGCGTTAGTAGGGCGGCATGGCCAGCTAGCGAGACGACCCCACTTACGTCAAGAAGGCAAAGACCACCCAGTACTGAGCTTTGTGTTAGCCATGAAGTTCACGGGGTCGATGTCGCGACCGCAAGGACTTGCGACGAAAAGCAAAGAGAGGTGAGGGGATGCGTACCGTCAACCACTGCGAATGATTAGCATGCTTGGTGTGAGACAAGGGGCATGTGACAGGCGTCACAGGAGCTTCCGAGAGACACGCACCTGAGTATCATCGGCGTGACTGGAGGTGAACAAGGCATCGAGAGAGTAGTAACCCGGAAGGACGAAGGCGGCAATGTTGACGAGGAAGTCGCCGGCGATGTTGAAGAAGATGAGGAAGAAGTAGAGGCCAGCGAGGCCGAGGATGAGGTAGACCTTGGGCACCGACGTCTGCTTCTCAAAGTTGTTGAGAGCGGGGTATTTGGACAGCTGGAGCAAGCATGGTGTGGTTAGCAGAGTTCGCCTTGAGACGGCACAGCTTGCGGCATCGTGAAGAAGACAAAGTGCTGAAGGGCGCTGGAGCTTGAGGCAGCAGTGGGAACTCACCTCTTTGTCGAGAGCCGAGATGTGCGACTGGGCGCGGTCCTGGAGAGACATGATGGAGACGAAGCGAGTTATGAAGGGATATGGATGTTAACGATGAAGCCGGGCGGATTGCCAGCAGTATGGGGTATTCGAGGGTGCGGTTTTGTTGGTGAGGAGAGGAGAGAAGGCTATCTTGGGCAAAGTCAATGTCAATAAATTGTGGGCAATCGGGGGTTTCGCATGTGGCAGGTGGGCAGCGTCATCGCTAAGGGATTGCTGACATAGCCGGCAGCTGTCCAGGGCACACCACTTCAGTAGGAAGCGTACAGTATGTACGTACTACGCCAGGCCTTCGATATATTATTACTTCCATAAGTACTTAGTGTAGATGACTTTTTACAAGCCAGAACATGGCCAAACAGGTTGCGATTGCAGATGATGCCTCGCACCACCGACGTCTGTCGCGTGCCGGCTCAGCGGACGACAGACACCATGTTTAGGAGGGCCCACTAGAGTAGAGAGCCGCAGAAGAAGTCATGCAGCGTGGCGCAGAGGCTCGACGGAGTGCAATCTTCTCTCCATATGCGTCATCGATGGATGCACATCGATGCGAACATTGAATGATGGTGGCGGTGTTGAGGTTGCTGCGAACGCGTCACGTGATCGCTTAGAACTTCCAGCTGCCCTTGCAACCTCTTCTTGGAACGCTGACGGTTGCTTCCGTTACTCTCGCCTGTAAACACACACACAAACCCTTCCACAACAAAGCCCCGGCCCAACCCTCTACACCACGGAGCGACCCGCCCTCCATTCTGGCCTTTGGCATCCTATCGCTGGTCTATTCTTCCGAGGCCGCTCTTTGCGCTCCGTTTTGTCTCTCTTCTTGCGTCATTGGATTCCCGTCCCCAAACAAACAAACACCACAACAAGACGAAAGCGACCTAGTAGACTCGGGCCCTCCAGCGCCTCCCTCGTCGCCCAGCTTCCAACCTAGACGACAGCTGCCATCATCTAGATAGCTCTAACAGCAAACCCGACCTCGCGCCGTTGCCCGGATCCTCTTGGCTGTGGGTGAGCCCTGCAGGCGAACCTCGCAAACACCATAGATCATGGCCCATCCCATGGCCCACCGCTCCCATTCCAACACCTCAATATCAACACGAAGCAACCGACCCCTTTCCCGAGCATCGACTACAAGCATACACTCCTTCGATCAGCACGATCAGTCGCACGACTTCCAGACACAGTACACCCACCAGTCAGCCCTCACAAACACCTACCCGACGCAGTTCGGTCAAGCTTATGCTCCCCTTGAACCCGCCTTGCTACAAGCCGCACAGCATGCGAGCCAACAGGAAAGCATATCCATCGACTCTGTTCAACGCTTGATGTCCTTCTCTGCCGATCCCAGCCAGCAATCCGCCGCACAACACCCCACGTCCCAGCAACCTTACGACGCAAGCCAGGCCGCCCACGCCCTCCAAGCAGCCATGTCCCAACCCCCGCAGCAGCTCATGGGAACTCCCATGGAATCCGATGAAAAGAAGAAAAAGGGTTCAGCTTCGGCTAGCGCAACAAACGACAAGGAGCTTAGAGAGATGCTCGCTAAGAACGAAGGACGCCGTCTGGAAGACGTGGCTGCCGAAGTGATTGCAACAGACCGCACTTCCAAAGCTGAAAAGTCGAAGCAGCTGTTCGCGATGCTTTGGTATGTGATGATCAGCATCGGTCCCTTCCCCCAACAGCTTACATTCGACAGGTTGAAATCCGTTTGCAGGGTAGCAAAAACCTCGGTGCCGCGTAACCGCGTTTATTCAAGATATGCCGATCGATGCGGTACAGAGCGCGTAATCCCATTGAATCCAGCATCTTTTGGAAAGCTTGTCAGGGTCATCTTTCCAGGCATACAAACAAGACGTCTTGGCGTGCGAGGAGAATCAAAGTATCACTATGTTGATCTTGCGCTTATTAACGACGGCGAGGAGAGAGATGATGGCCGCCGACCAGGAACATCACACATGACTCATCACGATTTGAAGCGGCAGGCCTCGATGGGTCCCAAAATTGACTTCAAGTATGTGCGCCGTACGAACAGTGCCATTTATAGACCTGACACACCCAGCTCCATGCCGCGACTACCTGCAGATACTGCCGTATTCCCCCAGGAACAGGCATTCGAATCTCAGAGCGGCTTTGTCGCCCAAACTTCATCGAAAGGATTGCTCTTCACCGACATCTACTCGGACCAGTATCGTTCTACTGCAGGCCGTCAAACATCTGACACGTATGAGTACGAGCTGAGATTTGCGACATCGGAACAAATGGCGCCAGAAGAACCTGCAGCTCTTATGCTGCCTGATATCACACCATACCTACCCCCCAGAACAGATCCCGACGCTGCTCAGGCGCTAGTCGCCCTGTACCGCACCCATTGCACCTCGCTTATCGACTCTGTCCGATTCTGTAAAGAGAAGCAATTCTTCCGTCTCTTCTCTTCCTTTCACGGGACACTTACGGTGCCGGTGCAGAAGCTGTTTGCTCAACGCGAGGTTGTACCGTGGATACGAGAGTGTGACTGGATCATGTACCAGAAGATGATACGAAACCTTTCCCAACTTACCTTGCAGGTTGCCCCTCCACCCGTCCTGAAGTTCCTCGACAATGTTGAGAAGAATCTACGGCCTCACCTCTGCAAGGTTTTCAGCAGCCTCCCCATCCACGTTTTGGAAGCGAGACTTGAGCCTGCCACGTTGTTCGCACACTTGCTTCGACAGATGCTCCGCGTCAACTCGACCGCCCATGCCGCCGCAGTATTACTAATGTCCGATCAGAACCGCGACCAGATGTGGGCTGATTGGAGAAGGCTGGTGAACCTCAAAAGAATCATCGAGAACGAACTTCCGCATAGTTGCGGGCACGAGGCCGTTTACAACATACTAAACACCGAGATAAGAGGAATGCTCCTCCCTCTCCGCACAGATGTTTGGTTACCGGACGGTACATTCTATCAGGAACCAGTGCAGGATGCCACGGATCTTACAAACGAAACCGTCATCGACCGGATCGCCGCGTTCCTCACAAGACTGCCCTCCAGATTTCCGCATGTACCTGCTCGCACGATTCTCCACTGTGTTAATGCACTGGGGTCCGCCGCTCTCCGGGAGATTACAGTTGAGAACGGCCAGAGCTTTCAAGGCTGGTGGCTTACGAAAGTTTTCATCGACGAAATGGGCCAGTGGTTAGCGTCCTTGGGCGGGTTCCTTGCCCACACTGCCCCAAACTGGAGTCCTCTGTCCTACTCCCCTACACTTGTGGACCAGCCCACTGATGCTGGCAATGAGGCGAGCGGGAGCAACAACGACAGTCGATTTAGCAGTATTGACGCAGAATTCGGTCCCAGCCAAAACCAGAGCTTTGTGGCAAATGGGAACCCTGCCATATCTGCGGCTGGTGATTCCAACACAGAAAGTCAGTCCCGGAACCATTCCTACGACCCCTTCTCTTCAGACCTCGGCCAATTGACTGACACAAGACGATCAGTTACTGCTCGACAGTTTACTCAATCCTATGATCAGATGAGCTTCAATTTGGATCTCGACCTTGCGACTTCCCAGCAAGAACCGAGTCACGATGATAGTGGCATCCTCCTTGAGGAGCACATGGATACGAAATATGCGCAGACCGTGCACCAGGCTTTCAAGTCGCATCTTGCGCACCTCCCAGCTGGGGTCAGCTAGACGCTACCTCTCTTGACCCGCGCAACTCATACGCTCTATACCCCTCCTCCATGCCTTTCTTAACTCCCGAGCTATGGTCCCTGTTTATGCGCCTATGACGTCTCCGAAGTTACGAATCTTCCCGAAGATCTACGGCCGGTTCTCCGCGATTTTTGCCTCTCTAATGTTAATGCTGTACATATGCACGTTCTGTCTGCGCGATTGGTTCTGACTCCGAGCTCGGGCCGCCTTGTTATTCCGGACTCCCACGTTCAGTTGCGGTTTATTTTCCACTGCCCTTGAATGCATGGAGGCGGGGTGCGCTGCGTTTCTGTATTGTTTCCTGAAGATGGGCGTTGGGGAGGACCGTGACTTTGCACCTTCGCTTCTACTGTAACATATTTGGGGATGCTGTTTTTGGCATGCTTGATGGTGGCTACAGGCGTTTTGGATCACTCATGTGTGCGCAATATAGAGGCGTGTGGAAAATTGTGGGCGGACACGGTTGATCTTGGGTGTGGTACAATCCGGAGATGGTAATGTTGCTGCCGCTTATGGAAGAGTCTCACCCACCAATTTAAGAAAATCTTGTCACGGTTAAGAAGTTTGCAATCATCGAGATCGCATGTGAAATGAAACACCGAGTCAGCATCGATTCCCGTCGAACGAGTTAGGCGTTCGACGTGAAGGGACCGCAGACTAGGTGACTGACGGAAGAACGCCTTGCTCTGCTAATGGTTAGACTATAGCAGCCTGGGTCTTGACCATGAAGCAATCGCCGCGTTGTAGAGTTGAAGGTGCCCATCCTCCTCCGTCTTATCCCCTTTCCTTGTCTCACTTGCATTCCCAGCTGTTCCCTAAGGAGCTCAGTCCACGTTGAAAAAGTCCAACCCCGTGGCACCCGTCCTCGCCCACGCTTCAATCACTCGTATCCTTACTTCCGACTTCCCCGGTATAAGATCACGGGCTTGCTATTCTCTGCCCCCATAGACTTGTTCCCATTCCTTCCCTCCCCCCTCTTCCTGATCCGCTAATTCCACCTCCGCGAACGTGAGTCTGCCTATCCCCTCGCCGGGATGTCGTCGCTGCAGCCGCTGGCCGTGGGTGCGGTAGGTGCCTCGCGGAGTGCTGACCGAGGGAAAGACCCAGTTCTCCTTGTCGAGTGCGGTACGGTGCGTTTGGAGGAGCTGTGTTTGGTTGGAGGAATATGTTAGCTCAGCCCATTATTTTTTTCCACGAAGTCAGTCTTAATATCACAACGCCTCTCAAGAGTGAAGCGCTCGAGTTTTCCAAGAGACAAGGTGATGCAACGTGTCGCAAAAAAGGAATCTACTGAAGTAAGTAGAGTTTCGTACTCACCATCTCAAAAACCCTACACTTCTCCCCCCACCCCTCCCCCCTTTCCTCCTCCTTTAGCCGCACCAACACCGGCTCCTGGTTCCCCATGACGTCGCCGTCGACCATCTCCGAGGTGCGTTTGCGGCGTTGAGCGAGGCACACGGCTGCGAAGCCATTGCGGGCGCAGCGGGTACAGTGGGGGAGGGTGCGGGAGCAGGGGAGGCGGGCGAGCGTGCATTGGAGGCAGGATGTTAGGATTATGTGGGTCTTTTTAGGGGGTGTTGGGGAGGGGGAGGAGGTGAAGAGGGAGTCGTGGCGTGTGAGGTTGTTGGTGGAGCGGGGGGTGAGGGAGTGTTGTTGTTGCTGCTGCTGCTGGTGCTGCTGGGGAGGAGGAGGAGAGTCGGGAGGGATGTCGTGTGCTCTCTCGATTTCTTGTTGTGGTGTTGAGTTGTCTGAGGGTGCGAGCGTACTTGGGGATGATGGATCGTCATATCCGGCTTCGTTCTCGTCCGCCTCCTCCTCATCTTGCAAGACGATGCTTCGAGGACACCTGTCGCCCTCATCATCACTCCCATCATTTGAAGCCGCGTAACTGCTCGCCGCGGTCTGCACTTCTTCATCCTCCTCTCTCACTGCACCTCCCCAACCCCAATTCCGCGGCTCCGGCGAATCGAAGATGGAGGAGAAATGTGTATCCGTGGGCGACGTCTCTCTGGTATTCGGACAACTGCCATCGATTCGCTGGACCTGTATCTGCCTCTCTGGCGTTTGCGGGAGAGGAGGCACTTGTCCAGTCTGTGGAGACGAGGAAGATGAAGAAGACGACAAGGAAGAGGGAGGAGAGTGAGATCCAAGTGGAGTTGACTGAAGAGAGAGGCCGTTGAGCCATGCTGTGATATTGTCGGTTCTGGAGTCGTGACACATGCTAGTCATTGCCGCAGTCGCCGTCACTGTTCCTCGCGCACTGTTCCTCGCGCTGAGGAGAGAGACTTGAGACAAGTGGGAGAAAGAGGGTTATTGTATGTGTTTGCAAAATTTCAGGCATCGTGGAAAGTGTGCGGGAGAAGCCATGATATTTAGTAAAATGAGAAGTACGGTAAATGGAGGGCCGGCAAAGTGAAGGTGAAGTAGAGTTTGGCAGGGTGTCGGATGTGTGAGGAAGTTGACTTCACCGCGGGATGGGCTTGGCCTTGGGTTTGAGTGATGGCGGACATAGGTGGGGTAAAAACGCGGTGAGACTTGGGGGCCATTGTTGAGGGAAGGGAAAAGAGATGTGCGGATGGGGGGTGAGTGGTAGTTTGGTGAAGAGACTTAGCAATTTAGAATGATGGAAGTGTAAGCAGTGCAAGATGTACACGAAGTGAGGTATTTATCGTTTAGATATCCCTCTTATGCGAGAGTATATGCGAGGTGAGCTTCTGTTTTTTGGGTGGAGGAAGTGTGTCTGAAAAATCAGCAAGTGTAGGTAAAAGAGTTAAGCGTACGGAACTTAGTATAGGAAATAGGACGAGTCGATATGACATCAGAGAGCTTATTGAAGGCATCGGAAACAGATGACAGTATAAGATAGAGGTTCCCTGAAAGGCAGGAAAGCCCAGCGAACCAAGCCCATGGTCACATCACTGCATCTACATGCATGCAGTCCATATAACCAAACTAGCTACCGCCGACCGCTTATGTAGTGGCATATAACTCCAAACGCCTAGCTTTGGCACACCATACACCCATCTCTTATCCCTGGTTTTTCAACCAAATAAGTTTCAAGCTTACTCCCTCCAAGACGTTACTATTTACCGAATACCGAATCTGGACCCCAATGTTCCGAACCGATTATCGCTAACAGCTGGTTTCGCCGGAGTCTGCGCCGCCACCGCCGCACCCTCAGTCACCTTCTCAATCAAAATCGCTCCCTTCATATTATCCACCTTCCCGTACTTCTTATTGCGTTGGGCGACATCAAAGAACTCATCCGTGTTCTCCGTGCCCATGAGCGCGACCGTCTGGAGTAACTCGTCGAGATTTTCCATTAGGATAGGGTTGTTGAGGCGGGAGACGAAGGAGGAGAGGAAGGCGGTGTCGGTGGCGAGGTTAGCGACTGCCGCCGGTGTGATACGCTTTACGGAGTCGTCGAGCATGAGGTTCTGTCAGAGGGTTAGAGCGGCTCATCGTCCGTAATTAGGACTACGGGGAGAAACGGACCAGTATCGCCGTCGATGCATGGCTGAGTGCGTCGAAGTAGATGAACTCTTTGATTTCTGTTGGTAGAGCTAAGAGCACAGAGCTCATGATGTTGTGGAGGTACCGGGTCAGTTCTTGCATATAGTTGCTGGCTTCAGTGTTTGGCTTCGTGGCCATCCTGGTGCAAAGTCAGTCAGCTCTAACCTAAGGGCTGCATAATGACAGCAACGGAATGTTGTACGGGCCATACCAATCGTACTCCGCCGTCTCGATCAAATCATCAATCTTCGAATTGACGAGCTCAAAGATGCGGTCAGACGCTGATTTCTTTGCATTCTTGAAGTCCTCAGTGGCCTGAAGAACTACCGGCCCTGTTACAGAAGGCGAAGTCCGTGCGTTGAAGAGAAGCTCTTGGAGCTCCGCACAAGCGACCTCAAAGTGCTCCAGGTTGGTCAGAATCTGTACGATCTGGCCCGGGTACTGGGATGCTAGACGCTCCACCAAGGACTTGCACACTTTGTCACACAGGAGTTCGTCAAGAGACTAACAGAGGGTACTGGTCAGCAGAAGTTTTAAGAGAATATGTCGTGGGTTTGTCCTACGTTTCGGAGGGTCTCATCGATGATCGCCGTGCGCTGGAAGTAGTCATCTGAAAACAGGTAGATCTGGTTGAGGAAATTGCGTATGTCGATGCAACACAAGGGATACATCTGTGAGAAAGGAAGCGCGAGCGGGAATCTGCATTGGCAGTGTCAGCTCTGGTGGGCATGTTGGCCCGATGGCAGCAGGACAACATACTTGAGCTCTTCGCGCGGCTTTGCCGGATTGTACCAGCTAACAGAGACCACTTTATCGTAATCCTCCATGCTGGTAATGGGCATTGGCATATAATCGTCTGTAGAAACGATCTCCAGGAAGTCTTCGCTGAAGCGCTGTTTGAGTAGTTCGGAGTACTTCTCGAAGAGAGTAACGAGCAGCTTGTTCATCGCTGTCACCGAATAGCCCCATTTCTGAAATAGTTAGCTAATCTGAATTGAGGCCAGGACACTACTGACCTCCATGGTTAGCATGAACAAGACGATACGTCCTTTGATTTTCAGTAGGAGTTCATCGTTGGATACACTAGGCAAGGCATTCGTGATCAGTGTTATGCCACTTTGACACATTGACTCCCACAATTCGTCGACCTGTCCTTTTGTCAGAGGATCCAAACAACATGGAACATTTACTGACATCTGCAGGTTGGCGGAAATTCTCAGTCTTCGCCATCGTGGCCTTCTCAATAATGGCAAAGCCCGCAATACTCTCCAATAAGCTACTTAAATCCCCACACTCAGGGTCAAGAAGATCCAGGCTCTGTGGTAGCAGCAAATCTTTTTGTTCTCTCCGAGTGGCTGCATATGTGGCTCTGAACTGGTCGCTTTTGCCCAAGGTCTCATGTATATGCATTGCTTCAAATAGAGGTGTGAACTCGATCTCCAGGTTGGTCTCCTCGTTGTTTAGGATATCAAACTCGTCCGTCTCATCGGCAACAAGCTCGATGGCCGAGTTGAGCTTGAACTTCGCAAATCGCTCATCTGCCTCAGCTCGTGCTTGGTTCCTTCCACGTCGTACATCGGTATAGTAGAAGGCGATCTCGCCCAGGAACTGCGAAGACTCCCGGATCCGGAACAACCAGGTATTCAAATCAGCCATAACCGCGTCACCGATCATTTTCTGCGTCATTGGGACAGACTTTTCGATCATTTCGGCAATCTTGTAGCGGCTTATCTCTTTCAAGTGGATCGTTTGCAGCTCATCCAATGCGCGCAGTGCCCCGTAGTGATTTTTTTCCTTCAACAGATCAACGACCTGGTTGGCGAGCCTAAGCACATTGAGACAGGCATTCAGAGCCTGATTCGCCTCAGCAATATTTTGCCGTACACTGCGCGAGTCCACCAGCGCTTTCTTCTGCTCGGCCATTCTCCGAATGCTCTCCTGAATGGACTGGTTGACCTGCAGGATCTCGGCAGTCATAGCGGCGGAATCATTCCGGACCTCCAGTAAGGAGGTTACTGAGTTCGTGAACTCCTGGTGAGTAGCACTGCATATCCTTTGGATTTCCTTGTTGCGGTCTTCCGCGAAGTAGGCAAAGGCCTGTTGGAGTTGGTGCGAGTACCGTGGATCCTTCATCAAGGGTACTAGCTGCTCGATGTAATCCGAGTCCGATGAGGACTGCGCCATCTACAGAATTATAAACAGCTGCTGCATGAGAAGGACTACAACGGGAAGATACCTGCTTGATGGCCATCCATAGCTCATCTCTGGGCTCGACGACGGAAGGCATGATGTGTGGTACGCAGGGAGGTACTCCCCTTCTCCTGCTGTTGTCGGCTTGGAGCGCTAAATGATCATGGTCGATTTCTTCTACGGGTCTGTCAACAATCCAATGTTGGAGTAGAGCCTAGGATGTGAAACGCATCGTTCACGTTCCCCAAAGTACGCTAAGCCACTACACGTGACTGTGCCTTTTACATTTCTGTTTCGAGTCTAGCTTGCTCCGCTCCGATGACGCTGCCCCGCCATCATACCAGGTTGCCCGGAGAGCGGGGTGTGGCTTCTTGGGCTACAATTTTGGTCGCATATCTGCTTGTGCTTCAGCTTCTGATTCTCATCAACACTTCCTGCCACAATGGAGAACATTATCGGTGAGTGTGAGCGTTTTGACAAGAATGTTATGAAGCTGATTGGTAATAGACAAGTTTGAGTCCGTTCTCGGTGTCGGCCCCCATCATGGAAAGTAAGTTAAGTGCTTTGATCCAAAACGACTCATTGACGGCAACGGTCACGTCGAGCAACACTTTGAGATTATTTCTCGTTCTCCGCTTATTCTATCCTGATTATATCTGCTATTTGTTGACAATTGGATCAATCTAACCTCTCGACAGATCAGTCTTGCTTCTCGGCGCTGGTTTCGTGTAAGTGCACAGTTACGACTTTTTATAATCACGGACTGACATTGATAGCACCCGCCCAACTGCTGAGATCCTCGGGAACTCCGGCGTCAAGGTTGTTGTAGCCTGCCGTACGCTGGAACGTGCGAAGGGTCTCGCCAGTGGTATCAAGAATGCCGTGGCCATCAGCGTATGTGACCGACCCGAATCGTTGCTCTTCGACTAACATTCTCAGCTCGACGTCAACAATGCCGCTGCGCTCGACGCCGAAGTAGAGAAGGTCGACTGCGTCATCAGCTTGATCCCCTATACATACCACGCCACCGTCATCAAGTCCGCCATCCGCAAGAAGAAGAATGTGGTCACAACCTCCTACGTCTCGCCCGCGATGATGGAACTCGACAAGGAGGCCAAGGAGGCCGGCATAACGGTCATGAATGAGATTGGTCTCGATCCCGGAATCGATCACCTTTCTGCTGTCTTGACCATCGACGAGGTGCACAAGGCCGGCGGCAAGATTCTCTCCTTCCTGTCCTACTGTGGTGGTCTGCCGGCTCCCGAGGACTCCGACAACCCGCTTGGATACAAGTTCTCGTGGAGCTCGCGCGGTGTGCTTCTCGCACTAAGGAACGCAGCCAAGTTTTACAAGGACGGCAAGGTCGTCGAGGTTGAGGGACCCGAACTCATGGCCGAGGCGAAGCCTTACTTCATCTACCCCGGCTACGCTTTCGTTGCATACCCCAACCGTGACTCCACCCCGTACAAAGAGCGCTACAACATCCCCGAGGCCCAGACCATCATCCGCGGCACCCTCCGCTACCAGGGTTTCCCCGAGTACATCAAGGCCCTCGTGGACATTGGTTTCCTCTCCGAAGAGCCCAAGGACTTCCTTAAGGAAGGCGAGAAGCGTACCTGGAAGGACGCCACGGCGAAGATTGTCGGCGCCACCAGCGACAAGGAAGAAGACATCGTCTGGGCCATCAGCTCGCGCACCAAGTTCAAGGACAACGACGAGAAGAACCGCATCCTGGACGGCCTCCGCTGGATCGGCCTCTTCTCCGACCAACCCATCATTCCCCGCGGCAACCCGCTCGATACCCTGTGCGCGACGCTCGAGGAGAAGATGCAGTACCAGGAGGGCGAACGTGACTTTGTCATGCTGCAGCACAAGTTCCTCATTGAGAACAAGGACGGCAGCAGGGAGACGAGGACGTCGACGCTGGCCGAGTATGGTGACCCCAAGGGATACAGTGCCATGGCCAAGTTGGTCGGTGTCCCGTGTGCGGTTGCTGTGCAGCAGGTGCTTGATGGCACCATCAGTGAGAAGGGCATCCTGGCTCCGATGTCGCCTGAGATTTGCAGGCCGTTGATGAAGACGCTTACGGAGAAGTACGGCATTCAGTTCAAGGAGAAGACGATCAAATAAGCAATGAGCGTTTGAGGCGGCAAAAAAGACCGTTCGACAGGAAAAAAGACGCATATAGACAAAAGCCCCAGATATCATGAATTGGACCGGGCGTTCCGCCATACATCCCAAAATCGCATGTCCGTGAATTGGTATATACGCTCCATGATGCTAAAATGCACACAGTACCCCTGTGTTACGAACAATCCCTCTCCACTTGACCCCTTTCACGTCACTCCTAATCCAGGCCTGGCGTCGCAGGCTTCTGCCCACCCCCAAGCCCTCCACCCATAAACATACTCCCCAACATATCCATCATCGGATTCCCCTGCCTCGGCACCCGAATCCCAAAGTACATCTCCCCAATCCGATCCAACGCATCCCCCCACTGCACCTCTGCCAAATTCCCCGAATAATGGCTCTTGAGCTGCCTGAACAGCGCCGCCTCCCCCCTCTGCACCGCCAACAGCAGCAGGCCCAGAAAATTCAGCAGCGGCAGCGACGGATACACACGCAGGTCCGAACTCGCCGTTGACACCTCTTGCACCGACATGCCGGCCTTGGAGCTCAATTGCGAGGTGAATATCAGGAAGAACTTATTTGCCGCACGCAGGTTGCCGGCGAGGAGGTACGGCAGGACGCCTCGCGCAGCGTACAAGGGAGCGGTGTGCGAGTCGTCGGATTCGTACCAGGCGTATTCGAGCTGTGCGAGGGTTTCGGCGCTGGATTTGGTGCCGAGGATGAGGTGGCGCTCCGCGTCGTAGGGCTCGAGGTCTATAGTCCAGTATTATTAGATTTCCTGCGGCGATAGCGTGAGAAGGAGGGGAAACGCACCCTCAGCGAACAACGACCCAGCGACATGATGGATCTCGGGATCCCCCGACGGATACTCCCCAAACCTACCACTCCAACTCACCATCCCCCCCACAAACTTCTTCCGCGTAGGCTCATTCCTCGGAAACGCGCGCAGCAAGCTGAGCAATTTCCCCTTGCTCTCCGCGTCCGGCCTGATCTCCCCTTTGGTGAAGACTTCGAGCAGGAAGATGCATAGGTCGCCGCCGGAGCCGCCCTGTCCGGCTTTGAGGAGAGATTGTGCGCCCGAGTAGAGGATGTCGGTTGCGGCGGCCCAGTTGGACTGTTTGACGTAGCGGGAGGCAATGACGCGGAGTTGTTGGTGGGCTTCGTAGTATTGGCCTTCTTCAATCCTGGATGCCATTAGTTGATGGAGGGTGGTAAGCGGGGAGAAAGAGGAGATGTACTTTTGCTGCTGCCGCTGTATCGTCTTCTCGAGTTTCGACATGGTGGATATGTGGGGAGTGTGTATATTGTTTGGCTTGCGAAAACGTGGACCTCCAAGAGAGGTGGAGCTGCCGGCGATGACGCACAGACGCGACCCCTCCAACGGTCGACCCCGTTGAACCTTCCCTCTCCGTATCCCTTCGAATCTGCAAAAGAGAAGGCACACAACTCAATCTCGTCAATAACGTTACAGATACGTTTATCCTTGTCGCCGCCAATATAGGAAACATCCAACTCACTATACATGCTCTGAAGGTCGCACTGTCAAAAAAGGAAAAAAAAGTGATCTCCGCTCCCAGAATCGAACTAGGGACCTTTCGGTAACAATGGATATTACAGCCGAACGTGATAAACCAACTACACCAAGCGGAGTGTGATTACCATTTGAAGTAAAATTAAATCCTATAAATTAAGTACAAGCATCCTCAGTAAGTTCACAAGCATAAGAGACATGCTTCCCTTGTGCCCTGCTCATCCCTCAGGTTAGTTCCACTTAGGGAAGACTAGACCGTTAGAAAGTACATCGTCGGGTTGCATTATCATTGGACCTAGCCTACCGTAAGTGCACAGACGGAAAGCCATAGTCGCTTTGGTCATCGAAAACATCTGGTCGTACTAGCGACAAGACGACCGCCTACACTGCCAACCACACAACACACTCTAATCAACACAAATCTCCAAACGCCCTCCCCACACTCTCCCCATCTAAGCCCACCCTCCTCCCCTCCTCCACCAACCGCACCACCCTCTCATTCACACTCACATCCACCCCAAACGCCCTCCCAGTCCTAACAAGCCACCCATTGATAACATCAATCTCCGTCGTCCGCCCCGCATTCACATCCTGCCTCATACTAGTGCTGTTCTCGGCCGTCAAGGCACCGACCTCATATACCGCCTTTTTCACCCTTTCGAACTCGAACTCCCTGCGCATGTCCTCTGCGTCCCTGTCTACGGCGTTACTAGTAATGATGGTGGAAACGACGCACTGGATGACGTCGCAGAATTCTCTCAGGAGCGCGTCGATGAGATGTCGGCCTTCAGCGGATGCGAAGAGGGTGCCGTTGGTGACGTTGAAGATTGCGGTGAGCGGGTTGATGGTGGCGTTGACGGCGAGTTTGCGGAGTTGGATGGTGAGGAGGTGGTGGGCCGGGACGAGGCGGGTGTCGAGTTCGTGGCAGGAGAGGAGGGTTTGGGCGAGGAAGGGGGGTTCTTGGGGTGGTGAAGAAGGCGCTGAGGTCGGAGTAGTGGTGGTAGAAGTAGGAGTCGTAGAGGTCGTAGAGACGTCCTGTGGCTTAAGGTCTCCCAGGCCCAGGAATGCTGGCCCGACAAAGGCATTTACGAGTCCAGCATGGACGGATGAAAAAGTCGAAGTGGCGTAGACGCCATGATTGAAGATGCCGGTTAGGAAGGCCGGTCTGGATGCTGGGTTGGGGAACACGTGCTTTGCGACTTGATCGATAGTGCCTTTGTGTGATTGTTAGAAGGGGTGGGGTAGGTAGGATACTCTGGTTCATTCGAGGTGTATGACGATCTGTTCGGAGAGTGGAACGGAGTGAAATATTTGCTTAGAGGCGTATAGTTTAACACAGTAGATGATGAAGTGGTGGCATTACTCTTCCGCAAATACAAATTCATGGCAGCAGACAACGATGAGGAGGATTTGGGTAGAGATATACAATAGCAATTGAAAAGATTAAACGTATACGTACCAATCCCATTCTGCAAAAACAACACCGTACTCTCCCTCCCCAACCTCGCCCTTACGGTCCTCACCGCCTCCACCGTAGCCCCAGCCTTCGTCGCCACAATCAGATTCTCAATCTGTCCTACTCTGTTCTCACTCATTCCATCCGCTGCCTTCCTGAAGTCCCTCAAACCCGGACCAATCGATGACGAACCCGTCGGAAGCACCTCTACGCCAAACCCACCCCTCCTGCTCCTCACACCACCCCTCACTATCTCAATCTCCCTCCCGGCATCGTCCCACTCTTTGACCAGAGACTCGCGGTGGAAGAGCAGGGTAATGGGGAGCTGTGGGTGATTCGTCCTCAGTGAATGGGCGAGCAGCTTAGCTAAGTTGCCCAGGCCGAGGATATGTATTGACATGAAGAAAAGCAAAGGGGTGGGGAAGGAAGGAGAGGAAAATACGGTGGGAGAGAGACGGCAGGAGAGTCTTCATGGTGATGGGGATGGAGTAGGGAATCCGGGCTAGGATGGATGCGGTTAGGCTCCCAACCTCACCCCCAGCTGGATTGGATCCATGAATAGCTTTATTATTAATACATTCAGAGATGGATTGACCCGTTGGCGATAAGGTGCCTCATCGCGAATAGAGCATACGCACATAACACAGTCAGTAAAGAACCCTACGCATTCCCGCAGCGCACTCTTCTCCATCCAATTGGACATCTACATCTTGTATTCAGCCCCTTCCATCTCCCATCCAGCGCTCCGTCTTCCCTCCGTTGGCCCCTTTCCCAAAGCTGCCAAAACACGACCGCAAGCCGCCTCGGCAAGAAATATACAAGAGAAGCGAAGACGAACTAGATAATAAGAAGAAGAAATCCGTCTAGATCCTTGACAGCTTCCGCGTTAACGCAGTGTACACCATCATCATCCAACTGGAAAATCACCTTTTCAATGGCGATCAGCGCTAGCACCAGCCAGAAGAGCCATTCCAACTGCTTGACCTGACCAGCGCAATTGCCAGGCAGGACAGTGAGACAGCGTCGAAGTGATGTGCCAGCGCGACGCCAAGCGGGGCGTGGATTAAGGGGAATATCGGAACCCACAGCAGACTTTCCAGACTCTGCCTCCTGAAAAGTCGTGAATTAGCAAAAGGTGCTGGATCCGGTGATGAAGCCGATGCGAATGCTCGTGTCTTCTCTCTTCGTGGTCCCTCCGTACCGTTATCCAGAATACGGTCGCCATCGCTGTCATGAACAATCATAGCGTCATTGCATCATATGTCATGCACCACGGAGAACGACCACTCAGGCTTCCGTGCCCTTTGGTTTATACATGATAGTGGTGAGGAACTGGATCTTATCAGCATTCCACCTTCGCGAATCAAGACTCACAAAATACTCACCTTATTCTTGTACCTTGTCGTTGCGCTCGTCGCAAGAATGCCATCCTTGATCGAACTGGTCGCCAAATGGTTCAACACGGTATGATTCGGCATGATCAACACACTGCTGTCATCCTTCATCGGCGTGGCGCCGTTCAAGATGCTCTTGTTCAGGAACAAGGGTAGCGTAGGCGGTGGGGGGATTGGGCTGTCTGGACTATTCGTATTCGTGACGGCGTTCGCTCGCGCGAAGCGAGAGGAGTCTTCTGGCGCGTCAAGGTCGAGCAGATACCGTGGAATCACCGAATGGTATTTTCCTACTGTTGGCACTATTACGGGAGATTTTGGCTGCGTCGGTGCAGGTTGCTGGACAGGTACGAGTTCAGGGGTCGGCGGGAGGGTTTGAGGTGGGTAGACACCTGGCGGGGCGCGGAGTTCTTGCACGGGTCCCGCAGCAGGCACTGCCACTGCTGCTGCGTCCTTTGCGCCCGTGGCCTGTTGTGGGACATCATCGTACGACACCTCGAGGTAGTTGACGAGGATGTTTGTGTAGTCTACCGCTGTCGGAAGCTTGTCGGAGGTGATCATGTTTCCATCGACGAGGAACATGATGTGATGGGTTCCGGGGACGATATTGACGATTGTGGAGAGAACATCTTTCTTCTTGCTTGGGCCACTGTTTATACCGCATGTCAGCAATTGTACTCGTGCAGTGTAACGCAGGAGCAGGAAGAGAGAGCGTGTATGTGAAAACGATGGGGTTCAAGACGCGGAAGCCTCGCTTTCTGGACATGCAATTGTCGCTGTCTCAGAGTATCTGCATGTAACCGCAGCCACACGGAAATGGGCAGCAAGCTGAGAAAAGGAGGCACTCACTTTGGACGTAACCTGAACTTGCGATTCCAATCTACGAATGTGCCTGTGACATATACGGCCTTGCCTGGACCTTCCCACTCGATAAGTGTAGGCACTGTCGGTTTCGTCTGCGGCTCTTCCTCATCTCCCAGATCGTCGTCGTCTGCCGTTGTGCTACTCAGCACCGAGGCGCGGCGGGGCAGGCCAGAAACTTCTTGGTCATCATCCAGAGCGCCACTGTCGGGGGAGATGATGGGCGAGCCAGGCGTGTGCGGTTCCTCCTCAATAGGCAGCGGGAGGCGCGGGGGACGTACAAACTGCGGTGGCGGCACAAAGTACTCGCGCTCTTCGGCAAACAGAGGATCGGGTTCTGCAGGAGGTGGAGGGTCGAGAGGATCGCCTCTCTGGTCGGCGTTGGGTGCCGTAGCTGGCGCCGTGGGTATGTCGACGGGCTCGACGGGCGGAGGCTGCGACTGCAGCTGCGGGGACGGCGAGGGCTTCTCGGACGAGGGCGCGCTTCTCGACCTGCTCGACGCGCCGTCGCGGCCCTGGCGGTGACGACTCTGCTCATTGCCCATCTTGTCGTCGGCGAGAGTGGCTGTGGTGGTGTTATCGTGGGCGGCGCGGAGGGTGCTAGCGACGTTGGAGACGATATCCGTGGAGCTTGGAGCGGGGGTGGTGACCTCGGGGCGGGCGCTCTCCAGCGAGGCGCAGGGCGGGACGGCAGTGCCCTTGACGGTGAGGCCGTGGACAGACTCGCGGCGGAGGGACTTTAGGTCCTGGATGGGGTTGGGGAGGGCCACATTTTGGTGGTGTTGGGGATAGTGGTGAGGGTGGTGGTGGTGGTGGTGGCTGCTGTGGCTGCTGTGACTGGATCGGTGGTGGTGCCCGCCTTGCCCGCCTTGCCCGCCAGAGCTCGAGCTGCTCGGCTGGTTTCCCATCAAAAGATGCTGCGCGTGGGCACGGATGGCGAGGGACGCGGTTCCATCTATCAGCATGCAGCGACGCAGAGAGTGTCGTGCGATAGGGATAGGGAGGCTGAGGCCGGAGATGGAATGGTTATCGAGGGGCATCCATTGAACTACGGGCGCAAGAATTGGGAGTGCGGGCTATCGGCCTATGAAATTTAATAAGCTCGTCCCCGTAGAATTTCCCAGAAGAGCTCTCCCTGCAGCAGCAAATATTTAGTGCGAGTCCGAAATAGCTGCGAAAAGCAGTGCGGTGCGGCGGGGGACGCAGATGGGGCGCAGATCAGTAATTCAAGCGCCTGCAGTTCGGTCTCAATAAATATCCATTAACGTGCTGTTGCTGCTAGATTCAATTTAGAGATTGCTGGTTTGGTGTTGTGCCCTTACGGCGATAGATGAGTACTTGGGCGTGCCCCTCACGCCAGTGTAGAGACACACAAACCCCTCCATCGTCTCGCCAGTGCAGTATTACGATAACGGAAACAGTCGCTCCGGTCGACTGAAGGAGATAAGCTGACTCTAACTAAGCGTGTGAGGTAAGTGAGGGACCTGATGGCTTGCTTGTCTCCAGCTAAATGCCTCTTCATTAGTGCTTGTTGCTGCATGCCAGCTCCTCCGGCACTACTCCTCCCATCCTGAGGGACCTGGAGCGACCCATAACCCCAGCTGGCCCCGGTACTATGGGTGCTGTTCTTTCCGCCATTGCCACGATATTCTACTATGCGACCTTTCCAATCGTTCAGGTCCTTCGCCTCGTCATCTTCATTCTTTCTCCCTTCTGGACCCTCACCAAGTTTGTGCTGCTCCCAGTCACATATGCAGCCCATGGCATCTTCGCCATCCTCCTCTTTCCCCTCCGATTGAGACTGTTGGAACGCTTGGAAGTAAGCCTATTTCTCTTAAGGTGAAACAATGCGGTACTCACGCCCTCCATCAGACACTCTACATCTATGTCGGCATTGCAGGCCTGATCGGCTGCCTCGTCGGCGTTATCCTGCACGTCATTTTCAACGCCCTCTCATCCACGCTTGCCTTCAACGGCGCTGCTGAGGGACGGCGCACAAGGCCGAGCACAGTGGCTGAGTATAGGGCCGGTAGGCAGAGGGCCACTCAGGAGGAGCCCTATGGGCTCTCAGCGTCGGCTATTCAGAAGCGCAGAGCGAGGCACAAGCAGAGTAATCGCATCTTGCGGACCATTGCGGATGTGGACGTCTCTTCAGATGATGTGTCCTCTGGCTTGGGGTAGCGTGTGTTGTGTCGTTCGTTGGGGTGGATCAAAGGGGTGGTTTCCACCACCGCCCTCATTGCCCAGAGTGCGCTTGAGCGAAGGGGTTGTGCATATTTCTACTTTGACTCGTGAGTAGTGTGCATATCTACCACAAAAGACGGGCTTTTATCCACCCGAGTCAGACGCGATACTGGCGGAAGACGATAACAAAGTTTGTGAGGCGTGAGATGGTATCTATGTAGATCCATCTCGTCTCCAACTTCATCTGGATTGATATTGAACAGAAAGGCGGTGACGCATGGAGAACTACATGCTACCACAGATGGAGGAAGAGTAAGCGAGTGGCTTCTAGTACAGTACCACTGATGGGAGCCACGACACGCATGTGAACAGCGTACGGACACTGTATAGGTTATACAACGGTGAGCAATGGTTCGTCAATCGCGTGGCACATGCTCCACGCGGATAGCACTCTGCGCTACAGTGCACGAACAACGCCCTCAGAGGGCATGGCAGATGCAGTGAGGGAGTTCGTGCGCCGAGATGTCTTCCAGCTCGTTTGGAGCGCACCTCATTCTGGTTCGGACGGTCTCCTCAGACGCGTCAGTGAAACTTGGAGACTCGTCATCGGCCACGGCACAGTCGCGTCATGCCATGTGCGGCGAGGTCGAAGGGGATTGCGCAGCCTCGGGTGTGGCTCGCATTAAGAGAACCTGTGATCGTACTTCGTACTCGGTAGGCGGTAGGCGGTGCAAGGTCCTCCTCAGTGTCCGCCTGGATTACTGTGTCGCCAACGTGAGAACTGCGTGAATCCGACGACAGTGAAGCTGTGAGAGGAGGATTGAAATATGTCTGATGTGAGAGTGTGAGAGTGTAAGAGAGGCGGGGCAGCAGGCAGTGGCAGTGGCAGTCAGTGGCAGAGGCAGTCGCAGAGGCAGTCGCAGAGGCAGTCAGTGGCAGTGTGACGCGCGGTAAAGGTGGAGAGGGGCGATTGATGGGGTGATGGGCGGGGGTCTCATGGCCGGAGTTTCGATCCAGGGTTCACCCCCACGATCGCGGGGCTAACCTCTTCGGGTTCAGGGCAGGGTCCGGGCGTGGCCGCGTCTCAATTTCCCGTCCAAGCCCCCAATTTCCCCTTCACCACCTTTTCCTTCTTCCTCCCATCTTTTTTCCTTCCAATTCCCTTCAAACGCAGTCTGCCGGCTGGCACCCTTCGTCCTGGGCTTTTGGACCGTCGCTCCTTCCAAGGTTGACTTCTGCGCCCACTTGCCTTCGTCGCGTTGAACTCGCGACTGACGAGATTTCCCCTGTCACAGCCCCGTCCTCCTCCTCCTCTCAGCTGAAGGTCCGCGGACAGGACACCCCCAAACGAAACCATGCGGAAGAACGTCGTCGCCTTCGTACTTATCACCATTGCGGTGCTCGCATTCGCAGTGCATAATGTCTGGATTCTAATAAGCTTGCTGTTTGTCGACGGCTCCGAGGACGCCATTTCGCGCGCCGAGTTGCCCGCACCCAAGTCCGGCGCAATCAGCGAGCGGCCGCAACTGATCCCAAAGATCATACACCAAACCTATATAAACGAGAGCTTGCCCGAGCATTGGAAGGGGCCTCAGAAGAGCTGCATCGACCTCCACCCAGACTACGAGTACAAGGTGTGTCAAACCCACTCCCGCTCTCACCATGTGAACAACCATTAACCGTGATTGCAGTTGTGGACGGACAAGAAGGCACGCGAATTTATCGCCGCTGAGTACGCATCTATCATCCATTCTGCTACTGCTGGAACATATGCCTAACGAGTCTCAGATATCCATGGTTCCTGGAGACCTTCGACGGATACCCCTACCCTATCCAACGTGCCGATGCCATAAGATACTTTGTGCTCCACCACTTTGGTGGCATCTACATCGATCTTGACGATGTTCGTATCATTTCCATGTCGATTTACACACGCCCACTAACGTAGCTTCCAGGGTTGCAATCGGAGCCTCGATCCCTTGCTTGCGTATCCAGCATGGGTCCGTCGAACAACTCCTACCGGTATCTCTAATGACGCCATGGGCGCAGTTCCTCGCCATCCATTCTTCCTCAAAACCATTGATTCCCTTCCCGAGTACAATCGGAGGTGGATCCTTCCATATATTACCGTCATGGCTTCAACCGGGCCGCTATTCCTGAGCATCATCTGGCGCCACTACAACAACGCAAACCCCGTCGGCGCTGAGCGTGTGCGGATTCTCTTCCCCGCCGAGTACAATCACCACTCGTGGAGCTTCTTCACCCACCACCTTGGAAACAGCTGGCACAACAACGATGTCAGGCTCATCTTCTGGATGGCAAAACACTGGCTGATGGTCACTATCTTGGGATTTGTCATCGGATTCTCCCTCCTCGCCTGCATCTACACCGTCTTCATCAGACCCCGACAGCAACCCGGCAGCCCCAAGCTCCGTGCCGCCTACTCCCGGGCGCCTTTTTACAGGCGCATCAGCCAAAAGGACATCGAGCTGGATGATAGACACGAAGTATAACCTGGCTATTTATATGTCCATTTTTCTGTTGCTTGCTCGAATTATTTTTCATCTTAATGAAGGACTACGCTTTTATCTTTCTCAGATTTCTTGTAACATCACTGGTTATCTGGTCACTGCATTTTCTGGCGCGTTGTCCTGGGCTCACGATCGCTTGCATAACATGACATGTTCGCTTCTTTTCTTCGCTTTGGAATCAAAGCAAATACCATCAGTTTCTCTTCGCCTTCCCTGATTACAGGGTTGAGCACTTATTGGATGCGTATGGTTTTAATACCTTTTGCAGAGGAAAGAACACGAGGGCGCGTGCGCCGGGGCGATATGTTAGACGGAGTCTCGTATTGTACGGAGTAGAGCGCATCGAGGCGCGTCTTAGAAGGAGATAGGGCGTACGCCTGTGAGATTTGAGGGCGCTATGTTGTACAGCCATGCAAAGTGTGCGGACGGCAGTCCGACGGCATGAAGGAATTTGAATAAGAATCTATCGGTCGAGGCTACATCGATTCAACGCACCATGCCTTGCTCGCAAGAGCTTGATTTCCTCAGGATCTTTATTGATGGTTTCTTTTTTTGCGTCTGTGCTCGGAACGAATCAGGCCCCTTCGATTCCGAGGGTTCCGACCGCGTACCTTGCATGTCCCGTCCGCTGCACTGGGTTGCTGCAGCGCTTACGGTCGGACGGAGTCCGGACCACGCTGTTTCGAGTTGGTCGTTCGCCACCCTCATGTTAAGACTTGGGGTTTCGGTGCGCCGGCCTATCAGCGTTCCACTGAGAGGGAGGGGTGTGAGGTGGTTTGTGATGGGGTGGTGGTGAGTTGAGATTGTTGAAATTCTGCCAACTCAGTACTGTTATTTGTTACGCTGTGGAGGCAGACTGTTTGACCTTTTTTCGTTGTAGAATTCAACCCAAAAAGCGCAGAGGCACGATACCATAAACCTCATCGTATTATCCTTAAACCCATGGGTATATCACTCTCTCAGTCCCTCCAACCCACAAAGACCTCATCCGTCCTGAAGCGCTGCGTACACGTACTCTCCTCTAACCTGGTCACCACACCCGTCTCAAACTCCAACAGCCCCGCATGCGCAATCATGATCCCATTGTCGATGCAAAACCGCTCATCCGTCGCGAACACGCTCCCTCCCCTATCCCTCGCCATCAACCCCATCATCTCCTGTAACCGCTCATTGGACCCCACACCCCCTACGACGAGCACCTGCGACGATCCCACATGCGCCATGGCCCGCTCCGTGATCTCGACCAGCATGGCGAAAATCGTTTCTTGGAGAGAAAAACACATATCCTCCCTCGTGATGAGCTCTCCCTCCTCACTCCTCAGCCTCTTCGCCTCCGGCACATCCTCGCCTATCAACACCGCCAACTCATCCGCCTTGGCCAGAATGCCCGAAAAGCTACAATCCATGCCCTTGACGGCGTAGGGCAGGTCGACGAGGTTCCTCCCCTTCTTCGCTAACTGCTCGACGTTGTAGCCGGGAAACGGGTCGTTGGGGATCATGAGCGTCCGCGCGAAGCGGTCGATGCAATTGCCAATGGCGATGTCGAGGGTCTCGCCGAAGATGCGGTAGCGCTGCGCAGAGTAGGCGATGACTTGGGTGTTGCCGCCCGAGACGTAGAGGACGACGGGGTTGGTGGCGCCCGTGATGGCGCGGCCCATTTCGATGTCTATGTCACGCATCCATCAGGTTAGTTTTTGGTGTTGCTGCTGAATTCGTACGTAGTTGTGTCCTGAGAAGGGGTACGTACGGCCAACACAATGATTCACCCCGACCAACGGCTTCCCCCAAAGCAGACTCAACGTCCGCGCCGCGAGCGCTACGCTCTGCAGCGGCGCTCCCATCCCGGGCCCCTTCGTGTAGCATATACAATCGATGTCGTCAATCTTCACCCGGGCCTGCCGCATCGCCTGCTTGATCAACCGCACCACCCATTTCCGGTGGTGCAGCGCCGTGTCCTTGGGTAGGAAGCCCTGGCCCGGAGGGGAGACGTAGGTGTGTCGGAGGTTGGCGAGGACGATGGGGCCGGCGGTGGGGGAGGGGTGCGAGATGAGGCCTATGCCGATTTTGTTGGCGCTGCCTTCGAGGCCGAGGGCTATCATTTTCGGGGGGGTGTGAAGGGGTTGTGGGAGAGTATTGGATTTGCAGTTGGGGAATTTGTTTGAGGGGTGATGGAGGGGAATATCAAGCTGGGCTTTATCGATAAGGATTTTGAAGTTGGATAAGGCTGGTGGAGACGGAAGTGGCGCTGTGGCGGTGCGGGGATGGATTCGCTCTAGGACTCGATCTGTATACACAGTAATCCAAGAGGAGGCAGAAAATCAGAACGCTTTTTTTGGATTGCGTGGATACGTTGCTCAAGGCATAGCAACAGTCCCAAGTAAATACGCCCGTCGGGAGCAGCTTAGACAATATTTGAATGATTCCAAGCCCTGGAGGGAACATGAGAAATACGGTACAGGCTAACAGAATCTGACAACGCATCTGATTCTAACACGAGTATACCCCTTCTAAAGTCTTTAGCAAGACTTTGTCTATGAAAATTGAAGCACACGATGTAGTGCGTGTGGGAGCTGGCTTTATAGTGCGCAAATGGAATCCTGGCCAATGACAGTGCCCCTCGGTTCGGAGACCGTCATCGCACGCTTGCGCTAAACCTCCTCCCACACCACCCGACATTGATTCTCCTACGACACACTTCCTCTGACAAAATCGACACCTTCGGTCGACTTTCGTACCTTTCTGAAATAATTGTACTTCGTGTTCTCCGTCATCTATTCTCTTTTCCGGCGGACCCTCTTTTCCGGCAGTGCACTGAGGTCTCCTCAAATCCTATCTATTGCTCCACTCCACCAGGCCGCCCTCTCTTTCTACGGACAGATACCAGACATGGTGGACATAGAGATGACGGACTTTGACGGAGCCAGTGAGCAATTTCTTGCCTGGCTTCAAAGATCCGGTGCTATCCTCAGCGACAAAATCGAGCTACGGGACCTCAGAGACTGTCACGCTGGCCGTGGTGTAGGTACAGTTTCCCAAGCACGCCTTTTCTCGCTCTCGGCGATTGACAGAAACTGACATCTTCAAGTTGCAACTCAGGATATAGAAGTAGATGAGCTGCTCTTTCGCATCCCCCGTTCCAGCGTCCTCTCCGTGGAAAATTCAATCCTCTCCAAGGAGATCCCCAAGGCGACTTTCGAATATCTAGGGCCTTGGCTCTCACTCATTCTCGTCATGCTCTACGAATACAAGAACGGACCTTCTTCGAACTGGGCGCCTTACTTCAACGTCCTCCCAACCAGGTTCAATACACTGATGTTTTGGGAGGAGGACGAGCTTGACCAGCTGCAAGCCAGCGCTGTCAGAAACAAAATTGGCAAGGAAGAGGCAGACGAAACATTCACTACTCAGCTTGTGCCTGTCATCGAAGAGTTTGCGGAGATCATCTTCAGTGGCGATGAGCTTGCCAAGGATCGCGCAAAGGAGATGCGGAGCCCGGAAAACTTGGAATTCATGCACAAGATGGGCAGCCTAATCATGGCATACGCATTTGATATCGAGCCGGCAGAGTCCAAAAAGGAAGCTGACGAAGAAGGATATGTTTCTGAAGAGGAGGATGAGGCGCTCCCTAAGGGCATGGTGCCCATGGCGGATATGCTGAATGCAGATGCCGATCGAAACAACGTACGTGTAGGCTACAGGCGTACCACCGGTTCTTTCAAGTATTTTGTTATTCGCAGCTGAAATTGTTGCAGGCCCGTCTCTTTTACGAAGAAGACTCGCTCTCCATGAAGGCCATCAAGCCGATCAAAGCCGGGGAAGAGGTCTTCAACGATTATGGTGCACTGCCCAGATCCGATCTTCTCCGCCGGTATGGCTACATAACAGACAACTATGCACAATACGACGTGGTGGAGATACCGCTTGAATTGATATCGGCTGCCCTTCAGGAAGAAAACCCGGGACGGTATAAAAAGAGAATGGAGTACTTGGAAGAGCAAGATCTGGTTGAGACCGGGTATGACATCGCGGCTGGTGAACCGTTCGACATCCAGGAATGCATTTCCCCCGAGCTCATCATGCTTGTTCAAGCATTGCTTATGACTGACGCCGATTTCGAATCCATGTCTCGAAGCGGCAAGCTCCCCAAGCCGAAAAGGATGGCAGCCCGCGACGCCGAATTCCTGCAACGGGTTGTGCGTGCCCGAGCCGAACAGTATGGCACCACACTTGAAGAGGACCTAGGCACCTCCAATGCCCCGGCCCCGGAGAGCGACTGCTTCTCAAAGGGATATCGTTATGCTATGGCGAGAGCTGTCCGCATTGGTGAAAAGAAAATCCTGAAAGCTGCCGAGGAAGTGCTGGGAAAATTAGTACAGGAATTGGGTGGTTCGAACGGAGCAGGCAAAAGGAAGATATCAAATGGATCGAGTGGCCCAGGAAAGAAGTTGAGGGCCAAATGAGATCGACATGAATCATTCGCAGAGCGATGGTCTTCTGAGATGCCTCCGGAAAGATACACCGGTACGTATTCGTTTCACCATTTTACAATTGATTACACTAATGTTGTGTCTTAGCCCTCCGAGCCATATCCAGGTCTGACCTCCTTGCAACTCCATTCCGCGGTATCATACATAAGCCAGACCATACGCCGAATACTCCTTCCAACCTCCGTCATTAAATTTCGAAGGGCTCTGTGAATGTCAAGATCCCTTTTTACATCAACGATTGCCGTGGTAGGACATGAAGCGCGAAAGAACCAACCACCTGCCAGGGGTCCAGCCTTTATGCGGCATTGGGTGGCGGTTGAAGATGGCCAGAAGCAGAGCGATGATGGGTTTCGATCGCACGCCGATTCTGGGCCGCTGCGTACTGAGCAGCCTGGGCATGAGCCGCCTGCTTGTCGGCTTGCCGATCAATCATGATTCTATACCTGATGTTCAGATTGTCGGTCCAGTCGACGAGATATACCTGCTCATCCTCGCTATCGTCCCCGCAATACTTATATCGGTCGGCGACTCTTTCATCGATGGAATCAAGCTTCTGGCGCTTGATACCTCGACGGTCCACCATGGTTCTGCCACCTCGACCTATACGACGTCGGAATCGGGTCTGATCTCGATGGGGAACGTCTTCCGGGGGTGGAGAATACTGGATACGTGCACTCCGCCGCAGCTCAACCTGCCTGTCCGCCTGGTCTGTTTCCATGGTACCTCCTGCGCCCTCGTCCTCCTCTGATGCGGGGGGAGTGAGCAACTGAGTCCTCGTAGACACGGCGCGGAAGTCAGACTTGGCCCTCTCCGGCTCCAACGGGGGTGTGATTGGTCGCCAGGTTTCATCAATCCAACCCTGGTTCCATTTCTGGTGTTTGGTCAGGTTATCCTCGATGAAGTTCTCGATGGCCTCGGATCTTCTGGCTAACTGATCTTCGATATAGACGAGATCCGTTTCCATGAGGTTGCGAGTCGGGATCGGAGGCCTTCCCGGTATCTGCTTGGGCATGTCAAGAGAAGTTCTGGGCTTGGGTTTCGGAGTGGGCTGCAAGACAGTCAGTATCGCTCCAGCGTCCAAGGCGTACCGACTGACCTTTTGGTTGATAAGGAGCTCCTCGTCGTTCTCTTTGATGCCGAGCTTCCGTTTGATCTCCTTGACGGCGGTTCGCTGCTCGAAAATTTGCTTCTCGATTGCAAGCTGATCCCGAAGGAGCAGCTCCCGCCGCCGGACCTGAGCCATGATGAAGCGAGCCTCCTCTAGCTCCTTTCTCAACTTCTTCAGCTTCTCCGTCACCTGCGCATCTCGACCGCGCGTCTTCCGGACCTGCCTGACCTCGCGCCTACGGAAACAAACATAGGGGTCTGAGTCGTCCGTCTCGAGATTCGTCTCGAACTTCAACGACGCAATCAATGGACGGCCCCCTTTGAGCAGCCGCTGGTTCTTCCAGTGGGGATAAATATCACGCGCAAATCGCCTCGCGGAGTCACTGATGGTCTCGTCAAACTCGGCCTCCAACTCCTCATACGGCAACAATGGAGTGTTATCGACGCTGGCGTAAGGCTGCTTTCTGTGAGACGCCTCCTCGAAGAAGTTCATGACCTCCTCGAACTCGTCTTCGGAACACTGCGTGGCCTTGCCCTTCCTCTGGTTGTACGACGTGAGAAAGGCAACATCATCACTTGTCATGCAGTAAGGGCATCCTATCATATCCTCTACGGTGGAGGAGAAGCGGATATAAGTGGTGGGCTGTTTGAAGCGCTTCGGGTAGAGGTCCTCATATCGCAACCTACTGGCGACGGCCTCGGGGGTAGGAATGTACAGCTGGGGGACCTTGCTCTGGCCTTGGGCAGCTGCTTGAGCAGCGGAAATGACAGCCTGAAGATGGTGCTCCTACTTGCAGTCAGACGGCTGAGTACAAAGGGGTTGGTGGTAGAGGGTGAAGGAGGGTGTCACGTGGTGAGAGGGGATGCGAACAACAACAGGGGTTGAAGGGTGGCGAAAAAGGGTTTAGGGGAAAGGCATGACTTACGACTTCCTCTCCCTTTTCGACGCCGGTTTCGACCTTGGGGATATGGCGGGTGCCGTCGTCGTCGGGAGAGACATCGAGCTCATTCTCGTAGATGACGGGCAGGTTCTGCTTGGTCGACAGCTTGCGCTGGCGAAAGCGCTGGCCGGTGACGCGCTGCGCCATGGTGTGCAAAGTTTTCTGAGGTCAGGGAGCGCGGGCGGATATGTGAGAATGGTGCGCGTAGACTGTGGTCCAAGCCGCAGAGAGCGGGTGGGCGGGGTGACGCTGCGCCGGCCAGGTGCGAACACGGCAACTTCGCAGAAAAAGCGACCGCAGCGGCCGCAGAAGGGCCTCAAAATTCGCCAAAATCGAGCGGCAGGTGTCGCACGGCGAGGGGAGTCGACTGGTCGATGGACGTGAATTTTGAGATGGGGTTGCGTCGTGGGCGCGATGGAATCGTCCGCGTGGCGGAGGGTTTGTCGAAGGGGCGGGAGCCCTGCGTTGGGTGCAGGTGCTGTTGTGCGCGCGGCTGGGGGGTTGGTGAGTCGCCGCTGGTGAGTGTCAGCCTGCGACCTGTTTTGGGTCGCGCGGGGGCAAGGACTTGCCTGAAGCGAGCCTTGTCATTATTTGTCAGGGATGGGGGAATGCGGAATGAGAGGCGTGCACAACAAGAGATTCTGAACAATGGTATTGTGATTGAAACTGAATGCGCTTGCTCTGGCACAATACACTTTCCTCTTGTTATTCTACGGATGGATGTATTGTACCAAATGATTGTAGAAGTACACAGTACACTTGCTAGGTAGTATTTCACGTGGAGGCAGAAGTAGCGCCGATTTTCCCAACTCTCAAAGCTGATTGGTCAAATCTATAATACAGGTGCCTCAGAACGGAGGAGACAGGAAGTGACCTACGAGGTACAAGGTTGACCAGATATGAATGTCAGCCCTTGAGGCTCAATCGACTACAAGTTCAATCGCGTCCGTACAACTCCTACGTAATCCTCCATTGCATAACAGTCGTAATAATTTGGTGCATACCCCGAAAGTCCAGACAGTTGAAGCCTTCCTTCAGTAATACCCGTACTCCATACTCCGAAATTTCCAATTCGTTAAGCGGTCGCAATAACTTGAACGCCTTACTGAATGATCCTCTGCCTAGAACCGTAGGACTCCACAGACGAAAAATCCCCCGCTATGCCCTCTGACACGTGGGATGCCGAGCGCGCCCGCCTCAATAGTCTCGTTGGTTCGATTGCTCTACTGGGGAGTGGAACTGTCGCGCGTGAGTTCTTGGACAACACACTCAATTCCAATGCAGTCGATTGTTGCCTGGTATTCTGGGACGAGCCATTATGGGTGCCGTGAGGGGTTTTGCTGAACCCCATACCACCTGTGGTGAAGTCGTTTACGAATTTCTTGAGCATCGGTATCGTTACCGACATTAATGAGTACCCCAGTAGGGCCTGCTGCCAGACTGCTACATCCGCGATGCCTACGCCGGTGCTGTTGTTTGAGATGAAGCGCGTCGAGGTGACTAGGTACACGATGATGAATGCGACGGTGCTAGATAGTCAATCAGCGAGACGGACGCATAGATGAGTGAAGGAAGATATAGCTTACGGAAGGCGGAGAGAGAAGATGACGGCGACAAGTACCTTGCGCGACCACGCCATATTGGAGCCGATGAGGAATATCGTCGGTGAAACCACAATCGTGAACTCGAGCATCGCCTCTAGGATGAAGATTGCTCGAAGCCGGTTTATCTGTTATGTGTAAGTGGTTTGCGCATTCCAACGAGAAGAGGACGAGAGCGGCGGACATGATTAGGACATTGCACGTGCTGCGGACCAGAGACGACGTAGTTGGGTGAACAGTTGACGGAAACTGCTAGTGCGGACGCTGCACCCCAGGCGCAGACAATGGCGATGGTGATGTTGCTAGTCAGCCATTGCTTTTTGAGGTCGACGGTGAATATCGTTCGGATCGAGAGCAGGAGGGAGCATTTCGCAAGACAGAGGGCGAGGATGAGGAGGATCCGACTTGCGAAGAAGCCCTTCAAGATGGATCAGTAGGTATCGTTGATAAAGCATCTCTGTTACCTTTGCCATGTGCGCAAGGTCTCCAACGTCGACAATCGAGATAGCTTTCCCCAGCCCATGATGATATGATATGAAGATGCAAATCGACTGGCCGAGGCCGATAGTCTATGCCAGCTGGTCAGTAAATTCATCCAGAGACTAGTGGACAATCCATGGATGTTGGAGACTAACTTCGGCGCAGACGAGGACTAAGTCGTCAAGACCCCACCGGCGCCACTTAACGATTGTGAAGCGCACGAAGAGGACCAGGAAGGAGAACACTAAGGCGAGAATAGCTGCGATGAAGATCAGGGCTCCATGATCCGTCTTCGTTACAGTCGCAAACCGATTGCCGGTGGGCGGTGCTGGAGATGGTAGTGACATCCCATGGGTGCATTTGAAGCCAATTTAGTAAACACACTAGGTTTGAGGGGACGAGGTTAAGAGAAACAGCGAAGGGAGCTAGAAAAATCTCTTTTACTGGGTTCTCACGGACAGATTGCTTCTGTGACAAACTCGTCAGAAGCGGCGGTCATCCAGCGACGCAACCATGCCCTGTCGATGCAGGCACATCGGAATGTCTGGGATAAGCTATTATTGGAGGAAACCGGCATGCTAAGACAATGCCATTGTGTACTTTATTTTTCTTTGGGATTGAAGCAGCGAATAACAAATGGCTGGCGGACGGCTGGGGAAGAAACCATCTGTTCCCCGTGGTCCTATCCTAGGGTACCCTCGGGAAAAGCAATCCTCACTCGACCGAGTCCTCGACGCCTCCCCATTATTCCCACCCGGCGGAGCCGCGACTGCGACTCGTAGGATTGCCAAATTAAGTGCTCACAATATTTGCGACTCGTTATCCGCCCCAATCAGCAATGTGCTCGCGGCAGACCCTTGCTGCATCATGCGTGTGAACCAAGTCGCTTCACACCCTCCTTCCGACATACAGGGGAAGGAAGGGAGAGTGAAAAGTATCTTGAAAATATCCAATCCGCCGCCTACTTTCAACCTTACTATACTCTATAGAGGGATGGCCAGCACTAGTGGCTGCGCTTCCCAGCGGGCGTGAAAAGGGCGGTTGGCCTTGCCTTGCCTTGCACCCAGACTCCTGGGTTTTGCTCTCCTTCAGCCCAACAAATAACGAAGTCGTCGATTATTTTGTCTCACCCCGAAGGTGCAGATCCGGTAACGATGGCCAACCCACCTATGAGCGAGGCCAAACCGTCCGCCGTCCAGGCCAACAATAGCGAATATGAAAACTCCGACAGCGATCCGATAGTTTACACCAAAGGCGGCACTGCACATGATGGCGAAGATATGCACCGTATGGGAAAATTGCAGCAACTGAGGGTGTGTTGCTCTGATTCCCTGAACCCTCTCGCTCCGTCTAACCACTATGGCCAGCGCAACTTTCGGATTTCCTCTATTTTCGGGTATTCCGTCGTTATGGGATGTACCTGGGAGTATGCGCTTGTGTACGTCTCTCCATCAAGTTGACGTTAACTCGATTGACTTATCACCTTTATCAGCATCGTTGGCCTCTCCTTGCTGAATGGCGGTACCGCGGGCGGCATTTGGCTCTTCTTGACTGTCTGTTTTGGGATGTTCTTTGTGGTGCTCTCCCTAGCTGAGATGGCTTCAATGTGAGTCCGACCGATGCGGGTACAGGTTCGCGCAAAGCTGATCGCAAACAGGGCACCCACCGCAGGAGGCCAGTATCATTGGGTTTCTGAATTCGCGCCGCCCAAACGACAGAAGTTCCTGAGCTATATCACCGGTGAGCAACCTGCCACTCTTCCATGGAAACAGAACAGAGGCTGAGTTGGCGCAGGGTGGTTTTCAGTCATCGGCTGGCAGGCAGCCATGGCAAGTACATGCTTTGCTGTCACTCAACAGCTTCAAGGGTTGATTGCCTTGAATGTGGCAGACTACACCATCGAAGGCTGGCATAGTACGCTCTTTTGTGTCGCCGTAGCAACGTTTGCAATCCTTTGGAATACTGTCCTTGTCCGGACACTTCCACTGTTGGAAGGCATCGTAATGATCCTCCACGTATTCGGATTTGTCGCCTTCGTCACTGTACTGTGGGTTCTTGGTCCTCGATCCGATCCTAAGGTGGTTTTCACGGATTTTCAAGATAATGGCGGCTGGGGAAACATTGGCCTCTCATGTCTTGTGGGATTGACCGGCCCCGTCATTACCCTGATTGGGGCGGACTCGGCGTGTCACCTGTCAGAAGAGCTCAAGGACGCATCGTGGGCACTCCCAAGATCCATGGTAGCGACCGCCCTCCTCAACTATACGCTAGGCTTTATCATGACCATCACTGTTATGTCCACCCTTGGAGACGTTGAAGACATTCTCTCAACCGCAACTGGGCAGCCTTATATTCAAGTCATATTCAACGCAACGCAGTCGCGCAAAGGAACATCCGTCATGACCGCTTTGGTTGCTACGCTGCTTCTATTTGCTGCCGTCAACCTGGCAACGACAGTGTCGCGTCAGCTCTTTGCGTTTGCACGAGACCGAGGACTTCCTGCCTCACAATGGCTTTCGCATGTGAGTTACTCCATTGTCTCATTTAAAAACCAACTAAAACTGATGCCCCTAGGTTCCCACTGGCTGGGATATCCCGCTGAATGCCGTTATCACGACATTGACCATCACTACCTTGCTCAGTCTCATCATTATCGGCTCGTCCATCGCTTTCAACGTGATCATCTCGATCGGACAAGTCGGCACTGTCGGCTCGTACATCTTTGCCATTTCATGCATTTTCAGAAAACGCCTGGTCGGTGAACCGCTCCTGCCCTCTCGGTTCAGTTTGGGCCGGGCCGGGTTGGCCATCAACACCATCGCATTGTGTTTCCTAGCCGTGGCATTTGTCTTTCCTTTCTTTCCGCTGAACAAGAATCCCACTCCCGCCGAGATGAATTGGAACGTCCTCGTTACGGGCTTCACTCTGGCGGTGGCTGTGGTTTATTATGTCTTCCGAGGACACAAAACCTATGCAGGCCCGGTTGAATATGTTCGGCGCAACGAGTAGGAAAGCATCGAAAAGCATCGAAAGCATGGAATAGAATGGATTTTGTAACAGCTGCTGTATGCAATGATATCTGTTCAGTGTAAATAGTTATAACTCTGGATCGGAGTCCAACGCATGCGATGAGGTGAGTTTTGCTATTACCTAAGAACTACCCGTCCTATCCTGAGGAGGAGAGCATACTGCATCTTTTCACGTCCGACTGAACAGCAGCGGGTCGCAGGGGTATAGCTAACGCTGTGATAGGCCTAACAGCGCCTCTGTCCAGGTATAATAAGCCTTAAAACAACGTGCTCTAGCGGCGTAAACTAGACTGTGGCTAATTGAAATAGTTGAATTAGGTGATGTAACTCAGAGCAGCAGTACAAGGGGGTGTTCAGTCGGATGTGAGAGGGTGCAGTAGGGTGGGAGTGCGGGCCCCTGCAGTATAAAGCGATAGCGTGACTTAACCAAGCATGCAATGGAAGAGGTGATAAATAAGCACGCACATTTCCTCCCAGAGCTCCAACTTGACCCCGCAAAATGACATTTCTCTCTGTTCTAGCCGTCTCAATTATCCTTGCTTTATTGGGATATCGCTATATTATCTACCCGGCATTCCTCTCGCCTCTTTCAAAGATTCCCAATGCTCACTTTACTGCGTCATTTTGTCCCTTGTGGATGCGGTGGAACCGCAGGGGCGGCCGCGAGGGAATCCATTCGATCTATAAGGCCCACCAACAGAAAGGCTCTATTGTTCGTTTAGGGCCGAATGAAGTCAGCGTTGCTTCGATCGATGGTTTGCGCAAAGTTTATGTAGGCGGCTTCGAGAAACCGAGATGGTATGCTGAGCAATTCATGCATTACCAGACGCCAAATCTCGTTTCGATGGTGTCGCCCAAAGAGCATGCAGAGCGTAGACGCGCGCTGTCCCATGTCTATTCGAAATCCTACCTCCTGAACTCAAAGGATATGCAGGTTATCGCAACCGCCATTATATTCGAGAGACTGTTGCCAATTCTTGAAGCTCGTGCTCAAGGTGGTGCTCCCGTGGATCTATACCAAGTCAATCGAGCTGTTGGCGTAGACTTCATGTCTGCGTACGTTTTTGGCCTTCGGAACTCAACAAATACCATCTGTGACGCGACCCTTGGCCAAGAGCTTTTCTCCAAGATCGACGCACTACTGCGCAACCTGTCAAGTGGTCAGAAGGTCAGACAAGAGGTCGAGGCTTTGGGCCTCCGGCATTGTCAGGCTGCCAGCCTGCTTCTACAGCAGCCGTCTTCACCCCAAAAAGATCTGTCGCACCTGTCAACAGAACCAGTTGTCTTTGCCTCTCTTCAAAACCACCTCCCCAAAAGCCAGAAAGCGAATCTAGCAATCAACCCTGGCGTCGCGTCGGAAACCCTCGATCATTTTTTGGCTGGATCCGAAGGCACGAAGACCACACTGACGTTTCTGCAATGGGAGTTATCGAAACGCCTGCCACTGCAAGCCCGTCTGCACAAGGAGCTGTTCACCTTGAACCCTCCCATCAAGGCCGATTTCCGAATGCAGGGGAACGCATGCGGGCATCGAGAGTCTCCACTACTACCCAGTTTTCAGGCCTTGGACGCTCTGCCTCTTCTTGACGCCGTAGTCCAAGAGTCGCTTCGTGTCTACCCAGCATCGCAAGCACCGCAACCTCGGGTCACGCCGCCCGGAGGCTGCACCATTGACCAACGTTTCCATGTCCCAGGCGGTGTCCGAATAAGCACCGCCGTGTTCTGTATGCATCGCAATGAAGACGTATTCCCGGATTCTGCCTCATGGAAACCCGAGCGCTGGATGGAAGAGCAGGATCCAGCGCGGTTAGAAGAGATGAGGCGCTGGTTCTGGGCGTTTGGAAGTGGGCCGAGGACATGTATCGGGAGACATTTTGTCGTGCTAGGTATGTGCACAGTTTACTGTCGATTTTAGCACTTTTGCGCACATCTGGTGAGGTTGTGAAGCTGACTTGCGTTTAGTGATGAAGATAATGGTCGCCGCTATCTACACGAACTATACCACCAGTATCGTCGACGACGAAAGGATGGAGCAAGCAGATACCTTTCTTGGGCATCCCGTTGGGGAGAAATTAATGTTAAAATTGAGCCCTGTACAAAAATCACTATAGTTAGAGAAGCATTTAGTTCGATTTACTCTATTTACTACACTATCGGTTGCTGGCTTAGGAGACAATGAGACAACACCAACGCCATGTCCTCTAAGGTTCCAACCCAGGCCTAAGCACCTCCGCATAATCCGGGAAGTCTAATAAATTACCCGTAATGCTCGTGCAGTCTCTGCACTGCAGATGCGGCTGTTTGATGGTTTCTTGTTCTTACCCGAACGTCTCGGCTGGTCTCTCCGTGAATACAGTATTATAATCATCACTAGAGAAATGTCAGTTCTTTCCTCCACCATCTCTTACCCTCCACTCCCCCCTCCTTCACCAAAATCCACCACCCTCTGCCTTAAGCATCAGTTCAATTAGGGTACCAGGAATTGGAGCTGAGCCTCCCGCGTAGGGTATGCAATGAGATCTTCCAAGGTCATTGGCAATCCAACTTCCTTCAGCCTCTCGCTGAGTATAACAGCCGCAAGTATACTTCCTCGGAGCTCGAACCATGGAACATGAAAACCTATTTGCGATGATGGATTCGCCCTATGGGAACTCGAAGATTCCAGTGCGGAAACAGTCGAGGCGCAGGCGCTCTACAGGTGTACTGCCGTTGTTCACATCCAACTGAACACACCCCTGCACTTCCTCTGTGCTGCTCTTTTCCACATCCAAGTAAACCCCTTGCAAGTGCAGCAATTTTATAAACGTTTCAATTAGCTTTAAAACGCCTCTATCTACGTAGATTAAGTTTCGAAAGCAAAGTTCTACTTATTGCATTATCTACGTGTAGCTAACAGACTTGTGCTAGGTAGCTAACCTCAGCTACAGAAGAACTGCAAAGGAATGTTCAGTCGCACGTGCACAGCCGCACTATGCCCGGATTGTGTCACTGGTTGGTGAGCTGTTCATTAGTGGTAGGTCATGGCAGGCGTTAGGGACCACCCCCATAAGTAATCGGTGCCACCCCCATAAGCCCGCCAGAGGCCCAGAACAGGCGCCTATTAGCTAAATCTTAAGGTTTTACAAAGGCGTACAGGACGAGAGAAGAAAAGCCTACACTGCCTGTTTTTATATAGAAAATCTGCAATATGTTTGCAGATTTAGGCTGCGCGTGCCTGTATTATATAGAGTGCGTGTTATATGCAAGAAAATCTCTAAGACGATGCCCTTGAAAGCTGCTGTTGCACTGCTGTCGTGGATTTTTAGGTGCCTTTGGCGGGCTTATGGGGGTGGCACCGATTACTTATGGGGGTGGTCCTTAACATCTGCCGTAGGTCATTTGACATCTGCCCTCAGGACGGCGAATGAAATTCTGCAAGCCGCGCCCAGGCGTTTGACTTTGCCGCTAACCCCAATAGCGCTTACGTGCGTGCCAACCCCTCAGCTGGCGCTCCTCCTCTTTCTCTCACCGGATTCTGGCTTTGTAGGGCGTCGTATGTCATTTTTTATTACTATATAAACAAATAAATTTGGACTCAATGCATCACCAAAATTGAAGCGCCTGTAGTTCAGGCCGCCGTCAAAAATCTTGAAAATGCACTCATAGTTCAGGGGTAGAATTCAAGCTTCCCATGCTTGAGGCACGGGTTCGAGTCCCGTTGAGTGCAATAACTTTTTGCCACCAAGCATTTTTTGTCTACGTTAGCATTTGCGGTTTTGGAGCCTACTGATGATAAAAGGATTCGACAACTACTGTAACCCTACTTGGCCCCAGGCTCTCTGCTCGGGTGACCGAAAGGTAACGAAAAAGCAAAGCTTGGAAGTGGCCAGAAGTCCGTCTTTCGGCAAAACCATGGAGTTCTTAACGCTGTCCTAGTGAAGTGTCGGATGGCCTGTAACCCCTCAGAAATGACTGAGCAGTTTTCGCCTCCTGATCCGACAGCTACCTATGTCGCAAATCAGCACGGCCTGACTTTGTATATCAGGGTCGGAATTCCTGTAGACTCTATCTAGAATAGATAGGAAACTTCTTCAAAGCGTCTGTATTAAGGGTAATGTAAGTGGCTGTCTGCAACCCCAATCAAGCATCTTTCTGCGATTGTGCTTCCGAGGCAGCCGCCATTTTCGTTGATTTATCGAACAAACCACCTCTGTCACGCCCTACTAGTATAATACAATATATATTAGTAAGAAGGTTTACCTTAAGATTAAGAGTACTGTCCACGTCGCAGATGCAGCTTTGATAGGATCTCTTCTATCGCTATGCTACGCTGGTCAATTCGACTTGTCCGCTTTTTATTATGACAGCATATTGTTTAGTGCAATTGTTGTCTCCTTGAAGACAGATCTATATGTAACCTCCGCTGCTAACCTATTTTATGATACTTCTACTTCCGATTACTTGCTTGTAGCAACAAGCACAATTCTTGACGCCGGGCAAAGTTTGAGCGCAGCAGGAGAGAGAATGTCTAGCTATCCCGAGCTATAGTATATATTAAGACTTTGTAATAGAGTTACCACTTAGAAAATCACAACTCAAGGCTGGTTTATACACAGACACCAATTAATTACCTCTATATCCGTCACCTTCTCAGTTTGCGAAGGAATATGAAATCGTGAAAGAGTGTAGAAACCACATCAATATATCCCACCCAAAAACATCCCAGCTCACATAGTCCCAATTTATAGGGTTTGACCCGCCAGTCAAGGATTACGTCCATGTCAAGATCGCCTTCTGCTCCCGTCGTTGCTTCCCGCCTGCTTAGAACGGCTTTTGTCGCTGGGATCGAATGGCTGATGGCCAGCTGCCTCACGAGAGAACCGATCATCTTTTTTGGTCGCTTTAGGATCTTGTCCTCCTGCCTGTGGAGACGTCTTTCCAAAGAAAGATGGATAGTGGTACTCGGATGCTACACTGGGGCCAGATGTATGCCCACCCGCGCTGCCCGAACCCCCACTCGAGCTTGAGCCCGACGCCGAATAGTATGGGTTTTTGTTTCTGGGTAGACCTTGTTTCTGCGCACGCTGATGCTCTTTTTCTTTGGCTCTCTCCTCTTCCTCTTTTGCCTGTCTCTGCCTGTTCATAGCCGCCGCTAAGTTGGCAAGGTCGGGATTAGATTGGACCCCATCCAAAAACTGTCCTCCGAATTAGACCAGAAGCCTTCTTGAGTGAGGTGCACTCACTTCTTCAATTCCCATTTCCAGTGTTCGGCTTTGGAAATTAGACTCCACCATAAAGAACTTATTGTGGTCGCTTTGGGTAGGTATTGTAGATCCGAAGAAATTATGATTATAGAATATTGGTTTGTTAGGGAACGCATGTTGGCTTTTATATGTGTGCAGGCCGTGTAACAGTAACAAAGGTTACTCACAGATGTACTCACTGAACGGCTCTGAGTCCCTCTGCGTACTCGACATGTTTGATCCAACATGCGTTTCTTTGTAGTCATTCGACTCACCAGACGCGGTTACAGTCGCTGGTCTATGAGTAGTGTTAGATTCATAGGGTTATTCACGTCAATCAGTAATAATGAATCACTTATTCGTACCCACGCCGATTAAGTGTAGTCGTGTTCGAAAAAGGCACTGTCATAGAGACAGCGAGCATAGTGACAGCGAGCAAAGACGTCATACCATCGAAGTCATTTCATTTCTATCACTCAACGGCAGTTCCCGGACGCACTCCAATTCTAAAAAAAACTCATAAAGGATACTAAGTCTGCACTACACAGATATGTGCCCCTGAGTCCTTGGGGCTATCGGACCCATTGCGGGTTCAACAAAGTCCATGGCGATTTCAAGAAGAGGCTCCATCTTCCCCACCGTTTGATTATTGAATTCTCCAGATGACAGAAACCAGATAGGAGTCCAGGGAAGAGTATGACCCGGGTGAGCCGTAGATGGCGCCTCACCATTTCGTTATTTACACATATGTAACATGTTGAAAAGATAGTGTACATGCAGACATATGTTACAAGCTAGATAAATTGACTGACACATTCCAATCCCTAGGAACATTCCAGTATATCAATGGAGGAGAGGAAAAGAGAACTAGATGCCCTGTGAACGCCCTCAAAGCACATTACCCCTATTCCCAAAAGACAAGTTCTCAGAACTTTGCAAGGTACTACCTCCAGAGCCCACCGCGTTTAATCTTCCATCTGGTCGTACAGTGATTCGTCAGCGACTCCATCATAGTACCAGTTTGTCTTCTCTAACATGCCGATCGTTAATGTGATGATAATCAAGCGGCCAATTTATTTACCTGGCGAATCTCTTCCCACGCCTTGCAATATTCTTTTTGTATCAAAATCTCTCTCCCTTTTCTCCTCCTGCTTCAGCTCTTGTTCTCTCAAGTGCTCTTTCTCCTGTTCGTGCAACCTAAGCCGTGGCCGACCTCTTCTCTCCTCATAAATATCACAAGCACCGGAAGATTGTCCTCCACGAGGGCCGGGCCTTTTGCTGGACTCCACCCAAGGGTCTTCCTGCTGCGCTCTCCTCGGCGCCTTCGTTTTCCGATGCTGGGAAACTGAGGTGTCCCTTACAGGCTTCTTTCCAGCTGCTTTTGAGGTTGTTTTGCTTGATTTAATTGGTGTTTCGGGTGTCGAGCCTTGTGATTGGGAGGTTGTTTTCCTATCGCCTGGGTAGTTGTCGATGCTTCCGTACTGCATTCTGATCGTGTTGACATGAGGTAGATATTTCCGAGGTCGTCGATTGTTATTGTGAATATGGTAGCTGGTGCAGACAGTGCAGAGTATTTCTGTAAGTAGAAGGTGGAGGTATTGCTACTGGAGTTTATAAACATTGAAACTCACCTTACTCCTCAACTCAGCGCTGTTTCTCAGTCATACATAATGAGTACATTGGCCTAGTCATAGACACATGTAACTTTGAACACATGTAATCAGTGTATAGCTCCTTGCCACGATCCGATACCAAGATTGCGCAATAGAGTCACACAGCAGGAACATTCCGGGTGTACGGCATAACTTCTCAACATTTAGCAATGTGGTACTGCATTGTTCTTCAGTTGTATTATGGAAGTAGAAAGTCGGAATATACACAACAAAGCTGCCAACACTAAGGTGTGGTAAATATGAAGCGGAGAATTGTACAAACTAGAAGAAGTTTGTGTGATATACTTTTTGTGATTGCTATCACCTTTATGAGTAGAACTGCCATGGTGAGCGGAAGCGACTGATGCGCTTGCTTTGACCTGACTCCCTTGAGAGGACCAGGGCGCGATCAGTTCAGTTAGTTGAACTGACTGTCAGGGAAGTTTAATCGTTTATCCAGACTCAAAAACAAGTCTCGCGTCAGAACCATGATAACTTGTTGCCCAGATGTGGAGCCGGGGAATGTGACCTTGACATTCGAGTAGTCACGGCAGACATTTGTTCGTAGACAACGACTCCTTCCTGCAGGCAGAAGAAGGATACTTACGAACATATCATCATACAGTAAACTGCAAAATGCTGCTGGTATTGGGAATAGTTATATCAGTGCTTGAATGGTGTAACACCGTTCGTGCTCTATGACTAGTTCATGGCAGACTCAAGCTCTGCTCACGTTCCTAGACTCGGGGCAACAGGGAAAGCTACTCATTTACAGCATTAAATAAACTGAACACGAAACGTCGGAACAGAGATGACTGCTTCTATTAGAGTCATATCCCTATTATAAAAAGGGGAAGCTTTTGCGGTACATTTTCTTTCATATCCACCATCCACACTCATCTACAATACAATCAAGAGCTACATCTACAACGCTGCAACTTTCCCTGTATTGAATACCATTCAGCGATGAAAACTCTTCAAAGAAACCGATCTCCAAATCTTAATCCCGCGAACTTCCTCGTGCAAATTCGAGATATCTAAGCACCAGACCAAATCTACGAACCTCACCAATATCCAACAATCACAAATAATAGTGCCACTACACGATGTCTGGACAAAAGTACCTTGAAGCAATTGGAAAAATTAGGGACGATGGAAAGACTATCTACCCCAAGCTGGGAGATTCAAGCCAGCCAGGTCAGAAGAAAGAAGGGAAGGCGACACAGGCGGAAGCGTCTGGAAACGGAAAGGGGAAACAGGTCGGCAAGGGCGCTCAGAAGCCCAGTGCTTGATTCCAAGTCGGTATCTCCATGACAGAGTTGGGGGTTGGATATCCTACCGAATCCACATTGCAGATCATGTATTTCTTGGTTCAATTTTCCTGTCAGAGGACAGATTTCTTGGGTCCGGTTTTTGGTGGTTCTCATTCAGGGCAATTAGGTGATAAATGTTCATGCTTCCTTTATTGTATTATTAGTTGCATACTATAATATCTTCTTTCTCATGGGTTTACATCGCATCCGTACTGTGGTTGTGCGACTGGGTGAGAGGGTGACGCCGTATGAGCTAATAGTTGAGCAGTTTAATGCATCATTCCTGACGCGGTAATATACTCCATTGTAGGAAAAGGTCGCGTCTTCGACCCTAACCACCTCCATAACGCTTGCACCGTGTCCTTACACCACCTCCATTGTTGACTTAGTCGAAAAAGCCAGAAAGTTGGATGGAGCATTAAAATCACTGGGTCAAGCACCTAGCTGTTTTGAATTTGTGCTTTAACGGTACCTACTTAAATTTGGGGACATCCCCTATTCATGCTCCTCCCCTATCTACCACACTCGTTCTTCCCTTCGTGGCTTACAGTTGACTTTCGGGGTACAAGATACAAGCTTGCTTCGACTTGTTTGCCTCTCCTTTTCTCCTCTCCAATATGGCGGCATAGCCAGTGCCATCTACTTTCGGGTTTCCCAATTGACCATATAGATTCCATTCAACTTTTCCTTTTCCCTCAACCTGTATCGAGATAGGCCAATAGACTTCTGCTTCTACCTCACTGGTGAACAACGCATAATCACATGTTCCATGACTACTCGATATTCAGAGAGTGTGTAGTCACCTTCAAGCACGCCTGTTACTGCCGAGAAAGGTAAATTGAGCAGAAAGTATGTTCAGACTAAGAAGGCCCTTAGTTACTACCCGTATACTGCGATTCCTCACTTTTTACCTCCGTTAGGTAGCTAAATCGAAATAAGGAAGGACTCTGAAAAGTGTGCTGCGAGTAAAAGAAAGAATGGAGACCCTATCACAGAGCGACCTCAGGAGATATCAATGAGAGTGAAGGACGACGCAGAGATAGGCTGTACTTCTGCAGCGCCATACGGAGAAGTAAGAGCAGGACACAAGAAGAGAAAGTGCGAGAGTCGCTAATGAAGGTGATTTTGCCGCCAAAGATCGTGATTGATGCCAGAGAAAAAGATGACCGTAGAAACCATCCACGTCCAGTCCAAGAGGATAGGCAACGCTATCCCCCAGCGAGTTGATCACCACTTTTGCTTATCGGTAAGAGAATCCTGCTGACGAAGTTCCTGCGTGATGCAAACTCCATCCTCCCGGAGACGCGAGGCAGCAGGACTGTCAGAAGCCCAAGCACGTGCATGTACGCCCGAAGGAACGGTATCGGTAGGTGACCTGTCACCTCCATTCGTGCTTTGAGACCTCCCTCGAGTGTAAAGTGGAAGAGCTGGATGCTCATTATGGCGACGAGCGAAAATACGCCCGAAGAGGGAGCGGGTTGGACGCGAACAGTGTGCATGCCGTGGTGATTCCACGAGCTCGTGTGTCGAGCCGGCTTGACACGCGGCGGAGTCAGACGTGAGACTGAATGGAGCAGAGTCGTGTTCCGTACACGAGGACTGAGTGTGAGACGTATTGGTTGCAGAACTACCCTTGGAAAGCAAGCCCAAGGCTTTACTGCCGTGTGTCGAACACCAGCTTCGGAAGCTGCTCGAAGGCGAAGAGGAGCTGTTGGATTCTTCGTAAAGACTTGGGAAGATCTTGCCCAGTCCGAAGAAACAGAGCGCTCGCTTGTATGTGTTGTACGCGTCGTTTCCGGTGCCATAGACCAAGAACGCAACATAGCCGGTGGCGATTTGACCCCATTTGTCAAGCCGGACTTCGCCCTTTGTGGGGATCAGGACTGGCTGATTCCAATCGGGGGCATGGGTCTTGGACCAAGAGTAGGAGTCATTGACGTTTCTTACAAAGAGCCAGGTTATCCAGATCGTGTACGGCAAACTGGCGAGGATGACGATTGCTGACATGACAAACAGCCGTATGAAGCGGGACTTCGTAGTATTTTGAGCTGAGAGTATAGTGATGAACTCGCGGCGGTAGCGGAAAAGGCGGTACACCAGGAGCCCTGCATCCAGTTAGTTTGGCGGCTAAAGAATCCAAGAGTGCCTAGCATACCTGCATACAATGCCCCGACAACGATAGTGATCAGTGGCCACATTGCCATGAGGACAACGCTCACCCAGCTTAGACTGAGAGGAGCATTGCAGCCGGAAATGGCGAAGATGTAATATCTGCGCGACTGAACGATGTAGTAGAGGATACTCATGATAGCAGGATAGCCCCAGCACCAGAATATTTCCAAAGTCTTCTCGTAGCGGACCCTATTGCGGCTAGGGATCATGGTCAAGTTCGAAGTGTCCATGACCTTTGCCAACTTCCTCATGATCATGGCTGTGCAGGCAGGAAGGGCAACGCCGCCGCTGATAAAAATGCGGACTTCGATGTCGCAGAGGCCCCTGCCATCGTACCATTCTGACGTGTTATCCCGTGGCCAGATGAGAGGATTGATGAAGTTGCAGAAATTGAACAGGATAATCCAACAGATCTGGGACCACGCGGCGATGTTTCGCTGCGAGAAATGCCAAATCAAAGGTAGGATGCAAAGCACCCAGGAGGGAAACGCCAGAATCGGGAGGATGATTGCATTTGTATAGAGGGGGTACTGCGGTGAAGCCGGAGGTAGAGGCGACGCCGTCGCCCTCCCGTAAAGAGCGGATACCATCGCCATAGGATGTCAAGGAATACCAGGTGCTCTCTTGAACAACCCGATAAAGATGTAGATTGTTTGAGGGCGTCGAAAGCGGTGATCCAGCGCAGTTGGTATCCAGCCAGGCAAAGGAACGTAGATTGGTATGAGGACGCTGGAGAGTTCCGCGGGCGCTTAAAAAGATATTTCAAAGTAGCGGAGAGGAGCGGCGGCTAAGGGACTCACGATATTAGGTCGTAATGAAGCTGATTCCCCCTAAGATATCTCTTCTTCCCTTAGCGGCACAGCGGTCAATAGTCCTCAATAGCGAGCCTTGTTCCACCTTGCGGTGACTTTGCTCCAATGCCTCGAACCCCATATTCTCACTCTGCCCTCAACTGCGTCAGGGACAGAGTGTTTTTGAATTAGTCGTTTGAATAGGCTATCGGTCCGCGAGAGAGAGAGCACTGCTTGGTCAAAACGGCGCAGTGCCGCTGAAACCGCGCCATTGCCGGATCGGGGTGTGAATAGGAAGTTCAACCAGGACGAGAAGGTTGAATAGAAAAAACAAACGCCGTCAAATCAAACATGTTCTAAATCCTCGCTAAAACAGAAGGAGATCTTGCCATGACCTACTGCTTGCCATACCAACCCCCGTGGAGGTTTTTCCTGCATCCGCGTCTACTATCAACGAGCCTGCTCGCACGCAGCACGGTCGACCCCTTGCAGGGCGTCTGAAGACACTATCGCAGGCGAAGAGATGCATTGTGCTTCTCATTCGATGGTGCCACGGGAAGCTGCCAAGTCAAGTGACCTCAGTCGTTCGAAGGAGGGATGTGAACATGGTGTTGGTATTTCAAGGAGCACGAGCACCGCGCACAGGCGGATGTAGGCTGCCGATGATTACATAAGCAAGGAAGCAGATCGATCGTGGATCTCTCGGATCTAATCCGGATCTACGCACCCCGCTCGCATACCACAACTTAAGCTTCGACGCGGCAGGCATGACATATTTGGGACATCACGACTTGCCATGTCGTTGCACGCGTCTCGAAGCTCCAGCATGGTTGACGGCGTCAATGTTTGCTTTCGTACAGATCGCCCTGGATCCAATCGACTACTCGTCGTGAGTTAACGCTGTCCATCAGCTGTTATGTCCGTCGTCCAGCTATAGGTCCCGCACATGGCTGCCACTCTCTCAAACCGAAGGACGACGTCTGAGGGCACGCAAGGCCAACCCGAAAGCCATGCAAGCGGCTCGCAGATACCTCCGCAGCTGCGGAGCAGGACATTGAATCGTTCGGCCACCTTGGAGGGGGCGCCTGTAGATCGATCTCTCACTCCTCGACGGAGGGCGACATTCCCAGCGTATTCGAACGACGCAAGCTATTCATTCAGTCGGTCTGATGCGAATGATATGGAGGATTGGTCCTCTTCGGAGGCACTTTGGCATTGGGACTCGGCACCTCTCGCCTTTATCGTCTTTCCTGCGCTGGGTGGACTCTTCATGAAAAATGGTGGGGCGCACTTTACGGACATATCGTTCCTGATATTGGGTCTCATGTTCCTCAATTGGTGTTTGAAAGCACCATGGTGTGTCCCCCGGAGAAGCCATTGCGCCCCTGTTTAATCAAGTGACTAGGAGATGGTACCACGCCGCCGAACGGAGTCGCGATGCGGAGATGGAAGCAAAGCGGTCGGCGGACAGCCGCGAGGAGAATGAAGGGTTCCGCGCAGAAGAAGTTAGTGCTGATACTTTTGGGGTCGCTAAAGGTACGGGAGAGGAAGCGAACAAACCAGAAGAAGCAGCTCTACCCTCACAACACGATACCAGTGCAGCAGAACGTCTCCTCTCGGAAGAGGAAGCTTGGGCTTTGCTTACCTGTTTTCTGGCGCCAATAGCAGGGGCCATCGTGCTACATGCCATCCGGTCCCAGCTCAATCGACCCCCCGACGGCATTGTCGAAAATACAAACCTGACCCTCTTCGTGGCCGTGGCAGAATTCCGGCCTCTTTCGCATGTTCTTAACCTGAGGACAGCACATTTGACCCGTGCTCACCGCATTCCTGATGCTCAGAATGGAGCACGATTGGATTCGGCGGGCTTGCAGGATATTGTAAACCGAGTGACGGATCTAGAAGAGCGTGTAGCTGAGCCTGTAAGGGTTATCGCTGACAGCGAGAGTAGCCGAATGAACGCAGTTGCACAAAAGAACTTACAGTCGCAACTGGACGCTCTCTACCGCGCGGTGCGGCGCTACGAGAAACGGCATGTTACATTTGAGCAGAGAACAGAAGAGCGCTTCAAAGCCCTAGAGGCCGAGGTGAAGGATGCGTTGGCACTGGCAGCAGCAGCGGCTAGGACAGCACACCGTCCGGGAATGGTCTCAAGAGCTCTGACATGGCTTGTCACTCTGGCATCAGACGTCTTCAACACGGGATGGGCGATTGTCTCGTATCCTTGGAGGCTGGCACACTATATGATGTCGGAAGCAAAGTCTTCCTTATTCGTTGTGAGCCGTCCACGGCAGAGACGTTAGGCTTCTAAAGTTCAGAAATGGCATCGAGCACGAGCATGAGCACGAGCACGTTTCGCACGTCATGTCAGATGCTTCCACACCTTGCATTCAAGATCAGAGCAATCGCAACGGCCACCACGTACCCCCAACCAGTTATTGCTCCATCTTTTCCTTAACAAAGGCCTCAACATCATCCAAGCCCTCCTGCACCGCCTTTATCACGCCACGTGTAAACGCAATGAACCCATGGGGTGCGCCCGTATATATCTTTACCACCGCCTCCCCGCTAGCCGCCATCCACTTTGCCCCCATAAATACCGTGTCATCCAGCAACGGGTCCTCGCTCCCACACGTGAACAGCGCAGGTGGGAGTTTCAAGCCCCTGAGATCAGCCCAAAGCGGGGATATAGATGGATCACGTCGATCTTCTGGAGTGGTATTTGGAAGTAAGGCTTTGACATAGGAAACCATGATGTCGAGGTCTATCACCAGAGAGAGCTTGTGGTTGTGCACGTGCGGCAGGAAAGAGGAGAGGTCGTAGCATCCGAAGTGCAAAAGGAGGCCCTTGAAGGAGAAGGACGGAGTGGTGGACAGAAGGGAGAGCGCTACTAGGCAGGCGAGATGGCCACCTGCGGATTCGCCGCCGGCAAAGAGAAGGGGTCCGCCGAATTGCGAGGGCCCGTGGTTGATGAGGTGGTGTGCGGCGTCAACGCAGTCGTCGATACAGGCGGGCCAGGGGTGTTCGGGAGCGAGACGGTAGCCTACCGAGAAGACGGTGAGGTGGAATTTGTCGGCCATGTATTTGAGGTATGGGTCTTGACTGTGTTGAATCCGCGGTTAGACGATGTGTTCTTCGCGTCTCCTCGTATTGGTCTACTAGGAGAAAAGGACCGTCACGACGTACTAAGCCTCTGACTGCAGGACCCAACCTCCGCCATGGATATGCATCAGGATTCCCTTGGACTCTCCACTGGCTGGCTTAAACAACCTGAAGGGAATAACTCTCCCCTCATCCCGTGAGGGTATCGTCCCATTGACGCCTTCGGGCAGGACCACGGGTTTAGGGAGCGGCGTCTTGCCCTCCCATCTCAGCTTGCGGTATTCGGGCGCGCCAACCTAGACCACGAGCGTTTCAGTTGTGAAAGCAAGAAAGTAGCAGAAATGGCTGAGGTGGTGAAGCTCGTGGTTGCGGAGAGGAACATAGCCCTACCTCGTACCACCGTGGCCCATCTGCCCAGATTTTTATAAGCTTGTTGTTGAAGTCGTTGGTTTCTTGATCGATGGCGCTGGCATCGAACTTTGCGGCGTTGACAGTGATGTCTGATGTTAGGGGCATTTCCGTACCAGGAAATCTACCTATTCCGAAGGATTCGAGTCCTGAAGATGTTGAAGAGTGCAGCACAGAAATATAAGGATCTGGAAGGACAATGGAGCTGGAAGAATCAAGCAAATTTATAATCAAGCGAATTTGTACGATGTATGCGATGGCCGATGTTATGATACGATGGATGCGATGGCGGGGTAGCACTGGAGCTGCAGAGGATGGGTCTGTGTGCTACTTAGAACGGATAGGTAACCCTGCAACTGTCAGAAAATGGAGCTCGAGGTTTCGGATTGCCTCATTTGCAGAAGCCGGGTGTTGGAGGTTTCAAACGCATGTGCCCTTGGAGTATGTTCCTGTGGATGGGAAGAGGAGTTGACCACAATGGGGGTATCAGATTATTGCATTTCCAAGCTCCCGAGAATCGCCCTAAACGCCGACTAGATATGCATTCGAATCATGAGGTACCGTCCACTCGCTCAATTTTCCTTCTCGAGAAGCTCGACCCCCGTTCTGACGACGCCTATCATGGCTCCAGTCTGGATAGCCTCACTCCCTCCACCGCTAAGTCTATACTCGATATCCGCAAGCCCTGCTAACCACGTAATCGTTGTCTCGTCCTTGACCTCATGTTTCACCAGCTCTTCGCTCAAGGCCGTCAATATATCCGCCAATGCAAGACCCTTCAACGTCTTCAGATTGTTGATCACTCTTAAGCACTGTGTTATATCGGATGAATGCAACATTGTGATCATTATGCGTTCAATATCCTCTGGATTAGGCGCAGCAATGCAGTCGTATATGGTATTCAATGTGATGGTGTCGCGTTCGATGGTGGCCGGGTCGGGCACCGGTTGCCCAGGCGGTTGGAGCGGGGTGCTGGAGGCGTGGCAGGCTTGCATAACGTTCAGCGCGCGGCGCATGTCACCTTTGCTGAGGGTGACGAGGGCGTCGACGGCGTCGGGCTCGATTTTCACGTGCTCTTCTTCTATGACTCTGTCCACTAGATTGCGGATATCCGCGTACTTGAGCGGCGAGAAGCGGAATCGTGTGCAACGGGACAGCAGTGCAGGAGACAGTTTGTGCGTATAGTTTGCTATGATGCAGAAGCGTGTGTTGGCTGTATATTTTTCCATAATACGGCGCAGGGCCATTTGCGCGGTGGCGGTCATGGCATCGGCTTCGTCTAGTATAATGAGTTTGAAGGTCGCCAGCGCAGAGTCGCCCGGCTTGGGGGCGGCCGAGAAGATCTGTTTGGTGCTGCTGAAGGTCTTGATTTGTTCACGGACTACCTCGATACCCCTATCGTCGGATGCGTTCAGCTCGAGGACCATCTGCCGCATGTTGTGGACGCCGTAGATACGACGGGCGAGTGCGAGGACGGTGGAGGTTTTGCCGGTTCCTGGAGGCCCGTAAAGGAGAAGATGGGGTAATCTCTGGGCACAATTGTGAGCTTCAATCCTATACACAAAGCTTTGAGAGTCGGGGCCACACATTTGTGTCAACGAACTTGTTGATGGTCGCTATTATATCCTTGTGTCCTTCAACATCGTCCAGCGAGCTCGGTCGGTACTTCTCCACCCTGATAGGTGTCAGTTGAACATTGATATCAGAAGGAGAGAAATGGCATACCATGGAAGAGAGTCTTCTGCTTGGACCGGTAGATTCGCGGCGCTCCTCTTTCCCTTACTGACCTCTCCACCAAACTTGATAGACTTGTCCGGCACGGGCGCATCGATGTCCATCTCGTCCTCATAGTCCGACATGGCGCCGTATATCCGTAATCTGAAGCAAAGAGAAGCAATTAAACCTCAGGTGTAGCTTTTGCGAGTACAACCCAGAGTTACTGCGCAATAAGTCGAAGACGGATATTCACCACTTGGGTATGCGGTTGCATTGACGCGCCGCGCTCATTAACGCGTTAAGTGGGAGGCCCGTTTGGGAAAAGCGTGGATTATATAAGCGGCAACCCCCAGGCACACACCTGGGCACCCCACATCATCCCATCGGATCTCAAGCTGCACCATCGTCACCGTCACCGAAGCTCTCTAAGACACAAGTCACCAATCTTAAAACCGGCACGCACACATTTAAGATGCCTGTAAGTGGATGCGCCTCAATCACTTGAAAAATTCTCCTTTACTCGACACAATCGAGGAGTGAGGCTAATTCTCATGTAGGCCTATCACTCCGTCTTCCTAGACGAGCCTAACCAACACCTGATCGGTACACCATACCTCTCAACTCCTTGTTCGGCCGCTAGCTGACCCATATTAAAAAGGAAATTTTGCCTTGCTTCCTCTACGCACAAGAACACGCGGCCCAGCGCTTCAACTTCCACCTCTACCACCGGACCTCACCGATCTCACCGTTGATGCCTCGCACGAATCCTATGACCCGTTAGATGAGATCCTGCTGCTCTTCCGCGCAAATACTTTCTTCCGTAACTTCGAGATTAAGGGACCTGCAGACCGAGTGTTGATATATGGCATCTTGTTTGTGAGCGAGTTGTTGACCAAGATTAAGCCCGGAATGAGCAGAAGGGAGGCTGAGAAGGTGTGCTGAGAATGAAACTGGAACGCATGAAAGGGAGGATTCAGTTTGCTGACACTAGCACCAGGCTGTCATGAACGTGGCTTTAGACACCAACTTCGCTATCCCAGGAGACGCAGGATTCCCGCTCAACCAGGCATTCGAGGCACCTCCGGACAGGCAGTCGGCAGAGACACTGAGACAATACATTATGCAAATGCGGCAGGAACTGGCGATGAGGTTGCTGAACAGGGTGTACGCGGATGGGACGAACGTGCCGAGTAAATGGTGGCTGAGCTTTACGAAGAGGAAGTTCATGGGGAAGTCGCTATAGATTGCGGGGTGCGGAGATGCGAAATGACTCGATGGAAGAAGCTCGGATGCCAAGAAGTCTATTGTATATGCCTTGCGGGTATATGCCAATGAAGGCTGATCCAAATCAGCTATTATGATCATGCAAATGGGATGCTCGGCTCGAAATGGCTGTGTCACGTTTGCACAGCAGTGTCCGGTCCCGTTTTCCTCTTCTTTCCCTTGAAGTGACCTCTCGCTTCCACTTTCCCCTCCGCGGGTATGACCCTCGTAGCAGTGAATAAGTAGCCTTCGGCGCCGCCGCGGCTAGTCATGAAGGGATGTGTTCTCTGGGGAAGGACCTGCCAATGTCTTGCTCTGGCCGTCTGCAGTGAAGGGCCAAGTAGCAGTGTGGGATTGACAGGGAAGTCCTCATCCTCCTCTTCCACCGCCACTCCATTCATACTCTCATCCTTCTCTTCGGCGTTGTTTCCGCTCTGTGGTGTTTCGGGGGTAATCGGCGTAGCAAACTTCCTACTCACATAGGCCGCTCTTCGATCCTTGCTGTAATAATCACACAGCTCGACCAGTGGTTCAACGTTCGGAGAGTACACGACCACACGTCCGCCCCCACGCACGAGCGGTACGAGCTCCTTCATGATAGTCTTTGGTTCCATGGTGCTGGCAATGATCAACCCGTCGAAACCACCCCTTCGCGTCTCTTCAATGACTCTACTGGTGCGCTCCCACCGCCGGCGCTTTTTGAAGTATGTTCCCCGTTTACTGCTCTTCATCGTGGCAAGTGTCTCGTCAGGGATGAGTTCGGGTTCAACACACGACGGGTCATCTGAAGGGCTAAGGAGCTGGAGCCAGGAGAGCGATTTGAGGTGGCGGAATAAGGGATGAGACGGGGTCGGGTTTCCTGCATCATACGAGAAGTATTTCAGAAGCGTTAGATTGGGCTGGTTGTTGCTGTGCAGGAGCGTGATAGAATTGGTTGTGGCGGACATTTGGGGAATGTGGTGATGAGGTTTCTTGTTGCGCGGGCGCGGATGGCGGCCCGTTGTGTGTGAGGTCGGCTTCGAGAGATCCTCCGTGGTCGTATCGGGCTTTTTTTGAAGTTCGGATTGTTGAGAGAGCGGTTCTGATCTAGGTTCTGCCTGCTGTTGTTCACCGTTCTGCTTTGGCTGCTCAAGACATCCTTGTAATCCATCAGTGATGGGCTTTTCCCCATGCTGCACTTCAAGGTGTTCCTTCTCTTCTGCATTTGAGTGGTCATCCATCTCTTCGGGATACAGTATGCCCATTCTCTCTGCTAGAGCCGCCACTACCAGTCCACCGGTGTCGTCCACCACTAACCATCTGCCGCCTCCTATCTGACTGACACCATCCTCAGCGTAAACCACCCGGCTCGCAGCTCCGCAGTGAATGTTCGCCCAGCTATTTATAAGACCGAGAGACTCTTCTCTCAGTTCCAGAATCTTATAATGCTCCTTGTCCGCGATGTACTCTGTGAGCATACCGACATCAACTGGTAAGACCGTGAAGCGCCTGAGATATTTCTTCGACTTGCGTAGAGTATACTTTGCTAGCGAAAACGTCGTCTTCTCATCAATAGCCATATGGGAAGCCATTATCTTTGCGATAATCTCTTTGCCAGATCCTGTACCGGCCTTTTTCAGTTCTTCAATCTCCTCCATTGTGAGTGTCTGCCTTGAGGGATCATCCACCGTCATGCGATTGCTGCGCATGATAAGTGCGCCATCCTCTCCAACGATATCAAACTCGGCACCACCTTCTGTGGGCTCATCTCGAGATTCCGCCGGCGCGCCATACTCGTTACCCAAAGCCTCTGCATGGAGCTCAGAGGCCGGTACGACGCGCAGTTCCGTCTGCGATTTTCCGTCGTCCCGATCGAGTAGTTCGAAGGTCAGGTAATAGGGTCGTCCAAGAAGTAGATTCGAAGAGAAGGTTCCGAATTTGCCAATGTTGATGGTGCTGCGTCACTGTCAGCGTTTAAGCGATGTCAGACGTTATATACTGTCAAAAAATCTGAGTATACATACGTATTGGGGGTGATCTCCAGGATCTTTATCACGCCCGACGGCAGCCGAAGAGCGACGTGAGTGTTCGGGTGTATGTAAGAATGCATGGCGACCTGCATCAGGTAGGGAAAGCGAGGGCCGGGGTACCGCTACGTGATCATTTAGTATAGTTTCCTGCGTTCCTTGCTCCTGTGGGAGTACTACAGATATTCGCGAGCAAGAATTGAGGCCATGTTCATTAGACGATCAACCGCGGTCCCCACATAAAAGTCTTTGTGGCGTTTTGTGGCTGTGCAAATCTACCCCAGTTTGGTGCGGCTTGGGCCAGGTGTTCGTCATCGCCGCCGGGGAACCTCTTGCCGTATATTACCTACTATCCACCCTTCCAGATGACCACGCCTCGCCTTCTCTTGGGAGTTTCACCAATCTTGTATGGATGCGACAACAACTGTCAATTTAATTCCAAACTCACACTTCAATACCAAGACCGTGCCGGTAACCAAAGCTCATTCCTTCCTCTGGCGCCCACTATCGAGCTCTCAAGTTCCTGAAGCTCTTCTACTACCACGATGGGACTCAGGCAGCAGTCCTCGCAAGGCAACCTTGTGCCTGCGCCGCTCTCGCCAGCCGTCAACAATCCTCCGTATCCTGTAACACCGAGTACCGAAGAACCGCCAGTACTGCCTCCCGAATTCGCTCCAGATCCGAACCGGTCTCCAGCTTTCACCATCAGAACTCCAGACCCCCCACAAACGACGACCAAGGAAGACAAGGATGGCTCGGAATTTAGCGAATCAGACTGGGAAAAGTCCGACGATGAGGATGCCGCGCCGAACCATGACATCCCGGATCCTCTTAAGATAGGTGGAGGAAAGCCGATTCCCTCTCCTAGACAGAAGAACACTGATTCGTTACCTGACGCCTTGAAGGTTGGTCCACCAGCAGGAGTAACAAGCAAGATGTCTTGGGAGAAGCTGGTGCCGGAGCCTACGGGTTCCACCGAGGCTTCCTGGGGTGGAGTTAGCACTACTAGCTCAGGCGGTTCCATCCCTCTACAGACGAATAATCCCTATTTGCGCATGCAGCAGACGGGACAAAGCAACTATGGTGCAGAGAGCAGCCAACAGGTTTGGGGAGACGTATCTGGTCAAGCGCAAAAGCACGAAGAAGTGGCCGAGCTACCCACAACTCAAACCCCAGTTACTCCCACAGACCACATGGCGAAGCTTGCCTTCCACAGCGATGTCGACCAGCCACCAAGACCAAACTCGCCAGATCAGCCGCCACTTATTGCAGTGGAATCGCCTACACCCCTCCAAACCCCTGCCTCAGCAAACGCACACCAACAGGCCACGTCCTCGCAGGCCCGGGAACCGGACACACATGTCTCCTCCGTTGACGCCTGGGCCAGAAAACACGGTCTCCCTACGGACAACGAGTTTGGAGATACGTCCGAGCTGACTCGGCCGGAACAGCAGAACTGGACCCAGGGCGAACAGGGAAAGGAACAACAGACCGCTATTGTTGGAAATGGAACTCCCTCGAGGGTTGACCAGGGACCGCAACAAGTAGGGGGGGCTGAATTCCCTGGGCAAGCGGACAGTCTCCCACCGACGTCACTGCCCTCCGCAGACGAGGAACCCCCGGCGCTACCGCCGAGGCGGTCCCATGAGCAGGAACAACCTCCCGCCATGCCTCCACGCCCGATAGATACTACTGCAGGTGGATCTTTGCTCCCAGACATAGAGTCACCCAACACTGTCATGAACAAGCGCAGGAAGGAGCACTATCCCATCAAACATATCAGGTGGCTAGACGCAAATACTCGACAGATTCGAGAATCGCCCATACTTACACAGAACATCAACGGCCCATGTCCACTCTTGGCATTGGTTAACGCCCTCGTCCTATCAACCCCTGCAGGACTGAAGACGGAATTTGTTGAAACGCTTCGAACTCGCGAGCAAGTGAGCCTTGGGCTGCTAGTGGACGCGGTTATCGAGGAGCTATTATCCGGACGCCGCGGTACTGAGCTGGGGGATGTCAATGAATTGTACAAGTTCCTGATAGGTCTTCAGACGGGAATGAATGTCAACCCGATGTTTGTGCAGGAGCCGGCGGAGAACCACGATTCTACGACGCTGACCCATCCCACCGCTCGGCCTGGAGGATTTGAGAGCACTCGCGACATGCGGCTGTATAGAACGTTCAACATTCCGCTGATACATGGATGGTTACCCGAGCCAGGGTCGGAAGCTTATATCGCCTTCGAACGCGTAGCAAAGTCATACGAGACTGCACAGCTAGTCCAGTTCCAGGAGGAAGAACTTGAGCGCAAACTCCAAGAAGGAGGGTTGAATCCCGACGAACAGCGGCTCTTCACCGACATCCACGCGATCAAAGAGTTCTTCAGTCGCTGGCCGACTCAACTCTCCGACTATGGGCTCCAGAATATGCAGCAAGCCATCAAGCCCGGTGAAGTCGGAATCCTCTTCAGGAATGATCACTTTTCGACCCTCTACAAGAATCCTCACACGGATGAACTCATGACGCTCGTGACAGACCAAGGATACTCGAGCCACGAGGAAATTGTGTGGGAGTCACTTGTTGACGTTAGCGGTCGGGGCAACGAACTGTATTCAGGCGACTTTCGGGCAGTCGGGAATAATAACCTCCCGCAGAGACAGCAGCAGCAACAGCCGGTCCAAAGTCTCCTGGATATCGGCGATGACCAGGGCTGGGCGACAGTGTCTAACAACCGCCGGCGGAATCAATCGAGCTCGGCACCTGGGCTTGTCTCGGTGCAAGACTCCAGCAACCCGACGACGGAGACGAACAGGAGCAGAAGCGAGCAAGAGGATCACGATCTTGCACTAGCGCTGCAGCTTCAGGAGGAGGAGGAAGCGCGGCATGAGGAAGAGCGGCGTCGCCGGGAAAATGCGCTCTCCGAGGACGCAATATCAGGCCAAGGACAAGGGCGAGGTGGAAGCGGACGCACACCTCGCCAAAGCGAATACCCTCCGCTCATACCGCCCAGGCGCAGTAACCTTTCTACTCAGCGACCGAACAACGAGGCTGCTCCTCCGCCTACGTACGAAGAGGCGGCGACGTCGCCCCAATATCACCCGCCCCAGGGCGTCGCACCGAATCCAAGTCGGCCGCTCCGACCCCGGAGCACTTCGTATCAAGCGAGCAGCGCAGGTGGGCGACCCATGGGCCACATGCCACACGGGATGCCGCCACGGGGAGGGAGGCGGCAGAGCGGTGTAGTGGGTCCGGATGGTCGTCAGGAGAAGGAGAAATGCACGGTTATGTAGTGCATTCGCCATTCTACATGTGTATTCGTTTTTTGCTTCTGCTGATCTTGACTTGTCAGGGACTGCAGTTGCACTGTCTGGTAACATCGTGCCTTGGTTCTAACCTTCTATCTTGGCAGCGCTTTTCTCTCCACAACAGGCGTTTTTGGCAGGGCTAGTTAGGGACGTTATGGCTTATACCCTCCGTCTAGATTTGCTCGGATAGTATGATGGACAGCGTCCAGGAGCGTTTACAGTACCTAGGTAGGCACGATTATGATTATTTCTGGTCACGTGCGCATCTGCGTACTCGAACTGCATTGTACATAGCTAGATCAATCATCTCTTTGATATGATGATGCTTCCAACATTGACTTGCAACGGCTTTGCAGGACCAGATGATTCTCCGCAGTCCTCTGTCTACCTACTCTCGTCCCAAGGATGCTCCGCGGACCCGCTACTAACTTAAATCGATTGCCTTTCCCAAAGCGGTAGCGCACGGCTCGGGCCGCTGAGGCGGTCGTTATCGAGATTGACGGGCGGAACGGCTGCCGTCCTTATTCCCCTTCCTTCCCTCCCCTCACCACCACTCCTCCTTCTCGCTCACGCTCACCACTCCATCATCTCAACCCTCGGCACCAAAATCCCCACGACTTCATGCCGCGAAGGGTGAATTATGCCTTGTCCCTAGTTAGCCTGCTCCGCTGAGGTTGGAGAGCGCTGGACCCCGGGGCGCGGGAGGGGGGTCTTCCAAGCTTCTCCGACAGCTCAGCGCGCACAAGGACATATTTCGGACCGTTGAAGACGCAGATCCGGTGGCGTTTGCAAGGGAGGGCCTGGTTCTAGTCTGCGCTTATTGGGACTTGTCGCAAGACAGTTTCGCTGCATCTGAAACATTTATCAGTCGCCCGCGCAACCCATAGATCCGCAGCCACGCCAGCACGCTTCCCCACGCGCCTCACCCTCCACGGCAGTGTCTCGTCCTCTCCAACGGCCACATCGCCCCGTCATGTCATCCGCCTACCTGTCCTCGTAGTCGTACACTCACTTCCACTTGGGCGGAATGACAGACTCACAAGTTCCCGTCAACTTCAACCTTGTGAGATACTCGGCCATTGAAGGAGTCCACTGGTTCTTCGACCCGGCTTACCCGACCACAATCCAGTTCCTCCGCCAGGGACGGTGGGAACCATGGGATGTCGGCTACGTCAGCAGGCACTCGGATGATCCAGATATCAAGCGTCTAGCTTCGGACGCAGAGACTGACCTGATCCTCGAACCTAGACCCGGCTACACGCCGTGGCCACACTCGCCAGCCGACACTCTCATTGATTCGCAGAGTAACGACAATGGCGGCCCCTCCGAGCCTAGGTCTCCAACCAGGTCACATCCCTATACGCCTACAGGCCATCAACCAGCTCTGCAAGATCTTCGTTACGATCCCTACAGCTTGCCCTCCGCACCACGTTCGACCGAGGAGATTTGGCGAAGAAGGAAACATCGTCCGCCCCGTGTCCATATTCCTGCGGCCACCTCTGGGCATGACTCGCTGCCTTCCCCTTATCCCGCTTCCAGTGCCCACAGCCTGCCACCGCCACGGCCAGTTTCAGAGTATACCGCACTAAATGATAGAAACGTACATCCACATCCCCCTTCGCCTTCAGTACCTACACGGCCCGGTGCTGCGGATGGCTCACACCCAGCTCCACCAACTGTCCATCCCGCTTCGAGTACTGTAAATGGCCCACCAGGTCCTCCACCACCATTTGATTTTACTGCTCCAACCGCTGCTCATGGCCATGGACATTATCCATCTCTTCCCGAGTACAATAGCGCAGGCGGTATTCCTCCGCCTCCTCCTTCAACATACGCCCCGCCCGTTGTCTCTGATGGCCGTAGGCCACCGCCGGTTCCAGCCTCTACAGATTGCACTGTTACAACAACAGCTACTGGCCATGGGCCGACCCGCGCACCTCCAGCCCATGAACCAATACCCGGCCCCGTGATTTACGCCACCGAACCCAACGCGGCTCCCCCGACCCGTCCACCACCGCGTCACGAGCCTGTAGAATACCATGACCGCGCAGGTTTCAATTATCCTGGCTCACCAAAGCCATCAAGCAGTGTTCCCGGTTCGCCCAATGCCATCAAATTGGCGGTGCGCTCCGAGCGCACCGCCAAAATCCTGCTGAGCCTTGACGGCGATGGCATTCGCGGACTCTCCTCCGTTCTACTTGTCGAGTCCCTCATCAATGCCATATGTACCAAGATGAATCGCCCTCTCGCCTGCCACGAGATCTTCGATCTGATTGGAGGTGTCTCGACCACTGGCCTCCTTGCCATCATGCTGGGTCGGCTACGCATGAAAGTGCATAAGGCGAGAGAGAAGTATTTGGAGATCATGAAGGCGGTGTTTTGCGAGAAGTGGAATTTCTTCGCTTCCCTGGATCCCCATGGTTTGGTGCCTTCTGCTAGCGGACCTCCACTTGAGGAGAGTGTCAAGGGTCTCGTGGTGAGCGAGTGTGGGGGACTCGATGAGCCTTTCTTTGATGGGAGAGAGGACTCTGCCAACACGTGAGTAAAGGCGTCGAGCCCTTCTCGGCAGATTCCGCTGACATGTTCCTCTGATCGCAGCATGGTCATCACATCCAAGGTAGACATCGGATTCAACCAACCGGCCATTGTTCGCTCATACCAAAGCCGCCGCGTGGCAGGACCCGAAATCGAGCAAGAACTTGCCGTTTGGCAAGCCATCATGGCCACCTTGGCTGCACCACGCTACGTCGCCCCTCAGGACGCACTCACCCGGCGCGCAGTCATAGAACCAGGCCTCGTCGACTACGGCACGGCAAAGAACAATCCCGTCCGCGACCTCTACTTTGAATGCCGCAAGCTGTACAGCTACACCAACGACACCATGATCATCGTCTCCATTGGCACGGGGGGCGGACGCCACAACCCTGACGAACTCAAGGAGATGGCCATGAGCGTGCGGGACCGCACCCTGGACGCAAAGATGATGGAGGAGAAGTTCGAGAAGGATAATCGGCGGCTCATGGAGGAGGGGTGGATCAAGTATTTTCGGTTCAATGTGCCGAATCTGGATCACGTGCCGTTGGAGGAGAATTTGGCCGTTGACGCGATCATGGAGAAGACGCATCAGTATCTGGCGGGGCCCGAGGTGGGACGGAGGTTTTACGCGGCGGTCGATGCGATTGTGGCGATTTTGAGCGGGGAGAAGGGGGGGTGGCCTTATACGGGCGGGAGTAGGCAAGTGGGATGATGGGGTGAAAGGAATGGGTGCGTTTATTTTGGTGGGTTTGATGATCTAACGCCATCTACAGTTGTATACGAGTCCACGACCGTCAAAACGTTTGTTTTTGTCACGATGTTAGCGGCCACGATCTGTTATGAAACTTCATGTCTGGGAGGTGGCATTTAAAATGGGGGCGTTGGTTTTTTTACTATATATACATCGGTTATGTTTATGGAACCATGAAAGGAGATCAGCATGACGTTGGGCTTATTAGCTTTTGACGGGAAAGTTATGCTTGGGATTTCTATATTCTTATATAGAAATATCTGGTATCGAAAGCGGTCTTGTATTTAAAATGGCGGCTCGTCATAGTCTGTCTATTCTCTTGGTCCAAAAGGCACTCAAGTCTCGTCTACTGTCTACCGCCAGAGTTCGTATGATTTATGCGATTGTTACATAAGCATTGCTTGTATCGGTACAAACCGTTACGATTTGGGCTGATGACCTTGTCACGATCTTCGAGACGCGCTTGTACCCACCTTCAGTAGGTTTGACGGTTGGGAAGGGAGTAGGGAAAAATGGATGACGGGAGGAAGAGCATATGTTGGATGGTATCTAGGCGTACACGAGAAGGCGATAAGCAAAGGAACCCACGATGACAGGAAGGAAAAGAAAAGCACATAGGAAACAAGGCAGACGACCGAAGACACAGCCAGCAGCTACCCGTCAAACTCCCAAGATGCCCATAACTCCGACCCCGAGGAACACACATTAACAACACCCTTCTCTAAACAAAGGAGATGATCCAAATCCGAAACCACGCACTCCACCTCCTCTCCTTCCTTCCAGCTGGCCACCAAGCTACCCTTCATCACGAGAAACTGACAAACTTGGGATCCCTAGGCCGACCATCCGGCCCAATCCCATTCCTCTTGAACCGCTCCTGCATGAAGATCCTTCTCGCCTCGTCAAAATTGACGCCCCTCCTCTTCATAATAGCCTGGACCTCCTTCTTCCCCGCATCGTCGAGACCCTGTCTCGAGTCCCCCGCTTCCACGTTGGCGGTCAAGTCGAAGGTCGACGAGGAGAGCCCGGCTTCGACGTCGTCGCGGAAGGAGGTGGGGAGGCGCGTGTAGAGGGGTTCGGGGATGGGGATGAGGTGCAGCCAGCGGTGGCGGGTGAAGTAGGCGACTGTGCGGTGTGTCAATATGGAGAGGTTGGTTATGGTTTGGGAGGGCAAGACGGACCTGTGGCGAGGATGAGGAGGGTTAGGGAAAGGGAGTAGAAGAAGTAGCTCATTTTCGAAAGGAGTCGGACGGATGGAGTTGGGGGATGTTGCTGGCGCGGGTTGTACGTGGATATTCTCGGAGATGCTTGGGAGTTTGTATTCAGGCCAGCCCAGAAGGAGAAGTTGCTACGGGGTGAATAGAAGTCAAGGAAATAAGGTAGTAAAGAGGGCGTTGTCAGACTTTTGTGTATGTCTCTGTTGTGTGCGCTGTTGAAGGCGCCGATGAGAGGAGGCGCATTGAGATGGGTGGTGAGACGAGCGTCAGGTTGGTCCACCAGCTTGCTGCTGCGCCAGCATGGTGATGCAGCTGGCGCATGGACGGATCCATGGAACCACGCAATCCACTTAACCGTTTCCAGCGAACTTCCCGGCTTCACATTAATCCGCACCGACAAGCTGCCGTCCACGCCAATCCGCTTTCGGCTATGTTAGCGATTTTCGAAACTACCACAACGAACCCCAAGCTTCGCCTTTTGAGAGATTCCCCGAGACGACGACATATTCCCGCCCCGCACAATACAGACGAAATGGCCACCGTCTCTTCCGATTTGATCTGGGAAATCACCCGTGAGTGCGACTTTCGAAGGAGCGAGATCCGGGAGAAGACCGAGGGGCTGATGATGGGTGGATAGGCAACACCAGCTCCAACCTGGTGAAGAGGAAGCAGGCCGGCGGTGTCTCGTTCTCCCGCGACCCGCTGAATCTGAGGAACCAGTACTCTCGCAAGGTACACATTCTATCAGCTTTATAGGGAGAACAATTGGGCTAATAATTCATTGCAGTATGAGGGACTTGTCGACGACAAGGTACGATTTATCCCCCGCTCTCCCGACCGATACAGCGCGAGCCCACGAGAGCGAAACCCGCAATACAGAAACTAACATCCCGGGGATAGGCGATCGGTGTCCAGCCCGCCGAGGAGGGCGGTGTGACCCTCCTGGTGAAGAAGGCCAACAAGCAGAACTCGCCTGCGACCGCCATCCAAAAGTCTACCTTCCCCGCCAGCCGCTCCACCCGCAAGTACGTTTGTTTTTTGCCACGCGATGAGGGATATGAGGGATAAAGCGAGTGCTAAAGCCCAAAACAGGATCTACGCCTCCATCGTCCATAGCACCACCAACCGCGGCTACCGCCTGGACCTCCGCCGCGACGCCGTCGCCCGCGCCTCCGCCATCCGCAAGAGCCAGAAGCCCGTCAAGGAGGAGAAGCCGGCCAAGTTGAGGGGAGCCAAGGCCAGGGCAGCCGCAAGTGCTTAGATTGGTGGTGGATGGCATGGCTCCGTTGGAGAGGAGCAGAACGGAAAGGACTGTACACTTCCGCATAGATGAAATGGGTGGGATGGACGGAGTTCTTTTCAAGTGGTTCATTTGGGACAAATGTGCCCAGACTGGGATGCATTCATGATGGCTAAACGTCTATATAATGGAGAGACCTTCGGCCAACCACTTCCATCATTCGCGAACCACTCTGCGAAGGTTTAGAATCCCGTGACTGCCATACCTCTCCTCATTCAGCGGATAGTCGAGGTGATCATGGACAATGGCTCATGAATCCGGCAGGATTCGATGCCGAACCTGGAATTGGCGTCGTTGCGTAAGTGTGCGCCATTTGCAAGTCCTTCTCACATTGCTAGAAGTCTTTCCCTTTGGAAAGGCTTTTGGGGTATCTTGAAATTATGTGAAATGATATTTCATTCTTCAACGCCTGTAGGCTTGAGGCGGGAAACCAGCGGGCGGGTGTGCCGGAGGAGCGAAACCCGGTGGCGGAGCGAAACCCGGAGGAGGAGCAGCCGGAGGCGGACCAAACCCAGGCGGTGGTCCAGCGGGTGGGACGAAACCTTGCGGCGGAGGTGGTGTATTGAAGCCCGGGGGAGGTGCAGCGTAGAAGTTGGTTGGGGGAGCTCCACTCGGGGGCCTTGCAGGAAGTCCTGATGGTGGCGGAGGGAGTCCAGCTGGTCGCCCTGGTGGAGGGCCCGCGGGAGGTGCTCCGAATCCCGCTGGCGCGGCCGGAGCACCAGGAACGCCACGACCATCTGCATTCATCGCTGGAGGCCCCGCGGGTATCGCAGGAGTGGGTGCTTGGAACAGCGCCGAAGGGAGCGGCTGGACCGCGGGAGCGATGCCGTGCGCCTTTGCTTGTTTCGCGAGTAACCGTTCCGCTTCATCTCCGTGTCTTTCTCCCTTGCCGTCCTTCTTGTACGCATACTGCACCGTGATCTCCTTGTTCATCATGAACTGCCCATTCATATGAGCAATCGCCGCATCGGACGACTCGAAGTCGCCAAACGAGACGAACCCATAGCCTTTGGAGATACCCACTTCGTCGCGCGCCACCTTGGGAACATTGACCAACGGCCCAAACCGGCTAAACGTATCGTACAGCGCCTTCTCGTCGACCATGGCATCCAGGTTCCCAATGAAGAGCTCGGCGCCAATCTCCACCGTCTTTTGCTTGTCCGCAGATGCCTTGTTCACGCGGATCGGCTTGCCGTAGAGCCGGATCTGGTTCATGACTTTCGCCGCATATTCGGCATCTTCCTCCGTCATGAACTCGACGAAACCGAAACCCTGGTGCGTTTGCGTGACGCGGTCCTTCGGCAGGTGGACATTTTGTATCCGTCCGGCTTGGAGCATCAGCTCCCATACGAGTTGATCGGTGACGCGCTCATCGAGGTTGCCGATGTAGACGGTTGCCTCCTTGTCTTGTTCCCTGTATGTGGGGTGAGCCATGGTTGGGAAAGTCAAAGAGAATGAAAAAGATGATATGAAAAAGAGAGAGAGTATTACCAGTGACGTGTCGCAGTGCCGGACATAATAACAGCTTTATGTCGCGCGCGGGGATGGCTGCTGAGGTAGGTACAGTTGACGTCGAAAGATAGTTCTGGAGAAATCGCCGCTCGGGCCTTGCTGGGCGCCACTAGCGTCCGGCCGGCAGAACCTCGGTGGCGGAGAGCCATTCGACGTCTCCCAAATTTCTGGGCTAAGTAATCATTGTCAACCTCAAGCATCACCGACAGAAAAACAGCCTCACTACATCACCGCAAACCCGACTTCTGTTCCGCCCCATATACCCCGCTTCAACCATGTTTCAACTATCCGAGGAGTCCAAGGTATGGCGCTCGGGCGTGAGAGGTCGTCTAATAATCAGGTAACTGACTGCCAACTCAGGAGCGCATCGCTCGCATCATCGACGTCTCGCGCGTCGCGATACACTAGTATGCCATTTTTGCAATGCCAGAAGACACCGTCACTGACGAGTTCATCCAGTGGATATCTCCCCCTGATTCTCTATCTCGGTTCGTGGTCACCTCAAAGCACATTAAGGAGCACCGTCTAACGTGCAGCAGGCTATTCGCGCAGCGTGCCCAAGCCATCCCTTATCCGGTACTATTCTCTGACATATCTGTCTCCCGAACACCATTCTGACAAACGCAGACTCTTCTCTCCCATCGCATAAATCTCACTACCCCGTTCGAGATACATACCCAACTCTTTACCGATATCCGACTTACTGTACGATACGATCACGGAACAGGCGCAAATCAGATGGCACGTGTTTGGGGAGCACATGGAAAAGAGGGGGGATACGCGGGCAGGGAGAGTAATGGGCCCTAACGTGTGTGCGTGCGGAGCGTCATCTTCAGCATCAGCTTTTACCCCAATCGGAGTTGTAGGAATAGCGGGAGATCTGTCAGTGTACAGTAGGATGCTTCAATGAAATACCTTATCGATGATTCCGACCTCCGAAACCAGAGATGCTGGCGTTTGTCAAGGGACACACAAGTGGGTTCATGGCGGTTCTAGCCTGCATTACATAGTGCCGTCGACACCCGTCGATCTACTGGTTTTGCTAAAATATCAGTTCACTTGTCACTCATTCACGTCCGCATAGTCTGGTACGTATAGTCTCCTGTATACCGGGTCTATAGCACACATACATATATCTATAAGCCGTCCTACTCACCCGACAGGCATGTACGCTATACTGGCTCATTACACTTCCTCTGCGATCAATCACCCCAAACTAAACAAAATGGTACTTAAGCAGAATAAACCCAAGCTCCCCTTACTCCATTCCACTCGGGGCCGTTGTCAATGAGCGAATGTGAAGCCGAGCATAGAAGTGAGGAGGAATGAGTACCTGAAGCCACCAACGCCCTCGCAGAGTGCAACACACAGAGACATACCCACGCACCCGAAAAGAAAGAAACTACACCCCACCAGATGCCATGTATCCTAAATTCGCCACATTGTACCAAATCATCCCCATCCGTCTTGATCTTTCTATGCCAAAAGTGGCTATCCCTCCGACTTGCTACGCCACATAATACAGCTTCATTGCGCTGAGCACCCGCTTCCTGCACACGGGGCAATTCTGCACCTGACGCGCGCACTCCATGCATGCAACAACATGGCCGCAGTCATAAAAAGCCGCCTCGGCTTCGTCTTCCCAGCAGATCCTGCACAGTCGTTCCGTCTCCTGTGCGCTCTTCCAATGCGTCACACCCTCCCCGTACTTCTTGTTGTTCTTCCACCCGCCGACATAGGTGTTCCCGGTCGAGGCTTCGACAAAGGTACCGGATCCATGCTGCTGGTCGGCTACCCAATCGCCATCGTAAGTATCGCCGTTCTGGAAGGTGTAGAGACCGTGACCGTGCCGTTGATGAAGGCGGAAGCTGCCCTCGTAGGTTGCGCCATCGTGGTAGATGAGCATGCCGTGGCCATGACGGTGACCGTTCTTCACTTCCCCCTTGTAATATTGAGAGGAGAAATAGTCGAAGATGAAGTGGCCGTTCAAACGATTAGAGAAGTTGCGAGCATACAGCCGGTTCGTAAAGTAGTCTTCGACGTCGGCAAGTGCCGCTCGAGCCGCAAGTTCTTCACGCTTTTGAGCAGAAGGGGGTGTATTGACGATGACAACACCAACGTGAGCCACCTCAATGTCTGCCCACGTATCGGCGGCAAGGATTTGCTGCAGATGATGGTTATAACAACCACCCTCCTGCAAGAGCTCAATCTTTTGGTCTGGTGGAAAGTTCAGCTTCCTCAATACGAACTCTTTTACCTTCTCGGCATGCGGAACGAGATGATAACTATGTGGCTGAAGAGTTTGCGTCTCGGCATCAAACAGCTTGATGAACAGAAGGCCGCTGGTTGGGGTTTCCGTGGTGTCAGCTTCTTTCATAGCAGGTGGTGCCGCCGAAGCTGGTTCAGTACCAGGATCGGCCCACATCGATGGATGAGGGGGAGGGGGAATGGTGTCTTGGGTTACATCCATCTCAGTGTCCGCTACGGGGGCAGCTGAGGTAGATATGACAACATCCACAGCCGGGGGATCAATATTAGGAGTTCCTACGATCGAAACCTCTACTTCCGCCTCGCCCATGGAGGCGTCGGTGACAGCTTCATCTCCTCGGTCAGCTGTCGTTTGGACAGCGGTGTTATGGTGTTCTTCGTAATCGCTCATAGGAGAGTCGCCTGACAACGGCGGAGGCTCCACGACCGAAGGGGCGGCCGTGGTCCCAGAGGCCTGGTCATTCGACGACGCCTGCAAGGGAGAGCTTGAGGGTAACGGAGAAGGACTGCGGATAAACCCCTCAGGAGCATCGACGCTGACTTGTGGGCCCATGCCATCTTGATGGACTGGAGGGGACGCCTTCTCTTCCTTCGGGAGATCATTCAGGTCCGTCACATGGACCCACGCCAGCTTGGTCCTAGCTTTTGAGCCGAGATCTGAGGATCCTGTGCCGAAGTCAAGAAATCTGGGGCGTGCAAAGGTTCCGGAAAGAGGGTCAATAAACCAAAATTTTATCTGGCGTGCATCTTCAACGCCGGGAATGACCGCCACGAGCTTCTCACAAATGCCCTCATAATCATCCTCGGCCGAGATTCGCACCGAATACACATAATCAGTGTCGCTGGATTTCCATGAAGAGTTGAAAAGGTCGAGGATACCAGGGCCTTCGTGCTGCATGAACGCCTTGGAATCGATCGCCACCAGGTCCACAGTGGCAGGGGTTGCGTCTTGATCGGGCGATGGGTTGGTGGTTTCAGGCCAGGGTTCTGGGTCTGTTTGTGACGTAAACGCTGGTTGTTCCATGTCATCCCGTACGTATAGGGCGATATAAGCCACGGCATCGTTCCCAGTAACTTTCCCAGTCCCGGACCTTCCCTCATGCTCGTCAAGGGCTTGGCGCTTGGTTAAGCATTTGACCATATTCTCTTCTTTACCATCGGTGTATGTGTACCACTTGGTCCCCGGCCCTCCAGGTCGAAGGATGGGTTGGTAGAGGTAGGATTGCAAGCCCTGCTTGTGGACGATGAATCCAAGGAGTGTATAGGGTACCTGGTGAACGGTGATGTGTTCATCAAGGGAAACCTTATTGAGCAACTTGACATAGGAACGAGATCCGAGGTCAAAATCCTGACGCGCCAGTTCGACCGTTAAAAGCTGTGGCAATGGCTGTGAGGAATGCGCAAAGTCGGGAGCGGAGTCAATGCCAGCCTGGATGCTAGGAGAGTTCACCACGGGGATTCGGTAGTTCGGTACTTGCAAGCAATGGTCCTTCTTTGGCCCGAACAGTGTATCCAGAAGATGAGCGTGTGGACTGCTGTGGAGTTCTTCTTCCAGTTTAAGACGAAGAGTTTCCCATATCTCCATCACGTCCATACCCTTCAGAGCGCTTTCCCAGATGCCATGAAACTCGAGCGCTTCTAACACAGGTTCTAAAGATACTGGTCCGCTCCCAGGTTTCGGAGGGGTTCGTAAGTCGCATAGAATCTCTATCAAGGCATTGACCAGCACTCTTGGTCGGGATTGGAGAGTCATTTCTGAATATCCATCCTTGATCACGGAGTAAAGGAATTGTCGGAATGGCTTAAAGTGCGTCCAGGTCGCAATAGCTGAGATCAGATTACCGCCATGAGAGGTCGATGAAGGCGACCGTAGGCCCTGTAGGCCAGTCATTGCAAAACTGTCCCATGGATTGGACGAGCTGGGATGTTCCCAGAGGCATCCGGTGCTATCGTCCACAAGACGGATGTATGCAGTGAAGGCGAGTTTGTCATTACGAAGTAGTGCTTGACGTTGGCCGTGAACTCGATGAGGAATGTCATAGTAAGGGCCGTGAAACCTTGTCCAGCCCCAGTCGGGTGAGGCACTACAGAAATGATGAGTGGAGGTCCGGAAATAGTTGACGCGAGGCTCGGATGGGTTGTACAGCACGACAGCGATCTGCGCAGCAACTCCTTTCCGCCTTGGAGCGAATGCCGAATCTATAAGTGGTAACGGCGCAGGTTGAAGCTCTGCGCTTTCAAGAGGCTGCGCACTACCGTTGCCCTCCGCGATTATCGACGAATCGCCTTCATTGGAGCCGGTTTGGCCGTTTTCCTGCTCATCAAGTTTGTCTTGGTTCCCTTGCATAGTGATGCATTCGACGTAGATGCTGAGATAATCCGAATCGTTGCCCTTTGGATAAAACTTGATCTGCCACTCATGGCCTCCGATGTTAACAGGCGAGGATTTCATGACCAGCTCCTTATTAGGGTTCTCCCTTGTGCCGTTGTAATTGTCAATGGCCCACTCGATGCGCCCAGTAGGCCCGGGAGTATATTCCGGGTCCTTGATCGCGTCGTCATTGTAGGCCAGCCTCTCCCAGTGGTCGTGGTCCAGCGCACTCACTTCGCCGCGAGCCTCTATTTCCTTCAATTCGTCCTCATCTGGGGAAGACGTGTCTTCGTGGAGAGGATGCCAGGGTTGGTCAGAGTCATCATCTTCCTCGTCTGAAGATTCGGACTCTGAACGAGTCATGTCGGGCGGTGGTGGCGGCGGAGGTTGGGAGCTGAGGTCGATTTGCGGGGGCTCAATGGGAGGAGCACGCTGAGATGGACTTAGCTCCTACGCCTATAAGCGGTTGAAGGTTGCTGCATTGGAAGGACTCACCAGTGCAACATCTGCCGGAGGCAGACTACCTTCGCCATTTCCGGTAGTACCCTGGCCTCCCATGGTGGTTGCGTCCAGCTCGGACGGGGGCTCGAGGCTGGGACGCGGTCGTGGATCCGGTAAGCCATCTGGTAGCACCGAGGCCTGGCTAGTGTCTGGTGTGATATCCATGGCGTCCTCGTCGACGGCAGTGACATGCACAGCAATCGTGGAGTCGGGTGGAGCGGGTGCGGCGTCGGCACCAGACCCAGTGTGCACATGGGAAGGCGCATCGAGGTCGTGCATGAAGGCATCCTCTTCCCGATCGTGATTCTGGCCGTCCGGCAGCGCGAATGTGGTGGATGTGCTCATCTCGATGTCTCGGGGCGCCTCTGGGGGTGATGCTGAAGGTGTCGCTGTGTCGGATGCGTCGGTTGGAGAATGGACTGGGCTGGAGAAGGAAGGAGGTGAGGGTGAAGGCTGCCCAAACAGAAGCGACGGCGGATCGATAGCCGCGGCCGAAGTGGTGACACTCATGGCTGCGAGGGAGGAGTATGGTAGCACATGTATGGATCGTTTGGTGCTGAAAGGACGCTGCTCGAGAGTTCAGCTCGAGGCCCAGAAGAGGGAGCTGCTTAGAAGGTAGGGTGTGAAGTCGGGTAGAAGCTGTGGTGGTGGTGTTGATATAGAGGGCAGAGAGGTGCCTGCTCCTTATCGATAACGGTCACGTCGGTTTGAGGCAGCTGCAGTTCCGGGGTGAAGTGGAACCAGTAGCTGTGGGGTTGGAGGGTAAGCTTGAGATAAGAGGTGGGGTGGATCAAGGAACTAGAAGCACAGTGAAGATACAGAGGTGAAGAGGGAGAAGGAAGAAATGAGGGAGGTTGAGGATGGATGGTTTGCACAAGAGTGTCACGGCGCGGCTCGGGGGCTTTCAGTCTGGGCCAAGCATGGAGGCGGGAAATCCGTGGACCAGTTGGAGGTCGTTGCCTGCAATGAGGCGCCAGCTTGTGCTGTGTACTGGTATCACCATCACTCACCGCCTCCACTCCAGGCCTAGCGTCTAATGTGTTACTCACCGCACCGCCACACGGCCCAGTCTCTCGAGTTGTCAGGAACGGTGCCTTGAAAGGCGTCTGGTGGAAAGCCTCGCATGAGCAACTTGCGGTAGCAGAGGATCGGTATGAAGTACGGCCTTCCTTGCACCTCGGTTTAGGAGTAGCTCTCTGTGTTGTGCAAAAGCATGCACCAGATGCAACTCACCTGGGCACATGGACATCTGTGAGTCGTGGTGGGCCATCAATTGAGATGATGACGATGATGCTGGTGCGGTTCAATGTTGTCCAGGCGCACCCCCACAAACGCTTGGCACGGCAGCTTCCCCGGGCCCCGCTAGCCCCGGTTCGGAATTGCTTCCCCCACACCACACACCACACCACCTTGGAACCCTCAACCTCAATCGTTCAGTGTCATCATTGACTACCCTTCCGCCGACACGACACGCAATGCCTGACTACCAGCAGCTACGCCCTATACCGACGCTTCTGCCTGCGCCGGCGCCCTTGCGAACGTGGCTGCCACAATCAAGGGGAACACAACCGTTGCCTCTGCGTACACCTTGACGCTGTCTGCGTCGGTCCGGATCTTGCCCCAGCTGACGGCCTCATCCGGCCGTGCCCCTGCGTCGCTGCCGTCAAACTCCTGCGCCGTGTTGATGTACACTGCGCTTTCTGCTCCGTTGCGCATCAGATTCGCATTGGCGATGTGGTGCTTGACAATCCCCCCGCCAAGGATGATCATGCCGGACCGCTTTGCCCGCACGGCAATCGTGTTGATCCTCCGTATGTCCTCGACGATGTCGATGCGCAGCTGCCCGGGGGATGACTTGAAGGTATGGAAGTACAGCATGTCTCCCAGACTGCCGTCCGTCAATGCCGGGCAGAAGACGGGAATGTCGTTCTTCCACGCCCAGTAGTAGACGGAACGCTCGTCGTTGATCTCCTTGCCCAGCCGATGGATTACCCTGCTCGGCGTCCAGTGGAGCGGTTCGTTGGTCTTCTTGCTTTCCTCCTGCTCCTCGAGCATCTTCTGCAGAATAGGCACCACCCAGTCCTCAAACGCGCAGTAGTTGTCGTTGGGGACCACCAGGTTGCCAATGCGGTTCATGCCCTTGGCACGCAGGCTGGCGCCAGGTGTCGAAAATTCTCCGAGATACGTGTGTCCAAGGCACTTGATGAAGTCTTCCTCGACGCCGCCTGCCGTGGTGACGATGGCTGACACGTGCTTGTGCTGGACCAGATAGCGCAATGTTTCGCGCAGGCCGGATGAGATGAGGTTGGATGTGTACCCCAGGAATATGGTTGTCCTCTGGCCCGTTTCAGGATCCCGCCACGCACGCTGTTGTACCCAGTTAGCGGGGATGAAGGAAGGGCGGGCAGTGTCAAGATGCAGTTTGCGGCTAAATCGCTTGCGTCGACTCCATTTCAACCCAGGACAGACTCACCATGTTGTTAATAATGCGCACCGCCTCCCCTACCGCGGTAGCCTGGAAGCCCATACTGGCCATGCCCGTGACCAGCTCCTCAACGGTAATGCTGCGGCCGGCATAGTGGTCGAAATCCACGCCCTGTACTGGCCTTGCACCTTCAGGGACAGGATCTGATGGCTTCAGCACAGCAGCGGCTGCACCCAGCGGGGGTGCGTCCTGTGCGGGGCTGCCCATGGTCATGTAGCGAAGTGGTGGGTTAATAATCGTCTGCGGGTACTCGGGAGGATGTAGGCTGCGCCGTTGATTTTGGTTTTGCTGTCTTTTCCGGGCTGCTGGGAAGTAGTGCAAATGATGGATTGCAGCGTCTGAGAAAATATAAAGAAGATTTGCTATGAGGAATATGATTGGCCGCTGTTCGAGATATGTTCGAGAAGCATCACGTGGCCGGCGCGGCATCTTGCAGCTTGGCGGCAGCAGGGGTTGTGTTCCAGCAAGGGTCTGCGCCCGCTTCGCTGCACAGACATCCACCTCGCAGCAACAAATCCGAAAAGTATTGTTATTTATTGAGCAGCACAGAATCAGCGAGGTGCTTCATTCCTTGAGGAAGAGGCAGGGCATCTACTGGGAAGTCAGGACGGTGCAACTAAGGACTTTTTTCAGCTGGGTAAGCAGGAGCGTGGTAGTGTTCGGTTGCCTGATGCGCTGCAGTGATTGTCATCTCCTACCTCTCCCCGAGGCTTCCATCCGAACTCTACACAATACTCCCGTATCGCATTATGCAACCCGCCGTCTGAGGGGTTCACCGTATCGGTCGATGGTCTTCGGCAGCGCTCCGCGAGGTCTCCCCTCCTCATCCTCCTAATATATGCTCCGTACTGCCAGTGCGACTGGCTGATGATGCCACACACAAATGATGAATGCGGCTGTGGCACGACCAGGGCCAGTGGGCCAAGACTTTGAACCCTGGCACGCGCTGCTGCCGATCTATCGTCCCAAGGTTCACCCAACAAGATGCCTCCGCCTCCACCGGCCGAGCTATTGTACTTGTACTTACAAGTAAGGTCGTAACCGATGGAGGAAAGGGAGAAGGAGCGCATGGCGGACCAGCGATACCACCTTTGAACAAGCGATGGATGTGACACTGCCGGTGAAGGGAGCTCGTGGGAACCCGTTCGACGATGCTTCCACCCACCCGCCCTGCGTAGCGTTTCAGGTGGCGGGCGGGGGGGGAGGGGAGGGGGCGCGCGATTTGGGGGAACCGAGCCCCTGTCAGTCTCCAAGCCGGCAGCAAACCAGCGGTCGCGGACCGATGCCAGAGTCCACCGGCGACGTGCAACGACGTGCGCGACGTGCAGGAGAGGCGCCCGTTGCCGGATTCGAATTAGATGGCCTTTTTCTCTCTCAGAAGGTAGAATCCAGGCTTGTGCGTCCATGGGAGGGGGCATTTGGACCTCAGCAGCAAGCACCCACACCCACACACCTAGCCCGGGCCAACCCTGTTGAACCAGTCCTGTGGCCCAGTCCGGCTTTTCTCATCTCTCTCTCTCTCGTCTCGTCTCTTCTCGTGTTGCGAGTCCAACTCTCCTCCCACCTCCAACATCACCATCATCATCACCACCACCACCTCCTCCTCCTTCTCTTCGTCCTCATCGCCCAGACATGCCGCACGACTGCGCCAGCGCTCTCGTCGGCTGAACCCCCCCTTCCTTCTCCGCCAGCTCCGGTAGGCCTGTTTGTTGCCGGTGTCCGCTCTCTTGAAGAAAATCCCATCTCAGCGCCACGTCAACAACCGCAGGCAGCCTTCTCCGAGTCGACTCCTTCGTCCGCTTCCATCCCGAACCACTCATTCTCTGCTCCCCACGTCGCTCTGCGTGTGCACCTCCCGTCGTCGCCGCCCGCACGCAGCTGCAGCGTCTGCCTCGACTGCAGAAGGTCCCGTTGCGGACCTCCCTCATCAGCCGCTGGGCACCTTCGGTGGCTCCCTGGACAGTTGCGTGTGAGAGGGTCGTGCCCCAGGTGCGCTCCAGGGTCGCTTCGGATCCATGCGGCTGCACCTCCCCAGCGCGCTTTCCTCTTTCGCCAACTAACTAGTCGTGCACGGACTGCGCCGTCCCTGCCGAACTTATCCAAAGCTCCCGCTCTGGTGGATCCTTGGCGCGTCACCCACCGTCGCCATCACAAAGCACCTCACCTGCAGCCCTACAGAGCCTTCAACGGGGACATTGACACCAGTCGCCGTCATCGCCGACGACTCTTGCGGCTCAAAGCACTCCATTCCTTTGGCTCCGTTGCATTTCTATTCCTGGCGCTCACTTGGTTCCCTCTAGCGGCCGCTACAACCCCTTGCGAGCTTCGGGCCCAAAGCGGTGTTTTTTGTTTGCATCTCGATACGCCACAGTTCTCATGTCCCCGCGACGTAGGCACGACGCACTCTCCAGCTCATCAACATGTCCTCCTCCCGGTACCCGGACAACACTAGCAGGTACCCGCGCGAGAGATCGCCTTACCGCGACCGGCGTGCCTCGACTTATACAGGCAGCACCTACGCTCCAAGAGGAGGCGACTCCCACAGGCCCAGCGCCGACTCGGTGTCATTTTCCCCTAGAGACGTCCCTCGCGGTCCAAAGTCCCTAGCAGACCCCGCCAGGCCTTCTCCCTCCGGACCACCTGCCGTTCCCTCGGGACCACGTGACCCACCCAGGCGAGCATTTTCCGGCCGTGGCGACGGTCCGCCATCGCTGAGGGATGCTCCTCCGCTAACCACACTCACCTCAAGAGACCACAACACAAGGGACCATTGGCGTGCTGACCGTGACCGCGACCGGGACTTTCGGGAGAGGCGGCCATCCCCTCCTCCTCGACGCTCTCCAGTCAGAGATTCCAGAGACTATTCTCTAAACATTGACCGTGCAAGGCGCAACTCACGAGATGGTCCCCTATCGGCAGGCTCAACCTATTCCGACCCCCCGCTTACAACCGGATCATCGTACCGTGGAAGTGGTATCGGTGGCCGAGGCCGTGGAGGGAGAGATTTCGGTGGCGACTTTAGACCTCGGGGCCGTGGCTACATCGACGAAAGAGACCGCCACCATGACCCCCGGGACCGTGTATACCGCCCTCGGAGCCGTTCCCGAGACCCTATACGACGGGAAAGAGATGCACGGGACGAGCGCGACTTCGACCGGCGGGACCGTGATGACCGCCGTTTCGATAGACGTGACGACGAACCTCGGCGTTATGACTCCTATCAGGGCTCCGCCGCTCTGAAGCCAGCTCTCCGAAGTCTAGATACACACCGCACCAGTGCTGGTACGGACCTTCGCAATCCACCAGGCACGGCGACAGGACCCAATACGCCACACTCGGCGCACCACTCCAGTACCAATGAACGAGCGGGCTCCTTCGTAGACGCATACTCGCGCCGGTCCTCTGTTGTCGCGGAGGCCCCCAGTGCAAAAGATGCACGGCGCCAAGCGGATCAGAACGACCTGATTGCCAGCCGAGCCGAACTCTCCAAGGAAAGATATGGGCCCCGCGCATCGTCCCCGCCAGCTTCCGTCCCGAATTTTGGATTCGTCTCCAATGTCTGGAGAAACCCCGCACTTGATTCGAAGCCGGCTAGCGGCGCGCCTGCACCAAAAGCCGTTGCTGCCCCGCCGGTGTCGTCTGCTTCCGGCTCGGGATCCTCTGGCAATGCGTCAGCTCCTTCCTTGGTCCCTCCTCCCGTCCCTGCGTCAACCTCTACTCGCGCCTTTGCTTCAGTTTCCACTCCCGTGTCTGCGCCAGTCTCTGCTCCCGCCTCTACACCAGTTTCTGCTCCCCCGTCTGCCCCAGTCTCCGTACCTGCCTCTACACCAGTCTCCGCTCCGCTCCCTGCACCAGTCTCTGCGCCAGCCTCTGCTGCCGCGTCTGCACCCGTCTCCGCTCCAGTCTCTGCACCAAACCCTGCTCCAGCGTCTGCCACTGTCTCAAAGCCCGCTATACCTTCGGGCCTTTCTACGGTTCCTCCCACTGGACCTAAAGCCGACAGGGTGGACAGGCCCCAGACGGACGATCATCATGTCAAAGAAGGCAAGCCACATATCATTGAGGCGCAGCGCACCGACGCTGGCGGACGTTCGGTCATGCCTCCATCCACGGCCCCAACCAATTTGTCTGCGCCTGAGCTCGCAGATGTCAGAGTTTTGGCGCCGACAGCAGGTCCCGCCAATATCCTGCCTACAGGACCAGGGGCCAGGCATAAGATTCCTCCCGGTGGACCTCCAGCTGGGCCCCGGATGAACGTAGCACCAGCTTTCTCAAGACCGCCACCCCCTTCACACACCGTCGCTGAGAGTTCCTCTGGGACAATACCTCTGGGTCCCCGGAAGTCCTTGCCCATGAGCGCGTCTCCAAAAAGCACACCGATGAATATCCCCACCGGCCCCAAGGCGGACAGGGCTCCTCTCGTTCCACGCCCTCCCCTGTACGCACCTCCCGATCGTCCAGGCTTTGGAGGGCCACGGAATCCTTGGGGAAAGAGTAACCAATGGGTAAGGCCTGATCTCAATCGGCCGCCAATTGTCCCCGCCAAACGGGAGTTTCCCACAGAAGACCGCGAGAGAGCATTTGGCTCAGCACCGAAAGCCCCGAGATTAGAAGCTAGTTTTGCGGCCTCGGACGCACAACGTTCTGAACAAACAAGAGTCGACGGTATAGCAGCGCATCGCGCCAGCGAAGCCTCGCTATCAAAAATTCAGGTCCCTCCTCAGCCGGTAAAGGCGCCCTCCCCCCAGCGCAGCCCTGCCAAGGCCAGACGTTCGTCCGATACATCTATGCCGGATGCATCGCCTCGGATGGAGCAGGCAGCCTCCGCGCCGGTTGTCCCAGAAGGTCTGCCCATGGATGATTCCGATGATGATTTCCTGTTGGACGAAGAGGACTTCGCGACTTCCGAAGCCAAATATAAACGTGAGAAAGCTCTCCTGGAATCCAGGCTAGTAGATCTGAGTGCCTCACGATTACGCGCCACTACACCTTTGCAAGAGATCATGCTCTTGTCTTCTCTGAGTCTGGAACATTTGCCGGGCGAACCCTCTGTGTCCAAGGCAGAAGATGGAATAGCTATGAACGAGGTACCCACACCTGCCGCCAATGAACCTTCCGCCGACGAAGGAGAGCCGATGGCTGTGGATGAAGAGACTGCCCCTGCGGAAGAGACGGCACCCACTCCCGCCCCTATTCAATTGCTGGAAACCGTCACGGCTGAGCTGCCGATATCCAAGGCCGAGCTCCCAACGCCCAAGGCCGAGGAGAGTGGGGATCATGACGTGGAGGGGAAGGGACAGACTCGCATGGCCCCAGCGACACGAACCCTTCGCCTTCGGAAAGATAGATCTGCCGACAGAGAAACTACCCCTCCTGACTTCAGCTCCCTACCTTACCTTGCGTCGGCCCCGCCGACTCCCCCGTCTGAGCTCGATCCTGATCGCCCTTCAATACCCGAGTCCGTGTTGGTGGGTATCCGTGATATGTTACGGAAGGCAACGGCGCCGGAAAGGAGCCCAGAAGAGGTGTTGCAGGAGTATGCTGAAACGTACAGGAATTGGCGTGCTCATGTTCAGGAACTCGATCAGCAAAAAGGTCAGGACGATCATGATATTCAGCCGTCTGCCGAAGGCTCACTGAAGGCGACGACGCCCGATGCTGCAGGCTCCACGACAGCTGCTCTGCTGGATGGACAGCCGACCCACGGTCGCCGCGGCCACGGGGGCCGTTTCGCAACAGAGTTAGACTTGGAGCAGGCCATCAAAGAGTCGCTGAAGACGGCCGAGGAGGAGCGAATGGGCAAGAGAGATAAGGAAACGCAGAAGTCTTCTTGGGATCCTGAGCGAGAAGCAGTTGTGCCAACCATGCTGACTGCCTATGACATTCAGAGGAGATGTTTCATCGACACCAACTTCCAACGCGAGCCCGGCCAGGGCATATTTGTCTATCACTACGAGCCGCCTGAGGATGACTTCACAGAAGAGGAGCACAAGGTCATGGTTCAGCATTACAAAGATCAGTACGCGAAAAAGTGGGGAAAGCTGGCAGAGATCTTGCACAAGGAACTGGGAACAAGCCGTACATACAAGGATACAATCAACCACTACTATGCCACAAAGTGGGGCAGAGAATTCAAACAGAAATACAAGCGAGGACGTGCTGGAGGAACCAGAAAAAAGACAGCCGTACGCGGGCGTGGCGCGCAGGTTGACCGTACTGAGCAAGGAGATGATACACCGCTTGCGCTAACTGACACTGGTAGACCCCGCCGTCAAGCGGCTCCAACTTTTGGCAATGATACTGAAGTGGATTCGCTGGGAGCCACCCCAACACCTGCACGCCAACGTAGACAGAACGAGTTGGACGGGCCGCAAGAGAAAGCGCCTAAACGTGGAAAGGCGAGAGAGAAGGGTGGCCGGAAGCAAAAGGCTCAACAACCTGTAGCGGTCGCACCGGCACCGTCTCCTGGCAAAGTCGATAAGAAGGAAAGGGACGTGGGCCTAGGCGTCAAAGCAGAAGACGAACCCGGCAAGCAACCAGCAGAGCTTCCTCTGCTCACTCCATCTCTACAGCCCACACCTTTGGAGGACCAGTTGATCCCTCACAACGAACTTGCTACCCAAGCCGGCCTGCCGCCGACGATTACGGAACGGCCCAGATCCAACACGACTAGTCGACCAGGCCCTTCCAGCTACTGGTCCGTTACAGAACAGAACGACTTCCACCGGAATGTGGCCCATTTTGGGACGGATTTCGCCGCCATTGCCGAGCATATGAAAACGAAATCGCAGACAATGGTCAAAAACCAATACCTCAGGCTGGTCGAATCCGGAAGCAGCCCCGATCTGGAGAAGCTGGCAAACGAAGCCGACAGGAGGCGTGAGCGAGGAGAACATCTCGGTCCACCGCCGACGCCTACTCCAGCCCCCAAGCGGCGGTACGATAACCCTGCCGTTCTTCCGCCTCGAAGTCTGGCGCCTACCCCTGAGGTAGCCGAGTCAATTAAATCGCCCCCGATCCATCCTCTTGCGCACCCAACCTTCTCTCCGTCACATCACGCTCCTCTTCGCTTCCCAAGTACTGCTACGACTCCAATGCAAGCGGCGTCGATTGCGCCTGGAGCCGGGTCAATGGTCGAAACACCCTTGGCTGCTCTTCCATCAGGGCCACCTCGGCATTCTCCTCCGGCCCCTCCTCCACCACCAGCACCACAACAACGTATCCAGGTACAGCACCTACAGCCTGCCCATTCCCACCGCAAGTCACATCACATTGGACCTAGGGCTGGTTATTTCTCTGACGATCAACCGCTGCGTATTGAGAATCGCGCCCCTCCGCAACAGCCACCTCTGACGCACCCTCCTCATCCGCTGCAACAACAGCTCCAAGCACAAATGCCTCCGCAAATTCGCAGCCAGGAGCCGAACGCCGCGACTATTTACCGTTCGCATCAGCATGAAAGAGAGGCTCAGATCAGGTTGGAACAGCAGCACGAGAGGGAAGCTCAGTTAAGGTTCGAGACGCATTCGCGACGTTTGTCGATGGACACGGCTTTTGCTAGGCAGCCGTCCTCAAGTGTCGCCGTCTCAGGTCCGAGTATGTCTATGATGCGCGCCAGTTCTGGGCCTGGCTCCCCTGAAAGAAGACCGTCTCAGCATCGGTATATGCCCGCCTACCCACCGACGACCAGTCAGCCTCAACAGCAAATGATTAGTCAGCCTCCTGGATCCATGGCAGCGCCACAGCAACTTCCGTCTCGATCGACTCTCGTCACACCTACAGTGAAGGAAGAGCCACGTCATTATTCTATATCGGCCCAAGCATCCAATCCTCATCATACTCAGCGTATCCAACATGCACATTCCCAGGCCCAGGTGCAGGCTCACCTTCCCACCTATCCACAGCCTCCTCCAACAAGCGCTCAGACATCGGCGCCGGCACCGGCTCCGGCAGCGCCACCCCGACCTCCTACCGAACCTAAAAAGTCGAGTCTCCTCTCCTTGCTGAATGCTGATGAACCAGAGGAACCCAGGCGCAAGAAGGCCACCGAGGTGCCCTCCCAACCCCCTACGCCTCAACAACACCAACCAGTCGCACCTCCTCCTCCCACCCAGACAACACAAAGGTCTGAGTTCTACGGAGCCGCTACTTCGCAACCTGCATATCTACGGGCATCATACTCACAACCACACCCACTGGTCCATCAGCAGCATCCTGCCCATCTTTCAGCGAGTCGGCAGATCATCGATCAAACCAATGAGCAGCAAGGAGCAAGGGCAAGCCCGCGGGATGGCTGGCAACAGAGGCAGACGTTCCATCCAGCGCAAGGCTCGGCGCAGCAATCTGCGCCCGTCAATTCTCCTCACTCGTCTCTGGCGCAGCCCGGATTTGGTGAAAACCGCATCCACGGGACTCACCGCTCTCTGCTTGCTCAGCATAGCGGTCCTCGCTATAACACTCCGCCGCCCAATGCCTACAGCGGTTCCCCACATATGCACTCCCGAGCGTCTAGTATCAGCGGCCCTCCGCATCAAAGCCGACATGTCCCGTCCGATGGCCAAGCCACGCCGGGCTCCTCGCAGATATTACAGCCGAACCCTTACGCCCAGGTAGAGCCTACAGGTGGCAGTTTACAGAACAGCGGACCTGCTGGCATGCGAGCAACCCTTCATTACCCCAACGCGGGACAACAAAGGGATACGCACGACCGAAAGGAGCAGTCGCAGATGCCTACCGCCAACTTGCCGTTCTCTAAGCCCCAGACGCCCGGCGATATTCAACCGCCTCATGCCCAGATTAGAGCTGGTAGCATTGTCGAGCCATACCGACCCAGGGACACATTCCGCGAATACAATCCCCAGACGCATGATCGCGATTCGTCAAGGGAACTCTCGCAGAGAACAGATATGCTGCTGCGTGAGCAAATGGCACGATCCACGGGGCAGCATCCGCCACATCAGGAAACACAGTGGCCGCCTGGTGCCCACGGCTACCCCCGATCTCATACGCCCCTATCGCGATCTGAGCATCCTCAGCAGACGTCAATGCGCCCTCCCATGGGTCAAGCAACACCACTGGCCGATAGCGTTGGCCTTCAAGCGTACGGACAGCGACTTCCGGAAGAGCCTCGTCACCAATATCTCGATGCTTACCCCACACGCGACGAGAGGTTTGCACGTGAGGAGCAAGCCTACCATCAGCAAGCTAGGTTGCGCAACGAAGAGCTCCGTGACGGTGGGGCGAGATATAGAGACGAGATGATGAGGAGAGAGGGCGGGATGTCCGGAGCGCCGCCACCGCCGCCACCTCCGACCGTCCCGCAGCAACCGCAGCATGAGCACAGAGGAAGCCATGGAGGCCCGATGGATTGGGCGAGTGCGGTGCCGCGGGGCCACGAGAGATGGCAACCCCATCAGCGGTAGGCGGCCGATGGATCTGTGTGCATCTAGAGTTTTCTTTGCATTGAAGCGGTGTTGTAGCGCTGAAGGTGCATATTGTGTATATGGCAGGGTTCTCATCATATATTGGGAGGCACTTTGTCGCGTCTTTTACGCTTCCATCTTTTCTGTTTGGAAGGATCAGGAGAAACGTGATTTAGCTTTGAAAAGGGGGAGCTGTGGGCATTTACACTGGCCTTTGGTCATGTTTAGGGCTTGGAGTTGTGGTAGTTGTGGTTGTTTTGGTTGTATACGCTGCTTTTGGTATTTTCCTTGCCTCTGGTTTTGATTTGATTTGCCTGAGTGCTTTTCGTTTGCGAGCCAGCGCTGCTTTTTGCGCGTGTACATAGAAAGAGTAGGATGAGAGCAGGGGTGTTATAAGTAAAGACGTCTCGATGGAACGAGGTCGAAAATATATACGTTCCAGGCTTTTCAATATGCAGAGGAACCCTGCCCCTCAAACATGTGCAACCTCTGGCCAAAAGTCGGCTTCAGCATCCAGCACCCTCCTCCAGACTCCCTCGGCCCTCCGCATGACGTCTTCCCATTTCCCTTGATCCCCGCCGACGGCTTCCCTGACCCCGTCGTTCACAATGCGCTCCAGCGTCTCCACGAACTCGACAAACTCGTCGTTGGTCCAATTGGGGATAAACTCCGTCTTCATGACATCCAGCACCTCGGCACCACCTTGAGGAGCAGAAACAGCAGCACCTCCGGCCTGCTCCGCCGCCCACCTCCAAGCCGTAAGATACACCTTCTCCGTCGCCCAGAAGAGGACGGCGCCTTCAAGCCATGGTAGAACCCGCTGCTGCTGCTGTTCCCCCATCTTCCCATCATCATGGCTCGTCAAATCCCCGACCAGCGCCTCGAACTTCCTCAACCCGGCGATCTTCAAACTGTCGTCGACCTCCGAGGCGTGCGTGCCCGGAGCAGATGCAGCCAGCGAGATGTCGATGTTGTACTTTGTCGCGACCGAGGCGAAGAAGCGCTCCTCGCGGCGGATGTTGACGAGGGCGTCGACGAGCCAGTCGACGAGGCGGTGCGAGATGGAGTCTGCGATTTCCGTCTCTACGATGATGGAAACCGTGTTCGTCAGTTTCCACATCTAATACATAGTATTATATATATGATGCGCCCTCAAGCTTACCATTTCCTTCTTGCGCCGGTGCAGGTCTCGCAGCCGCGGCCGCGGCCGGCAAATCGAGAATCTGCAGCAGGTACCCTGCCAGCTTGATGTAGGCGCGCATGTAGAGCAGGTCGTTGGCGAGCCATTTGTCGAGCAGAGGTTTGGGGAGCGCGTTGGTGGCGGCTGCGCGGAGGAAAGGGGTTTGCGTCGCGGCTGTGAAGTGCGCGGGGAAGAGGGAGAGGAGGTGTGCGGTTAGGGTTTGAGGGTTGTTGGAGGGGGGTGGTGGCATGGTTTTTTTGTTGGATGGCGATGATGAGTTGGGTGAGGTGGATATGGATGGGGAATGGAGGTGGTGTGTATTTCTGTTTTGTTCTGTTCTTTCCCTTTTCTTTTTCTTCTTTTGGTTTTTGCAATTGGAGGAAGTGGGGATATTTGATGCATGCATGCAGCTGGAGCTCAAATTATAGGTGCCCCGCATGTTGCGTCACCGATCAAGTCGCGAGGCACCCATATCACGGTTTTGGGGGAGTAAAAAGCACGCGAGAAGGTAGGCTACCTATCAAGTACAGCGCAAGCTGATCATGTTCAGGGCCTGTGTATGTCTTCATTATGCCATTGTACTTAGGGAGCGAGGACGTACACATATTCCCACGTTTTTCCATCCCTCCTTCTATCGGAATTCGGAACGCTGTGTCGGAACTCGGAATCAGAAGTATAAGGGGAGACCACGAGTGTAGCCAATACGAATATTGTAGCCCTTGCATGCTGCTTGGAAATGCTCTTGGGGCGATCTTGAATCCGCTTGTGGAACTGATTCATTCTATAAGTTGTCCTTGGAATACATCGCTTCAACTCCTACCAATCATGCCAATATATATACAAGCGCCGCACCAACACCTGTTACCCAGTCTCCAACACTCTTCCCCTTCCTTATGTTTTTGAACCGTCCCCATTTCCATTTCCGCTTACATTGGCATCTGGCTTCGTACTCGCACTTGCACCCGCATTCACATTCTTCACCTTCCCCTCGCCACCCACGCCGGGCGTGCCCCTCTCCTCAAACTCCTCCTCGTACCGGCGCCACAGCTCCATGTCGCGCGCCATGCGCTTGTAGTGCCGCATGCGGTGCTCGTAGGCCATGATGCGCTTGTCGGCTTCGATCATGCCGCCGAGGATCATGCCGGACATTTGGAGGTAGCTGTAGCGGTGTTGGTAGAAAATACGGACATAGGATGAAAATAGAGAGGCGAGAATAGATGGACGAGGAGATTGATTGAACGATGATGAGAGTTGTGGGGCATAGTAGACAAATTGGAAGTGGTGTCCTTGTTGTTCTTGTTTCGGTGGAGATGGACTAGCAGTGGCAGAGAGAATGCAACTGAGGTGGAGAAATAAGTGGAACGAGACTTACACTTTGAATTGGATAGTCAGACTACGATATAACGGCGAGAAGGTGTATCCTAGGCCTGCAGCAGCAGCAGCAAATATGCCCCACTAACAGAGAACGTTAGTAAGTGTACAAATCTCCAAACTCAACCTTTCCCCCCGCTCATACGTCAGTCCCTCTTCCCACAATACAGCTGCATCAAGGACCACATCACCCTTCAATCCCAATATAACCAACACTCCACAATTCAATTGACGTATCTTCTGCTCCGGAAAGAAGAAAAAACGCTCATAAAACATACCTTCGCAGCCCCAACCACCGCGCCCCTCGCCGCCTCCCAAGCCGCCTCATTCGTCTCCTCCTCGCTCTTCATCGTCCCATTATACCGCACCATGCCGTCCGTTACCGTTTTCCCATTAATATCGATCGCACCTCAACGATTTTCCGGCCAAAAGTTGTTTGCGAGGTCGGAGCAGATGCTACGCCGAGCACACTTTCCGCTTCAATTGATTGCAATGACGGCGGCGGTAATGGTTCGTAGGTGTGTAGGTCGAGTTGGGCGGGATGTTGAGGATAGAAGGATGAAGTTGGGATGTTGAGATGGTGTGATGTCAGTGCTCGGATGGAGGTGCACGCGATGCGTGGGGGCTTTATCGATAAAGATAGCATGCCGGGAAGGGTGGGTTGGCGTAAAGTTTAGTGGAAACTGTGCTCCCGCCCATCTATCGGGCATTTCGTCGTACGTATTACTGGGCATTATTGCGTATACTTTATCACGATGTTTACTCGAAATGCATTCTACCATAGTATACTCCCGGATTACCCTTAGATCCCCAAACCGAATACCCACACCCTCAGATCATTCACAGCTTACAGTGTGAGCTCTCGCACACCTGATTTTTGGGGACTAGGGTACAGGCAATGACCGCCAGCCGGTGAAGGAAGGGGACGTCATCGATTCTACTGTGATTCAATGGCGCTGGCTTATTGCGTGGCAATGCAGAGTAACGGCACCCCACTGTGTTCCGATGGCTTACGCTGTCCGAAGCAAATCTCAGCATATTGCGTGGCTGGACAGTGGTTCTACCGCAGGTTATCTCAGCTCTAGTCTCCCGAAATACGAGAGATATACTAGCTATGATAGATCCCCAAAATCCGTGATTGCAACTAATCATAACCTCAATTTAGTTGAGGAATCTTCACTGCGGCTCCCGTCTGGTGTTTCCATCCACCTATACTGTAGCTGCCGTAATTCGCTGGACAATCTTCATCTCCTCTCAATCTTTCCTCATCTTTTCGGTCGCAGATATGTCATTGAGACCAGAATCGGTGCAATCGTTCAGGACCGCATTGGAGTTTCAGCCGGCAGTTATTTCGCTGGAACCGCAACCATCCACCGAGGATGAGGGAAAAGTCTACCAAAAGAATGGCAGGTGTACGTTACCTTCCAGCACAGAAAGTTGGCGCTCCGGTGAATCGAGGCGGAAGGAAAGAGGAAGATATCCGGTTCGTCCCCAAAGACAATGCCACTGTAACACATCATACACGAAGCAAGATGACGGTACAAGGTCATCGGGCAAGAACGATTTGAGGGATTCCCCAATTGGCGCAGAATATGGAAATGTCATCGATAATCTCATCGGATCTCTCAATCAACCTGAGAGTATGCGCATAGCGCCGAGAAGAAGGTCCGACGGAATTCCATTCCCACGACTGCATCACACTTTTCCGGAGGAATATATTGTCGCTCGAAACTCGCCACGTTCCATCAAATCGAAAAGCAGTATAAAGTCTTCAATCAGCAGAAGATCTATCAACACGCATGAGAGCACATTTTCACTGAGGTCTGGCGCGACGATCATTGAGAGGCCACCACATTCGAAGGGTTCCAAAGACCCATCTCTTGATGGCAGATTCGACTTGTCTCCTCTTCGCTCACATGAGCCGGTATATCCGCCTCCCGCCAAACTCGCAGTTATTCTGGCATCATTGTATATATCCATCTTCCTCATCGCACTCGACCGCACAATCATTGGCCCAGCCATCCCCGAAATTACCAACAAATTCAACTCCATCTCGGATATCGGATGGTACGGTTCCGCCTACATGCTAACGTCATGCGGCTTCATTCTCTTCTATGGCCGTATATACACGTTCTTCGCCACCAAATGGGTCTTCCTCGCCTCCATTGCACTGTTCGAGATTGGCAGTGCTGTATGCGGCGCAGCGCCTAGCTCGAAAGCCCTGATCATTGGGCGCTCGGTCGCGGGGGTAGGAAGTAGCGGGATCTATACCGGCGCGGTTCTCATAATAACGGAGATTGTTCCGTTACATAAGCGTCCATTCATCAATGGGCTCTTTGGTGTGTGCTTTGGGGTTGCCTCCGTCGCTGGTCCATTGCTCGGTGGAGCTTTCACTGGAAGCAGAGCAACTTGGAGGTGGTGCTTCTTCATAAACCTGCCCCTGGGTGGTTTCACGATTATCATCGTGTCTCGGTTCCTGCACATCCAAGACAAGAAGGAGAGTCTCGGCTGGAAAAAGACAGCACAACATCTTGACCCTATCGGTACTCTTCTCCTCCTGCCCACCATCGTCTGTCTGCTTCTTGCTTTGGAATGGGGAGCAACAAAGTACCCGTGGAACGACGGCAGAATCATTGCTTTATTGGTAGTCTTCGCCATATTGCTCCTAGCATTTCTCCTCTGGCAGTATCACACGAGAAAGACGACGGCCACCATCACCTCCGAGATTGCCTTTCAGAGGAGCGTGGCTTTTGGCGGACTTTCCCAATTCTGTGTCGGCGCAACAATGCTCACTTGCGCTCTTTATATACCTGTCTGGTTTCAGGCCGTCCAAGGAGTCGATGCAATGAAGTCTGGTATTCGAACGATCCCGCTCGTTCTTTCGGTCGTTGTAGGCTCCGTATCATCCGGCGCAGCTGTGCAAAAGATCGGTTACTACTCGCCTTTTATGATTGCCGGCGGCATGTTATTGATCACTGGCACTGGCTTACTTACCACGTGGGCTATCACCAGCGGCAGCGATAAGTGGATCGGTTACCAAGTCCTGTTAGGATTAGGAGTCGGGTTCACTATGCAACAACCGAACCTAGCAGTCCAAGTTGTTCTTCCGAAGAAGGACATTCCAACGGGGATCGCATTATTATCTCTGTGCCAAACATTGGGAGGAGCGCTCTTTGCGTCCGTAGGGCAAAACACATTTCTCGACAGGTTTCTACGGGGCCTGCAGCGCATTGAAGGAGTTGATCCGGACAAAACAGTTCATGCCGGGGCTACAGAACTCAAAAGCGCGATCCCCGAGAAATTGCTTCCTCGAGTGCTGGAGGCCTACAACAGCAGTCTGACGAAGGGGCCTTTCCTGGCGGTTTTCATAGTGGCCTGCTTCTCGGTTCCGGCGGCATTGGGCATGGAATGGAGGAGCGTGAAAGAGGGCCAAAAGCTCGGCGGTTCCTCAGGAAACACGCGAGGTAACGAGCAGTTCGAATTGGAGGTCTTTAGTGAGGATCAAGTCTTCCCTCCTTCTACGCCACGGTCCACGACCTCGTCACACCTGAAAGACGATAAGATATCAGCTCCTCCACCATCAGTTCCTAGGATCTCTTGACAGGCGATTCTGGTTGAAGGTTTCGGGTCCCATGCAAGGCAAGTTTCACGGCAGCATCCCTTGTCAGAGTGCATTAGTAGGGTTCCCGAATAAATGTTTAAAGTTCTGGTCGCCTATATTCCATAGAAGCACATATTGCATTGGGTGATAGAATGATAAGACGTATCGATGGGGAGCCGAGACTTCAGCCAGGCATTTCCCCTGTTCGGATAGTGTACGAAAATGTTTCGTGGGAGCGAGCTGAAGCTGAGCCAATGTCTCGGGTGCTCTGCCTTGCTCGTGGAACGGACTCTAATGGAATGGTTCGGCGATTACATGGTGAGATAGTATGTATCCTGCGGGTCTGCGCGGTCTGCGTTTTGCCCGCATCATCGTGTCACAATCTATCAAGGTCCGGGCAACTCCCGGGAACCGCGTACAAATCAATCTACATTCCGTGAAACTTGAGCGAGGTAGATTGCGTTGCATATGCAGGCACTTGATAGCTAGTCAAGGTTCCGAAGCGCGTCTTTTAAGCAAGGCCAAAATCCGTGCCTGATTCTGTGACGCAATAGTTCTTCATTAGCCTTTCGCTATTATTAGCTGATCTCGGCTACTACGTTGCATACACAATTTATCGGCCTTGCCGCAGAGTACTTTCTCTGCTGCCAATGATTTTGTTGAGCCGTGCCATCCTCTACGTTAAAGCAAGAAGACCAGACCTCCGTTAAGAGACACAAGACACAATTACCCAAAGGGAATATACTCTTTTTTACGGCTCTTCATGTCGGAAGTTTCACTGGTCCGGCTTCATAACCGAGCTCAGCTACACAAACCCACCTGTTACAGCGAAAGAAGGTGAAGCTCATTTGCATCTTTGGAAGTGGCACTCCGACAGTACATCTCATGACGGTGGACCAACAGAAGGAAGGACCCATGAACCGATTATCCGAAGGGTATGGGGGGTTCTTCATTCGAAAAACCTGGTACTCGGGTTCTGTTCATCTGAGAGCTCATGGTGGTAGCATCAGTATATCCGGCTTCTCACACTTTAGTAGAGCCGACCATGCACGCTCTGTCCTTTCTCACAGAGATCCCTGCGGTGACTATATTGAGATGCACGCCATCCTTGGGGAGATTTCGCGCCGGCGTGTGGCGTTCCTGTATGCAAGTCCAGTTAAATCACTGGTTCAGCTATCGAATATCGACTGATTATCCCACGCGCCAGGGTGTCCGTAAGCTCGTATAATGTTTCATAATAGATAATTGGAGAGCAGCGCGATTGTATGCTGATTCACTACAAAAATATCGGCATATATAAGTGAGCCAGAAGATTATGAGCATCAGGTATCAACGGTGACAGCATATGTTCATTCCCACACCGTTATCGGCTGTTAACATCCATTACCTCTTCTATTCCTAAATTATTCTGGGCGTTCGTCCAGATCATGTCATCTACGGACATGCATCTGGTTGTCAGTGTCGCCTTCCAAGACGCCGGGGACACTACCAGAGCCATCGCCATTGCGGCTGCCTTTCGGGATAGTTGTCCTGCGTACTACAACCTCAAGATCAGTTTCCTCTCCTGTGGTAGTCGGTTCGAGCATCTTATCACCAATGCCGGGTTCCCTATCGTCCCAGCGCAACCGCGCGTGAAAGGCATCAGCGTAGCCCATGACTTGGGCTGGGACTTTCCAGAGTTCTTCGGCTCGGAAGAGCTCGCTCGAACCTTCATTGTTGGGCAGCTTGCTGCGTTCAAAGAGCTGCAACCCGACGTGGTTTTGCACGGGATGTGGGCGCCGGCCAGCATTGCAGCTCGCTTGATGGGAATCCGCACCATTAATTTTCTCCCCGTACCCCTTCATCCGCGGAGCTTTGGGGAAGGTCTCATTCGGGACCTGCCGGACCCTATCCCCCTGTTTACACGCCTGCCTCGACCGCTTCGAACTCGTCTTGCGTGGATGGGCAGTGAGCTGATGCTCAACGCTCCCATCTTCCGCCAACACAGGCTTGGTGCAGCCGCTGCAAGCTGTGGATGGCCCATCAAAGGACCAATCAGTTTGTTCGACATGAACATGGCAGATCTCAATCTCGTCAATGATCACCCAATATTCCATCAAGATTACGCCGATCAACTTCCAGAAAATATCGTCATTACCGGGCCTTTATACAACCAGACGGACGCAAAGCTGGACCCAGAAATTGCTGCCCATATGACACAGGGACCTGGCCCTGCCATTCTTGTTGCCATGGGCAGTTCTGGAACCGAGGACTGGATCTTCGAAGCGATCAAGGCTTTCAAAATGTACAAGGACGATTACTGGAACGTCGTGGTTCTTGCTTCACCGTCCATTTGCGCCATTGAAGATGCCAGAGCAGTGGCTGGTGGAGACCCTCGAATTCTAGTCACTGACAAGTTCATCCCAGCACCTGCGGCAAATGCACTTGCAGATGTCATCGTCATACACGGAGGTCAAGGCACTGTGCAGACTGCTCTTGCTGCAGGAAAACCAGTGGTTGGCGTTGCGCTTCAGATTGAGCAACAAACGAATCTGGATAACGTCATGAACGCTGGTGCTGGGATACGCATTCAAAGGCAAAACTGGAAAGCGAAAAATATCAGAAACGCTGTGAACACCATCCTGAGAGACCCCAGTTATAGACTCAAAGCGCATGCTCTGGGGAAAGAGATGCGTAGCATAGATGGTGCGAAGAATGCTGCAAATGAGATGTGGAAATTCGTCCTCGAGGAGCAAAGTGTCACCGTCAAATACAACGACTAAGCAAAGGCCTGGGCCTCCACAATTTTTGGAGATAATATGGTTAGCCGCCGTCATCTTCAACAGGAACACTGTCATTCGCTTCTATTCGTTCTTTCTTCTAGATATTCCAGTCTAGAGGGCTTCGAGCTGTTGCTTTGTAGAGTCGCGGAGGGAATTTGGTCGAGCTCGAAGGATATACTTTCTTCTCCATCAATCATTCCGCGAAGCCTTTTTCTTGCATTTTATCAAGCGCCGGAATTGAGACTAGGTCTCATCTTGTGCTTTCCTTACTTATTTTCGTTTTCGTTTACTTTGCGTTAATATTACACCGCCTGGCTTGGTTTTCATTCAATATTTCGTGATAGAGATTCTACCCACAACAGTCTCACACTTCACTGCCTCGTCGGCTTGATCAGTTTCAATGACGCCTGTCTAGTTCTTAGTCCACTGACTCTTAATCTAACTGCGATCAATCAATCTTGTCGATAACTTTCACAGACCCTAGAATCCTCTTTCGACTTACTACGCTGTTCACGCTTCTACCAGAGGGCAAGAAATCTGCTGTCGCTTTGCGAAAGATCGGGTCTGCCTTTCACAATGGGAATTCTTCCAAGGAGCCTTGGGTTACCTTGGCAACCATAGAAAACAGATGGCGTGGCCCAGGTACGTCACAGCTAGCGTTAGCCGAGAGAAGCGTTAGCTATAGATACTTTGGTCTAACGACTCCAGGTACATTCTTGAGGGACAAATATCCTCGAACTTTGTCTCACTAAGGACTCACCCAGAATCTCGCAGCAAGAGGTGTAGCCGCTGAAAAAGTCCGATAGCCTACATAGAAGAGTGACATATTTCCTTGGCCAATTTATCTCCAGAGTCGCTAACCAGGGTCAGTTTGCCGCACGCCGGGGTTGACGTACTTTGATCAAATTGCCGAGAGAAAGCCCCCTATATGGATGAAATCCGGGGTGCATATAGGTGGGAAAATGTACCGCGGGAAATCTAAATGGAGGGAAACTGTTCTTTCACACCATCTCACTGGCTTCGACACCCGAGGATCTCTGCCTCGTGGAGCTTGGCTTTAATTTTCAAGGCGACTGAAACTCATGGAGAAATTTATGGCCGTCTTCGAAACCCCATTTAATCATAGTCTCTGACCCGGCCAGAGAACCTTGGCACGCAATCCCTACCTCTAGTTAACATTGAAAAAGTCGCCATTCTGCCACGAAGCGGAATGTGCTCTCAGGGTTGAGTTGAACTCTGGCGAAAACGCGCAAAACTCTCCACCATGGTGCAGCCCTCCATCGTCGCCGCTGTGCTCGCACTGGCCCCCTTTGCTTATGCGCAATGCGGTGCCGGAACGCCTGATGCAAAGGTTACTGGATCCGGAAACTCATTCACGGCTACAAAGGGTTCAAGCACAGTATACACCGGCTCAGACTATCGTGCTGCAATCCAAGCGGCATTGGACTCAATTAGCAGCGGCCAACGCGTCTCCGTCATGGCCTCAGGATCCCTCGGCGCCAACACCATCTCAATCGCAAGCGGGAAGATATTTGAGGGATGCGGAACCATCAATGTCGGCAACAAGGCAGGACGAGGCGCAATCGAATCGCTCGACACACAAGGGACACAGATCCCTTACCTCACCATGACGGGCAACCCTTACTTCGGCTTGCGCTTTTATGGCACGCGGGGCCTCGTTCTTGGGAAAATCAATCTGAATCTTAGTGGCGGATTGGGGATTCGATTCGAGCGTGACAAGGCCGCGAACAGCAATGTGAAAATGGACACAATCACCTGCACGGGCGCTGGTAGTCACTGCGTTGAGACCTGGAATATCGACACACTCACGATAAACTCTGTCATTGCACGCGATGTCAAAGAATGTGGTCTCCTTTTGCAAAAGACGACGAACGCTCGTGTTGGTCTGGTAGACGGGAATAATGTCGCGGCCGGGACCGGTTACGCGACGCTGCGATTCGCGAACGAGAACGGAAAACTCAACGGCGGTTATAATACCAATGTGTATGTCGACAAGGTCGTATCCCGAGGGGGTGGGCGCGGTATATTCTGTGTTTCCCAGTCCGGTGGTGCTCAGATTGGCACCGTAGATCTCGCCAATAATGGGAATAATGCTATTCTCATTGAGAACTGCTACAATGTCAATATTCGAGGAGGCACTGTCAACGGAGGTGGAGAGGTGCGACTGGCTGCCCGCTCTGAGTTCGCAAATAATCGCGATATCAGTATCAATCTGAAAGTTGATGGGACCACTGTACGCGAATCTCCATGCGGACAGAACATCAGATGGACACTTTCTGGCAACGCTAAAAGGACTATCTGCTAGAATTAATAAAGCTTTGCTCTACCTCCGTACATGTATCACTGCTTTTGAATATCAGCTGTGGCTGTTGAAACAGTTACTTCTCTGTTAGTACACTGCTTGAGCTTTCACGCCCTGTGTGCGTACACAGAAAGACTGATATGTCAGGAGCCGTGATTGATTTGCGCGATCGACTAGTTGTTGGCTTTTAGGTTTTCACCTTACCATCGTGCACTGATGGCCGCTTCTTTACCGCTGAGGCTTTATTGTACGTCAAAGTACGTTTGCTTGTTTGCCATAGGACCAGAACTGCTAATAAAAGTCAACAATGCAAGTGGAGCAGGCTAGAAACCCGGGTCGTGGCGGCTCAATGTGAGATGCTGTTGTTTCCTACGTTAGCTGTGACGGTTTAGGTAGGTATCGCGGACCTCAGAGTGGAGACTCATTTGGACTACCAGATCCGAGGAGCGATTTATGAGACGACCTACTATCTCTCTTCCATCAGCTCTAACCTTATTCGTCTCCTTTGAAAATAATAACACCGAACTTTGCTTCTATCAATTAACAAGGCGATTGCTACTTATTACTTCGAACTTGTGCTACGTTCAGAGCCCCCCTATCACACCCACTGTCGGCGGTTGATCAGCACTGGAGGGTTGTTCCGAGTACAGTAGTGCACATTGGGGGCCAGGGCGTTTGCTTACTGTGGCCCGCTGTTGAGCGCTACACAAGGCACATGGTTGGATCTCATTCTTACGTTAGCCAGGAAATTCCCTGCCTGTAGTTGGACGAATTCTAGGGTCTTCTCGAAAATGTGGCTCAGGCGTAACCCCTGCGCCCTGGTGCCTCCAGCACGAAAAGGTCTCCTCAGGTATTGTATTGGCCCGGACCCGAGCTGAATTTATGGCAACCATAATGGGAGCATTGGGCGAGAAGTAAGCAACTTGCGCAGTTAAGTCCGACTGAATTGCATATGAGCATGTCACCGTGTCATCTTGCCCTTCAAACTATTCCTCACTGTTGCAGGCTTTGCACACGACCCCGCAGAATGTTAAGGCACTTGTTCTTCGCTTTGACTTTGGTCTATTCGGTTGAAAGTGCTTGTTATTGGCGAAACGGCACACAGGACCCCAGTCCCGACTACGAGCCCTGCAGTTCTGATCTTTCGAATCCGCTTCATACTGTCTGCTGCGCGAAATGGGATACGTGTTTGCCAAATGGTCTATGCCAATCAAACCGTGACCAAGATATATGGCGCGAAACGTGTACAAAGAAGAACTGGGATGAAGGAGGATGCCAGGAGCTTTGCTCGAATGAGGTACAACCCTGCCAGAGAATACCTTCATGCACAAGTGCGGTTCAGGCTAACTCATTCAGCGTGAATCGCAAAGAGAAAACAGCATCAAAGTGACGCCTTGTGACGGGACTCCTTCATCTTTGACCTGGTGTTGCGGCGATAACAACACAGCTTGCTGCGCGGACGGAGGTAATGCTTTACGGTACACAATCGCTAGGAGATTCGGAGACCCTATTCCAGCTGCATCGCCCAATTCCTCCAGTTCCAGTATAGCGACTTCAACGCCGACCTCTTCAACGAGCAGCCAGTCATTGTCGCCAAATACAACCTCTAAAGCATCCTCAGGATCAACGACGCCGTCCACATCGAGCGGGGGCTTATCTTCAGGAGCCAAGGCTGGTATAGGTATTGGTGCAGCGTTCGGAGCACTCGCACTAATTGGGTTGGGGTTATTCATGAAAAAAGCAATGCGGTGGAGAAAGAAGGCCTTAGACGCGGAAAAAGACAAAAGTGTCGCCATCCTTCCCCCGGAAGAATTTCCAGGGTTCGCTACACCGCCGAGTAATGGGAAGTGGGCATATCAAGGAACATTCAGCCAACCCGAGGAATGTGTGCATGAGTTGTCGGCGACACGGGACACGGTGGAGATTTTAACCTCACCCATTGACCGTCAACGACCGGAATCAGTCAAAGAGCCGCACTCTTCCCAAAGTCCTTGAGAGAAGTTTCTTGAACATTATGCAAGATTTTAATGTTTTAATAATCACCGAGGCCGGGCCTGCCATGCCTGATATCAGGGGGTATGCCAACATTATTCTAGGATCCGGGGAGATCCCTACGGGAATGTCCAAGAGCAGTATACCGGCGCACAACGTAAAGGAATATTACCGTACGCGACTGCGGATTTGATCTAGAAGTTGAATTGTTATCGATATCATAACGTGTGGCGCGAATAGCATGTATTATGCTAATACATAGCTGCGAATAGAAGCTGAGATGAAAGAGAGTATAGCGCTTCTTTTATATACATGATTCTTAGACACTTTATTGCCAACTGGTGAATATATTTCATCCTTAGAATCCGCACAATGGTACGAACAATCGTACGGTTGGGCTTTCACCGTTGACAAGCGTGATACCTGAATTTCAACCGTGGTTGTAGTTCGTTTCCTCTCCGGCACTCTCCTCTCAACCTAGAAAGTTTACAGTCACCGCTGATGGAAGCCACACACAATCTTAGGGATCACCGTTCTTACCTCTGGCTGCGGCGGCAGCTCTCAGCTTCCTCGTTCAAACAGGTCTAGAAAACTCACAAATCCGTGATAAATTCCAACAAGCATTTCTTGTCGGCAATGCAAGCTCATACTACTTCAACAGCGAAGGAGGTGCCGGACGGGACTAGGGTATGCAGATGTAAAACCGCAGCAATTATAAAAGAAGCTAGTAGAAGTTGCACACCCCTATGGTTGTAATAATGCACAGGAGGACATTGGACAGAGATGAACCTCTCTTAAATATTACCGTTGACAAGGGCATCATTGTGGCAACAAAGAGTGCTTGGCATACTATACCCGTTTAGTATCACCAGAGCTTAGTCATCTTTGGTACGGCCTCATTCAACATCCACATCCACGTCACATTCACCTTGCACACCATCATCCATCCACCTCACCCAAGATACATAAGCACCATGGCCGAATCCCGAAAACCCTTCCCCTTCGTCCACGGCGGCTGCACCTGCACAACCATCCGCTACCGCCTCCTCTCGGCGCCACTCTTCGTGTACGCGTGCCACTGCGGGGAGTGCCAAAAGAGCAGCGGCTCCGTATTTAAGGCATGCTGCATCATGGAGTTTGACCACGTCCGTCTCCTCTCGCCGACGCGTCCTCTGATGCGGAAATTCGAGGCAGTTCGGCACACGCGTATATACGCCACGTGCCCAAAGTGCTACGACGTGTTGTGGCATGTCGGGAGTTATGAGCCATCGACCATCAATGTGCGGGTTGGAACGTTGGATTTGCCTGGGTTGATGGAGCCGGACTTGCATATTTATACTGAGTCCAAGGTGGATTGGTTGGTGCTTAAGGAGGGGACCAGGACTGTGAAGGGGGACATGAATCGGGCGAAAGAGTGGCCGAAAAGCAGCTTAATCAGACTATTGAAGTGCAAGAAGAGGTACGAAGAAAGGATCAAGCGGGAGAGTGAGGCAAGGAAGCTGGAGGAGGAAGCGGAAGCAAACAGTCACGTGGACGAAGGTGAGGGTGAGGCCGAGGAGAAGACGCCTCGGAATGGAAGTCCGGAGCCATCGTTCAATGAAGAAGAAGAGGCGTATATCGATGTCGATGATGATGAGTTCGAGAGGAGGTATGAGGAAATGGAGAAGGTATTGCAAGAAAGGCTAGAGAAACTGAGTTTGAAGCTCAGTAATCAGGAAGAGACGAACTCAGAAGGGACCCAGGCTTAGTGAGCAGTTCTGATTAATAATAATCGATATGTACACAGTAGGAAAGAATATAAAGCCGACTTCTAAATTAGGTACCACGCCCCTGACAGCGACTCCACTCTATCTATACCTTACCGAAGTATAGCCTCAACCCACCAAAAAATGATCGCAAAAACATACGACACCACTCTATTCGCAGCTGGTCACCCACACTACTACTCAAAGGGCGCTGACAGGCTTGTGTATGGTCGATCGGACGAGAGGCCCAATTTTCCCGTCGCTATGGCCGTATGTGATAGAAACATTCACCGCCATGGCATATAACCTCACAAACATGCATTTGCCTCTAGTCCTATTTCCAAGACACTCTGCGCAACAAGAATGACTTCAACTATTTGCGTACAGAAAGGAAGTCCTCAGCGGACTCAATGACACCGGTTGCAACGACCAGATCCTCAGCGTTCCATCTGGATTCCTACCCTGCCGTGCCAACAATTCCTGGCTCCTAGCATCAGCACACACCAGACTCTCCTCATCCATACTTCGCAAACTCATAACAGCCGGGTCCTGGAAGTAATGGTAGTCGTCCAGCTGGATCGCTCTACTGGGCCGCCGCCCGATGGAGTCGAACAAATCGCGATGCAGTGATCTTGAGGATTTTTTGTGCACCACTCGTTTTGGCTCGGTTATTGTTTGCGATAGGCCCTGAGACTTGTATGGCCGGAAACAGCTTCGTAGATGCGACGGGGAGGGGCAGAAGGTGTTCGCCTGTCTGAAGATACGGCGAACCAGAGGGCGGAGGGTCGGCATGGTTGCAGCGATGAGATAGACTCCAGGTTCGATGACTGTCCAGCTTGTTGTTGTGACACAGAGGTAGGTGATATCTTGGAAAAGGTCGACGTTGAGAAAGGATACGAAGCGCAGGACTGCGGTGATAATGCCGCTGCTTATGGTCAGTACTCTCTTCTCGCACCGAGCGCAGAGGACTTACAAGGTCATGAGCAAGAAGGTCAGATAGAGTCCAATCTTGCTCAGTAACCCGACGCGAACCCTGTGCAAGGCCGGGAACGGTATGAGGATCAATATGGCGTCTGATGCGATATTTGGAATGCTGTAGAATCGGAAAACAGCCATTGCATTCATCCCGCAGTGCATTTCCAGCTTCCGATTCCAGAATGCAGAGAACGGTCGACAATTGAAAACCGAGGCAAACAAGCCAAAAAGGAATGTCGCAATGACGAGCACTGCCGTTCCATATATGACGGCATGCATCGTTCGAGAAGCGAAAAGTCGAAGGTACAGGTAAAGTATCGCGAGCTTAGGGAACAGTATTGATGAGACATAGACGAATTCGTGTGCTTTCACGAGTTTACGCATTGTGATCACCGTTTCCGGCCTCAGTGTCTCGGCATGGTAACCAGCCCCTCCCATGGTGATTTGGACTGAGTCCGGTAAGCAGGTGTCCAACCTGGTGGAACATGTAAGAGGAGTACTCACGGATCCCAAGCACTACTCCTCCAAAACAGAAGATATACCCAATCAAAACGCAATAGGAGACAGGCCTGAAGTTGATGTTGGTTGCACTGTTGTAGTACCAAGAGAAGAGGAACGCTATGATAAAAAAGGTCTCTGCGATGGCAAAGGCAATGCAAACATTGAGCAACGGGGTGCTGGAGTTCCCGGTTGTATATTCTGATGGGTATGATGTGTCGTTCATAGCGCACTGGGACGTAGAATCCACGCAGCGAAGCCAGCAACTTCACGGGACACTTTGGGTACCGTGCAAATAAGTGTAGCGGATTGGGTTGGCATGGCTTCGGGCGAGAGCTAAACGAGCCCTTTGGGGGCACAAGGCGCCTTCCCGTTGCCTCCATGGCGTTGCGCGCTTCTCCAACGGTGGTAATGGCAGTTAGGGCGTGGTAAAGGCACAGCTTGAGACGTGGCCAAGGCCCAAGTGGTCTAAGGCGCGAAGTCCGACGGCGCGGACAGTTGTGAGCGCGGGGCAGGCGTTTACAGTAAGCAAACGGGAGATCTTGCATGCTTTCTGAGTGCTGATTTGAGACTTCTATTCCCCGACCTGCAGCTGCCGTATAATCCTAGTGGTCAAGTTTTACCGAGCGAAAAGAAACTGGGAGAAAATTGGATAAGAGGTCTCAGAGAGCCATAGTAATCCCACCATGACAGACCTCTCTGGTAATCGGATTGGCGAGCGCTGCTGTCCTTGAGGTCGGGCGAGTCATCTTTATACCTCACTTCAGTCTGGGTCAACCAGGTGCGCCACTAAGCAGAGACGAGACAGACAGCTCTCGACTTGGTGGCACGATAGGATACCAGCACACTCGTCAATTGCGAATTGTGGGATGGTTGAGGGACGAGGTGGCTCCGGAGAATGTATCCTCATCTCATCCGGATGTCCATATCAGCAGTCCGCATTCGGACAGACTTCCGACAGTGGTGTGAGGGAACACAGACGCACCGTCAAGAACAAATCGGGGATCCAATGATCTCATAATTTGCTCAGACTAACCAGCGTGTGGCACTGTCCATTCTGTCCAAACTGACCCCACAGTGCTGTGTAATGCCCGCCCGAGGCGTTGTATCCTTGTGTGACGACACGAACTTTTGGAAGAAGCCAGAGTAGCAGAACGGCCTAACGGCAACGGCACGGTTCGGGGCGTTCCATGCGGAACCAGGCAACCACCACATGGTTGGCAGGGAATCAATCCTATCCAGAATCCGTGGGAGGCGTGCTCGGACTTGAGACGAGCTCCGCTGCGGGCCACGCTGCACCTTTGGGGGCCGCGCATAGATCCGTGGATGTGCGTCTGCTTTGCCCCGTAAGCGCGCCTTGCCACACTGGTGATGGGTGGTAAGACTGGGAAAGCCTGTTCAGAGTTGAAAGAGAGACATATTGAAGGTTTGAGAGATACCGGATTATACTTAGAGAGGAGACCCACGCATTCTCGCTTTTGGCTTCGTAGACAATGTATGCTGGCTTGCAATCTGTCGTTGAAATACGCTTGTTTTAGCGTTGTTCGTCCTGGCGAGGAAGGCGCGCTGCCTGAAGTGTGGATGAAGTAGGTGCTCCTCATTCGACATGTTAATGAGACGCAGAACAGACGCATCGCGCTGAGTGGAGATTCAACATTAAGTTATTACCCCCATATACCCAAACGCCATACGGAAAGGACAGACGACCACATCTAATTCCACCACCTCAACCTCGTATCCACCCATCCCTCCCTATTTCGGCACCGAAACCTGAACCTTATACGTCTTCCCCTTCTGCACCCCCGTAATCTTCGCACCAGCCAACTTCTTCCCATCAACGACGACCTCGACACCTTTAACATCCCTCCTCTGCACATCAACCTCGAAACTCGCGCCCCGGAACAAGCGCGTCACCTTGATCCCCTCCCAATTCGAGGGAAGCTGAGGATTGACGCTCAACCCATCCTTCTCGCCCTTCAAGCCGCACAACCCCTCGACAAAACATCTATACACCCACGACACGGTGCCGGTGTTGAACAACTGACTCGAGCGTCCCGCCGTCCGAGGATACTTCTTCCAAGCTCCACGATAGTAGTTGGGGATGTAGACTGGAAGCTGGCCCCTCTGGATGTAATCCTCCTCACTGGGGCCGGGGATCATCTGCCGCAGGGTCTTGTACGCGCGATCCGCTTCCCCGATGGTGTACAGCGACCACACGTAGAACGCTCCAGCGTGGTTATACACGGAGCCGTTCTCACCCTGGCCGGGGTACTTCTGCGTGACGCGGCCCACGTCTTCGCGCATGTCCGAGTAAGGGGGCGCGAACATGACGACGCCGTAAGGCGTGGTGAGGTGCTCGTCAATCTGAGGTAGGATCCTGGAGATCTGTTCCTTGGAAGCCGCACCGCCGAGGATAGACCACGTCTGTGGGTTCAGCCAAATCCGGCCCTCGACGTCTTTCTTGATACCGAACGCTACGCCATCGTCAGTGATGCCACGGGCGAACCAGTCCCCATCCCAGAGGTGTTTGTTCGCTGCGGCATTGACTTCCTTGGCACCTGCGCGGTAGCGGGCTGCGACGTCGGGTCTGCTGTGCTGTTCGGCAATGTTGGCCCAGACCTTGAGGGCGTACGCTGTTGCCACCGTGAGCCAGCCCGAAACGCCGATGCCGCGGACGCCGACCATGTTCATGGGGTCGCACCAGTCGCCTTGGGCGATGTAGCTAAGGCCACGGTTATCGCGGGCGGAGAGGAGCCAGTCCATGGCACGGCTGGAGCGTTCAAAGACGGTGTAGGTGTCGCCGTTCTTTGTAGTCACTTTCTCGTCCAGGATGGCGTAGTCGGCTGTTTCAGCCAGGTAGATCTCAAGTGCGATGGGGAGCCAGACGCAGTGGTCAGTATGAGGAATTTGGTTGATATACTTGAGTTCAGCGCCCTCAGCCAGAAGGATTCCATCAGGCATGGAGCCGGTGTGCTCTTGCTGGGAGAGAGCGTGCAGGATGGCCTTCCTGGTAACTTCAGGTTTGATGTAGCTCATTCCCATGTTGTCCTGGAAGTAGTTGCGAGTTTGCGGGTCGGTCGTAAGACGGTTCACATCGCCGTGGTAGTAGACTTGACGCGCAAGCCAGTTGTTGACAAAGTTGTCGAGGCCCTTGTCCGGCGTCTCAATCTTCAAGCAGCCACTGCCGCGTTCGATATATCGCTCATAGTCGTCGGATACGTCGATAAAGGACTTCTCATTGAGATAAGTCTCCTTCATATGGTCGATTTCAGCCTCGTCCAAGGCTGGTCCAAACAGAAAGCGGTATTCTTCGGCGGCTTTCGGAGCCAATTCCATCCTGTATTGGACAACGGCAGTGGGAGTCTCGTAGCGAGCATCACTGTTGCCAAGTTGCTCTTGTTCTAAGGCGGACGGAGCGTCAAGGCGCCCTTCCCCTTCAAAGGCTTCTTGTCTTGCTTCCCAAGCAATTGGCTCTGTCTCACAGAGGAAGTAGGTCTTGTCCTTCAGATGTTTCATCTTGGGATAATCCTCGGCCTTTTGGTAAGGCGTTTTGCTACTGGCGACGATGCCGCACAATCTATGATTCCACTCGGCCTCTTGGTTCATCCAAGACATGTATCCAATGGGGAAATAGGGGTATACGCTTATCTTGCGCTTTCTGTCACTCAGGTTCGTCACCTTGATTGTCCAGAGTTCGGCTACGTCTTGAACAGGAAGGCGGAAGCTCATTTCAACCCTGATTCCAATGTTCTCGACGGTCCAGGAGATGTCACTCTTCCCCACGGAGAAAACAAATTTGTCCAACGGCGCTCTCACGGGCTCATATGGAGCAGAGAATAACTTACCCGACTCCTCGTCCTTGATGTAGACGAATCGGCCAGGATGGTGAGCATAATAGTTCTGCTCGGGTTGCATGAACGTCTTCGCCTCGATGGTAGGCGCATGTGCGTATTTGGCTGGCTCCGGCTGCATGAATTGAGATGTGGCATACCCGCGACAGGTCACTTGGATCATCATCTTCTGATTCCACAAGAACGCACCCGCCTTGGGCATAGCCGTGGGGCTGGTGAGTTCATATCGGTCGCCGGTAGGGGTGGAGCGTAGCATGGTATAAATTCTGTAACGAATTGAGCAGCCTCAAAGACGTCCAAATGGACTGAAATGGCGCCACACAATTGTTGGTTATACAAGAACATTGTCGCCACAATGGCAAAAAGGCTATGCTTACTCAGTGTTATTTCCAAATCAGAGACAGTACAGGAGCTAGCAACGTCTTCTAAGAGGCGAGGCCTGAAGACGAGCGTATGATAGCCAAACACAAAGGAGATAGAGATGCTTCTGAAGGCAATCCGGAGGTTGTGCTGAGGAAGGGCAGCGAAGGATACCGACAGGCGGAGAAGAAGCCTATAAATAAAATCGAGGTACGGTCCAGCAAAAAAGCGGGGGATGGGAATGCCGATGAATAACAATAAAGATGGGATTGTGAGGGATTTCCAGCTGATGCTCCCTGTTTTTCAAAGCAGGAGATGACGAAGCTCTGCTGCGTGGGGTGTTACCAGTGGGGCGTCCGAAAACGGCAACCCGCTAACCCGGAGGCGGTCACCCGGCCCGTGCAGCCTTTAACCAGACGAATGGGAGCATTTTTGTGCTCGGCACTTGGCCTCCACTACGCCCCATATAGCGCCGCAGGGACACAGTGAAGGAAGCTTTCCGGTATACGAAACTCGGGGTCGTTGCTTTTTGGCTGCTTGAGAGACTCGGACTGACCGATTGATGCTTCTCCTCGCAGCTGTGGACCTATAAATCGCAACGGTGCGGGGTTGGGCCCGCGGAAAATGGAGCTTGCGCTTCGCGGCTCAAGACCGAACTCGAGGCGGTGTAGCATTCCTTCACCTCACGGGATCGCGGTCCCAGCGGTGTGTGTAAAAAGCTGCTCAACGAATCAGCCGGCATATGCTCTGCGAGCATCATGTGCGCCGTTTGGTAGCCATCGTTTTCATTACTTCTTCCACCGTTTGAGGCCGACCACGGAGTTCATAGGCGATGCTCGTCGTGTAAGCCGAGGGGACTGCTGTGGAACTTTTCGTCTTGGACGTAGCGGCAGCAGCTTCCAAACTCTTCTGCTTCTTCTTTTTCGAGAACCAGCCTCTCCCGACACCTCCAGCAACCACCATGACGAAGATGGTCAAGGGTACAGCGACACAGAAATACCAGCCGAAGGTTTCCTTCATTCCGGAAAGGCTGTCTGTCATGCTGAAGAATCCGCTAACAAATGACAATGGAATGAATGTTGTTGCCAGCCATGTGAGTCTAGCGAGGTTATGGTTCTCCTGTAAACCACGTCGTGAGTCTTCTGTAGATATCTCCGACGCGACGACGGTCGTGAGACGATCGACTCTTTCCTGGAGCTCATTCAGTAGAGCATGTACGCGCTCGTAGTCTGGAAGAATGTCGTTGACCGAGATGCTTCCGCCCTTAGAGGTCGCCGTTAGTCGTTCGGCAGAGGGTATGGCTTGGTCTATAGTATCCTTGATCATGTCACGAAGCACCGCAAGCACGCGACGCCCTGCATGAAGCGATTGTGGTTAGGCGCCATGCTAATCGAAGTATTGAAGTCCACTTACAAATGTACAACCTCCTCAGGGCATTATCGACAACGTCCCCCCGGGATCGGAAGATGTGTGGTTTTTCGAGCTCCCAGTCAATTTGCGCGAGCCGGGCCTTCATGTACTCACAGGTCACGAGCCAGTCCGCACAAATGATGTTCAGAGCGGGCAATGCAAATATCGGTTTTCCGATGCAATGCGCTTCGGAGAGAGAGGAGAACCACCAAGGGTACGACAGAGTGGCCTGTAAAATGAGGTCGTACAGAGCCGTCGGAGTTTGACGCTTCGGGGGATTTGCATCGTGCATGCTGGGTGGAAGGGTGAAGTTTGCTGGGCCACCCCAGAGCGGGAATCCCTCGCTGACCGTGGGGTCGACGAGCACGATCCCAACGCTCTGGTGCTCATTCTGTGGATCTTTGCCTATCCAGATCGAAGTCCTTGTTCTGGTCATGACGACCAAGGACCCAGGTTTGTCCAGGTAGCTCCAGTGGGTCTCGTCGTCGTCCGGTCTACGAGCCACGTTAAAGCTGTTAGATTCATCTCGAGCTTTCTCGTAGGTCTCCCTATCCGGCATGTATCGGAAACGAATGTGGCGCATGCGGAACCATTGACGATGCTTGATACCAACCATGAGATTTGGCGCCATTGCCCAGGCGTCGCGCGTGTTATACCAGTTGTACTCGGCAATCTGCTCACGAAAGAACAGCGGGTCCACATCATATCTGGATCCGAGAATCTCAATGACGTCCCGTGAAAGGTCTTCGACCATCAATATGCGAAAGGTGGGCGGTTCAGCGGGACAATCCGGACTGGGACGGTCGTCAAGTGCCTCCTTCAATGCAACAGTACTGCTCAGAAAAACTTCCTTCGTCTTTCCTGTGCCATCGAAATCCATCATCGTGATCTTGGTTCTTGATGCGCGTTCTGCCCGCTCATGTGGCTTTGATAGAAGGTTGGTCCATCGTATAGGAGCTGTACTGACTTCCATCCAGTCGGCCAGATATCTTAGTGGCTTCCACGCAAGCGACAGTTGCTTTACATGTGCCAAATAGGGCATATCGGTGCTTTGAAAATCGAATCAGTGAAAACTTCCATGTGAGGTAACTTTCACGCACGTATTGATTTGCCATTGCTGCGCGGGTTCCGGGATGTCGTAACAATCTCCAGCATAATACTGGTCAGCGGGTTCTGGAGCGCTGGAGATGGTACGTGAAGGCGCTTCGTCATCCTTGACATCGATCACCTCAGGAGATGTTCCCGTCTCCGACTTATCCGCGGCAGCCATTGTAACTGAGCCTAAAAGCGTTTGCCAGATACTGGACGATGGGAGATTGAAGATGAGAAGATTCGAGGGTGGAACAGACGGGTGGCCGAGCTATGTTGTTGCATGAGGCTGAGTCTCAGCATGCAGAGTGGCGCATCCTTTTTGAGAATTTACCGAGCGTGTCAGCGAATCCCAGGCAATGTCGATCCATAGGAGACTAATAAGCCCTAGGCAGGCAACGGCCGAAGATCGAGGAGCCGTTCTGAAGTGATGGAATGGGTATGGGTGCGCGGGTTTGGATCAACTTCTGAGTGACTGCGTGTATTTACCTGTAGTTGAACTTGCAACAACGCCAAATGGTGGCACAAGTCCTCGTCCTCGCAGGCCATCTGCACAAATCATCACCATTTTCGTTAACTAACTGTTTGATCTTTGAGAAGGACAAACTGGGGGCCATTCTTTTCAGGTACCCGCGCATAGTCGGTCATACTTTGGAGAATGTATCCCATGCTTGTGCTGTATGTGTGTGCATTCGCTGCCAGTTGAAAGAAGCTCAAACGGGGATTCCTGGGTTCCGCCTTAATTTCTGAAGGAATGTCAAATGACAAAGATAAGCTCATCTTTGCTTCGCCACAATGGGCTACTAGACTGCAGCACCGCGTTGAGGTGTGAGCTCTGTCGCTGGAGATGATAGTGATGTATGAGGTTTAAAAAAACGTCAACCCCATGGCACCGCCATCCATCAGCGCTACGATCCTTTCGGTGAGCGCATGAGGATCATGGTGGGGTGAAGACGCCAGAGAAACTCACGCCGCTCGTTCAACGGTGGGCGCTAGCCGCAATGCAAAGGCAGAGCCAGCTTCGCTCGTCACGGGTACCGAGCAGCTTGATCTGGGGCAGTGCCTTTGCTCAGGAAGCCATACACTACAAGGTAGTGCAAGTCGAAAGACCGGCCGCTGAGCCCACGAATGAGGTCCAGAGGACAACATCCATGATCCGCCCGGAAACTCGAGTAGTGGGTGTGCGTCGAGAACATGAGGTCGCTGTTAGTCCATATCACGTCAATACTGCAAAACCTATCAGCAGTTAATGCAAGTTCTCAGTTCAACAAAACAGGATCGACGACTTACCTCACGTTGGGCCTCGCATTGGAGAGCCCTCATAAAGCGGCTGCGACATATAGTCGACCATCTGCAGCCGTTGAACAACGCCATGTCAGTAATACCTGTCAATCAATGCCATCTACCTGATAGTGAATAATATGTCGGTAAGCAGCACGTCAAACGCCGGCTAGGTGTTGACCTTGGTGTTTTCCAAAGTTGGGTGCAGAGCGTACGAATACAAGAGCCACTAGCGTGGATGACATAATCAAACCAATCACATGGATCTCTTGCATCCCAGGTTCCTTCCCCATATATTTCGAACCGCTTGATATACTTTTTGATGTAGAATGCGTCTTCAACTGGAACATTTGGTCAGGATTGTAGCAGCCCATACATCCAAGCCGTCATACGTCCAGCCGAAACATGAGCGCCTCAGCCCTCAGCCTCGCCGCCTTGACCGGTCCAACAGCGCAACCTCACCCTGAGGGACCACATGCGTTCTGCGGCGTTCATCCAATATCTCTACTGGATTACCCCGTCACACAGCAGCATTCTCATCGTGATGCGACCACCTCACTGGCCCGAGAAATAGTTTCGAAACGAATAAGATGTCGTAAACAGCTGGGCCCCTTGCGTACCGCGTTTCAGGTGAACTGCGGTTTGCGCTTGTCCCTTTTGGGGGGTCGAGGGAAACATAAGCCGCTTTGTGAAGGAGGATGTCGGAAGGCTTAAGATGGAGGAGTTGATAATATCTTCCCGGACCCTGTTGCCGCTTCTTTTACACTCCTACTCTTTGCAGACATAGATCATGGATGACTATATGGAAGAGGAGCAGTTTCTACCAATGACCCTAGGCGAAGGAAATGCTATGATGCAATTGGATGACAGTTCAGCATATCTACATGATAATTTCCAGCACCTACGTCCAGGACTCGAGGCTCTGCAAGAGGATTCATATGGTAAGTTCTCTTGGTTATGACAAAAGAATGGAACAGCCTGAGCTTACCTAGATACGGAGGCACAGAGTATCCGTCTGATACAACTCCCAGTTGGCAGAACACCACCATCGCTTCCCAAAATTATGGTCAATTTCATGGCCTGACAGGAACCTCTGCGCGATCATCCGTCTCGTCCGGACATCGGCTGTCGAATACCAGCATCTTCTCACAGCCACAATGGAGGGGCTCAGTTGCGTCCACCAGCACAACATGGTCCGACGTCTCCCAGTCTCGCTCCGGCCTCAACACCACGGCCCTCACTGGCGCTCCATTACGAAGCACTCAACCATCTACTTCTCGTCACGCACCGCACCGTTCATCCAGCCAGACGAACAGCCCCTTCACAACATGCGCCTCCCGCCCCAAGCGCAACCGCCGCCCAACCGCATCCACACCCCGGTACTGGTGCACCTCCTGCCACGAGCCCTTCGGGGAGAAATACGACTGGAAGCGCCACGAGGAAACCTACCAAGAGCGCTCCGTGACCTACCACTGCGGCCTGTGTCCCAAAACCTACTTCCTCGATAAGGACTTCATCCACCACCACCGTGAAAGGCACCGCTGCCAGACGTGCGTGGAGAACAAGCATGCCGAAGTTGCACGACGACAGCGGAGAACGCGCACGGGCTGGGGCTGTGGGTTCTGCTTGAGGTGGGATGGCGATTGGGGCGAGAGGTGTAAGCACGTGGCGTGGCATTTTGAGAAGAACGGCGATGGGATGCACAGGTGGAATCAGACGCAGGTGATATTGTCGCTGTTGCAGCAGCCGGGAGTGAGGAGAGAGTGGCATGCTTTGTTGGAGAGGAAGGGGGAGGCGAATCCGAGTTTTGGGTGGAGTAGGAGTTGGGCTGGGAGGGCGGAGGGGTATTTGGAAGGGGAGTGCGAGCCGCAGTTGCAAGATGTGCTGGAGTTTTATACGCCGGATCAGGATGCGAGGGCTTTGGTCGAGTGGGCGTGGGAGTTGGGACATCAGCCGCCAGGAGTTGCATCAACGGCCAAGGGACGGAATAAGGGGTCCGCATCCAGGTGCTCCTCTTCTCCCGACAAGGCACTACCATCGTTACCAACGAGCCAACCGCCGCCACCAGTACCACCAAAAGACCAGGCCCTCGAACCAGCAATAACGCATATGACTACCGACCTCCCTATCGATCTCGAGCACTGGGAATTCCTCATCGACAGCATTCCCGACGACAGCCTCCTCCCTCATGGCATTCCAATGGACTTCAGCAACCTGGATCCGGCACACTTCGATCTTCATGTGGACACGAGTATGCACTTTCAATGAACCAGCAAGATGAAACCCGATTATGTACGATATGCTCCCATACTTATCGGCGGGAGCTGGTCTCCCCGCCTAAATGCTAATAACCACATGGACGCTGTAATGGCTAATAGAGGATCAGAAAAGGAGCTTACACATTGAGAGCACATAGTCGTTATACATTGTGCAGATTGATTAGGCTCTAGGTAGAAAGCCTTGTTTCATAGACGTAATGAAAAATCTTAAGGCCTCAATAGCCACTTGATAAAACGCTCTGTTCTGGGAAATGACTATTTCCTGTTTCGCAATATGCATATGTATGTGGAAGCCAGAGCAACCGGGAGTGTGCATATGATAATCGCCACCAGAATCCACACCACCATCTCTCCGCCGAGAACACATATGCCATACTCATCTAATTCCATAAAAGGCAAAAAAAAAGATGCCCACCAAGGCCCGCCGACCCCAACGAATTAAGATCAGACGTACCTTGATTTCAAATTGTTCACACATTGCGGAAGAGAGGCGGGACTTAGGTAAGCGGTGGAGATGATTCCTCTAGGTTAGTCGGAAGAGATGGCCCGCGGAGACAGACCTCTAGGTTAGGCGGCGGAGATGGAGTCACACTAGGATATCTGAGTACAGGGTCTTTCTTGGTAAAGGATAATTTAGGGCAGGACTAGAATCGAACTGTTAGCTTCTGTGTTACAAAGCAAGCGGCTATACCAATGGGGCGTCGAGGCCGGCGGGTTCTTGGTGGGCTTTGGTATAGGATAGAAGCAAATGTTTATATAGGCGAGTATTTGTCCTTTTTCCAGGTGGTTTTGTTGAATACGTTGGCGGCTGGCGGGACGGGATTGCCAAGGTGCCGTCACCTGGATGCAAGTGATCCGAGCACTCCGAGGGCTCCACCACGGCAGCAACCCATCATCGAAATGCGGCGACGAGAATCCTATAGCCACTATCCGCCGACTCCAGGTGTCGCATTCCAAGGTTGTTTTTCTTGAGACCCGTGCTTGGCAGCACTGCGCTGTGGAAGCTCCTCGGCGGCGGACTTAGCAAGAGTGCAATCCCTCCTCTTTCTCGTCCAGCTCTTCGGCTCCATTCTCGCCACGACTCTGACATCTTTTCGATGTCCGGAGGCAGCGCCGCAAGCCGTCCCTGCATTAGGTGATTCTCACAACGCTGGACGCCGAGCGGAGCGACATATCGAAACCAGAGAGCTGCATGCAGCGCGCATCAAAGGCACCGACACTCGGAGAATGACTATTTTAACGCAACGGCATCGATCCAGCAGCTGGAATTGGGTGTGTCCTGAAGGGGAATGTATCGCCATCATTCCGCAACGCAAACGGCCAACGGCAGGTCCCGCGCTTGCTCTTGTCGAGGTGGATTTCTCATAGTACCATACCCAACGGACATGCACCAACGGACAGAACGTGGGTGCGAGGGGCCCATTGCGCACGGGATATGGTGGAGGATGGGACGCACAAGGGTAACTCAGGGGACGAGGGAACACCCACTCCGCGAGTGACCCCTTAAATCCAACCTGACCGGGACGTCTCAAGAGCAATTTTGATATCGAGAGGCAATCTTTGGACTTGCGAGCCATCGGGGGAGGTATGGGGATCTGCCCCAGAGGTAACAACGCCGAAGCGTCAGGGCGCCCAGCTGAAGCCCCTCAACTTTCCAGAGCATCTGCACATATGTTTAGTAAATCACATAACGTATTCGAAGTGGGTTTACGCACTTGGAGCATCTTCAATCACTCATTGCTGGTGATGCAAATTTCCGGACGTCGTAGTCCTTTGGTGGAGCGAGTCCGGCCTCTAGATCATCGTACAAATGACTCTGGCCGTATCTACCATCGCCCGTTTCATCGATGCCCGATTCGACTGCTCAATATGGATGTGTGACGAGAAACATGGGAATTGCTGGTACGATGGAGGAGCTGACGTCTGCTTTGGCGCGGCTAGACTATACCGATAGCGCGTGACGGCTGCATCCTGCCAAGCGGGATCCAAGGGGTTGGGTTGTCCAGGGTAGCTTCAGGCCAGTGGGGTTCGAGAGTGCTGTCCCCTTGAAAACCATCCAGCGACACCTCAACATCGCCGTCGGCACGACCAAGCAAACGGGGTTTTCTCTTGCCGATACTCACACCAATGGCTCCTTCTCGGGGCCTCTCAATTCTGCAACATACCATCATGGCGCCTCTGCAGAGCTCAGGCATCATGAAGGTTGCACGCCGGGCCTTCTCATCCTTCTCGGAAAAGCTCTCAAACCCGGCCAACTCGGTGCAATCGTACGTCTCCCATAGCAGCGATCCATATCTCAATCTTGCCATTGAAGATCACATCCTGCGTACGTCGCCGGCGGGCTCAGCGGTGCTCTTTCTCTACACCAATAGGCCTTGCGTCGTGATCGGGAGAAACCAGAACCCCTGGCGCGAGGTCAACTTAGGCTTACTGAAAGCAGCGGCACAGGGAAATAGCAAGCCGCGCGGAAACTCCAAGCCTCCCGCCATCGGCCATGTCCAGCTTGTTCGGCGTCGCTCGGGCGGCGGCGCCGTCTTCCACGATATGGGCAACGTCAACTGGAGCATCACCTGTCCCCGCGACGACTTCACACGCGACAAGCACGCTGAGATGGTTGTCCGAGCGTTGCGTGCTCTAGGCGTTGACCGTGCCAGAGTCAATGAGCGGCACGACATCGTCCTCGATCAGGGTTATGAGAAGCGGGCCAGCGACCCGAACGACACCCATCGCACTCCATACACGGTGGACGACGGCACGGAGCCCAGACCATTGAAGGTATCTGGCTCGGCGTACAAACTGACGCGTGGACGGGCGCTACATCATGCCACGACACTGCTTGCGTCGCCGAACCTGCACATAATACCCCAATATTTGCATTCTCCTGCGAAACCGTATCTGGAATCCAAGGGAGTGCAAAGCGTGAGCTCTCCGGTGGGCAACATCGGCCTGGACACTAGCTCCTTCCAGAAGCGCCTTCAGGACGAATTTGCTGCCATGTATGCGCCGGGAAAATCATTGTCTGTCGAGGTCCTTGGCGAGGAGCATCTCAATATCCCGGAGATCAGAAAGGGCTACGACGAGCTGAGGGTTCGTATAATTCCGATCAGACGTTTGCGGGAAGTGCTAACCCTGATAGACAAATGAATGGATCCTCACGCAGACGCCGCAGTTCACGCTGAAACTGGGGCCCTCTCAGTCGGCACAGCAGAGCATGCCATCTCGCATGGAAGTGAACGTGCACCATGGCATAATCAAGGCGTTCGAATACGAATCGAAAATCTGTCCAAGCGCGGTAACAGAAAAGATCCGGACCTTACTTGTCAAACAGAAACTGCAAGACATCCAAGATTGGCGAAGCTTCTTCCAGTCCAACCTCTCTGGAGACCATCCTGGCCTCTCCGAACTCATCGATTATCTCGAAGAATATTTACCGATTCCGGAGGCCCCAACAGCCTGAGCTGTCCTGCAGGCATGACGGTGGGATTGCACTTATCTCGCTCCACAGTCCAGGCCCTGGGCAGCATGCATCTGGTCACGCTCTAATGGTACGAGAGTCGCCATATATGGCCCTTTGGCGTAACAATCCATGGATTCCTCTCAGTCCTCGATTGCTGAGCACCGGGGGCTCCTCGCGCCATCATGCGACCGTTTGCGATGCCCTTGGGATATGCCCAGATGTCAAGGGTGCTAACGTGCTGCGGAAGGTACTGATAAGGAAAGTTCTGATGGGCGGGCGGAAAGAGATATTGTTGGCATTATGTGGTGGTGATGGGAAACCTCCCCGCCCACGGGTTCCGAGCTCCGACTGTCATGGGGACTGGTCGTATCCATGGCGCACTCGCACATGGACATTACCACAAGAGGACCCATCGCGGCATCTCAGCAACTGTGGCTGTCCTTCGCCTATAAAATGCTCCTGGAAGTACCTTCTTGTATGATTTGATCAGGCCGCCGACAAGGTTCCTGGATGTCTGGATCCATGCTTTCGTTCTTGAGGACCCCAAGAATTCTACGGCATCTGGGCGCTTCCATAGCCCACTGTTATCGATTCGGTAGACCAATTACGGCAGAATGAGGACACCGCTCGGCTCGCTCTCTACCGTTGTGGGAGCGAGCACCGCCCAATTCTCCAAGTCGTGTCATTTTGTAGCAACAGGTCCAGATGATCGCCCCAATAATTCCCGGTATCCTTGTGTATCCGTGTCCGCGCAATGGAATCCTTGGGTCTGGCGAGTGGATGCGGTCCCAGCCGCTTCACATCTGTTTCCAAAAACTACCTCTTGTTCAGATGGCAACCTTTCCATTTGTTCGTTTCAGGCATGGTCATTCCGGTTTTGACATGTCGGCTTATACATTCGGTTCTGTGCCCTGGCTTGCCACATTATCCTGAGTCCAGTTTATTCTTGTTCAATGCTGGCATCCAGTCCACGTGGTTCTGCCATCCAACCATCACCATCATGTCTTCAAAGGCCACAATACTCGTCTGGAAGCCAGTACGCCAACGCAGTATCAAATACCCGCAGATACATAGGTCGCGTTCGAGCGCTGAAAAAGGAGGTGGACGATCTGGTCGTGTCCTATACCATGTGTTTCTCGGTCGATTGAGGTGGAGATCCTCACTGGCCGTCCCTGGTTGAAACTCATATCCGCAGTCCTCGGCCTGTCTCCATTCATTGGATTGATTATCAAAGCCGTCTAAGCTGGGTAGTAGGCGCGCCGTTGTAGCCCACTTGCGCTGTGCTGTGTGGCTGTTTCGGCTTTGGTCGCTTTGTCCCCGAAATGCTTGGCATCAAATTCACCATTGGCCCTGATGCTGTACTACTCCAGTACTCCCCCTTCTTTGCTAAGCTCTGCCTGGAGAATGAGAAATACAGGGACGAAGCGCCCATATATAACGTATACATTGAGATCTCGGGATTGTAGTCGTCGGCCTTATACACGGTCTCCCTGTGCCGCTGCTGGATACCGTTCTGGTGCTCGATTTGGGAGACCTTTCGCCTTCATTAGCTCGAGACGCTGCTGGAGAATGACTGTAACGGTATTTCCTCACCTTTTAGTCGTTCTGGACGTGATATTGTAGCCATGGAGCACCGCAGATTCGACAATGCAATCAGCTCACCATAGGAGGGAGGCAGATAATGTTCTGCCCAAGCGGCCTCCTCCCTCGCCTCGGATCCGGGGAAAAGCCAGTCGCGTAGCTCAATTCGAGGATCAAAAGAAGTCATCTCAGTTCGAGTCCGTCGACGATCGGAGCCCTCGAGTCAACAATCGGCCTTTCACAGTGCAACGGAAGGGGGGGCTGGATGTGCCTTGGCGCCGCCCCCTAGCGCACAATGCTGGTGTCGGTGACTGAGGCTCCTGCCTTCGCGACGATGTTGTGTATTTGACTGCAGTCACGCTCCTCTCTTCGACGCAGTCCCTCTCCTCAGCCACTTCCCAAGCAGTCCGAGCAGCCATTTCCATCGCCTCACGAAATCTTGCAGCAACTGCTTCCTCCCCAACTATCTTGAAGTAGGAGCTCCACTGGCCGGCTTCCGCGAATATACTAAACGCCCTTAGGATGCGGAGAGCTTACGATCCCGCGGTTTTCAACGTGAGGGACCAATACCCTCATATCTCCAGTACGCGTATAGCGCTGTTCTCGCCTTTTCCAAGCTTATAACTCCAGCCTCTACCATCATCAACAATCCCATGATTGTTGACGCATTGATTGTCATCAATGAGAAGAAGTGGGCCGCTTGGCGGCAGTACGAGGAGGCTGAGGCAGTATTCCGAGCCGGCCAACAAGAGGTCTGGCTGCGCCGGAGGGATCCGCGGATTCCCCAGGAAGTTGTTGACATGGACGTGGAGATCCTGATGATGGAGTTCTCCAACGCCATTGCCCACCGGGACAGGATCCTGGAAAGGCTCGACGCCGACGAGGAGCCTCTGTGGGCGGCGCTGGAGAGGTGGTAGGGGCGGAGGGTGTGTGCGTGAAGGGGAAAGGCGGGTTGGTTGAGGAGGAGATGTACTTCTACTGCAGCATCACTTGTGCATTGCGCGGCGTTCGGGCGGATAGAAGCATAGCTAATGATACCCTGGGTCTACTGGTCTTCTCTTCCTTCTGACAAACTGGTTCCCTGCAACCCTACTGCTCCAAGCAAACCGTGCGAGATATTGCGCAGGTATATAAGCAGCAACTTTTCGCAGTTCGCCCCGCCTCCTTCACCGCAAGACTCCACCCACAACTGCACGTTCCCGGCCACCACTCCCCATTTCACGCTCTTCTCTATATCCATTCCCGACCAACACATACTCCTAAACGTAACCCTGCCCTCTATTCGTGCTCTTGTATCTACCAACCCCCATCCCAGAATGACGCCCGCAATCGACCCCACAAAGTACAACTTCTTCCAGCAAAACCCTCACATCCCACGTAAGTCCACCCACTGCACCGGCATCACAACCACTGACATCCTACCTCTCATCAACAGGAGAAAAAGCCCTTTCACACACCCCAACCATCCGCGCCATCACTGAGGTCAACCGCCGCAAGTGGCATGTCACCCAACAGTACGAGAAACTGGTACTACAGTTGCAAGAGATGAACTCGAAGGCTGCGGCGACGCTGAATATCGAGACGTTCGAAGCCATGGAGTGGGCGACGGCGAGGGCGAGGCGGGAGTTTGAGAAGAAGAGGGATGGGTTCTTGAAGGAGTTGGAGGTGGAGGAGGAGAGGCTGTGGGATTTGCTGGGGGCGCTGCTGGAGTGGGATGAGGTTGTGGAGGAGGTGGGAGGGGGGATGGAGGTTTGAGAGGGAGAGGGTTCGACTTGAATTGGGTTCCTGAACGCTACTTTGGTAGGCGATTTGAGGCACCTGTTTGGTTTCTTGGATGGAGACGAGGATATAGAATGAGGTTTAGGATATTCTCCATCGCGGTAAGCCAATCTACGAGGTACACAGCCTGGACTACTTTTTCTCATTGGGCCGGCAAAGTTGCTGCATACCCAGGGAAGGTTAGATTACAAGTTCTTGTGAATCCTCTTTCACTGTGAGGAAGTAAGTTGTGTGAAGGGGTTTCTCATAGAATGCTTGAGGGATGATTGGGCCCACATTGGTACTTTCGAAGAATGAACAAGAATCAGCCGTGTATCAAATCGTTGGAATTCACCTCGAAGACCCGACGTCCCGAGCTCCTGTGGCTAGTGCAGCCGCGCCACACTTGCGCCACAAACGCTCACGATCGATTCCCTTTGGGCCACGCAGTGCCAAGCTTGAAACATCCACATGTTCTCCACGACTGCCCGTTTACCGTTTGTTGTTCTTCGGTTTCAAGGATGTCTGCACAGGCGGCTTCGGATCCGGTGAGAGAAGGAGGTACGTTTGTTCAAAGCTAAATTATCTGACCGTTGAGGGAGGTATATGTGGTAGGGTGCAGCGCTGCTCGGGGATTGCACAATTGACTCGAGTCTGGGGTGTGGATTTGACGTGGAGAGGTGCTAATGGGCGTGTAGGTACGAGCTCGAAGTCGAGTAAGAAGAAGAAGAATAAGAAGAAGGCGGGAGCCGCCGCTGAAAAGAAGGCCGAGGAATCGGAGATTGTGGATGGGAATGATCACGAGAAGGGGGACGGGGAAGAGGAGCAAGGCGATGAAGAGGAGGAGGTCCAAAATGTACAGCAGGCTTGAATTTCGTGGGTGGGACAATACAGCGCTGACGATTTGGTAGAAAGCCAGTGGACCCCAGCCGTCGGAAGAACCAGACGATGTCGAGGACGAAAAACCGCCGATTAGTCCCGGGGTGCAAGCGAATGGCGCAAATCTACACTCCATATCTTCTGCTGTTGCGCTGGGTCTTGCTAGATCGCGATCACAAGGGGGATTAAGCCCGTCGCCTCCTCCGCCGTCGGACGCCGCCGCAAGACTCGAAGCGTTAGCGAAGGAGAGGGATTCGCTCCGTCAGGAGGTTACCGAGTTGCGGAAGAGCTTAGAGAGTATAAGAGGGAAGCATGAGGAGGAGTTAAGCAACTTGCAGGCAGAATTGGAGGAGGCGAATGAGGGGAAGGAGCACTTCGAGACGCAGTACAGGAATCTGCTTGGGAGGGTTAATACTATCAAGAGCTCTCTGGGGGATAGGCTGAAAGCTGATGCGGTAGGTATATGGAGTCAGGCTGCTCTCCGTGGCCAAACTCGAGTTAGCCATCACATCAGCGGCTGACCCTTCTCTAGGCCAGGCTCGAGGAGGCTCATACACAAATATCGGAACTCGAGGAGCAGAACCGGGAGCTCCAGGAGAATAACAACAGTCTTACCGAGGAGCTATCGAAACTGCGGCGGGAGAATGAAGCACACGCGGCTGAGATATCCAACCTGAGGTCAAGAGCAACACTCTCTCAACAGAACTGGATCAAGGAGCGAGATGAACTCATATCGCGCGAGGCGTACGCAAGAGAAGAGTTTGAGAATGCGAAACAGGCCATGCAAGACTGGGAGGCATTGGCGCTTAATGAGCGCTCTTTGCACGACAACCTCAAAGAGAAAATGGCTGAAATGGAGGAGCAGCTGGAAAGTTTGAAGGAGGCGCATGCTAGGGCAGTGAGCCAAAGAGATCAGAATAGCGAGGCAGTGGACGGGCTGCAGAAGGCGTTGCAGAGATTACAGACGGGTGAGTCTCTTTGCTTAACACCTGGTATGGAACCTCTAACCCTCATCATCAGAGCGGAAGAACGAGCGTCGCGAGTTGGTCGAGAACCATGAACAAGAGTTGGACCAGCTTAGAAAACAAGTTAAGGCCGCAGAAGAAGCGGCGGCATCAGCTAAAGCCACCTTGGAGACCACCCAAAAAGAGCTCGAAAGAGCCTTGCCATTCGAAAAGGAAGTGAAGGAAAAGAACCTCTTGATAGGGAAGCTCAGGCATGAAGCTGTAACCCTGAACGAGCACCTCACGAAAGCACTCAGGATACTCAAGCGGGGGCGTCCAGAAGACAATGTCGATCGGCAGATCGTTACAAACTACATCCTCCATTTTCTTGCTATTGATCGCTCGGATCCGAAGAAATTCCAGGCTTTGCAGCTAATTGCTTCGCTACTCAACTGGAATGACGGTAAGGCTCTACGGCTTGATTAGATGAAGTTCCGTCTGCTGACATGGATACAGAGGAGAGAGAACAAGCCGGCCTTGCCCGTCCAGGCACCTCCAACAGTAACCTTCGCATCCCTTTGTCACCTTTCAGACGCGTTCCTTCTACACCATCACTTACCGGTACGATGCATGCAGACCCCTTGCTTATGGAGAGTCCGTCCAGCCACAAGGAGTCACTTGCTGAGCTTTGGTCCGACTTTCTTCGACGGGAGGCCGGCGAAGGCGAGCGGTCTCGGAGCGGAAGCCAGGCCACCGTTGCAACATCTCCGCCTTCCAAGGACGACACGAAGTCTGGCTTAGGTATCAGCGAACACTGACATGATGTCTGATCCTGCGGCGGACAGCTTTACTATGTATATATAAGAATACCTTTCTATTCGGAGTTTATAATCAGTTAAACGGGCGTCATCCTTGGTTGCATCCGGAATCCTAGCAAGTCAACGAAGCTTGCATCGCACCCATACCAATTCAATAGCCTTAACGATTATTATACATTTGCCCATGTTGTACACCTGACTATACTTGCACATGCCGAAAAGCCTCCTAGGTCCCGAAAACCTCTCGCCAACATAAAGGGTTGTACAACTAAAGATGATCATACATGTCCAAGAGCCTCATGTGTCCATGAGGAATCTAATCACCAGCGTCGAGACTTGCCCAACTTGTCCTTCTCCTGCTTATCGTTCGGTTTTAGTTCCCTCCTGCGCCAGTAATCCCTCTCCATTTCCTTCCTCTCTAGCCGCAAACGCTTCCGCATCTTATCGTTAAGTCCATCGGGATTTCGCTGCTCCCAAGTAATAGATCCAAAGATCTTGGTACGAATATCTAGTGGATATCAGCAACTCGGACCCGGCAACGTGATTACACCGCCGTTCCACATACGGTGTACGCAGTACGGGCATAGAAGGTGTGCGCGTTTTACTCTCCCGCATGCCGAGCACTTGTTAAGATTGGTGAGGTCTTTGATGCCCTTGCCGGCCATGAACCTTTGCCTCTTCTTGCGATGTGAAGTCTTCTTCTTCGGTACGGCTCTCAGTATGCCCTCCCATATGTCCGACAAGGACGGTAATGACGGTAGCGATATGAATGGGAACGCGAGCGCAGCGAACGGGGTGGGTAGCAGCCGGAAAGGTTGCGCAATGCGCTGGAGCAGCGGTAGGTTCATGACGGGTCGGATCGGGCCATTGAGGGTGGGAAGGAGGGACTGCCACAACGGAGGCAGCGGTCGAGCGAGCGCCATTGTGGATAGGAGGGTTTTGGCGATGTATAGACGTTCCAGCGCCGATTATATCGCCCGTAGAGCTTAACTGTCGTTGGTGTTGAGGAATAAAATGAACCCCCAGCCGGAAGCTATTCTGCGCTAAACCGAAAACGAGGCTAGCGCGCTTTCGCTTCGTTGCTGCCCCCTTTCCGCGCCTGAACAGCACGAGAAAGTCCACGACAACGTCTCGCTCGTTCAAACACATACACTCACTTTTCTGGTGCCTTTCGTCGCTTCTCACTGCCCAGTAGTTTTCCGCAGCTCACAGCTTTACTGTCGATAGATAAGTCGCGCGCAATGGCTGCCACGTACAACAGCCAGCCGACCACCATTTACCCTACGAGCCATGTCGGTTTCGACAGCATCACCCAGCAGATTGAGAAGAAGCTCGTCAAGCGGGGGTTCCAATTCAACATCATTTGCGTTGGTACGCTTTGACAACCTATATGACATGCAGAGCGTGCATCTGACCTAACGCTGTGCAGGTCAGACCGGTCTCGGCAAGTCGACATTGATCAACACCATCTTCGCCTCACACCTCATGGACAGCAAGGGCCGTCTGCTGCCCGACGAGCCCATCCGCCAAACCACCGAAATCCAGACTGTCTCACACATCATCGAGGAGAACGGTGTGCGCCTCCGACTCAACATCGTGGACACCCCTGGTTACGGCGACCTTATCAACAACGAGCGCTGCTGGGACCCCATCGTTAAGTACATCAAGGATCAACATAGTGCCTATCTTCGCAAGGAGCTTTCCGCCCAGCGTGACAGGTACCTCCAGGATACCCGCATCCACTGCTGCTTGTTCTTCATTCAGCCATCTGGTCATGCCCTGAAGCCGATCGATATTGTTGTGCTCAAGAAGTTGAGCGAGTTCGTCAACGTCGTGCCCGTCATCGCGAAGAGTGACAGCCTGACGCTGGAGGAACGCGCTGCCTTCAAGGAGCGGATAAAGGAGGAGTTTGCATTCCACAACCTCAAGATGTATCCTTATGACAATGAGGAGCACGATCAGGAGGAAATTGCTCTGAATACCTCTATCAAGGTGGGTTGGTCGGCTGGTCCTGGTTACTCTTGTGCTAACAGGTATTCAGGCCATGCTTCCTTTCGCCGTTGTCGGCTCCGAGAAGACCATTGTCGTCAACGGCCGGGAGGTACGCGGTCGCCAGAACCGCTGGGGTGTCATCAATGGTAGGATGATATATCTGTATGGATCAATGGCTCTTTCTAACCCCGTTTACAGTTGAGGACGAGAATCACTGCGAATTCGTCTATCTCCGCAACTTCCTCACTCGCACCCACCTTCAGGACTTGATCGAAACTACTGCCCAGATCCATTACGAGTCCTTCCGTGCGAAGCAGCTCAATGCACTCAAGGAGAACACTACTGGTCACGGATCACGACCAATCTCACCTTCAGCGGATCGGGAGCTCAGTAGGAACAGTCACCGGATGACTATGAATGGATACTAGGTGCCATCCGTTCACAAAATCCTTCAATATTGAACTCGATGAAGAGGAGTCATGCGGTGCTTGTGTGCGATCCGCTAGGTTCAGGGGAAAGAGAGGAATGAGGACAGAAGAAGTCTTGAAATATGATACCAGTGCAGCAGTTATTGGCACGAGGGGGTTTCAAGGGGACAGCGGGGATTACTTCACCACACCATGGTTCGAACAACCGATTTTCTTGAATATTGTCTTTAGTGCAGAGCAGTAGGTTCTATTTTCTCCACATTTTGTTTGTTCGGTGGGTGTCCTGGATGCCTGCGGTTCATTATACGGGTTATACTATACCCAGGCGTCTTAATTCGTCTATCCTTTGGAGCCGTGTGGAGGGAGCGACCGAGAGGGGTAATGGGTCAGATGAAAAACATAATATCTCCACTTGGCTGCTGTGTTGTACCGTTCAGGTTCCCCTAGTAGTGGTCTTCGAATTCCGCGTGCTACTTCTCTGTCCGTCTTGGATTATCGTTTCTATCCGCATCGCATTTATCAGGGCCATAACCGCAGCCTTTCCTCGCTCCAACCTGGTTTTCCTCGAAACGTTCTCCGCAGGAACCGGGCCCGAACAAAACGTTCATATGGACTTCGCCAGAATGTCGGATGGTGGCATGCAAACCAGGTAAACTAGGGATCCCCCTCTCCTCAACGCAACAATCTCGATCCCGCAAAATCCTCCATGTTATCCGCATCCCTCCCTCTCCCACCTCCCTCCTTCGTCATTCTAACAGGCCTCTTGAGCCCCTTCTTTGGACTCTTCGTCCCCCCTGTCTGCTTCGGTACCTCATCTACTTCTCCTGCTCCCAACTCACCGTCCCGCTTTTCCCTATCGCCTACGTCATCCCCTCCTCCATCTTCGGTCGGGATTATATGCTCCCCGATACTTCTCTCGATGATTTTAGCTTTTGCACTGGCGCGTTTGAACCGGTCATCGAAGTCGGCGACTGCGTCTTCGGTATTGGAGGTGTCGAAGGTTAAGGGGTCCGTCAGATGGTAAAGTAGGTGGACGTTCCGGTGGAGGCGGGTGTTGGGGGATTCTATCAGAGGGAGAACGGGTTTAATGGTATCGTCTTGGTCTTCGATTTGTAGATTTCTTGCAGTTTCGGATTCACCATCGGTGGGTTGCTCTTTCACTCCCTGCCCCTCCGTTTTCTCTTCCTCCCCTGCTTCTTCACTCCTCACAGCCCCTTCTAAGGAAGAGGTCACCACCGGAGACGTTGAAGACGACGACGCTTTCGGCAATCTCGCACCCCACACGCTCGCCCGCCCATGCAAAACGCCCAATGAAGCGAATTTCTCGAACCCCTTCTCGAGGCCGAAGATGCGGCCTTCAATGCGGCCGGCGCGGGCGCCGTCGCGGATTCCTTGGGCGTAGGCGGACGTGTAGAGGGTGTCTTCGAGAGTGAGGAGGGTGTCGAAGGGGTCGTTGGGGTCTTCTGTTGGTTGGGAGATTTCTGAGGCGTGGTTCATCTTGGGGGCTTGAGATCGGAGGGCTGGTGTCTGAAGACTGTGAAGCAGCCTAATCTCTGGGAAATATTCTCCAACTGTCTTCCTCGCCTTGTTCCGAGTCTCGAACGTAAGAAATGCGTTCCTTGCACTGAGTCTAAGTACGGAATCTGCAATATGTGACTCTTGCAATCAACACAACAACCATCTGTATGCCAGTCAAGCCGTTCGGTGTAGGGCGTGTGGTTCGTGAACCGGACTCTATCCTAGACGAAAATATCTCTTATACTTGATTTTCTTGGAAATAGGATTCCGTATTTCGGGTATCTTGACTGAACTTCGCGGATGTAGCTGATTGGGCCTTGAGTAGAGTTCGACACAGTTTTTATTCATCAAGGGTTAACTCGAGATCTCGAAAATATGGCTATGATTTGTGGACTTTAATTGTCGTTGCATTCTCGTTGCATTCTCGTTGCATTCTCTTATGAAAAGTGGCGTTCAGTGCTAGCAAACCACTGTGGCGGTGCGGGTGGCGGGGTAGATGCCGAACTTGGGCGGGGTGTTCCTGTACGATTCTGGCAAATTGGAGTGCTGCTCCTTTCGACTCACACTCGCACTCCAACACTCCGGGCCACACCCGCTTCACTTAAACACCGTTGTACAGCCGATCTGACTCACACGAGTCTATCGCTAAAATCCGTCGTAAACCGCACCTCCAGTACAGATTCACAAACCGGAGATAAATAGCACAGGCACAACAGAGATCGGAGTTTATCTGGTTCACCACATATAGATCCCCAGGCTAGAGAAAGTCGTCCAAAATGGATTCTGGAAAGAAGATCCTTCCCGTCGAGGGTGAGAGGAATATCCTCATCACATCCGCACTACCCTATGTAAACAATGTACCCCACCTTGGTATGCAAACCGTTCTTTCATCGTGGATTACTTTGTCATCTAATCGGAATTCCAGGGAACATCATTGGTAGCGTATTATCAGCCGATGTCTTCGCAAGATATGCTCGCGCAAGAGCATACAACACCCTCTTCATCTGCGGAACCGACGAATACGGCACAGCGACCGAGACGAAGGCAATCGAGGAAGGCGTTACGCCGAGAGAACTCTGTGATAAATTCAACAAGATTCACGCTGATGTATACAAATGGTTCAACATATCTTTTGATCACTTCGGGCGTACTTCAACACAGGAACAGACGGAGATTTCTCAGGATATCTTCATGAAGCTGTACAAGAACGGATACTTGGAGGAGAAGACTACGAAGCAGCCGTACTGCGAGACACACAACAGCTTTCTGGCAGACAGGTTCGTAGAAGGCGAGTGCCCTCTATGCCACTACGAGGACGCCCGTGGCGATCAGTGCGACAAGTGCGGACACCTGCTGGACCCCTTGGAGCTCATCAATCCCAAGTGCAAGCTAGATCGCGCTACACCGGTGGTGCGGGAAACCAAGCATCTTTACCTGTGCTTGGACAAGTTACAACCGGCCGAAGAGGAATGGTTTAAGAAGAGCAGCACGGAGGGCAAGTGGTCTTCCAACGGTATCCAAATCACGTCGAGCTGGCTCAAGGAGGGTTTACATCCCCGTGGCATCACAAGAGATCTGAAATGGGGCACTCCGATTCCCGCTGAACTCAAGGGCTTCGAGGACAAGGTCATGTACGTGTGGTTTGATGCCTGCATAGGATATGTCTCCATCACAGCAACGTACACCAAAGATTGGGAGAAGTGGTGGAGGAATCCGGAGCATGTGAAGCTCTACCAGTTTATGGGCAAGGGTGGGTTCTCAAAGATATCTACTGAATGATACACTTACTGACTAATACAGACAACGTACCTTTCCACAGTGTCGTGTTTCCCTCGTCTCAAATTGGTACCGGAGACAAGTGGACTATGGTCAACGCCATCTCCACTACAGAGTACCTGAACTATGAAAAGGGCAAATTCTCCAAGTCTCGTGGTATTGGTGTGTTTGGCACCGATGCGGAAAAGACCAAGGTCCCGTCGGACGTATGGCGCTATTACCTCCTCTCTCGTCGGCCCGAGACCGGCGATAGCGAGTTCGAATGGGACGGCTTCATCTCATCAAACAACAATGAGCTTCTCAAGAATCTAGGCAATTTCGTCAATCGCGTCATCAAGTTCGTCAATTCGAAGGTGTATGACTCCAAGGTTCCTGATTACACGAAATTCACAGATCCGTACTTCGATGAGCACAGGCGGAAAGTGAATGAACTGCTGAAGCAGTATGTGGCAGAAATGGAGGATGTCAAACTACGAGCGGGTCTTTCAACGGCCCTGCACGTTTCTAGCCTGGGTAACACTCTGCTACAAGACAATAAGCTTGACAACAAGCTTGCGACTGAGCAACCGGATCGTTGCGCTGCCGTTGTCGGCCTTGCGCTCAGCCACATCCACCTTCTCGCTTCGTTAATTCAACCTTACCTGTAAGTCCCCATATAACTTCTCTTTGGAGCCAGGAAGGCTGACCCAATCCCAGACCTCAAACTTCTGAATCCATCCTCCAACAACTCAACGCGTCGTTCCTTACTATTCCCGACACTTGGGACAGCAACACCATCCCTGTGGGCCACACTATCGGCAAAGCGGCCTACCTCTTCAGCCAGATCAAGCCCGAGAAGGAGCAAGAGTGGCGGGAAGAGTTTGGCGGTGCTGAAGCTCGCAAGGCCAAGGAGGAGCAGGCCGCCAAGGCAGCGGCAAAGAAGGCAGAGAAAGAACGCAAGAAGGCCGCCAAGGCAGCGAAGAAGGCTGGTGAAGGTACGGCTGATGGTACCGTCGAAGCAGCGGAGAAGGGAGGTGCCGCTGCTACGAAGACTGCGCTAGAAGAAGTTAGTGAAGGGGTCCATCAGGTCAGCCTTCAAACTTCGTAGAGTAGAGGCAAGGGGTCGACGAGATGGAAGGGGGATTGAAGGAGAGATACCCTTTTCTTTTGTGTTGCGTGATGATTCAAAGAGCTTTGTAAACGGATTCATGTAAGGGATTTCCCAGGTCTGTTGATCATTTCATAGGGAGAATTTTGTTGACAAACTCAACGTTATATACTGTGATCTCGGTTCAACAAATGTATTCCTTTCATTATCTGCACTTCACCAATGCCGAGCGACGCAGGTTGTGTCGTCAAATGTTCTGTGGTATCTTTGGCATCCACTTTGACTCTATGTCCAACTTGTACAAGCAGTCTGCCCATCAACATACTCTAAACACCAATCGCCTCCGCTTCGCGAAGCATAACGATGAATACACATAATTGTACAAATTTCCCTTCTTAGACTCCCGCCCATCGCTTCCATCAGAAGCGCGCTTTTTTGACCTTCATGTTCAACCCCGAGCTGGAAGCACCTTGGGGCGGCGGTATCTTCAGCAACGGCCTCTTACACGGCTGAAATCCTCTAGCGATGGGATATCTCCAGCTAAGCCAGCAATTCCACACAAGCGCCGATGCGCTACTCGATGCCCAATACAGCACCATACTAGCAGGCACATACTGCAAGAGAACGCACAGCGAGGCCGAGAGACCCAGCGCGGTTGTCCGCAGGACCTTGGAAAACCTCGAACGCTGGGCGTCGAGCTCCTGGTCCAGGGTGGACGTGTACACGTTGGTGAACATGAGGCCGGAGACGATGAAGGGCAATGCGCCCGTGGGGTCCGGGATGAGGAGGTCCGGGAACCAGAGCGCGCCCTCGGTCGCGAGCGAGCCGTCGAACCAAGGATTCGCCGCGATATCGGTGCCGTATGCGACCCCGATTCCCTGCTTTCCGGCCTCTAAGGGTGTCGTAATGCCACAAGCGTCCGTGGCTATGCGCAGCAGACCCCGGCCATATCCCGACATGCGACGCAGTGTTTCGGCAAAGGCGAGGAAGATGGGCAGTTGTGCGAAGGTCCAGCCAATCTGGCCGCGCATCGTACACTTCCAGCGCTCGTTCAGGGCATTGACTTCCTTGCGGCGGGCGCGGACAAGGGCGTTCCGGGCTTGGGGGGACTTCAGGTCCCCCAACTCGCCGGAATTGGCCATGCGCTCGGTGACGCTGAGAGAGATGGCGGTGCGGAGCGGGTTCAGCATCATGTAGCGGCTGACGTTGGAGCGGACGCGCGAACCGAGCGTGGTGACGAGGACGCCGCGCATGATGAAGGCGGACATGGGGATTGCGGCATACCAGGGGACGTAGCCGTGCAGGAATTGGAGGAGCTCGTGGGGGAGGTAGAGTGCGGTGTCGAAGATGATGTTGTTGCGGGGGGTGGTAGCGTGGAATGCGCGCGTTCGAGGGGATAGGGAGGCCGATGGACATGTGAGACCATTTTTACGGTGCAATTGGCGGCCTGACTGCCGCAGTATTCTTGAACAGAGCATTTTGTGGTGGTAGTAATGACATGGTGTTGAACTCCCAGTCGTTGATTTTGAGGTGCATGCTATCCCTGCGCCGATCCGCCAAGGCTCGGTTTGCCAGGGACACATCCCTGCCTGGTGCTGTCATATGCACCCCACGTCCGAACCATCCGATAGTGCCACCTACTAACTACCACAGCGCTCCAACTGCAACTGAAAGTCGTCCACCTCCCTTTCTCTAATCGGGGCCGTCGCGGTTGAGCTTGCCACGATGGGCGTGGTTTCAGTCCTCCTCTCGGTTTGCTTCGCCGTGGTCATTGCTTCTATCTTCATCCCAGCTACGTTTCATGCTTCCGGACGGCTGGTGGGCAAATATCTGAGGGGCGCTTCACGGACGAGGCGAGAGCTGCTGATTGCTAGGACAGCTAAAGAACAGAAGGAGTACGAGGAAAGAGTCAATACAGAGCGGGAGGTGCGCAGGAAAGATAGCGATGAGTGGGAAGAGGTCGAAGGTGCGCTGGTAGGCAGCGCTGCCAATGGTGAACAGGCGGCGGACCAGGACTGGTCTGGCATCATCGGCTTCTTCCACCCTTTCTGGTGAGCATACTATACCTCTGCGATTCCCAGAAGCTACTTGCTGACTTGGTCCAGCAATGCGGGTGGCGGCGGTGAGCGAGTCCTCTGGGAAGCTATTAGGGCCACCCAGCTGCGCAGACCCGAAGCCATCTGCGTAGTATACACGGGCGACCACGACGTCGACAAATCCGCCATCCTGAAACGTGTCGAAGAGCGCTTCAATATCCATCTACATGCTCCGTCGATCCACTTCCTCTACCTGACGAAGCGAGACTATGTCCTGAGCAGCACATGGCCTCGCTTTACTCTCCTCGGGCAGTCGATAGGCTCCATCTTCCTCGCCTTGGACGCCTTCCAGCTACTCGTACCAGACATCTTCATCGACACCATGGGTTACGCCTTTGCCACATGGCTCTCCACCATCCTCTTCCCTGACGTCCCAACAGGCGCCTACGTCCACTATCCCACCATCTCCACCGACATGCTTGACTCGCTCTCCTCGGGCGGACAAGGCATCCACGCCGGCGCCGGCGTCGGTCTGCGCGGCCTCCTCAAACGCGCCTACTGGCACATCTTCGCCAGCCTCTACAGCCGCGTCGGCTCCACCATCGACGTCGTCATGACCAACTCGAGCTGGACACAGGCGCACATCAAATCCCTCTGGGGTCCCTTCCGCAAACGCCAAAACACCACCACGAACCAAGACACGGAGGACATCAGCGTCGTGTTTCCCCCCGTCGCCGTCGCGGACCTCGAGCGCGCCATCCACATCGACGAGCAGAGCGAAGCCACACGCCGCCGCGATATCGTCTACATTGCGCAGTTCCGCCCGGAGAAGAACCACGAGATGATCCTCCGCGCCTTCGCATCGTTTGCGCGGCCGGAGATCAAGGCGTCCAAGGACGGCGGCGGCGTCATCATCGGGAGGAGGCCCGTGCCGCGCCTTATCCTCATCGGCAATATGCGGGCCAGCGACGAGATGCGCGTCTACACGTTGCGGGTGCTGGCGCGCGAGTTGGGCGTCGACGAGTACGTCAAGTTTGTGCCCGACGCCAAGTGGGAGGCCATGGTCGAGTACATGGCGCAGAGCAGCGTGGGCGTCAATGGCATGTGGAGCGAGCACTTTGGCATCGGTGTTGTGGAGTACCAGGCCGCGGGGTTGATATGCGTCGTGCATGACAGTGGGGGCCCGAAGATGGATATTGTGGTTGATGTCGAGGGGGAGCCTACGGGTGAGTTGATCACATGCTATTATTATCTTGAGTTCTGGATGCGGGCAAAGGCTGATGCGAATGGATAGGATATCACGCCTCGAGCGTCGAGGAATACGCAGCAGCGTTCGACAAAGCGCTGAGTTTGCCCGCGGAGGAGGCGCTGAAGATGAGGCTTCGGGCGCGCAGGTCGGCGCGGAGGTTCTCGACGCAAGTGTTTGGAGAGAAGTGGGTAAGGAGGATGGAGGAGTTGATTCGGCTGCGGAGGCAGAGGGTTGGGGTGAGGGGGTTGTAGCGGAGTGATGAATTGCAGGTTGGGAAGGGTGTTGATGTGGGCCCTAGCGGGGAGACGTAGGGCGGAGAAGATAAGGGAAAGTTGTGAAGCTGTGGTGTATGGGACTTGGGAAGGGAGGCGTTACACTGGCGTACAATGGCTCGGCTTTGTTTTTTTATACCCGGAAATCTTCATATGGTGGTGGATTTGGCCCATGTATGATTGCGACTCCCTATTCGGGTTTTGGGGGGTGGGGGCTAGGGAATGCATGGCGTTGGAAATGGGTGGTCCTGATCTTTCGGGTATGCGTGTATTCCGTTACAGTTGTATGAGTATGAGTTTGTATGATGGGATAAGGAGAGACGAAAAGGAGAAGAAGTAGAAGAAGTAGAAGTAGAAGAAGGCTCGAGAACACAGCATTGCGCGTGCTTATGCATACGGGTAGATGGTAGATGTGTGAGTATTGCAGCGTTACCTGTTGTTGTTCTCCGTGTTGGGGACTCCTGCACCATTGTAGTCGAACTCCTCCGATCCATCCCAAGGTTGGATAAATTAAAAGCAGGCATGTACTTCACTCAGTGTCGACCTCAATCCCAGTCCGAAACGGACGTTTCCTGTGCGTCACGTCATTTGTGTGTAAGAGACAGAGAAACTACACAACAGCAACACCGCATCACCATTAAGACTCTAACACAAGTGAAAAGAAGAACGGTATATTCTATACCAGGAAACCCCTTCCAAGATGGACGGAAGACGGTTCAGTGACAAGAGCGCCCCGCAAAAGCACGCCCCGTAGCGGAGTTGCCAAACGAGAACCGGCATCCCTTAAACAACGCTCCACACCATGAAAAAGCAGAGTTCAAGAACTATCCCCTGCACTCATCCGATGCAATACCGCACAGCATCCCAATCCATCCTGCCCACTACCGCGCAAATCGCACACCAGCGCGATTTCGCAATCCCTTATGTCCCCATCTTCACCGGGATCCACGATTTTCCCATCACACCAGTTTACAAGAACAGGGCCAATCCGGCAACAACCACCGCGGCGGCGCCCATCTCGACCTTGCCTGCAGCACCAGTGCCCTGGGACGACGAACCGGTAGGCGTGGATCCACCGCTGACAGAGCCCGTAGGGGGGGCGCCCTTACCGGATGGAGTGACGTTGCCCGAGGCGGTAGGGGAGGGGATGTCTGTGGCTGTGAGGGGTTTAAATGTTAGCCTGAGATTTTGAATTTGCAACTAAAGACGACTTGAGGAGGGTCGTGAGAGGAAAGGAAATGAGAAGTCGGCGATCTCCAGCTCCGATGAGAGAGGACTCCTCAACCCAAGACCAACCCGGGCAACTCAAACCAAGTAACCCAAGGAGAACAGCAATAGAGAAAGCACTACTTACAAACCTGCACCCCCTTCCCCCCACAAACCTCCTTGAACGCCTTCAGCGCCGCATCCCTCTCCCCCTGGCCCGAGCAGAACTCGGCAATCTTGGCCACGGCGTCGCTGCTCTTGCACACGGCGACGATGTTGGACGGGTCGTCGAACGAGTTTATGGCGCCGAGGTAGCAGCCCGGTGCGGATTGGGCCGAGGCGAGGGAGAAGAGGGAGCCGACGAGGGCGAGAACGAGGGTCTTGGTGTACATTGTTGTTGTTGGTGTTGTTGGTTTTGGTGAGGTGGTGGGAGTGGAAGTCGAGTTTGAGTGGATGAGCGAGTGTGGTTATGGGAAGCGGAGATGGAGGGGTCCGAAGGGGGCGTTCGGTATCGATCGATGGGCGTGCGTAGGTATAAGTCCACAGTGACGCTGTGTCTTTGGCTACAATGGCGGCGGTAGAGAAGGAAACGGATGACGGAGTGATTCTGGTTGAGGAAAGAAAGTAACCGTGGGTTCTTGTTTGTGGAAAAGAGTGTAGGCGTCCAAAGGAGTGACGGAAAAAACAAAAGTTGACAGAGAAGGAAGAGGCGAACTGGAGAGAATGATCAGAGAAAGAGTAGACTGTCGAAGATGAGGTGAGGTTGAGCAAAGGGGCGTCCCCGGCATGGCGTCCGGGTGCCAAGGCGCGCGATCAAACACGCTAGTTGAAACACACCTTACCATACATGGCTTAGGCTGGTTTCCGAAGTCAAACACCACCTGGGCATGCATCAGCGTTGAAGCAATTCTTTGGATCGCCGGAGTATACCTGTGAACGTCTCGCACGTGAATCCTACCCAGGTACCATATGATCTATATCGATAAAAACGGCATCAACGCACCCACGACCAGTCCACATCAGCTAAACCACAAAACCCACTCCATCCACTCCTCAAATTCTCCTACTCTACCTCTATCATTGATCCAGACCTCAACTGAACTCTCCAATATCCAGCGACCTTTATTAGCAGAGCCTACTCCGTACCACGGGCCCCTCTACATTTCGCATAAACACCATCTCGCAGCAAAACATGCAGAATGCGAAAATAGTATAATACAACGGACCCTCTCCACTTGTCCAGATGTCGTTTCGAAGCACACCTGCATTCCCAGCACTCCGCTGTCTCCGAGAGCAAGTAGCGACGACCAGGCAGACCTCCTCCTCCTCCTCACAAAGAGAGAGACGTGGCGGACGAACACATGCTTCTTCATGATCCATTAACACCCTCCCCTCCAGTCGCCATAATCTATCTCATCCGACCCTTCCATCGTCCGCAATGCGCACATGCCATCATGTCCTCATCCCAGTCATCCGTCCCCATCCCCGTCCCCATCTCTTCCACATTACCAGCAGCCACAGGTGAAAGATGCCGAAAAGACAGGATGAAACAAACAGAAACCAGAAACCAGGATGCAGAAATCAAGATGCAGAAATCTTCGGGCAAGCAAAGAAAAGCAAAAAGGAAAACAGGCCTCGCTCGCAAGATGCACATGTCCCACCCACCAGCAACCCTGCACATTCCCGAAAAGTGTCAAAAACTACATGCAGTGCCCCTCCATTAGACAAAGAAATGAAATCGAAAATGAATCCAGACTCCTTGGCTCCGGCGCTTCGACTAATTGTACATTGCACAATGCGGAAAGGCCACCAAGACAGGTAGCTAGTCAGTGTGTGGATGGGAGTTGCGTATGAGGGAACCTCGTCGTGGCGGTGGTAGTATTATTAAGTATGTTTCAAGAGAGGAGAGGACAATTAGTTCAAGGTGGCGTTTTCGGTTGCACGCCATTCGGACCGAGCATCGAAGGAATGGGCTTGCGGCGTGCCTTTGCCATAGGGATGCGTGGCACCCCCTGGATGACTCTAGGCTCTTTCATAAGAGTGGGATCCAGTTTCGCTGGGACTGTGGACATGGGTCAGTAAAAGTCCGCGAAGGCACAAACCCAAGCTGGGTCAACTTACTTCGACTAACAATGGTCCTGTAGTCGCCGGGAAATCGTGAGCTGGGAGGATTCGCTGCGGCCGTGCGCCACAAGTGATCCGTTGTGTCGGACAGATAGTCCGTCTTGGTCTTATGGAAGAAGGACGACTTGCCGCGATTCCGCTTTGCAAGAATGATTTCGTCGAATAGCCTGACCGCAGGGTCGTCCGAGCGCTTAGTCTCTCGTTCATGGATGAACTCATTGAAACCTATATGGCCCATTAGCGTCCGTCATCATTCAAGAAACATGGTCCCACAAACCTTGCGTCTCCTGCAGCATCGACATATACTGCACCTGATCATTCGGAATGCTCTTCATAAAGTCGTCCATCTTGAACTGATAGATCATTCCCGCCTTCTTCTGGTCCCCAGACGCAGGCACCAAATACCGGCGATACGTGTACAGCAAGCTGGCGAAACATCGCACAAACGACGCGCGCACCTGGTCGGGCCGGAAAGCGGAGGGACATACAAGACAAATCTGGGGCACGCATTTGCCGTGCGCGTAAATACTGCAACCTGCTACATGTCAGTGTGCCCCACTTCAAACCGGATGAGATCATAGTACGTACCGCTGCAGCGATACATGCCCTCGTCCGACTTCTCGTCACACACTGCGCAAGACGCCCGTTCCTCGAAAGATCTCCACTGCATGCAATGGCCCTCCTGCCAATGAACCGTCTCCGAGTTCCGGACCGGCTGCATAGCCATGCCAGGCATGATGGTAGACGCCGCCAGTGTCGACTGTGCGTACACCGAAGGCGCATATGCAGAAGGCGCGCGGAGCTCGTGACTCAGCGAGGAAGTAGAAGCGCTGGGGTTATGTCCCAAGAAGGTTTGACTAGGCCTTCGCATAGTCGCCGCACGCTCAAAGCCAAACTGGAAGCGGGAATGGTGAGTAAGACCGTGAACAAGCTGGTGACCAAAACGTACCGATGAGCTTCGTCGGGAAGATGTCTCGAAATGGCCAGATCGTTTCTCCCGCAGATTGGCTTGCAGTGCATAGCCGGAATCGCTTCGTGAGATGGGGGTGCTGGGGAGGGGAGGAAATACCTGAGAGATAGGGGAGATCTTGGGAGAAGGAGGAGAGTTGGAGTTGGTTCGGATGGTGGTCGATGTCGTTGGCCTGTCATTTCCCCGGCTCGACACGCTCGATTGAAGGAAAGCATTGAAGATCAGGGGTCGTGAACTGCCCGGACCGACCGTAGTCCCGTACGATGTTGAGTTCATCCCAATGTAGCTTGGTATAGTCAATGAGTGAGCCCTATGCGTAAAAACACCAGGATTCTCTGAACAAAAGTTATCATATGGGTATGCTTCGATCGCATATGCAGGCGGTCCAACGGGCACTCCGTATCTGGTATGATGTGGTGCGGAGTGCTGCAAGAGCGAGGTAAGCTTCCGCCTCTGCTGGCGTGGCAGAGGGGTAGGGGCAGGGCCATTCGATACCACTGTATCCGTATCCAAATCGACGAGAACATAGTCGTCTTCGGGGTAATCGGTAGGCTCATATCTCCTCTCAATACCAACGATATATGGGCAAGGGGCCTCAATAGTTTGGATCAAACGAGAGGGCAGAACCGGAATGAAGACGCCGGCCCATTTAAAAGGATACAGCAAGTTCGTAATGGCCATGCTTGCTAGATGCAGCATCGCCGTGTGTGAAGAAAGCAGAATGATCCTCGACTCCTCAAGGACATATTCGAAGAGTGTGATGATGTTCGGAATAGACAGGCATCTGAAGAGGGCGTATATGTCGATGTTGCGGGACCCAGGGATCTCGTTGGCCGCCTCCTTCCGCGCATAGAGTCGAAGTTCCCGGATGGCGACTTCGACCTGTGTGATGGAGGATATTGGGCTTAGGGCCTCGACACAGAGGTTGACCACGTAACGCTCCAGCGGTTGCCACATGCCTATCCGGGGTGAGCTCGGGGGTACACGCATCACAACGCCGTTGGTCATGGGAACCACCACTGCCTTCAGCCATTCCTTCCACAGCGGGGTCAGGCTGGGGTCGCGACCCATAACACCGTACGCTCGCGGAATCCAGAGACCCGTCTCGCCGTCGGTGAGGCCTTCGATCTTCGACGCGGCACCGTGTCTCACAGGCCGCAGAAGGTCGGTCATTAGGCCAATCTTCTCTTCGACTGTACTAATCTCCTCCTCCAAATTCTCCCGCTCCTGCGATCCCGACGCAATGGTAGGCAATCTCGCCAAAAGGCGAGACAATTTGGCTCTCTCCAGAGCTAGGCGTTCACCGAGGCTGCTTGCCAGTTCCCGCTCTTCCGCATTCATGTGGAGCCTCCGCCATTCCTCACACTGCCGCTCCAGGCCCTCCGCAGCAGTCGCATTCAGAGGCAGCCATACAATCAAGCAGATTCCGTAGAGTTTCGAGCCGTCGCCGTTGGTCATGGCAAAGCCGTGCCAGGAGGTCTTTGGGCGCTCGTCCGATGACACGACATTCACATCGTTGGGGAAGGCGAACATGGGTACGTAGTCTGGGAAGGGATTTCGCCGCTTCAATTCTTCGACCATATTCTTCGGCGGGTAGCGGTCTAGCAGCACGGGTTCATAGCGGCGCAAGAGCGGGTGCATATTCGGATCGGGACTGAAAGGTTGGGGTGCTGGAATGACAGAATTGTAGCCTGATAGCCGTTTCGAAGTGCGGATAGAAGCTGTGAAGCATATTAGCACATGATTTGAAGCGGATGCAGCATGCAGAGCATGCAATAGGGGACCAATGTTTTCCCTCAGAGGACGACAAGTCACATACCTTGCCGTGCCATAGAAGGCTGCCTCTTTAGACTACTCTGCATAGTCGAGATCCTCCTCCTGATGCTCCCCACTCCAGACTTGATATTCCCCACACCCTCATCATTCTTCGTCGTCGTAGGCGGCGGCCGCTGCAGTCTCGGACGAGGCGGCTTTGGCGGACGACTCTGCTGCGCAACGCCGGCGGAGAACTGAATCTCTTCCAAGAACGTATCCCGCTCCGACGCAAACTTCCTGAGCGCTTGCTCGAAATCGGCGTCGCTGAGGCCGGAGCCGCCGATGGCGACGCCCTTGATGGTCGCGCTGCTGCGGTTGCTGGCTGTCTGCTTGGAGGTGGAGTCGGAGCCAGTGATTGTGCTGACGGAATTACGGTTCTCGTGGCTGTGGCGGGCGGACGACTTGCGGGCTGGGATGGTGTCGCTGTTGGCGTTAGTGAGGCCGTCTTGTGATTTTGGGCGGGCGAGCGTATCGGTTTCGAGGGCGCGGTCTTCTTCGATGGTCTCGCCGACGTCGACGGCCGGAGGAGAGGAGAGGGCGGAGGTCAAGCCATTGGTGGTGGGTTGGGAGCGCTCATCGTAGACCTGGGAGGACTCGATGCCGCAGATGAAGAAATAGTCTGCGAGCGGGACGGACGAGGCGTCAACGGCAGGGACGGGGGCCATGGCGACTTTTTGGTGACTAGCACATACGATATCCAAACACCTATGGAGGGAAAGGAGCGACAGGTGCGTGAGGCACTGGGTGGTTGTCGGAGGGTCGTCCAAGGCTCGGTCAAGGCATTGGGGAGGCAGAAGGTGGTGTGGGTGGAGGATCGCAAGAACCAAGAGATTGTTTTGTCAAGGCGGCGGGCAGGGCGGGAGCAAGAGCGGAAAGGTTTGGAGAATGTTGTGCGACGGTGACCCAAAAGGTGCGAATCGTCTGTCGATGCGGTAGTACAGGACGCGACGAGTTGAACGAGGGGGGAGTCGGCGGTCGGATGCAACGATGCGCAGGCGGAGTGATTAGTGTGGGGGGGGAGAAGGATGAGGGCGGGCCGGGCGGCGGCGATGAGCAATGCAATCACAAACAAGAATAGCAGTAGGCAGAGAGATGTTCAGAGAGAATTAAAATGATGTAGGAGGATAGCAGAGCAAAGAGCGGGAGAGGACAAGTGGTGGGTAAAGCGGTGTTCACAGGCCGTTTGACTATTCTTAGCGAAAACATGTCCCTGGGTGGTGTGGTGGTGGAGGACCCGCAACACCAGCGCCGGCTCCGTTTGGACCCTTGGAGACCCTGGCAACCCAGGTTTACTGTGGTAGATGGTGCTATAAACAGGGCCCGATAAAGCATGCTACCAAGGAGGACCAGCAGATGGCGCTGGCACGGGCGGAGGTTTGGAGCTGTCCTGCTGATGAACCACTGCAAGGCACCGTCTTCTGTTTCGCCAGCCCGACTCCAGTTCCACAGTCAATGGCGTCGTCGGCCTTTCAGTCCCGTCCAACGCTTGAATTCCCCCTGACCAAACTCCTTACGGACCGAGTACATAATACAAGCAACATGACAAGATCGAACTGCTCGGTACGTTACGGACTTTCCAACTGCAACAACAACAACGACGATCTTATCATCCTCGCACCTCTCTCCCGCATCCCTCGGTCAGCCAGGATGTGCCGCACTATTGCCCCAGTCTTTCCCAGACTTTATTACCGTATCGTGGAGCGTGCACTCCCTCTGCCCCTGTCTATCCCCTTTCAGGACCCTAGTGGCCTTCCCAAAACAGTCGAGCCAGACGCCACCGCCTGCTATTGGAAGCTCAGGAGGGGGAGGATGATGGGTGATGGAGTGCTGGCGGACGCGCCACATTTGTGTTCAGCACGCCTGAGGGTGTGGGAGCAATATCTGTCGAGTACATGAGTATTGACCAAGTGTATTGGTTATTGATGTGGCCACCTGCAGCATCACTTCTTGGAGTAAAACCAAGATAGGGGCTTGCAGACGTGCGTGATGTTGTTCGATATCATGGATGATGATCATGGGTACGGAGTAGTCGTGGTGGAGGGCCCGAAAAAGAGAGATGGCGATGGACGGCGACTTCGGACTGCCACATCAGACACGCCAACGGATCAACCATGATTATCATTGATTGACAGCCACTTCGCTGTCAAACCTTCTCATCCCACTCACACTGTCACTACTACCTACCTTTTCAGCCCAGCCCCCTTTCGTCTTCTGGAAGAGAGAATCTTGGTAGAAAAGCCCTCCAGAGAACCGAGTACGGAATACAAACTTTCAATGATTCCCATGCTGATGGCCATTCCCAAAACAAGCACACACGGCTCCCACGTTCCACCGCACATGCACGCTGGGCACGCAGCAAGCCAACAACGCCCATCAACCTGAAACAGGCACCTCCAGGGCTATCTACCGTTGCAGCAGAAACACGGCATCTTGCATATCAAAAGTCAATCCCTCCTGCAGCATCGCCTCCTGCTGGGCAACTTTACACGGGCGACTTGTACTTATTTTCAAGATCCGTGCATGTATGCTGCTCAGGAGATAGTTAGCCGCCTTCCCGATAGGGCATCGGCGCAACCTCACAGCACAACTGCCATCTGTCCAACCGTCAACCTCTTTTCTTCCCCGACCTCGTCTCTCAGAATATCCAACGTCTGCCGTGACGGACTTTCGAGTGAAATGGATTCTGTTCCACCACGTAGGAACCCTCCCACCCGTCGCCAGTCTTCCAAAAAGGATTATCCCTGATGACCCCCCCTTCCGGCTGACTGCAGTGCCAGCGTTGGCCCCGGAACGAGCTGCTGCACGACTTCCAGCGAAAAAGTAATATCTCGCTGATTGCGCAATTAATCTTCCGGAAACCCTATCCTCGGGTGCGAGTGCGGTGGGACATCTGAAGAAACTGCCAGGTGCAATCATATCAGTGCTGTAGGACCCCGGACCACCATATGGACACAGTTTCATCAGTCTCCCGCTGCTGTTGCGAGCGGCTGCCAACCGGTCCATTGGAGATGAAGAGGTCACACGGTGCGCCTTACTGTGCAATGGGAGTACCCGGTTGCAGCCTCGCCGTAATACGTCTGCAGGCCCCGACCTCACCTTCTGCAACTGAGCCAGCCGGTACTCAGGGAACCGCGATCCCCCAATGCACTATGCCATTGTATCGCCAGTTGTCCTAGAACTCTTCTCTCCTCGCCCGCGAGCTGGGCGACGTCCTGTTGCTCATCTTGCTCAGACGCTGCTTGCTCGAGCAGAAAAGCCACCTGGATGACTTCGCGCGGATTCAATACCGGAGCGTTCAATGGTGGCGGCCCTGGCGAGGGCATATCCCAATTCAAAGCAGTCGCCTTGAAGGGGTGCTTTGCGTTGACATGAACGGCCTACATAACATATCATCAGCAGTGCTCCCAGCCATGTGGCGAAAGAAGCGTAGCATACTGACCTCCAAGGACAGGGGCCCCTCGCCCATATTCTCCAACTGCGCCTCCAACAACACTTTCAAGTCCCCATCCTTCGTTTCCCTCCCTGCACTTCCCACTACCCCAGTTTTCGTCCTCACGCTCAGCAACTGCTGCGCAACGAACTGATACAACTTCCTGAACTGCCTGACTCTCCCTCCACTAGCCGTCATACTCCCATCCTCCCCAGCCACAAACGTATTCTCCGTATACGTGACCGTAACAGCCAAAACGTGATTGCCCTCCTCCTTCAGCTCAAACCTCAAGATCTTCTGCAGCGACTCCCCCGGCGCGGGGCTCTTCTCCTCGCCCTCGTCTTTTCCTTCGTCCCCTGCGAGTTCAAGCGGTGCGCCTTGCGGTGTAGACGGCGTCTGCATTTCGCCCGTCATCTTCACGCCGCTGACCGCCCGAGTCTTATCTGCTGGATCGAGCTCATTGTTGGCGCATAGTGTGCAGGAAAACGTCTCGCCGACGTATGCGCTACCGAAAGCTTCGGGGAGGTTGAGCACGGGGCTGAGTATGAATTTCTCTTCTGAAGCGTTCGGAGATGGGTAGGCGAGAGCAGCGGCGGGATTGATGCCTATGGAGTGCGCGTTTGGGAGGGGGTACTGGAAAGCGAGGGAGGGACGGGAGAGTCTAATGTCGCGATTAGAGGGATGAGGGGGAAGGTCGAGGGGAGGATGAACCTGAGCACTTTGAGGGAGACCGAGTGAGGCGATTTGTGCGCGCCGTCGATGAGGGATTGCGAACGCTGGTGTGCCATATCTATAGCTCTGTGAAGCTCTGAGATGCAGAGTACTGCTGCAGATTCCCGCTGCCGATGGCCGAGGCCTGGAACAGAGTTGGAAAAACCAAACAAACAAAAGTACGCTGCGTCAACAAAACATAAATGTCATGCAGATTCGTGTACAGAAGACCTTAATGCGTGGAGGAACAAACAACTGATGGTAAGGTTCCCGAGCTCTGCGAGAGAGTGAGTGCTGAGTCGCATCGACATCAGACGGAAAGGGTGGGGCTCGCTTCGCAATGGACGAGGATGATCCCTGACGGTGCACCATCGTGACATTGGCTCGTGCACACTCAAAAGCATCATCGAACTTCCATCCCATCTCTCCAACCCGCTGAGCCATTTTGGAGGAGTCGCATGTACATGTTTTGTCCAATTCCATCTCCATTAACACTTGTATCATCTGTTCCATTTTTGGTAATTTTTATTGCTTTCTCTATTTTCGCAATCATCATGGACATCAATTTCTCCCCCGAAGCCTTCACCATCACACACCTCCATCGCTGCCCGAATCTGGTTATAAAATCGGACACTCCGAAAGGTATCCGGGGTTCTATTTCCCTCGTTTCGCATTTACATTACTCCAATTGTCTCATGACTCGTCTTTCTGCGACTCTAACATATCCGGCAAAGGCCGCGGCGTCTTCGCCAGCGCTCCCATACCCGCAAAAACCATCATAGACGTGTGTCCCGTGCTGGTACTCGGCTTGGAGGAGAACAAGGAGCATATAGAGAAGAGCTCATTGTACCATTATACGTAGTAAGTACTCCGTTTCATATCTACTCCAGTCCATTCTATCATTTCCAGTCACAGTTTCCTACCATCTCATCTCTACACACACCCAACCCGAACCTCTCCCTAACAACCCACTCGCAGCAACTGGCCCATCCCCATATCCTCCCCTTCCCCCTCCTCCTCTTCCCCCTCCCCATCCGGCCCCCACTCGCCCAAAACCGAAACCCACCAAGCCCTCATTCTCGGCCTGGGCTCCATGTTCAACCACTCGACGCACAGCCAAAACGTCGTCTGGGAGCGCGACATCGTCCGCCAGATCGTCACCTACCGCGCCTTGCGCGACATCGCCGAGGGCGAGGAGTTATGTAAGTGCATTTCTAATTTCCTGTCGTGGATTCGCGAGCACCTGGAGTCAAATCTTTCACTACGGGTTTGTTTGTGTGTTTCAAGGGTCGAAACCCGACGAGAGCAAGATAACAAACGTTTCTCATACGATGACTAGGCATATCCTACGGCAGCCATCTGACCTTCAAGGACGTCGACGCCCCCTCCGTCAACGTCGTGGATGAAGATATCAACCAGCTCAACCAAATCCAGCTCGACTAAACTCGCCTCCGAAAAGTATAAGCAATGAAGAAAGGTCAATGGCCGTTCAACGAGTAGGCATACAGCGCTAGAAAAACATACGGGGAAGATCGTCTTGAGACAGCCACCCGGATAACATTTGACGCAGTAAACAAAGACCCCAGAAAAGCTGCCCAAGCAAGCGACCTTCCGTACTCCCCTACAGGATCACCTGACGCCCCCCTGCCCAAAGATGAGAAATGCCACTGATTGCTGATTGCCGTCACCTAACCGTGCGGGCACTCTAGACTGTTTGCCTCTCGTCGCTCGTCTCGCTGGCCTCACTAGCAGCCGAACCCAAATCATCCTTCTTCAATTCGACCTTCGCATCTGACTCCGATCCCGACGAGTTCCCTCGTTCCTCGGCCGCTCGTTCCTCCGCCTCCATCCGAAGGTCGTAGACGAGCTGGAAGCACTCTTCAAGAAGTTGTATCACACTGCCCTGACCCTCGGGTATGTCGTTGCCGATCATGAACTTTCCATCCACTCGCATGTCGTCGATTGAGGTGAGTTTCATGCTGTAGGGCCAAAGCTCTCTGGGATGAGACACCCCGCCAAGGTTCTTGACCTCAGTCAAACATCTCTTCAACGTCGAGAGTTGGTTGTAGATTGGTTTCAGCGCCTCTGAGACCGGCTCCGAAGCCAACAGCAGCTGGTAAATTAGAGCGTAACTCTTTCGAAGGAGATACAGCAGCGTCTGTACGATGTTAGTAATGAGAAAGCCCAAGTTCGGGGCACGTAACCCTTTGCTCGTATAACTCGGCAGGCCTCCCGAGCTCGTCAACAAAATTCCCGTCTACCCGCGCCTCATCGATCCGGTCCAGTTGGCGTTGGTAACCCCAAAGATCGGTTTCCCGCATCGACCATGCTTGCGTAAGACTAAGCTTCTGGAGCTGATTTCGGATATTCAGAAGCTTGTCGTAGGTTTTCTTGAAATTGGGTGCGATTCTTCCTTCCCTAGCACTCCGTTAGTGCCGAAACAATGTCACCCATGAAGTGGACCCACTTCTTCTTCATGATCGATATCCATACAAAACACCGCTGCAGTAACGTCTCGATGAGCTTATCCGCTTCCGGTTCCGGCTCAGGGTGCTCAATTGCGAGTCTCAGCTTCGCTGCCATCTCAGCCAGCTTATCTTCCTTGGTTCCATCGCTCTCAAATGCTTTGATCCCATGCGCTCGTAATTTCTCCTGAAGCTCCTTCAGCTGCTCAAGAAAGTCGTCAACTTCCTCGTGCGGAAACTATGGCGGAAGTGAGTACCCTTTTCCATTGTCGGACGCACTGTCCTAACCTTTGATCTGGTGTTGCAAGCACATAGCGTCCTGAGTATAGAGACAAGCTTCTCGTATTCAGGCCGAAGGTCGTCGGTGAGGTGTGACAGGTTGAGCTGTAGCTCGGCAAGTCGCTGCTCACAAAGTTGGATACGCGCCTCAAGGAGAGTCAACAAGTGTGGACTGTGGGTCTCTCTCCCTCGTTCGATGTACTGCCGGCATATCGATAGGTTGAGCTTGATGGATTCGAGGTCCTTGTTAGAGTAGAACATTGCTTCCTTCAGATGGTCAAGAAGGCGCTAGCGGAGAATAAGCACATTGTGTATCCGAGGGCTGTAGCGTGCTTACTTTCGCTGTCGATACAAATGCGTATCTGTTCTTACATCAGCTGAAGCGAATTGCCGACGACAGCTTCACATACAGCGCTGGAGCTTCATGGGTCCTCCCAACCGTCATGAACGCTAACGATATGAGCTGAAGGCAGTCGTCCAAAACATAGTCAACTGGTGCAGTGTAAGTTAGGCTGTACCAGCTGGTGAATATCCGAGGGGAGTACCTCTGTTCTGCTCCAACCGCTTCTCCGTCCGCATGTTGTTCAGTATTTCCACTTGCTCAATGACTTGATCGTAGCATCTAATAACATCCTCGCTCTTGACATAGTTTCCACGGTCTTGCTTCAGCAGTTCCAAGCTTCCCCGGACGGCCAGCAGTTTGTCAAGGATCGGCTGCTCCTTCGGGTCGAGTGGTATGCGCGGTGCGGGGGAGTCGGTCCCCGCCATATTGAATCACTCCTTGAACAGAAATTCAATTGAAAATAGCTCTCAGAATGCCTACGAGGATCGAAGCGGTAAAGAGCTGCGGAGAGACAAGAATCCGTCGAATGATCAATTACTTAGCGCATGCACACGAGCGGTGGAGTGAGCAGTGACGTTCCGATCTGCCAGGGTACTAAGGCGGGGCAATTGTCCGTCACGTGAGAGTGGGCTTTCGCTTAACCTTCCGCCGGCTTGGCAGCACCTCCCACACAGCGGAGCCCAAAAACGTGAACACCAACTTCAGACTCTCCGACAGGCATCATTTCCACACCAGACAAATCGTCCTCGTCGACCTCTGTCAAAATGTCCACCGCCGAACTCGCTACCTCCTACGCGGCCCTCATCCTTGCCGATGACGGCGTCGACATCACTGTAGGATTTCGATATGCCGAAGACGACGATGCAGATTGCTGATTGTTCCAGGCCGACAAGCTCCAGACTTTGATCAGTGCCGCAAAGGTCGAGGGTGTTGAGCCGATATGGACTACCCTTTTCGCCAAGGTGCGCATTGAACATCCCAATGGGTTGCACGACCGGGTTTCTGATTTATACTTGGATAGGCTCTTGAGGGCAAGGACATCAAGGATCTCCTCCTGAACGTTGGCTCTGGCGGAGGTGCCGCACCCGCGGCCGCTGGTGGTGCTGCTGCAGGCGGTGCCGAGGCTGGTGGCGCCGCTGAGGAGAAGAAGGAGGAGAAGGAGGAGGGTAGGTTTCCCCGTCATCTTAGAGCTATTAGAGTCGCAGACGCTGACAATTTCGCACAGAGAAGGAGGAGTCAGACGAGGACATGGGCTTCGGTCTGTTCGACTAGATATCCTTCTTCGCCGTTTCCTTTCTCGTTTGCCTTTGTCGGGTTTTCATCAACGGATCAGCGGTCGGACCAATGCATATTACCATTCTCAGGCCCGGTCACCGGCTGTCCGTGGCGCTGTCTGCATAATCTGCTTCTGCGGAGGATACATCGGAGGCGTCATGAGATATATGAATGGAAGGCAGGTTATGAATGAAAAGCGTCAAAAGTGCATACACATTCCGGCCACCCGGCTTGCTGTGGTGATATGAGTCGACAAGCTCTCTACAGACTCGGAAATCAGGCCTCTAGCTAATCTTGGCTCGGGGATGCATACGTTCTTGATTACGGGCTTGATAGCGGACTCTCACGACGCATGTGTTGCAACACCGATGCCTGTCGCGCGAGATTTTACACCACTCCTTCGACCAGCACCGACCAAATGCGTCATGGATTCGAACCTTGATATTGACTACAGCAGGATCACGGAGCGTGCATAGATTTATGAAGATCACCTCTGGCCTCCCTAAATGATCATATCGCAGACCCAACCACAAGACTCACTACATTGCTGATGGCGAAAATGATGTGAAATGTAGCGATAAATGCTCGAACGCTGAAAGCAAATGAGGCATGGAGACGTAGCATGAAAGCATATCTCCTTTTTCCGCTCACGTCTTTCTCTATTCCCCAACGAACCACTGTACAGCCAGAATGGAGTGAGTATCCCAGAAAAGAAAAGCCAAAAACACATTCCGTGACCGTCTAATTCTCCAACCAATCCAAAAACTCCGGCGTGAAATAGCTCACGATGATCGTCGCCCCAGCCCTCAGTATCCCCTGCATCGTTTCCTCAGCCATCGCCCTGAGATCAAACACCCCCGCCTTCGCCGCTGCGTGAATCATCGCATACTCGCCGGAGACTTGGTAGGCAGCCACAGGCATGTCCTTACCAATCTCCTTTGCATCGCTGATGATATCGAGGTACTGACTCGCAGGCTTCACCATGATAATATCCGCACCCTCGTTGATATCCCTCCGTATCGCCCGGCGAGCCAGACCACGCCCTCCAGGAGGAAGTTGGTAGCATCTACGATCGCCAAAGGAGGGGCAGGACCCTGCAGCGTCGCGAAAGGGGCCATAAAGACAGCCGGAAAATTTCGCGCTGTACGACATAAGGACTACTTGGTGAGCAATGCCAGCTTCGATGAGCTTGAGCTTGATGGCGCGGATGCGTCCGTCGTTCATGTCCGAGGGTGCGACACAGTGCACACCAGCTGCGGCATAGGCCATTGCGACGTCGGAGATGCGGTCGACGGAGAGGGCGTTGTTCAGGGAGCCATCTTCTCGGAGGATGCCGCAGTGGCCGTGGGACGTGTATTCGCACAGGCATACATCTGCGACGATGAACAGGTCCGGGAATGTGCGGCGGAGGAGGCGTATAGCGCGTATGACGGGGCCTTTGGGGTCGTCTGCGCTTGTGCCGAGGGTGTCCTTTGCGCCGGGCGCGACGGGGACGCCGAAGAGGATGACGGATTTGAGACCTTTGTTTACGAGGGGAGTGAGGTGGGGCACGATTTTGTTGATGCCGCGGCGGTACTGGTTGGGGAGGGAGGGGATGAGGGTTTCTTCGTCGGGTTGGTCGGTGATGAAGAGGGGGTAGATGAGCATCGACTGTAGGAATGAGTGTCAGCTGTTGTTCATACACTCTAAATTGAATGCAATTGAGATGGTGAAATGGAGTCCGCCGCACCTTTGTGAGCTGCCTCTCAGCTTGCCATGCGCGCGCAAGCGGATGGCTGTATCCTCCGTGCAATTGACTCGAGATATCGCCGGATATGCTGACGCTCGTTGCAGTGGTGCTGGCGTAGGAACGTGCCCTCGAGACCTGCGAGCGCATATCGTCTCGTTCTGCGTTGCGGTTCGCAATGTCGGACACGAGCGACGAGAAGGACATGGTGGCTACTACTCCGAGTGAGGTAGGTTTCGGAATGGGTGGGGCGAGAGGAGAGATGAGGAACAAGAGAGTAGAGCGAGGTTGAAGAAGAAGTGTTTCCAGTCCAAAATAATTCAGGAACAAGAGGCGCGGTCAGCTCGGTATCGGTCTAAGGTGGCGCTCGTAGTTGGGGATGCTCGGGACCCTCGGGACTTTGCAGCTCTTATCGATGGGCACAAGATCCGGGGTGTTCCCATCGTCCCAGGAAGTGTCTTCTGTGAAGCTGGTCTTGCCACCGCCAATTATGCGCTTAAATATGACCGATTAGAGTCGACTGATAGACTGGAGATTCGAAACGCATCTTTAAAACGACCTCTGACGAGGAAGCTAGCCGGCGACGGCTCTGAGTTGCATACTACTGTTGAAGCCGATGATTTGGAGAATAGCAACCTTCACGTGACGTGGAAAGTTGCATGGGAAACGGGCCAATACGACCTAGGGAACTGTGTGGTCGCCATAGGCAATGCCCACCACTCAAGGCTGCTTGGAGTCGAATCTCTTTTTTCCCTCGGGCCAGAACGAAAGACTTGGTACGCACTGTTACAGAAGGTCAAGGACATCGCCTGCATTCTAACATTCTCTACGCCCTTTTCAACAACACGGTTGAGTACGACCCTGCTTTTAAATGTATTAAGGAAGCTTTCGTGTCTAGACCTTTTAATAAGGCTACAGCAGAGATTACAGTCAATGGATATCCCCGGGACACGCAATTTGTAGCGTCTCCCTACTAGGGGGGGAGTCTTGTGTACCTGGCCGGATTTATCGTCAACGCAAAACCGGAACGCCTGGTGACGCATACGACATTCAAGATAGACAGTTTTGAGAGCTTTGAACAGGCTGCTGACCTAACCTCTGGCCAGTCATATTCGACTTATGTGCGGGTGGCTTCCAGGGACAAGGATACGATACGATGCGATGTGTTCGTGTACAATAGGGAAGAAATGGTCATGCAATGCTCCGGCCTTTAGTTCCATAAAATCAGCAACGATTTACTCGATCGCCTCCTTGGTAAACCAGCAACTGTGTCTGCCTCCAAATCAGAAACCACAGAGGCTCGGAACGGAGCTGCCGAAAGTTATGAGGATACACAGAAACAAGACTTGTCGGTATCTAAAGTCGCCTGGAGAGAACAAGCTGTCGTTCCCGATAACTCCGGAACTGGGAAACCCCAGATCACCCACGGAATAGGAGCAGCTCGCAGTATTGATGTTGCTGACATCCTCCTCGATACAATCGCGAAGGCTGAGGGTGCTAGAGTCTCAGATTTGACGGTCGATACTGTCTTGATGGATTTAGGTTGGTCACACGTTTGCAATCCCTTGGTACATAAAAGGACACAGGGAATAATCATGCTAATTTTTGGCAGTATTTACAGTAGTACCTAGACATGTCGTAGGGAGGCTTAGCAGACGATTGTAGTCGAAGGTTAAAGCGCTAGTGAAGCTTGTCATGGTGACGTTGGTTTCTCAGGCTTGAAGGACGAAGCGAGTGATGTTGCTCGTTCGTCGCCGCAGCTGCAGGCTCGATGAGGAGCAACCCGGCGATCATAGCAAGTTTCTCTTCTCGTCAAGCCGACGATGGTTGGCTGGGATTACCGTAGTTCTTCCTTTTCTTAGAAAATGCCTATGTATTCTCATAGTGGTGTTGGGAAGAGTTATGGTTTCTGGTGGGTTCTATGGAACTGAGGGATGATGCGAAAAGCTAAGCATGTGGCTGTCAACAGCCTTCTCACCAAAGTATATATGTTTACCCGCGGGCTTCAATGAACCTTGATCGCACCTTCGCCTTCCGCATACGCATCAACCTTATACTTGGCAAACTCCCTCGCTGGAACCCGATTCGCAAACAAGATATCCAACTCCTCAAACGTCCTGCCCTTAGTCTCGGGCAGCCTGAAATACGTCCACACGAAGAACACAAGCGCACACGCTCCCCAGAAGAAACCCGTCTTTCCTTTCCAATCGCCCGCGGTAGGGTTCAACATGTACGGGTTCACGACGTTGCAAATGACCTGGGCAATATAGTACACGATGCGACTGACGCATACGCTTTTGTTCCGCAGCCGAGTCGACGAGACCTCGCCAATGATGGCATAGCAGATAGGACCGACAGTCAGATAGTATACGAACAGCCAGCCAATCATCATGCCAGCTTGTGCGTAATTGCCGGCTGGGGAGTCGCTGGCGCCGACACTGATGAAGCCCGTGATGAAAAGAATGGCGCTCAGACTTGCGAGACCCCAGAGATAGAGGGTACGACGGCCAATGTAGGACATGAGAAACCACGAGATGATGGTGCCGACGGAAGCCATTCCAAGGCCGCCGATGGACATTTTGAACGAGAGGGAAGTGGGCAATCCAGCCTGGACGAAGAAGTAGGTCGGTGTTCCAGCCATGGAGGAGCCGCAAAAAGGCTGCGCAGCAAAGGCCATGCATGCGATCTCAGTGCGGCGCAAGTCGATGCCCTTGAAGCATTGGAGGTACGATGTATTCTCGTCCAGGCCCTTCTCCAATTCGTTTGTATGGACCATCATCGCCACCGTTTGCTTAGCGAGGTGCCGCTGGGCTGGCGAGCTGAGTCGAGCCACCATTTTCTCCGCCATTTCTCGGTCGCCAGTGCGCACGTAGTACCAGGGCGACTCGGGAGCGAAGAAGAGAATGACGAAGAGTGGAATAGGCCAGGCCCACTGGATCGCAAACGGAATTCGATATGACCACTGGTTTGAGCCGTCAGAAAAGGCCGACTGGACACCGGCGGAGACGAGCTGACCTGATCAAGTCTATCAGTACGGAAGCAAGAAAAAATAGGACCAGGGATCTGACCTAGGGCCCAAGTGAGGTTTACATATACAGTCAGATATCCCCGTAATGCAAGTGGACAAATCTCGCTAGCGTAAGCGGGAGCCATGGTTGCGAAGACGCCCCACGGTAACCCGCAGAGGAACTGGCCAACCAGCAAGACTGGCAAATTCGGCGCGAAGAAGGAAATAAAGACAAAAGCACAAAGCAAAGCCAGTGATGCGAGCAGCACTGGACGATAGCCCATCTTGTGGCTAAACCACCCGTTCGCGAAAGCTCCCACCATAGTGCCCACGCTAACGGCATTGCTGAGACCGTTCTGCCATGAAGCAGTGATTTGGTACGTGCCGCTATCTGCTTGGTACTCGCCGTACTTGCGCGAGAATGCTGGCTGCGCGAAGAAGGAGTTCATCAAGACTATGTCGTAGCCTTCCATGATGATGCAAGTCGAGAGCAGGACCGACCATATGACAGCATTACGGTGAAGGCGAATGGCTTGCACGGCTGTCAGCCGATGCTCGTCGTCCGCAGCTTGTCGAGCCTGTTCGAAGTCATCGTCATGGTGCTCTTTGTGGACTCGTTCCTCCATGGCGGTTTTTTTGCCGTCATCCAGCACCATAGCTGTAGTGTCCAAGATGCAAGCAAAGGTTTGGTAAGAGGTAAAAATGGAAATACTAGGCTAGCCAGGAAACGATCATGAAGATGGGAGGGCCAGTTTGTACAAAGTGGGACCAAGCCATCGGAGCGCAGACCGGTCGATCAATATACACTCGCGGGGATATTTCTCCACCGGAATCTATATGTTTTCGGAATAATCCATCTGGTTGTTGCGGGGTGTGCATGCTGGTTCGGCAAGGACGCTCCGGTGGAGAGCAAGGAACCCCATGGGGAAGCCTGGGAGCTATGTGAAGTGCTGACGCTATTGATCAACTGTCGCGGAGCCCGCTATCGTTTGTAAAACACCGTGCAGTGACTCAAGATAAGTTTTCTCTACGCCCCAAGTATAGCAAGTAGTTCTTTGAGAGGCCGTCAGTCCATGCTCCCTGGCATATGCGCTGTGGGCTTCCCGCGTGAGGAGGGAGATCCCCTCCTGAAGAATCTTAGCAGGCGCTCCTCTGCTCCGTATGTTTCCGACTTTGGAGATGTAGGCAGACATCTTGTGACCAAGCCTAACAAAAGTCTGAACCAGCTCGTCATCGAGCGGACGATCCAAATGCAGGAACGATGGTTCTGGCTCTTCCTCGGGCTCTTGCGCGGAAGCCTCAACGCCCTCGGAGAGTTCCATTGACACACAGAATGCCCAAAGAACTAATGTCGCCATGTAGATTGCATACGGCTCCAGCACGCTGTCACAGCTGTATCGCCGAACGTGCCAGTAGAGCGCACCGCAGTGGACGATGGATAGTCTAGCCTTGTACCGGTCGTGCAGCACCCACTGCAGGACTTGTTGACGCGCGGTAGCGTACCGACTAGTACTCTGCAAGCTGTTCAATTGCTGCGCGTTTTGACCCGTTGCGAATGTCTGGATGTGTGTAGTTGGGGTCAAAATAATGAGGCGAGCTAGGTGAAGGTGCAGTATCGTGTGATGCTCGTAGCCAGAGAGTTGGGCTATCTTGGAATTTGCGGGCCAGTGTAAAACATCTCTGAAAGCTGTTAGAGTTCACCAAAGTACTATGAACGACGACATCCTTACAGGCAGTCGCAGGCGCTATTACGCCACCGAGATACTATCGAAGCATTCCTTTGCGATAAGGAGGGCAGATCTGAAGGCTGCTGAGGATTGCTGTCGGCACCCACGAATTCAGTCGTACCTCCCCCCTCGCCATGATTTGCGATGTGTTTCGGTATATAGCATTGATAAGAAGGCCGATGCTAAATTCGCCCAGGTGGGATGGGAGCCTTTTCTCCATGTACATCAATTCCATTGCTGCCGGGAGTGTGGTGACACTGAAATGCCTTTTGCCTTGCTCCACGAGATGAGGGTTCTCCCACACCTCTTCATGGGATGGAAGGGTAGCGTTGATGTCGTCGATCTGGATCAGAGGCTTTGCATCCAATTCATAGATGAATAGGGAATCTAACAGCTATGATGGTTAACTACCATGTGAGCAATGGGAGGAAGTTGCCATACCCATATCATGAACCCGACGCGAGTACGTGACTCGCGTTTTTCAATCCAACTGCGAATCGACCCGTTCCCGTGCAGAGAGCTGGTTTGTATATTCTCTTCATGGGCACACCCAGATAATAATCCTAGGGAATGACAGGCTTCAACAAGATAGTGCCGGTCGACTAACGCACGCTCAACCATGGCCTTGTCGCCTGAGTGCATCATGCAAACAACATTTAAAATCCCAGCTTGTAAAATTTCGAGGCTCGGGCGACCACATGAATTCAGGCGCGGCTGTGGGGTGCTTTCGTCACTTTCATTACTTTCGTCACCGCTTTCGAGTCCGTATCCATACCCATACCTGCATCGCCGGAGTATATCGCGCAACGTGCGAAATACGATATTGCTTGGTTGACTACCCTGTAGACGGCGCGCATACCGAGATCCCACGACGGTGACGGCGAGAAGTAGAAGCGGCTCCTTCAAGCTATCGTTTTCAAAAGAAGACTTACGCAGAAAGGGAAAGATACGATGAAAATTGTCGAAGTAGTGGGCCACATAAGTCTGCACCTGCGCTAAATCTAAACTGAGATGTGGCAAGCGTTCAGCCTCAATGACCCGTACAAGGCCATCATAAGGCGCCCTGGAGCACAAAACATCCAGAGTCTGGGGCTGGAGGGAAATCGACTCACGAGTGTGTGCTCTGCCTCCGAAAGAGGCTCTTGCGCCGGAGCCGTCAACGTAGTATCTTCCTTCCGGTGAGTGAGATGATATGGTGGATCCAAAGACACTGCGAGATGTCCTATTTTCCGGGTGTGAGTCCGTTTGCATCTCCTCTTCTTGGGGTGCTCTCCCGCCAATGCCACTGTGCGTTTCGGAGTGCATATTATTGTTGGCTGGATAGTCGGACAAAAGCGCATCCCAATCAACGGCCAATTCATACCCGGGAGACATCCAATTGACGCCCGATACACATATGCCAGACTGGTCGGCCCCGTTGATATTGTAGAGCGTGCCAATGCCATCAACGGGACCAATCCATGGTAAAGGTGGATTTGGTTCACCAGGGAGGTTTTCCGTAGAAGGTGAAAGCTGATGGGCTCCAGCTTGGTCTAAGAGGGCCTCGTTCTCTGGACTTTGCTCGCTTCCCTGGGCGTCGAGGAGATTTTGCATCCGAGTACTCTTTCTCGGAGCAGCCGCTGGATACCGGCAAGGCAGCATGCGTTCGGCGCATCTCCTGCACGGCTGACCGCGGGGGCATCGAACGCGGCTGGCCGCACACTGCCTGCATGCTCGCGATGAAGCATTCGCAACCGAACTGTCGCCGCTATCTTGATGCGAAATGGTGTGACGATTGAGGACGTCGCTTCAATGCCCAGCATAAGTCAGCAGAGTGTGCATGTGGGGCATCAAGCACAGCTGGGGGGACCTGGGGAAACAAACATGGTCAACCTACAGGCGAGAGAAGGTCTTTTCGCAAAATGAGCATTGGTAAGGCTTCTCGCGTGTGTGTATCCTCATGTGTCGAGTGAGATGCTCCCGCCTGTTGAAAGCCTGGTTGCAGATGGAGCAACGCAGTGCGTCCATCAGTGGGAACTACTGCAGTGCAATACCGCAGTACCAACCTAAAACCACAGTCAGTCCGTAGTCGCCTCTCAGTACAGCAACAGTACTAGGTTTAGTTAAGGTGAATACTATTGTAGTACGATTAAGATCTTAAGTACAGTTGCCAGGTAGCCGAGGTAGGGTAGTTAAAGAGCTGGAGGCTACCTTTAGGTGGGGCCACCCAGCCACTGCCAGCCTAGGTAAGGAGGTGGCGCATCTTGGTAGGCCCGCTTCAGTCACAGGACGTGCTTACGTGATGCTCCATAGGGGGTAAGATGTAACTTTTGCCTTCTTTTGCGTACTAAAACAGCTAGTAGCTAATTCTCGCTAATAGAAGCCTACAGCTAGCAGGCTACTAGTACTACTGCAGTACTAGCACGTCATTTCAAGGTTTACTGTACAGTCAGTCCGTACTAGATCTTCTGCAGTACAGGTGCAGTACTGGGCCGAATTTCTCTGGAGCAACACCCATCCTCACTCGATTCTCGTACCGGGAGAAGGGTACCCGATCGCCATCCACGGAACACAAGCACGCAAAATTCGTGTAGATGCATGGTCGATGGAGGGGCATGTCCGTTCACCCACAATGACTACTACTGTGGAACTTAATTTTGCCGTAGCTCGATTCATAAACATCATCAGCCAAAATTAAGACGGAAAAACCTTCGGCGGCACAACGTCGATTCAGCAGCGAGGTGGGGGAAATGATCTGGTAGAATGCCAGAACAGGTGACGAGGAATCACTCCACCCAGAAATCTCCCCATCCCAACGCCAACTACCGCGGCGATACGCGGCAATACGCGACGATACAGAGGTACACGATACAACGTGATAACGATGTCACAGCCTCACAAAAATGGGCATTTGCCCCAAGGGACAGTCAACCGTCACAGTCGCTCCTCCATCCCATTCCTGGTCCGTCACCCAGAATGACTTCCATCTGCCGCCGCCAGGGATCTTGGGCAGGTAAACGCTCATCGTCCTTTTCCCCTCTTCAAGCACCGGACAGCAGAGGTACTTGCTGCCATACATGTATTCCTCTTCGATCTCCCAGCACCTCGAATCCGTCGGGAATTCGTAGAAGAGCGTCCTCATCACCGGCGACCCTTTCTCGTGGGCCTCCTTCATGAGCTGTCGCGTGTACGGGCGAATTTTCTCGCGGATGGTCAGGTACTTCTTGCAAATCTCATACACCTCCGGTCCATAAGACCAGACTTCGTTGGGCGCGCCACTGCGACACGTCGCTCCCCCTGTGGTGCCGTGTTGAGGCTGTCTAGGCTCTCGATCTCCGTGCAGACGCATTACGGGGCAAAACGCACCCCATTGGAACCATCTAACAAATAGCTCGCGGAACTTGGGGTCGTTCGGGTCACCACCGTGAAAGCCACCTATGTCGGTCGTCCACCATGGCAGACCACAGATTCCCATGTTCAGCCCTGCTGCCAACTGATCCCGGAAGCTCGACCACGACGACGCGATGTCGCCGCTCCAGACGAGCGCACCGTATTTCTGGCTACCCGCCCACGCGCATCGCACAAGGTTGACGATATTTTTCTGCCCTTCTCTGGCCATGCCCTCGTAGAAAGCGCGTGCGTATTCTGTAGGGTATATGTTGCCGATGGCAACATTGGGCCCAAGGTGGTATCGGTAATTCTCGAAGTCGTACACGCGGTACTCTGGCTCAGCCTCATCCAGCCAAAACACTCTGATTCCCTTGGAATAGTAATTGTCCTTCGCCTTGCCCCACACGTACTCCCGTGATCCCGGATTCGTGGGGTCGAAGTGGACGGTGGAACCCTGGAAGGTCATGGCGATACGAACACCGCGCTCAGTTCGTATGAGGTAGCCCTTTTCAAGCATCTCGCTATAGTTGCCTGACCTCTTGTCTACCGTTGGCCAGACGGATACCATGAGTTCGATGTTCATCTCTTGCAGCTCTTTCACCATTGCATCTACACTCGGCGAATCAGCAGCGAAACAGATGTGAACTATCGAGTGACGACTTACCGGGGTCGGGCCAATATTCTTCATCAAACTTCCAGTCGCCTTGGGTCTTCCAATGAAAGAAATCCACAACAATAAGGTCAATTGGCAGCTGCCTTCGCTTGTACTCGCGCGCCACCTCTAAGAGTTCGTCTTGTGTCTGGTACCGCAACTTACACTGCCAAAATCCCAGTCCATACTCCGGCATCATAGGCACCTTCCCAGTAACTTCGGCATACGTCTCGACAATCTGCGCCGGCGTGTCACCCGCTACAACCCAATAGTCGAGAGCCTTGGTAGAGCGCGCCTCGAAGCTCATCACATTCTTGCCAAAGATTGCGTTTCCGATCGACGGATTGTTCCACAGGAACCCATAGCCGCGCGAGGACACAGTGAACGGAACGCTGGCTTGAGAGTTTCGGTGCGCAAGCTCTAGCTGGGTACCTTTGATGTCCAAGTATGGCTGTTGGTACTGGCCCATGCCGAACATCTTCTCCTTTGGATCGAGGCTCTCGAACCGAGCGGTAAGGTGGTAGTCGCCGCCGACGAGCGGCTTGAACTCGCGCGCCTCGACTTCGAGGGAGCTGCATTTCGGATCCGTCACGTCGCGGCGGTTCCGCGCATATTCCTCGAGTAGAAGGACACCCTTGGAGTTCCAGATCGTCAGCTTGCCGCGCTTGGTAACCACAGCTTTGATACCTCCATTGGTCAACGTTGCCGTATCCTCGCCGACTTCGACGCTGGTGTCTGTCTTTGGTGGCTCCAGCAATGCCCAGTCTTCACTTGGCATGGAGCTTGCTTTGGTGGCCCTGACCCGGATTGCATCTTGAGCCCATGGCTCGATCCACAGCTGCTCCGCGTCGTACGCAAAAATCAGGCGCCCGTCCTTGCTGTAGAGCATAGCCGCGGGGAGGAAATGATGGTATGCCCGGTGGTCCTTTTGGCTCCGGCTGTTTTCGAGGACAAAGAAGGTTGATTGAGAAGTGCGAGATATTGGAGGGAAAAAGGGCAAAGGGCTGCTCTAAGAGTGAAGGTTACGAGGAAACATTTTCGGCACGACGCCCGCCATGGCGGCGCCTCGGAGGCAACGTGTATTCGACTTTCAGCAGACGATTCCGCGTGCTCTACCCCATCGGAGGATTAACGCATACCAGGGTCGAACGCGGGGTTGACGGCGAATCTCCACCGGAGCCTGTCTCCATCGGAGCCTCCACCGGAAAACTCCCCAGGTCCTACTTGCAACTTCATGGGTTGTATGTCTTTCAGACTTGCTATTGATGGGTAATTTCGAGATGCTGCTAATGGGTAGAAGATCGCGCGTACATATGAACCCTGGGAAGGCAAGCCTGCGCCCTGTTAACTACATGTCTCGCTCGGATTTCAGACCTCCCAATTGAGATTGATAGCCACAATGAGATCGACCGCTATCTTCAATCTGTTGCTCTCGAGCTCCTCGCTCCTCGAGGCTGCCAGCATTCAAAGAGCCGCCGACGGTGCATCCGTCGACCTTTCCAAGGCCACTGGCGACGCGAAATTCCTTGCCTCGGGGTGGATCTATGGGTTCCCCGACAATGGCACTTCGGTCGATACTCGCATCCCCGCAAACTACATCACCGACATCAAGTTCAGAGCCACTCGGGCTGGCGGCGCACAAACACCGACTCGTGGATGGATAGAGGGCCAAAAAAGCTACCTGGGGCGCTTTCAATCAACCCTCTCCAACTATCGCACTGCGCGCAAATACGGCGGAACCTTCATTTTGCTCGTCCATGATCTGTGGGGCGCGGATGGCAGCAGCATTCCCCTCTACCCCGGCGATAAGAATGATTGGGCCCAAACGGATGCGTTCCTGAAGCAGCTGGTTTCCGACATCAAGGCAAACGACATGCTCGATGGCCTCGTGCTCGATATTTGGAACGAACCCGATATTGACCTTTTCTGGCCTAGACCGTGGGACCAGTATCTTTCGTACTATGTCCGCGCTCACAACTATTTCAAGCAAGTCTCGCCCCTTCTCGCCCGCTGCTGTTGCCAGGCTAACTATTCTACGTAAAAAGATCGCAGCTACCCACTACGCTGATCAGCGGGCCATCCTCAGCCAACGCGCCAGGCGTAAACGATGCGAAATGGAAAGCATGGCTGAAATCCGTGTCAGGCAACAAGACCATCCCGGACATTTATTCGTGGCATCAGATCGGCGACTGGCAGCGCGAGCCCGACCGAACCATTCCCGACTTCAAAACCATCAAGGCCGTGCACAACATGCCCGACCTCCCCATCGACATCAACGAGTATGCATGGCCGTCGGAGCAGAACCCCGCTAACACCGTTTTCTACATTGCTCAACTCGAACGCTACAATCTACGCGGCCTCCGCGCGAATTGGGGCTCTGGCTCTGGCTTGCACGACACACTGGCTAACCTGGTCGGCACCACGGATAAGAAGACGTACTATCCCAATGGCGAGTGGCAGCTGTACAAGTACTACGCCAACATGGTTGGAACCCGCGTGGCTACAACCGCATCGGCGGACCGCAAGTTCGACGTCTTCGCTACCAAATCCGGCAACTCGGTGAAGATCATCGCAGGCACACGTAGCGTGAAAGCTGCCTACAATATCACCATCACGGGTCTTTCTAGCGTAGGTTTTCCGGATTCCGGATCCCTGAGTGCAAGGGTGTATCGATTTGACTGGGCTGGCGCGAATGGGAAGGTTGGTGCGCCAGTGGACTTGGGCACCAAGACGTTTACGTACAGTGGTGGAAAGGCAAGTTGAACCCAACACTTACCTACCAGCACTGTTTTATTTATATGCACGTGCTAACCCGATGCAAATAGGTTACTTTCAATGTCGACCCGGCAACGAATTCTACGGCGTATGCATACGAGTTTACCGGGAAAAGCTAGTTAGAAACCACCGTAGCGCCCTACTGTATCATTTTATATATTTCTGTTTGATTCCACGCCCTAGGTCTGAAAGAACAACTGATGTCCAACCTTCTGCAGAGCCTTCACATAGCCTAGAAAACTAGAAAATCTATTAAGAACGACTGAGATAATTACGGAACGATGGTGTAATGGGCTGGTGCCCAGGGAGCTGGACACAGATGAGATACATCTGAAAAGGGCTTAGCGTACTGGAATCAACTATGTATCATGTCCTCTGCTTCATCATGCAAACTGTTATTGTTTATTCGGCAATCGGCTCAAACATACCACACTCGATCCGCAACTGATTCACTGATATGGCAGATGACCGCCTTCTCAAAACTGCCGAGTCAATGCTCGGTGTAATTCATTTCCAGCGCAACGGAGAAACCTGTATAGACTTCTCGAGCAGTCAGCTTCGTGGTATGTCTAGGTTTGTATGGATTCCTGAACCTTTCGATAGAGGTGACTGCTTTCTTAGATTCCCTTCAAAAAAGTGTCGGGGAAGTTGTGAAGGAGGCATATCGATGTGGCCCTATACCAAAACCGCACGACAGCAAAACTGCAAACTGGCAAATAAATCTCCTAAAGCTAACTTTGGTCTAGGCATAAATACTGATAATATGATGATACACGCCATGTACTACGTCAACTGTGATGTTTGCTCCAACATTTCGCTGCCGCAATCAGGATGAACGGCGGTGAAAGCTCATCGCTGGAGCCAGTTCCGGCAGCAGCTCCAAGGCCTTGATTCCCTTCAGATCTCACTGGCATTGTTCCCAAGTTTCATATTGGTGTTCCTTCCTATTCAGTCCGTTTGCCTCTGAAATGACCCATCCGGTTGCCTAGGAAGCCATCTCCCAAACCCTTTCTCGCAGCTCTGTTGTCCCCCTCCTAACTCCCGCACTACACCAACTTCTCAACAGCCCGCGCAGCGGCAGAAACAATTCCTCACAAACCAATATCTGCCGCTCCGGGCCCCTCGGAATGTCATTCTCTTTCGTCAACTCGCGCATCTTCCCGCGATCGCGGAGTCTGGCCAACCTCAGCGCTTCCTTCTCCGCACGCGCTCCCCCATATACTCACGCAGCTGGCGCACGCACAGAGGCTGTGTTGAATGAGGTCCCGGATGACAGTATCACCGCGCTGCCGCCACATCCAATGGTTGGTCAGAGCGGGGAGCAGAGGGTGAAGAGTGAGCGGGATGGCTCGGAAAGGCAGGAGAAGAAGAAGTTGACGAAGGAGAATAAAGAGGGGAGGAAAGGTAAGAAGGACAGGAAGGAGAAGAGGGAGGGGGAGAGGAAGGACAAGAAAGAGAAGGAGAAGAAGAGCAAGGCCAAAGCCGCCCATCCGTCGAAATGGGCTCGGATAAAATCTTCTCTCAGCACTACCTGGAAGCGTCTTTCCGCGAGGAAGCCTGCTGCGGAGACCGGCGGACTGATCATCGGCGCTCCGACGGATTTCGTGCACGTTGGGGGTATTGAAACATTGGCTGGGGGTGTGGTTGGAGGAGGTGGGGGAATCGAGGAGAGGGAAAGTGATTGGGAGGATGTGAGTGATGAGGAGTAGCTTTTGCGTCGGGTCTAGACGGACACCGGTTTTGGGCGGTTGCAACGTGTGCCATCTTTTGAGGTGAGGAAGCGAGTGTGGAACATCATGCTCGGTAGACGGTAGGGCGAGAAGGTAACGTTTCTTAATTCAATTGTACTATATGTACAAACTGACAAACTTCATTTTCCGCACGTCTTTTTAGTGCTATCTTGTTTTTGCTTTCCACAGCAGGCTAACAATGCATAGTACCCATGGAAATAGACGGGAAATACCGTTATCTAGGCAAGCAAGATGCTATTTGCTAACCCACTTTTCTCTCCTGCACGCTACACCAGAGCTCTACCATCCTCCCGCTCCTACCTGTTCCGTGAAAGCGACACATAACCCCTTCCCTAAGTGCTTTTGGTCTCTAAAGCAGCATTCTCTACTGACTCTAGGAATGCATGAACATACATCAGCTCGACGAATCTCCACAAACCTGAATTTGTCCTAAGATTCCTGTGTACAAAGATAATATTAGAGAGCAACGATACTGCTAGTATCCTGCACAAGAGCAGTACCTTCTGAAACATCAAACTTATTACCGCCATGTCCCTAAACAGAAACACCAACGCTATACTACACGAAATGTGCGAATTCCTGCGGCCTTCCTTCTCCGATTTCGCTCTTAGTAATGCCATACTCATATACATCATCAAAATTCCTCTACAGTTACACAGGCGAGCTCCCGTCCAAAAGAAAATCGAAAATCGTCAGTCTCGCCAAGGTGTACCGACGGGGAAGACAGGAAGCTCTGTCCTACAAATCTTGATATACATTTTGCCCAATTCATAGATACATATCCCATAGCGCGTCAGTCATAACCATGTACAAGAAATCAACAAAATAGAAAGGAAGAGCAGGAAATGGTATCTAAGCTCGGCGCCCTCTTGAAGACCTTTTGTCCCTCCTACGTTGAACCGCAAAACGTTTGCCTCTTCACAGCGCCCTACCCAGTCCCTTTGCAGCTTCCCTGTCATAACTCCCTCCCCTCTCCCTCTCCTCTACCGTGATTGTATGCTCAACACGAATATCATTCTCCCCACCACCATTCCCTCTCCACGTCTCCATCCTAACATTCTCCTCCTTCCAGCTCCCGGGGCTCATCGCCTCCGTACCCTCCTCGTCAACACCCACCAGTCCGCCTTCCATACTATCCGTACTGTGCAATGCTGCACCTCCAGGCCAACGGGGAGACCTGGGACTACGCGGCGACAACGGGCTATTAAACCAGCGAGCAAAATTCCTACTCGTGCGCGACGCCTGGCTCAGCGCCGGCGACGGCATCGGCGTAGAAACCGGCGTAAGTTTCAACTTCGCGTCCCTTCCATGCTCCCCAGTGGCAGGTGAGGAGGACATGGCATACACATCTTTCCCACTTGCGCCGGAACCCTTTCGACTTCCCTTGCCCAGCCCCGCAGTGCCGGACTCGAGGTCATCGGTTGCGTAACTCGCACCGCTGGGTGCCGAGCGGGACCGCGAGCGGCTGCGGGTAGTAGCCGAGGAGACGAGTTTGGAGAGGGAAGAGGCGAGGCGCGGGAAGAGGAGGAGGGCGATGACTTTGACGGAGGGGGCGCAGGCGACGGCGATGGCGAGGTGGTTTTCTAGGACGGACCAGATCATGGCGTGGGCGAACCACCCTTGATTAAGTTAACACTCTGGAAATACAAAGGGGGAATGGGAAATGAGCGTACAGGTGAAGTCGGGCTCCGTGGCGACTTTGTGGATGGAGTAGATGCGGACTGTGGATGCGGCGAGGACGCTTCCAGATTTCAGCTCACATGTTCAACGCAAACTTCGTGTAAAGGACGACTTACAGCCCACCCAAACTGAACAAGAAATTCAGCCCAATCCTCTGCTGCCTCCTCAACTGCAAATTCCACGTAAATACCACCGGCATCGCATACAACACCAAGTCCGTAGCCAACATGATCGGCGCGTTAAACCTGAGAAACAGGTCGAAATTGACACACCATCCTGGCACATTTGGATCCCAGGCTCGAGCCACGGGTGTACATTGGAAGATGTTTACTAGGATGGAGGACAGGCCGAAACCAAGCGCGACGAAGTGCATGAAGAATATGCTGTAGGTGTAGGACTTTTCGCGGACGAGTTCGGAGTAGAAGAGGAGGAGGGCGTGTTTGACGGCCCAGTTGCAGAGGAAGTAGAAGGTGTTTGAGGCGAGGATGAGCTGCGGGGGTGTCAGTGTGAGTAGTGGCAGTTAGTATTTGCAAATGACGGCGTACTTTGTAGAGCTTGGTCATGTCGTTGGGGTCGACGAGATCTTGGTGTTGGCCTAGACCGAGCGATGTGCCGACTATCTGGCAGATGGAGAAGATGAAGGCTGAGATCTGAGAGTGTATTAGTTGATGTTGATGGGTTTGATTCTGTTCATCGTACGGCAGCCAGCAAAATCAATCCTGTATCTGGTCAGAGGCGCATTCAAAAAGATATGTAAGTGTCTTACCATCATGCCAGTTGAATGTCCGAACAACGAATATTCTTCGCCCTACCCGCGCACAGAGTGCAGTGAAGGTAAGAGCCATGAGAAAAGCATTGAGCCAGATAACAGTAGGTTGAAGCCCCGCCATTATTGCACGTCTCGCGAAAGAAATCACGTAAACTCAAGTTAATGGCACGTGTTGGAAGATGGGACAAACCCAGAGGTAATGATTATGCTTAGGAAAGAGATAGAATGAACATAAGAATACAAGATTAGAGAAGCGCAGAAGGGAAGATGGAAAGCAAAGGACGCACTCCTGAAGGATGACTCCGAACTTTATTGTCTTGTAGCTTCGAAGGATGAGCAGAGCGTGCATATGTGTGGAGTCGAGGGTAGGTAAGCTCGTAGGCCAGGCCACGGCCGTGAATATCGATAACTGCCGCGAAGGGCTCTCAAGCTTACAGTCGCACAGAAGATGACCACCTAATTTGGATGCACAGCATTAGACGCCGATTGAAACATCTGCAAGTCGTGAGCCAATCGTTGCCGCCACGAAACATGCAGGCTCTCTCGACGGGTGGGTCAGCCCAGCTTGTGCAGATAGGGTATGGCGTATCCTTGCTCCGGCGATCGTGTATACTTGGATGAACGAGAAATATGCGTCAGTGTGGACTGATAATCGTGCTCTCCATTATTGCTCACTGAAGAGTGTTTAAATGAATACCCAGTGACTGGCGTGTGGGATAAATCCTTACGTATGGGGCCCATATACATGGTTACTAGAACGGTTGCTAGCTTTGCTGCTATTCTCTCAGAAGAAGCACAGCAGGCGTCCACGTCGACGAACATGTGTTCCCCAACGGGAGGCTGCCCGAACCGTTCCCGTCCGCCCGTCCCTTACGCTGAGAATAAAACGGGACAATTCCGCACGCCCGCCTCTTGTAGCAAGCACGAATGGGGCGTTCGTTGCGGCCGTTATTGATGGTTGCCGCATCGGCCATTGGACTGTTGCTGAGCTGACTTATCAGTTCTGTAGGGCTGACGCTCTACGCGCGAAGCGATGGGCCCAGGGTACCTTCATCCAAATATATCGTAGCGAATCATCGCTGTCCAGAGGATTTTTACCTTGTTCAATCATGTTCTGCTGAGAGCGGTCAGCCCGCTCTTGAATGTGATGCAATTCGGCCTTGAGGAAAGTCTCCCACCTACGGGCGACGGCTCTCGTAGCTAATTTAGTCCTCGCCAACCCTCTTTCGTATCTCTAGCCACATGCCCTTGATCATTCCTGTAAGCCACGAGGATTGATGTGATGGTGTACATACCTAGTAGTCTACTGATTGAGCGGCGCGGCAGCCTTGGGGTCTTTGCATGTTCACCCTCGTGGCACCAATCTAAAAAAAGCTCAACAGCAAGCTTGTACAACTCTCGGTGTTGACGTCGACTGACCTAGTTTTCACGCTCATCATCCAGTATGCATCGTGGACATCTATGTCGCGAGGGCGGCTTTTTCAGTTTGTCCAAACGACACCTGCCGAGCATGACGCTGTACTGTGTTACGACTATATCTGGTGTCGGTTAAGTGCACGAGGGGCTCTTAAGGCTGCGCTGCACAGCTGTTGCGAGAGTCAGAGCATTTCTAACAGCCGCAGTTAGCACAACCTCTTTGGTTTTGTACGCAGCGACGTCTTTCTAGTACCCCGAAAAAGTGTAGGATGTTCCAACGCTCTAGGTGGTTTCCAACATCCCTGTTTATGCTTAGGTGTCGCATCCAGTAGGACTGCATGGGTCGGACCTGATTGCACTACGCACAACTGCTTTGGTCGATAATGAGAGTCAGTCCGACCACCGCCAGGGATACAATGAGAGAGATGCTAACCCAATGTTTCAAGGGCTCATCTAGCAACTGGGGCGATAGAAGGCATGAATGCTTCTACAGTAAGTTTAACAGTGCGATTTGAGGACGATGAGGGACGCAACCTTGTCAAATGTTGACTAAAGAATCCGCTCCAGTCGCCTTCTTCGGGGATGATTGTTCATTGTCCGTGGCGAAAGCCCCCGTGAGCTTGAATGAACGGTCACCATTTACGTCATTCCGTAGCGGGTTCACTCGTCCACAGTTGAACCTTACTGTGGTACACTCTGCTCAGTCTAGGCAGTCTGCTAATTGTGGTGCAGTCATTGCGTCCCGAAACCAAGCTAAGCAGAAAAGGCCCCATCGAGGCGGCACGATCCCGAAGTCCCAAGTTAGATATGCGGAGAAGACTGGGCACGCGGTGCCCAGGTGGTGACGCTAAGCGTAGACGACCGCGGGGACGTGGACGTATACATTCCAAATCCCAACGCGACACTGCCACCACATTTGCCCTCATATCCTTGGCCTAACTTCGATCGATCAGGTACGAACAGAATGCATGCATCACCACCATCAAGTTATACGACGTTGTCCGGTCCAGGCCTTGTGGTTATGTTCGGGACGGTGACACCAGATTGTCCGGTGTCAGAGGAGACGCTGAACGAATGGCTTGATGAAGAGTACATCCCACGGTTGCTCGCCACGCACGCGCTGCGGTCTGCTGCACGGTACAAGGCCGCGAATCCTCACTTTAGCAGACAGATCATGATCATTTATCAGGTCACGAATCTGTCACTGCTGAATGACCCCAAAGTGAAGAATGTCCCTCGGACAAGCAAGCGGTTTCCTACGGACGATCCTATAGAAACCTGGGTCCCGTTCGAGATAAGAGTGTATTCCTGGGTGCAGATATATACCAGGCAGGTTTACCCGGACGGTCAGTTCCAGTTTCGATGCTAACCATGGAGGAGAAACGGTCCTTCATGACGCTCAGCTGACAAAGATTAGATGCTGCTACAAAGATCATATATACAGCCATCGAGCCTGGAGAAGGCGAAGAAGAGGAATTGGATGCCTGGTATCGTGAGGAGGTGAGTTGACAGACCGTTTTGAACAGGGGAAAACTACTGATATGCTGCAGTATAACCAGCAAATGTCGGAGCAACCTGGTTGGATCCGGACCTCGCGGTGGCGTCATCGTTACACTCGGCTGAGTAGTGGGGAAATGGTGCAGAGACCCTCCATTTTGGCCCTACACGAGTTCGCGGAAGGTGAACAGTTGGGCCGAAATGTGGAACCATTGCAGCCGATAACGAACTGGACGAGGAGGGTCATGGCTCATGCGAAGGAGATAGATGCTGCGATTTTCATCAAGCCGAGCGCGACGGATAAGGCCATGCCCCCCCATCCCAGTCCCGTTCAGTCCCGCTCTTAGTTCACATCATTGTTGTTGAACTCAGATCTGCAGCTTTTGAGAGCCCATAGCCTTCCAGGCTTATCTGTGCATACTTGGCTCGAAATAGTAACGCACCATATGGTGTGGCCCCCAGGTAGAGTTGGCGCCAAACATGGAGTGTTCGTCTGAGTATGTAGAGGTGAAGGATAGAGTGCGTCACCACGAACCGAGCCACCCCCCCAAGCGAGCCAGTGCGCGCACCAACACTAGTAAATATTTACTACACAATAACTGCACTACTACTCTATAATATATATATATACAAAATAAATAAAATACACCCTTTAGGACATGTACTTTAAATCTATGCCTATATCTAGCTTAAATTTGTAGTTTTAGAGGCGCTAGAATAGATAGCGGCTACTGCTACATTGCATGCTCCTACTATCCTATTTAAAGTCTACTACTAGGTGCGCGCCCTGCTAGTGCACCCTTATAACGTAATAATATAGACTGTAAGGCTTATAAGCCTCCCTAGGGTTAATAACAAACCTATTATAAGTAGCTACATTAGCTTCTAGCAGGTGTTCTCTGTTAGTATAGGCCCTAAGAACCCTCTTGGCTTTATCTACAATCTGCTAGTTGTCCTCCTTCTTTATAAGTCATGTAGCATCCTTAGCAGTAAACATCCTCCTTGTCAGATTTGATAGTATCTGAAGATGTCACGGTGACAGAA